CGCGTCCAATCAATTAACTGTCAAACAAGGGTGGGGCTGACTTGAAAAATGACAGCCCATGAAATGTCTATCAAACGTATTTTATAAACTTTAGAATTGAATCAAATAAATAGTAGCAGCAAAGCTGACTACTTTTTTAAACCTTTTTTAAATTAACGTAAAAAATTCTGGAATAAATATTTAATTTTAATCTGTGTGGAAAGTCAATAATAATTCATTTTTGGGAATGAAATATATACACTTCTGATTTAACCAAAAGCAGTATTTTACAACAAGGCCCTCTGGCAGTTATTGAGTCATACATGCAAGCAGTCTCATCACAAACACAATTCATGGTAGTATACCAGGAAACTGCTCTCTCCCACAGCCACACCCATCCCACCTGCAATCAGGCATGCAGGCTTGATATCCCTCATAGTCACATGACACACGTTCATCGCCAAAGCGTATGCGACTCTCCAAATAGGAGGAACCATAATACTCTCGTAAAAACTTGAACATTGACCGAGAGGCGGGAAATAGTCTACCGTGCATTCTAATGTTTACAATCTTTCCAGGACTGTCGCGAGTCACGGCATAGACAATTAACCCATCATGCATTGGGTAATAAGGTGTTACATAGACATGAAAAGCATTCCAGCGAAGAAGATACTCATAACCAAATTTCAGTTCAATTTTTTTGACCAAGTCTATAACTTGTCGCCTGCTTGAGTAGACAAACGTGTCTACGTCTCCAGAATCCCATGGGAGCACAGCGCGAACTTTAATAAAACCTAATAATGTTCCGCCTTCCAGGATGTATGGAATCTGATGCTTCTCCAGCTGCATTGCACCAAAGTTTAAGGCGTCTATCAAACGTTCTACTATGAAAGGAAATGCAGTCAGACCACTGTATGCCCAATGTCGCAGCTTCCAGTTCGGGAAAATATACTTTTCACTGCAAATCATTGGATCAGTACCATCACATATGGTAGTGTGATAACCATCAGCGTTAACAATGTTCAGCACATGGTGCTTATTAACAAATGGCAGTAAATTATCAATTTCAACTTTAGTCTTGAAATTTCCTAAGTTCTTTAAAAGAGGACATAGTTTGATGGAATCTTTCCTGAAAACGACATCAGGCAAAGTGCCAATTCTCAATATCTCTGTAACATTGAGGAAAAAATCATGACGCCACATAACTCCCATGTTACCATCAAATGGTTTTTCATCCAGGATTGAAAGTAATGATTTGGTTTTGGCAAGAAAATAAGGTGACGTTGACTCACATTTCAGCACATTTCCACCTTTTTTATACTCAAACTTTTCAAAGAATGTCCAGTTTTTTAGTCTCAAGCTGTGGCAAGGTATTGTGAACTCTTTATCAATGTTAATTAATGACCCACCCAGAATGTTGAAAGTGTGCACATAACCCATTAATTTTTCAACAAAATTATCTTGCATTTCATTGATTGCTAAATCCGAATCCAATACCATAAAATACTTGGTCTCGGTGGCTAAAATGGAATCCTGTAATGCTTCTGGATAACTTGAAAATCCTCCTAAGTTTACAACAGTTTTTAAAGAAGGAAATGAATCTGCCTTATATCTTCGTGGAGTGAGATTCAAGCCTTGAAATGCAAGGATTATTCTCACTAATGGATATTTCTTCTTTAGTTCTTTTATTCTGTTTTCTGCACAGGCCAAATCTGGTTGACTTATGAAGATAAATGTAACTTCTTTATTCACTTCCTCAATACTGACTTCAACATGTGCAGGGTTTAAGTCTTCATCCTCGACTGAAGATTTCTTTCCACCACAAACATTATCTGAGTACGCTCGCATTTGACGATAAATCGTTACCTTTTCAGATAATGCTTTTAAATTATTGTTAAGTACGTTTTGTTCTTGCCATTTTACAATTATAAAAAATGCAAAGAAAACTAGAAAAATAGTCTGAGCATTCAGCGAAGAACGCCGTGAAAATCTCGTCAAACTTCGTACCTTTGAAATTATACTCATGACCTCCAATTAAGAGTAAAATCCGGAAATATTTTCCTGCAAACCACGTATTTCTGATGTATTTTTTGCAAAGAAGAATCAATAGTGATAATTCTATAATATCATTTCACACAAGGAACGACGTCATGTAATATATGTATTTTGAATGAACATTTTTAAATTCACAGTCAGGGCCGCCGAGAGGGGGGAGAGGTGAAGGGATTTTGCCCCGGGCCCCAAACCTGAAGGGGCCCCCGACTTAAAGAAACAACCTAAAATTACGGCACCTTAAAAAACCATTTTCCGGCCGACTGGACCATGGTCGAATACGCCATTTTCCGGCGAACTCGACCATGGTCCAGTCGGCCGGAGTTCGCCGGTCGAGTTCGCCGGAAAACGACTAATTCGACCATGGTCGAGTTCGCCGGAAAACGACTAACTCGACCATGGTCGAGTTCGCCGGAAAACGACTAATTCGACCATGGTCGAGTTCGCCGGAAAACGACTAACTCGACCATGGTCGAGTTCGCCGGAAAACGACTAATTCGACCATGGTCGAGTTCGCCGGAAAACGACTAATTCGACCATGGTCGAGTTCGCCGGAAAACGACTAATTCGACCATGGTCGAGTTCGCCGGAAAACGACTAATTCGACCATGGTCGAGTTCGCCGGAAAACGACTAATTCGACCATGGTCGAGTTCGCCGGAAAACGACTAATTCGACCATGGTCGAGTTCGCCGGAAAACGACTAATTCGACCATGGTCGAGTTCGCCGGAAAACGACTAATTCGACCATGGTCGAGTTCGCCGGAAAACGACTAATTCGACCATGGTCGAGTTCGCCGGAAAACGACTAACTCGACCATGGTCGAGTTCGCCGGAAAAGTCGGGAAAACGACTAATTCGACCATGGTTGAATACGCCATTTTCCGGCCCCAGAAAATAATTTTTCCCCGGGCCCCACAATTTCTCTCGGCGGCCCTGTTCACAGTCCACACACGAGTACTTAAGTTTAAATTATATCTGTTATATTATTCTTAATAATTTACCAACCCTACCAGTCAATAAATAAAACAGACCAAAAATTTAAACATATTACTCAGACATTCACCATTTCTGTAAATTATTTCTATTACAAGTTACCACCACACCCTGACCACCTGCAATCAGGCATGCAGGCGTGATGTCCTGGAATCATACAGTAACTTCTTTGGTTTGAAATTTTAATGTGGTTCTCTAAAAAGACAGAGCCATAAAACTGCCTTAAAAATTTAAATAAATCTCTTCTCACTGGAAAGAGTTTGTCACCATTTTTCATGTAAACTATAGCTTCTGGCTTGATCCTTCTTGTAAGGTAAACAATGCAACCATTTAACAATACAGGGTCATCAGAAACATAAGTGTGAAAACCAGTGTGGCGAAGCCAAAATTCATAACCATATTCATGAAAGGTCTCTTTAACCATATCTATAACTTTGCGTCGTGTGGAAAACACAAATGTATCTATGTCACCATGGTCCCATGGTAGAATGTTGCGCAATTTAACCATGCCCAATAATGTTCCTCCTTCAAGAACATACATTAGACTCGACTCTTCAAGTCGTTTTGTTCCAAAATATAATGCCTTCTGTAATGATTCTATGATAAATGGGTAAGTGCTCAGCCCCCCATCCATCCAGTGTTTTAGTTTCCATTTCTTTTGAATGCCTCCTTCGCTACATGCTAATGTCTTTGAGTCTTTACAGACACTGATAGAACTTTGCTCATTTTTTATATTAAACAATTGATGCTTCTTTGCAAAAGGAAGAATTAATTCCACCTGCTCAGACTTTGACAAAACAGAATGCTCTTTATCAAAACAATCTTTGGCCGATTTTAATCGAATTATAACAGATGGTAAAATACCAACTTCCAAGAAGTCTTGAAATCGAATAAAGAAATCGTCTGCCCATTTCAATTTCAGATTAACATCAAAAAGATGATTGTCATGAACACGTAGTTTCCTGAATGCTGCAGTTCGAGCTATGAAATATGATGAAGTTGCTTCACATTCAAGTATATTGCCACTTATATTATACTGAAAGCTTTCATAATATGACCAATGTTTCATTCTTAGCCGTTGACAAGGAATAGAAAATTCACCAAGGGTATTGACCACTGAGCCACTGAGTATATCAAAACCTGGAATATTTCTATAAAAAATGTCAATAAAGTTCTCCTGCATTGCAGGCAAGTCAATTTTATGGTCAACGATCATAAAGTATTTTGTATCAATAAGTTGGATTGCATGGTTGAGAGCTTCAGGGATATTCATAAATCTACCAAGAAATTGGGCTTCAGTGACTGTTAAGACTTGTTGATTTGAAGCTGTGATTCCCACGTTTAACGCCAGAAATATTCTTGATCGTTTGTATCGATTTTTAAGCCACTTGACTTGGCTAGTTAGACACTTGACCGTAGGACCCAGTAATATAAATGTTACATCTTTATCGACCGTATCTTTTGTGACAACTTGCCGTTCACTTTGTTGCAGAACATTATGGTATTTCTTGCCCTTATTTGAAGCTGTGTTTTGGCAGTGTTGTTCAGCGAATTCTTGCATTTGTCGAAGAATATTTATAGTAGCCATTACCTCTTTATGTTTGCTATAATGATACTGCCATTCCCCCAAGGCGAACAAAATATACATAAGTAAAAAGATGCTCAAAATTACACGAACATCACGAAGAGAACTTGTAAATCGTGGGTTATTGCACATTATTGTCTTGTTAATAAATTGACACATAACATACAATTACAAGCATTCTCAAGCATATTTATTGGAGATATAAAAACATAATCAAGTAATTTGAAATGCAAATTTCTACGATATTTTTAGGTGCCCCTCCCAGGAAAAAAACTTTAAAATATTGTGTGTTTTTTCTTTGTATATCTTATCTAATCGTTATCATCGATATTTTTTCTAATATCGTAATTTATGCTAATTAGGCTTGAGCATTCATTTTGCATGTTTCAAGCACGTGACTTAAGGACACACAATGTCACAACTTGGGCTGGAACGAATCGAGTAAAGTCAATTTTTGTACGATTTCAACATGAAATTTCGCTTTTGTGGAGATCTAGATTGTCCCGATTGGGTGTTGGCTGAAATAAGCATACTTTCGAGAATTAGTAGTGTTAAAATGAAGCTTTTATCCTTGCAAGTTGTAAAGAGTTTATGTGGGGAAGCTATTGATTATGCCAAGGTTCAAAAATTCACTTCGGATGCAAAATTTGAACATTCTGACGTGAAAGCATCGATTGCAGCTTTATCATTTATCCTTTCAAGTGCAGCGAGGTACAGTGTTGATGGAGACTCGCTTTCAAATGAGCTACAACAACTTGGCTTACCTAGAGAACATTCTATTTCATTGCATAAAGTTTACGAAGACAATTTGACCAAATTACAAGATCATCTGCGGAACACAAGTTTCCGTCTGGACAAGCTCAAAGACTTAGAATGGAGAGTTGATTATGTGTTGGGATCGAGTCAGATGAAAGATCTCAAAGAACCCGAAATCAATTTACGCTTTGTGACAGTCAATTCAGACAGTTCTTCTGAACAGCCAGTGTCTATGACAATGACTTCTGACAAGTTTACTGTGCTTTTGCACGAGCTGAAACAGGCTTATAAAACAATGGAAGGACTTTCTTAGTTCACTAATTCAGATTCAACTTGTTGATGCAAATGTAATGAATCTTGCAATTGAATTAATTTATAATATGCACAGATCAAAATAAACACATCTTACTTATGACAAATAAATGACTTTGGACAATCATTACGGCAACTTTCTTGAGTGCTATTCCCACAGAGAGTTTTGTTGAGTGATTCAGATGTATGATTTGTCAAACATACCTGGTAAATGTGAGCATGAGAATGATATATTAATTTAGCCAAAAGTAGCCAAACAAATCATTCTGCATAGATGCCTTAAACTTCATAATTCACTATTGTACAACACTATATAAGTCAGTTGAACAAATTTTTGAAAGTGATCCTTTGGTTCTTGTTTTTGTTTTGATGGTTCCATTACTTCTTCCTGAAACCCTGTCTAATGTCTCTTTCAATTTCAAACTGTTTCTGATCCACTCTGTTCAGAAAAGCTTGCTTCTCTAAAAATCTAAAGAAGCAAAAATAAAACAATCATTCTATTTCAGTACTTTCAGGAGTTCATCAATGTTAGAAGTGAACATTACCCATCTCTGTTGCTAGTTTTTAGTTCATCTTCAATACCCTCATCCTTTTTAAATGATGTCCAATCAAGTTTAGACTTCTCCTACAATATTTTAAAACAGAGAAGCCAAGTATAATTTCTGCTTGCACTACAGCTTTTTCTATAACTGAACAACAAGGTGGTGTTATACCAATGTGCTCAACTTTGGTTTTTTCCCAATTTTCCCTAAAACACTCCCGAGCCCTCCGCCAGGACGTTTTGTACTATAAAAATTGAAGTATATTAATTCATAATTGGAATATATTGTTGAATTTACAATGTAAAGTTGCTAATATAATTGATGTACTCACGGCAAAGCTGCTCTGGGTTTGACAGAAGAAGGGTTGTCTTTATCACTCACTGGTGCAGGTTTTATTGAGGAAGAATCAACAGATTTAACCACCCTTGATTTAGAAGTAAATATTAGCTAGTTTCTGGAAATATTTTCCTGTATCAAATATTAACAAAACATACTTGACTTCTTCTCCAGCAAAATCAAAGACTTCTGTAACCTCAACTTTCTTTGGAATTTCCTCCTTTTTACCAGAACTTGTTGAGGGATTCTCCTCAGTTTTTTCCTCTGTCTTTTGTGTCATATGTGACGAGGCAGCTGGTCTTGTTGCAGCTGTATCTTGTTTAAAAGCTTCCCAAAGATCATCAACTCTTTTTTTTAATCCCAAGTCTTCTTTTACAGGAATTTCAGCATTTATATTTTCCACTTCATCACTCTCTTCATTGGCTGACACCTCATCATCTTCCTGAAGTTGAATCCCACCTTTTCTCTTCCTAATGAAAATTATAATTGATAACTGTCTGTGTTGTTCTATCTCAATTAAATCACTTCACTTCTCACTTGCTTTCCTGTTTTTTCCCATTTTTGTTCTTTTTAGATCCTTCTGCACCTCCTGCATCTTCATCACTGGATGGTTCCTCTTTGTAAGACAATGATGGTAAAAATATTAAACATTTCTGTTGGACACTAGACAATTTTTCAATGTAGATCTCCCCACAAACATCATCCCACAACATCATCCCCACAAGCTAATATTGCGCGTAATTCACAGCCAAACTTCAGTGATTGACTCATTCATTGACAAATGTTTATCTGTACACTGTCGTGCAAACAACGGTAGAGTAATGTTTTCATTCAATTTTGTATAAAACAGCATTTTTCTTAATTTTCTGTCTCTGTTTCCATTAACATCTCAATGAAAATACTTTACCTGGAATATAGTCTTCATCATCTTCACTGTCGTATTCTGATTCAGAATCATCAGACATAATTATTTGAACTGAAAAATTACACCTTTTTGATTATAGGAAATTTAGGAAAAAACAGGATTTTGATTTGAATTTCCTGGGTTCGCTGTGGAATCGTTCCCATGTCTCAAAATGCTTCTTCGTTTGCTCGGCCATGAACGGAAAATAAATATGGCTGCCGAATGTGAAGTTTTTGTTTATTACGTTTCATCTACGATTTCAAAGAGATAAATACGTTGGATTTTCCTGATTTCATCGTGGATCTGTGATTCATATCAATATAAACCTGGATATTCCTGTTGCTGTTCGAAATAAGGATAAATTTGGCTTCAAAACGTACAACGGATGTTTTCATTAGTCTGTTTCCAAGCTTACTTTAGATAGTTCTGCGCTCCGTACGATCAGTAGAATTGTGGAGATTTTTAGTGTATATCGACGATGAGTTTCGACGGTTCAAGCATCGGTAGACTCGAGGGGTCTTCAAACGCTCCTGGTGGTTTGACCGTTAAAAAACCAAGGGATGCGACCAAAGGCTCGTCAAGAGGTAGTCTGTTAGGACTTCAGAAACTAGCCGAGGAAAAAAGAAAAGAAAGAGAGTTTGAAGAAGGGAAGGTAGCAAAAAAACAGAAGTCTGACAACTGGGAGGATGATGATGATGATGATAGGACCAACTCAGGTTCCTCTGTGAAGCATCGGCACTACCGGTCAAAAATGGTAGAGACACCATCACATCCTGGTGGTGTGAGTGATGCTTATAGGGAGAAAAAGAAACAACGTGATGAACGTGATAGAGAACAGAGAAGAGGAGGTGTATACGCTGATACAAAACAACGTAATTATAAGGATACACGAGAGGATAGGAGGGAGAAGGATTGGGAAAAGAGGGATAGAAGGCAAGATGAAGGGTCAAGAAGAGATAGATCTTCAAGAAGCAAAGGGGATAGCACTAGGTCAACACAGGGACGTTACAATTGGGAGGAAACACCAAGCAGTCGAAGGTCAAGACAAGAGAGAGAGTATACTCCAAATCGTAGTTCAAAAGGTTAGTAAACTTTGGTGTGGGCTCAGTGCTAATGCTAAAATGTTCCTAAAATCATGAATGTAAAAAACCTGTAGCCTATTAACTGCTGTCTAACCAATCCCTCCTAAATTTATGTGTGTTTATTCAGATTTAAAAACACCATCTCGCACTTCTTGGGATGATGAGGAAGACATGACACCATCAAGACAAACCTGGGAGGCACCATCACCAGCAAGATCTGACATATCAAAGAAGGACCGCAGTGAAAGAAGGTTTACATAATGTTATTAGCAACAATCCCAATCCAGATTGTTTACTCCCCTCTTTACTGTTTACTCCAACACTTCCCCTTCTCCCCATAGAGAATTCCTCACCCTCTTATCATACAATGTCAACACTTTGTTCTGAGAATTTCAGCTCTAGTATATTCATCCTTTCATGCCAGCTTCTAATTCCTTCTTGTCACAATAACACCTTTTCAATATAAAACAGCAACTCTCTTGTTTCCATCTCTTCCTGAGGTTTCCATATTTCCAGCTTATAGCTTCATTTTGACTTGACGAATCTTGTATCTTCAACCTTTAGACGTGAAAAGAAGGTGGACGACACTCCAGCTCTTACTCCTACATACAAATACAACAGCTGGGCAAATGATAAAAAAAGTTTTGGTGTAACTCCAAGATTTTCCAGAGGAAAAGGTAAGATCCTTCCATAGGTCCAATTGAACATGGTCTGGCTTCAAGCAAGCAAAAATATATCCATGTGAAACATCTTGCAGCTCAACGTACTGATGAAGAGGGAAGTGAGAAAGAAATGTCTGAAACAGAAAGAAGAGAATGGGATGAAGAACAAAAGGTATCTGCTCATTTTTAGCTTGTCTGGTTTGGTAACTCTGGGTAGAAACATCACAAGACATGATACACAGTCGAATTTATCCACACTGCCTGGATTTATCAGGGTTGATGTGTCTGATACAGAAGGTTCAGCTCCAAATTCAGTCCTGTTTGGAAATTGAACCATTCCCACTTGTTTGCCATAGACCATGATTCATTGTCTCCTAGTTCTTCATTGTCTCCTGCAGAGATGTTCACTACAGGATGTTCTCTATTCCAGCGTCTAGACAGAGCATGGTATGACATGGACAGTGGCCAGGATGAGACTCACAATCCATTTTCAAACATCAGCGATGAATATGTTGCTCAGAAGGAGGAGGCAATTGCAAAGAAACAATTCAAACGAATTTCAGCTCAACAGCGACAAATTAACAAAGTACGCGTCGTAAAATACACTTTGCATTTTGTTTCTTCCAGTGAAGCAATTATAAATGTTAAAACTTTTGGAGCATGAAAATTCAACACCAGAATAGCTAGAAACGAGAGAGAGTTAACCAGTTTCTTCTTCTAATAGCTTGAGCTTGTAGTCTTTATATTAATTCAGGATATTGAGAAATGGGAGACAAACAGAATGCTTACAAGCGGTGTTGTGCAACGCTTAGAAGTTGACGAGGATTTTGAGGACGAACAACAAAACAGAGTGCATTTGCTTGTGCATAACATGGTTCCGCCATTTCTGGATGGTAGGATCGTTTTCACGAAACAACCAGAGCCTGTGATTCCTGTCAAGGTAAATGAAATGAACTTCTGGTACACGCACGCGATATAAGTACACAGATCAAGAGTGTAATCAATTCTTTGTTCTTTTCCAAAGGATGGATCCTCGGACATGGCTATAATAAGTCGTAAAGGTTGTCTGGCTGTTAGGAAGTTCAGAGAGGAGAAAGAGAGGAAGAAGGCGCAACATAAAGATTGGGAACTAGCTGGTACTAAGCTGGGAAATCTTCTTGGCGTTGAGAAAAAGAAAGAGGTAAGCGGTAATCTACCTACGCCGGTGCCCACCAGATCATTCGTCCAGACGAACGTTGTATACACTCGAAAAATAAATGAACAACTGAGATGATAGTTCTATCAGAAGGGTTTTGTTCACAAAGTCTTTTCCACAAATTCTTCACTTTTCTATTCGTCAGGATGATGGTGACAATGACGGCGATGATTATAAAGAAAATCAAAGATTTGCAGAACATATGAAAGACAAGAGTGAGAGCTCCAGTGAATTTGCCACACAGAAATCTTTAAAAGAGCAAAGGCAATTTCTTCCAATATTCTCCGTAAGACAAGAGGTATTGAAGTAATTGAACACCGGAGTTCTAATTACTAATTAACAATTTAGAAGCTAATTACTTACTCTATTATTTATTGTTCAATTAGAATGTAATAGAATATGTTTGATTTCAGTTATTAAACGTTATTCGAGACAATCAAGTTGTGATTATTGTCGGGGAAACAGGCTCTGGAAAGACAACACAACTAACCCAGGTTCGTGGATATATTGTATGTTTGCGGGTGAAAGCTCGTCTAAAATAAGAACGACCAAGGCAGCCGGTGCGGTCCACCGTCTTTTGGATAACATATTATCTTTACTCCTGTAGTATCTCCACGAAGATGGTTACAGTAATTATGGAATGATTGGTTGCACTCAACCACGACGTGTTGCCGCAATGTCTGTAGCTAAGAGAGTGAGTGAAGAAATGAGTGTAAGACTGGGAGAGGAGGTTGGGTATGCAATCCGTTTTGAAGACGTCACATCTGAGGTACGTGTATGAAACGAAACCTTTCCGTAGTGATTAGCATCTTCAAACCTTGCACATGATAATATCGTATATGCCTTCTTTCAGTCTACAATGATCAAGTACATGACGGATGGTATATTGCTGAGAGAGTCGCTGAATGAACCAGATTTAGATCGTTATAGTGCTATTATTATGGACGAAGCTCATGAACGCTCATTGAATACAGATGTGCTGTTTGGTCTTCTCAGAGAGGTCGGTTGATTTCGCATTAGTTAGGTCTATATTACACAGCTATTTCTCTCGCCGAGTCGCCGTCCTGTACTATGCACAGTTGTTTATTCAAAGTTATTCGTCTCCAGGTTATTGGCAGACGAAGAGATCTCAAACTGATTGTAACGTCAGCGACAATGGACTCTGATAAATTTGCTGTTTTCTTTGGCAATTCCCCGGTTTATACGGTAAGAAATACAGAAGTCTGAACACACCTCTATACTAATACACGATGCTTTTCAGAAATGTATAAATACTTACGCCAAATGTAACGAGACATTAATCTTTTGTGTTAGATTCCTGGTCGAACATTTCCAGTGGAGATATTCTTCAGCAAGAACGTCGTTGAAGATTACGTTGACGCAGCCGTGAAACAAGCTCTGCAGATTCATCTCACACCATCCAAAGGTTGGTGGATCTTTGAGGCTAGTTTGAGTTGCTTCCTGTATTACAGCAGCCAGTAATCAATGCATGGTTGTCTTGTTTTCCAGGAGATCTTCTCATATTTATGCCTGGTCAGGAGGATATTGAAGTAACCTGCGCCTTGATACGTGGTATGTTTGTTATAAAACGACTTCACTAAATCACAGCAAGCTCGTCCATATGTCTGCCTTGAGGGAATACAGTATACTCAAATATCTTTCTTTTCTCTAGAACGTCTTGACGAGGTGGACGACGCTCCTCTTCTGGCAATTCTACCGATTTACTCTCAACTTCCCTCGGATTTGCAGGCAAAAATATTTCAAAAATCACCAGAAGGCGTACGCAAGTGTATTGTCGCAACAAATATCGCTGAGACGTCGCTTACTGGTGAGACTTTGCTTGAAGTAAAACAATTTTTGACGTTTAGCGTCAGTTTAATACTTGAGGGTGTTCGTTTTATTGTGTTTTAGTTGATGGGATTATCTTCGTTATTGATTGTGGTTACTGTAAACTTAAAGTTTTCAATCCAAAAATTGGAATGGATGCTCTCCAAGTGTATCCCATCAGTCAGGTTCGTCAAAATTTGCTTCATTTCTAAAGTATGATGGTAGAGTTCTGATATTCATGGTGAGAGTTATTGTTGGATTTTGTAGGCAAATGCTAACCAAAGATCGGGTCGAGCCGGGAGGACTGGACCAGGGCAATGTTTCCGCTTGTACACAGAGAGTAATTACAAAAATGAACTTTTGATAGCAACTGTACCGGAAATACAACGAACTAATTTATCAAATGTTGTGCTATTGCTCAAATCACTTGGTGTACAAGATTTGCTTGAGTTTCACTTTATGGACCCACCTCCTCAGGTATGGTTGTACTCACCCCTAAGGTATGGTTGCCCCACCTCTCAGATGTGGTTGTCCCCACCTCAGGTATGGTTGTACTCACCCCTAAGGTATGGTTGCCCCACCTCTCAGATGTGGTTGTCCCCACCTCAGGTATGGTTGTACTCACCCCTAAGGTATGGTTGCCCCACCTCTCAGATGTGGTTGCCCCCACCTCTTAGATGTGGTTGTCCCCACCTCCTTAGGTATGGTTGCTCTCACCTCTCAAGTATGACTTGACCCAATCTATCAACCACCTCACTGACATGGTAATTTTCTCTACAGGATAATATTCTCAACTCAATGTATCAACTTTGGATTCTTGGCGCACTTGATAACACAGGTAACCTAACCCCACTTGGACGACAAATGGTTGAATTCCCACTTGATCCTGCCATGTCAAAGATGTTGATTGTTGCTGTGGAAATGGAGTGCAGCGAAGAAGTTCTGGTAAAAAGATGTTTAAGTTTTGTTGATGCTTTTGTTTAGTTATTCATCACTGGCCTTGTCCAAACATACAGGATGGTTAGCAAGCAATGTTTTTATTTTCCATCTAGACAATTGTATCAATGTTATCAGTTCCTGCAATTTTCTACCGTCCAAAAGGAAGAGAAGAAGAAAGTGATGCAATCAGGGAGAAATTTGCTGTTCCTGAAAGTGATCATTTGACCTACCTTCATGTCTATCAACAATGGAAAACAAACAAGTAAGATGGTTTGCTGTGATAATGAGGATTGTGCCTAATGTGTCTTGAAATCCATATGGTGCCTAGAGGTAGCAACCAACCTTGTAGCAACCAATCCCTCAATGGTAGAACTCTGTCAGTTCATGGGTCAAAGATGTATTTCTCTTATCAGTTATTCAAGCCAGTGGTGTTCAGAGCATTTCATCCATGTGAAAGCAATCCGTAAGGTGCGTGAAGTTCGAGGTCAACTGAGAGACATCATGGTTCAACATCGAATGCCACTGCATTCATGTGGCAATGATTGGGATGTTATAAGAAAATGTATCTGTTCATCATATTTCCATCAGGCAGCAAGATTAAAGGTGAGCAATTGTACTTCATGTTACAATATGATGATATTCACAGTCATCTCACTTGACTAGTCTTTATATCCAGTATTCTCGTCTTGTAATGGTGATATGAAATATTTTCCAGGGTATTGGTGAATACGTCAATATGCGAACAGGCATGCCCTGTCATCTTCATCCAACAAGTGCTTTATTTGGTATGGGATTCACGCCAGACTATATTGTTTACCATGAACTGGTCATGACATCCAAGGTTGGTTTATAAACGAGGTTGTCTCTAGTAAGACCATTTACATTTGTTCAGGTTTTCCAAGATTTTCTAAAATGTACCGTTATGTTTCCAGGAATATATGCAGTGCGTCACATCTGTTGATGGTTACTGGTTGGCAGAACTGGGACCAATGTTCTACACCGTCAAGGAGTCATTGAAAACAAGACATGTATGTTTTTCATCCACCTTTCCCAGAGAATCTGCAATCCACTACCTTCACATGCCTGAGCCACTGTTCTGAATAATGCTTTTGTTTTAGGAGAAACGTCAAGTAGCGAAGGAGAAGTTGATTGAAATGGAGGAAGAAATGGCTGAAGCCACAGCACAAATCAAAGCAAGAGAAGCTGAGAAAATTGAGAAAGTTTCATCTGTTAGGTTAGATTGACATGAATTTCAGTTCCCAGATAAAAAGAAATAGTAATATATTTACTCATCTGTCTATCTAGGTCCCAGATTGCTACACCTGGGTTGAAGAAACCTGGTACACCTCGCCGCACACCACATCGCTTTGGTCTATAAGGATTATGACATTCCTTGAACCTGGTGCCTATTTCCAGCTTGGCTCAAGTAACAGACAATGAGATGACTTGCCCTTAGGCAATATACAATGATGCAATTTATAATATGTTCATATAGAATCATTCCTCTACATATTATTGTGTATAAAAGGAAAGGAATATTGTACATTTATCACATCTCTAGTGTTGTAATGTAATTTCTACATTCATGCTTCTAGCATTGACCATAATACTAGAAAATAGATCATTTTTACTTGGTATGAGTTGCATGTGTTCTTTATCTGCCTGCCACTCTTTGATATTTACTGCCATTAATCATTTTATCTTATCTTGGTGGATATTATGCATATCTGTATTTGAGAAAGAGTTGTAGTTCCTCATTCCCTGATCTTAGGGCATACAAAGGTAATGATTCTCTCAGTACAGGTCTGTGTGCAGTGGACTCTCTCAGTGTCCTATACTATCTATTGTTGCTCCTAGGTATCTTTACCTGACAATCCTCAATCACCCCTCATCATCCTCCTCATCAAATGACAACAACTTGCTGTTCTTCACTGCCTTAATATCTACTTTCTTTTTCTTAACATTCTTCTTTCCATCTTTCCCATCTGTTGGTCGTTTGTCAGGCTTTTTAAATATAGGTTTATCATTTTTACTGTCCCAACAATCTATAGAAACAGAAAAAACATATTAAAAGTTTAAAACCCAAACACTTGAGCTGAGTAGAGAATTTGACTTAACAACTCTTTCTCAATTTGTCACCTACTTTCATTCACTATGAAAGCTGGGATTGAGATAAAATTGCTGGTATAATGTGTTGCACTATTTGTTCTGCATATCCTGGACTAATTAAATCTTAGTATCCCTGTCCATGTTTAAAAACATACAATACCTTCACTGCTGTTCTCTTCCTTAAACTTCGCGACTTCTTCAGCAGTCATATCTCCTGGTTTCAATACAACAACAACTGGTTCTTCATTTTCGTTTTCTTGCTCATTTTCATCGCTTTCGTTTTTCAAACGGTCTACTTCGTCAGAAAATTTATCACTGATATTTGCCTGTTCTTTGTAGCCAACACGCTCCTTGAATTTCTTTAAAAATGACGGTTCATCTTGTTGAACATATTTCACGTTCCTACTCTTGGCCGCCATCTTGAAACGAGATCAGTTGGAAGGCTTGGGACGAGAAAATAAAACAACTTTGCAAAATCAACCAAAATTTGAGTGACAAAAATTAAATTTTTACTTTATTTTTACTTTATTTTTACTTTATTTTTACTTTATTTTATAAAACTCTCAAATAGATTATATAATCATAACCATATTAGACCAAACAATACATGCAGCAGAACATACACTTCGAAATTGAGCGCAGTTATTATGGGATATATTTTTCCGCTATCCAGCTGGGTGTGACTTGCCTCAAATCATCAATTTCTGTGAACTAACTGAACTTGTCGATTTGATATATTTTTCTTTGGTCCAATCCGCGCGGACTGATTTGCGCGTGATTCTTCACCGTCCACTTTTCGACGAAGGTAATGGCGGTAATGCAGCACTTGACTCAATTGCAACAACTTCAGAAGTTGACTGAGAGCTAATCGTTTTAACTGCTTGTCCAAAAAGAGTCGTAAATTGACCAACGGAACCGGCTAACGAATCTTTAAGCCACGGAAGTAAGACGGTATACTTATCTCGTTGTTCTAATCCACGTTCTAATTCCATATTAATCATTTCAACTCCACTTCTAATCAGCATTTTAACGCCTTCTAATGAGATAACAAATTCGCCCAAAACCTCATCACTCATTGGGCCTCTATCTGGTGTACCTTGGTACGCTTTCTCTAGGCGAACTAAATCACGTAGAAAAGCTTTATATCCACCATAAATGTTATAATCTTCGTTGTTAAGTTTTCTATTGATTGGATCGTAAAGTTCTTTGATAAGATCGGAGCAAAATTCTTTAGAGATTCTTTTGTTTTCACGTTCGTAATGCACTCTGAGTTCATCTAACGCGCCCTGAAAGATTTAAACAACAAATTGATACAACAATGATACAATAAACAACTATAAGGCATAAGCAATTGTCTCTTCCAGTTTCTTTCAACTTACTGTTAATTTTTGATCCATTTCGTTTGTGTTTGAAGCTTTTTGTAAAACTTTGTGTTTCTTGAATCTTTTCATCGCTTCATCTCTTAATTCTGCACTCAACTTTTCCAGCTCTTCGACCGACATCGGTTTAACAAGTCTCTCGTTCATTTTCAACTGATAATAGTTTGTTATCCTTTCCTTTTCACGGATAAATTCAGCCTCAACGATATGGTTAATAATACTGGGAATACTGGGCGTGCTGCCATTGTTCAATGAAGTGACATAGCTTTCCGCCAGGTAATTAAAATCTGGAAAATAGATGAAGAGGGAATGTCATCGTGGTAGAAAGCTAACAACGTGAAGCTCAAGTTACAGTCCAGTTCATATTTGTCAGAGGCTGAACGGCCAAGGAAAATGTCAAAAACTGACTAGAAAGCATTTCGTGATGGAAGTTTATCACATTACTTACGATGTCCAGTGATTTCCACTTGATTTACAACTTTAATTGGTGAAGAGCTGTGCGCACATTTTATAAAACTCTGGATCTCCTCAAGAAACGCTGGACGAAACTCATCTTCAGGTAACTCGTCTAAATTACTTAATTTTTCCTCGTCAACCACAGGCCTGAAACAATATTCATAGTTTTAGTATTCCTAAACTAACCACAGCCACGTGCGGGACAGGTGAAAAATGGAGCTCTTAATAATTGCTTGAAACGTAGCTTCAAGCTTCAATTATTTAAAGCCATGTTTGTTTTCCTTTGGACCGAGAGGACAAACATTGCTTCATTTCCTAGCTTGGAAAATCTAAAACCAAGAGCGTGAAAAACATACAAACCTTTTCAAGGTGAAGCATCTTCTCGTTGAAAAAAATTCCCGAATTTTTTTTCTCACTTCATTTCTCTGAAGGTTACGTGCGCCAGGTTTGTCCTTTAACGCATGCTCTAAGTATTCGTCTGCTGTGCAAGGACGATGATCGATATTGAGGCTCAAGCTAAAATCCCTGACCACCCAAATGAAGAACGGAGAAAATACATCATCTGTAGTGTCGTAGTCTGTGCTTGCGCCATCACCCTCATTACGACTTAGCTGGATAAATTCTATCATCTGCGTCACCAAGCTAAACAGGATATTTGAATAGTTTGTTAGTGATATGATATTTTAACTAGGAATTGTTGAATCATGAAAGGTAGTTCATGTTTTAACTTTTATAAAGAAGGTAAGAAGAGTCATAGAACGCTACTCTTTTGAATCCCAGCTGTAAATCACCTTAAATTTTGAATGGCATTTTCATCAATCGCATTCCAGCTATTATAAACCACACAGCTGCTGAGAAGAACTGCTAAGGCAAACACATGCACATCTTGGTTAATCCCATCTTCTTTTTCTGTATCTCCTAATCCCTCGCTATCCAATACTACCAAGCATTGTTCCTCATTGCAGGGATGATCTCTGCACCAGACCCAGATTCCTTTGGTATTTGCCTCAGTTGTACCTCCAATAGAGAACCCGGACTGACCAAAAAGTCGATTCATGAGAAATGATTTTCCTATCAAAACGTGGACAAACAGTTAAAATAATTTCATACGCAGATCTACAAAGCAGTACAGTGCAAGTCATGCAAAAAATTTCCATTTGCTAACATTTGACTAGTCAGATCAAACTGGATGTCATTATTACCTGTTCTGTATAACCCCGCTATACTAATCACAACCAAAGGCTTCTCAATTTGACTCAACATTTCTCGTGCTTTGGGATTAATAACGAGCTTCCCATCGTCCAAACTTTGAATGAACGGCAGCGGCTCTGTTGTATATATCATGTCCTTGCCAACATATCCTTCCGGACAAAATCTAGAATCTTCTTGCTCACTTATCGTTGATTCATCAGCACTGAACTTATAAGAATTCATTGTCTCTCCAAATTTCAGTCTTTTCTCAATCTTGTCAGAATTTTGACTACGTCTTTGCGACAGACCCAAAGATCCAAATTCTAGCAAATGTTTCTGAAGAGAGAAGAACATCATACATATATTTAATGAAACAACTTAAAATCTCGCGAATAATTTCAAATTCCAACGCGACCCACCGTAAATTATTCTAATTGGTTAATTAAGCCAATTATCATGCTAATCTATGGCGTAGAATAAGATCTTCGAAGAATTTCAAAACTTCACTGAATTTAGGGTATAAAGAAGACTATGACATACTCATTATTGTATTCAACTTTTAGTAAAACGCAAAATCTGAGAGGAAGTGAAATATGTCACGAATATCCCAAATTACGGTAAGTATACAAACCTTCTAGAGTCGCAATGGATGTCAGACGACAAAAAGCCCAGATGAAGAGCTTTATCAGCGAAACAACAAGATGAATCTAATTCCTTATCTTACGTTCACTGAAAATTAATCCTTTTAATGAACCAACACCGTAAATATGCACGATTTACTTTGCGTTTGTGATTTAAAGACCAAATATTGTGGACTTTGTACGTTGGAAGGAAGACTTGATTGTGACGTAATTACACAACATGGTAACGTGATACATGTATGGTATTTTTACCTATATAAAGTCTTTTCTGGGAACGAGAATGATAACCTGACTTGTCATATACACATTACAAGTCAAACGACTACAAAACATCCCTCAAAAGTGCATTTGATCAAACAAAATTGGATCATAGTCTATATTGAAGTTGATTCAATGAGTTGACCCCGTCGTGTTGCTAAAGTCTAGGGCCTGTACCCTAGTGAGAAAATATCGTCATATTGTCGAGAGTTTGTCAATTTTGTTCTGTTCAATCTGGTTTGATAGATAGCGACACAGTCAAGTCAGTACTTGAGTTGAGGACTAAATCAAACACGTTTTTGTACCCGTTTAAACACTACGATTAGATTTGGGACAACACACTCGCAGGCACTAGAGAAACTTTAACGCTGTAGTATTACAAACTCTCAGAGACAACACACAATTCGCAATAAAATTTATCATGATAAATACATATCAAATGTATAAGGATCTATGAAGAAATAACACACATACTGTAACTCATCACGTCCAATTCTCTTTCTGATAAACATACTTGAAAATATTCTGATATACAGACTCGTACTTTTTGGAATTTGGAATGGATATCTTTATAGTTAACGCTGTTGTTGTTGTATTATTAGTTTGTACTTGTATGGAAATTTGATTCGCAGAATGAATTATTAATGAGGACTATTTTGGGTTCAGCGTAGCTCTGACGTGTATCGCTTTCAATATAAAAAAAATGAAGATCTGAGTACCATGCAAGAAAGTCGCCATCTTTGTAACGTTTTTCTTTGCACAAGCATAAATATTTCTAATTTCATGTACGAATTGACCTGTGTGTAAACGAAACATTTTATTTCAGACTTTCCACAAAATTTACACTAAAATCACCACAATAATAGACGTAAAAGACTGCCAGTCGATGACTTACGACATCTCGATTCACAAGATTGTTGCAAACTGTTCACGATAGGAAGATGCAATTGAGATGACAGTCTTGACGGTTTACACGAGGTAAAAAGAGGAGAAGGAAGATCCATACAGATATTCATTACTGTTCTGTTGAATGGCTTGTTCTCTCTTCTTGCGAAAAGTCTTTTCCATCACTCAAAGTTTGCAAAAACGGAGTAACGTAAGTAATTCCACCATTGCGCTCCTCTCTCCATTCCATCATCACTCGACATTCGTGGAGTTTACTGGGAACAGGCAGGGATAATGAACGTGAACGTGGGATATAGTTTCCTAGATTATCCTGTGATGACACCCTCCTCAAGGTTGGGGAGGGTGTGTATCGATGAAGTCGACCACCTGGTCTCGTAGAGAGAGTCTGCTTCACCCCACAGGCCAGTATATCGTCTCTTGGTTTCCTAAGATCTCCTCTGCGAGACTTTGGTTGCTCGACGTGCCTCACCGAAGACTGACCTAAAGGACGAGCATTGAACGCTGGATGGAGACTACGGTTTGAGTCGTGCGAATGGCTAACGTTTAGCGTACTTGGAAGAGAAGTGCTGGATTTAAAACTTCTTTCGTTAAACGGAGGGTAGGTATGACGAAATACTTCGTCTGATTCGAAGTTTTTGGACACAGGTTCGCTACTGGAACGTCTGTGCAACAGATGTTCTGTATTCCAGAATTCTGGCGTCATTTGTAAACGTCTTCCTAATAACAATAGGTCTCTGTTATCCCTCTTTAAACCCAGACCTTTTCCTCGTGGACACGGCAAGGATTTATCGTGGTTATCAGAAACAACTCCATTTACTCTGCGAGAGTTCAAAGTTTCATTTTGCGAAGTTGTGGAGCTTCGAGATCTTTGATGCTGTTGTGGTGAGCCAGACATCTTTCCTGTGTTGTTAGTATTACCTTTCTCTGAGGTCGCAAGATAGCTAAATGACGATTCTACAGCCAACTGAGGATGAGATGTCATCAGTTTTTGAAGGAATATATTTCATGCTTGGCCCAGTCGCAGATCCTTCAAACACATTGCTTCTCGAATGCTCCATCTTGTCGCCTTGAGGGGACCTTCGTCCTTTTCTTTGTGATAAATGAGTCCGCGCGATATTTTTGGTTTAACAAGATCTTTCCGCGGGAACTACAAGATATCTGATACCACTGAAATAGCACATGAACCAAGCCAGACGTCTTTGAAAAGCCAACGAAGCTTTCTTTCAACATAAACAAACTCACAGTTTATGCTAGAATGTGTTTTGTTACGCACTTCTGGTTTATGTGCAATTGCACGGGCGAAGATACCTGTTATAAAAACCAACCAAAAAACCACATCATGTGAAAAATAATAACGTGGTCATTATTATTTTCGTTACATTGTAACACTTCAGTAAACTGTCTTTGCAAATATTTGATTTGCAACAATTTCACGATGCGACCCCAAACAAGCGTTTATATATATATTATTGTCTTCATCATGCAAGTGCAGAAATCTCACAATTTTTTCGTCATTAGCGAGTTGACACAGGCCGCGAAAGTTGGACAGTTTATAAAACACTTGGAATATTACATATACCACCAGCAACCACCCATTTAGTTACCGGCTTTTGCCTTCAAAATCTAATGCAGTTTCAATGATATCATCAAATCTCTTCATGCAATTCATCTCAGATGATTACGATATACACCATCACGGATAACAAACAAGCAAATCAATTATCTTTTTATACAAGCGGTGCCCGGATGGATAAATAAACGTGGGCGATGCTTGTTATTGAGGAAAATGGGAGAATATTTATGGCAGAAAAAGTTAATAATAAACCATTGTGGTTGGCAGTAATATAGGACGATGGATCGTGGTTGGCATGAGAGTAATTCAATTTTACATATATCGTGCTTGATTTTTTTAAAAAACTTTCTTAAAACCACGCAGATAGGTTTGTGACGCGGTCAAGTCTACCGCCCACCTTTTTCAATCTATGCTTGAATTTTGCAGCAGGAATTTAACAATGGTTTCAGTAATAATCTTGTGAAGCTTGTTTTAATAATCATATATGCAAGCGCTTCAATTATGCTCAAAGATTCCGATATTTCTATTGTGTTGTGCTTGGGAACAGTTTTTACAATAGAACCAGCAGCTTGGATAAATTAAACTTGACACAGTAGTCAGGCTTCCCTATTTGGTGTAAAAAATGGTAGTGTCTTTTAACAAACGTCTTCGACGGATATTTTGATCTTGCGATAGTTTCTTCCATCGAGGAAGCATTTATTTGAATATTTTAAGATATAAATCTGAGTATAACATTTAACTGAATATAAGCTTGCGTCTATATCGCCATTACAGTCTTAGTTTAGAAAACACTAATTCAATACAGACCAAAAATATTTATGGAGACGGTGTCTTTGTCACAAAGCACCTACCATTGCAGTAGATAATCGTAAGTCATCATCTACTGACTTACAAAAACTTTAAAACTCACGGTCTACACAGAGGTCATCTCACCCTTCCGTGACGCTCCACGCTTCACACCACATTTCCATGAAATCTGTATTCACTCCATCACGCCACTCACACGAGAGATTACGAGAAATCCAAGGAATTATGTGAAATCCAAACCAATATGCTCTCTCTCCTCCTCAGATGAAAATGCACTCGAATCACTCTCATCGTCATCAAAGGGCTTGGGTTCAACTTTAATTTTTTCCTTCGTCAAAGTTGTCGAGATTGGAACTCCTAAAAACAAATTCAACTGTTGTGGCAAAAGAAAACTGGATAATTTCGAATGATTACCCTTCGAATGGGGTTATTAGTCGACTCACTTGATTGATTCTTTTCGTTCTCTTCATCAGATCCTGAATCAGTGTCCCACCGGTCAAAATCGACACTCAAGAACGGTGGCTACAATAAGAAAATAAACATTTATAACAATTTATTGTAACTTAACAGAAACACTTCCTAAAAAAACATTTACCTTCTCAGGAGATGAGAGAAGTCGTTGCCAAGTAACACACTGGGATTTCTTTAGAGTCACCAGCACCTCAGATCCTCGCACATCAACTTTACTTTCCTAAAATCATAATAACAACGACACATTGATTAAACTAAACATTTTCATTCCTAAAGGTTTACAAAGCACAATACTTACTTTAGGATTAACTTCGGCAAACAATTCCAAGTTTAATTCGTATAGTTTTCCCATATGATTTGTCCTGTATAAAAAACAAACAATATTCACAATCCTGGCATCATTTTGTGTCTAGCTTAGGACTCATACACCAAGCATTTACCTGAAGTGAAGAGACTTCTCTGTAATGTTGACCTGGTGACGATGGACGCCTCGCAGTTTGATAGACAAGGACACAAAGCGTTTCGTTTGAGACCACATTGTCATTGGATGCACAGCAGGAACACCACTGGGGAAGCTGAAAAAAAATGTAATCACTTGTAACTGTCGTGAATATGGACACATGAAGCTTGAATAACCCACCGAAGCTAACGTCAACACATTATTGTCAACCCAGCAAAGCTAACGTCAACACATTATTGTCTTTAGAAAACTTACACATCGATATTATCTTCCAACAAAGGTAGATCATCATCTGAGGTTACGACACCATTCACACCCTTGCCGTTGGCTTGAGCTGGCTTTCGTTTCTTGGTTACGGATATTGGCTTGCATTTGATTGGTTCTTGAAGTGGTGACGTGATAGACGAGGCTTCGACCAGAGGAACGTCAGGTGCTCGCCCCAGGAGACGTTGTATAAGGTTGCGACACGTGCGACGAGTATCGAATGGAAGTATTCCTTCATTATCACCCAATCTAAATGATGTTGGAAGGAAACAGAGGCGATAATGGCTAAAATAACATTAACTTTCTTTGCATAATCAAACCATGCTTACCTCAGCAGTGAGTTCTACACTAGATCAATTTTCTCAAAATTAAGTTGTTTACAATGAATATTCTATTATCACCTTCGCATCAGATCAATTATTCCCAGCCGACGCATGATCTCTCGATTTTCATCATTATAACTGGACAGCGTTTTGAGAGAGCAAACTGCGTTTTGTATGATCTAGTGAAAGCACAAGCACATGAAATCATGAGACAAGAATAAGAAGGGATCAAGTCAAGCTTCAGGTTCCTGAAATTTGCCTACTTTTTCGTCTTGACTGGTCCTGATTAAGTCACAGATTTTCTCGATTCCTCCTTCTTTTCCGATAAACATTTTATTCCTAGAATTAAAATGCAAGAAATGAAAAAACAAAGTGACTGCTCACCGCGAGAAGGAGTTCAAAGCCCCTCAAAGCTTCTCACATCCAGTTGAAGAACAATCCAATTCAATCTAACATATGTACCTTGTATTGTGAGCCAACATAGATATCGCCCATATCACATACTCTAGCACAGAGTTACTTCTACTTTCCAGAAGTTTTAGTAATGTTTCCAGGCCTCCGGCCTCTCTGATGGCGTCACAGTTGCTATGACAACCAGAGAGTAGACGTGAGTCAGTGAAAGAAGGATTTGTACGAAGAGTAAAACAAAGCTTACTTGTTATTGTCTGAGCAAAGGGAAACAACTGCCCAACAAATATTTTCTTGAACCTAATAAAGACAGTGAGAAGAAACTGGAGATTCACTCAGAAAGCAAGATTTATCAAGAGTGCTGGCAGACAGACTTACCTTCTCCTGGTCTGTGTTAACCAGAAGATCACAAAGATTTTTTATGCCGCCAACTTCTCGCATAGCATCGCGATTTCTACAAGGAATAATGTTTTAGTAAAGAATATGTTGATGTACCACACGATCCACGAAGAGAACTGCGTGGACGGTGGACATCTCAAGCAGTTTTATTTTCACCTTTCACTTGTCGCTAGAATTCTGATCGCCCAAGCCGTGTCTTCCTGAAGTTCCACGTTCCTCGCCTCATGAGAGAAAGATGAAGAAATGCTCATGAAACTTGTAAGTTGTCAATCTATGTTTATCATAGTCAAACGTGTTTACCTTGCCCAGAAAATCACACAGTATTTTTAAACCGCCTTCACGTCGGATCTCTTCACAGTTTCTATAGAAATGGACGGCAAAACCAGGTGAATGCAAGCGTTTTACTAAATAATATGGCACAGGGCAGACCTAGAACTGAATGTTCAACAGCTGAGGGGTGGAAAGTGGACACATACAACTCGTTCTGGGTGGCCAAGCGCGACAAAGCATTAACGATATGTTGTTGAACTGCTTCATGCTTGATTAAACCAAGTAGCTGACATATACAGCGAACACCACCGCTTTCTCGTATGTCATCTTTTCTCCTGTAAAAAATGACGATGCACTTTGATTAGATCACAGAAACTGCCTTTGCTGTAGATGAGAGAGAGTACTACCACTTTCTACTTGGACAGAAATATTAAAAACAGAGTAAAATAAAGAAGCACACTGACTTAACACTTCCAGAAACGATGTTCTTAATTTCTTGAGCATAACGTTGTTTTGTATTAGGATCCTAGCGAAAGATTAATTCATGTCTTACGTCATTTCAAGAGAACTAAGAACTTCATACAAAGCTTTTAACTGGACTAACCTCCTCTCTATACAGCTTTAAACATAATACAGGAATCTCTTCATATGGCTCCTATATAGAAAGACGTTGGGATTCAGATATTTACATCATAAACAGGGAGTCTTTCATCGTATGTGAATGAAACTTCTACTGAATGGATTGAACCATGATGGGTGAACAAACCTTAGGGTGTCCTGTGCTATTTGACTCAAAAGCTTCTGGAAACAAGGTCTGGGGAAGCGAGATAAAGCGAGGTTATTTCGTTCATGGAATGTGGTTAACTAAATCATGGGATGACGAGAGCGCAATAAACGCAATCATAAACATTGTCTGGGAGACGAAACTAGTTAACTAAGAGTAAACCTAGGATTTTAGTGGGAAATTTGTCACTGTCTCTTCCACACGAGTTTCGCGAGTCTGGAAGAAGAATTAGAAGATCTCAGCAGAGAATGAAGATGAGATCATTCGTTTTTACTCACTTTGAGATATTGTATGGTCGCCTGTGCGTGTCCAGCGGTCACCAACTCGTGGTTCACAAGTACGTCACGTTCCGTCGACGTATCGCACAACTCAATACCGAACCTGGATGTCCCCGCCAACACAGCAGAGGTCTTTGACTTCACCTGTGAACACAAAACACGGTGATTAGAGTTATACTGGATCTATCAGCTCACAAATGTTTACCAAACGATCAATTCATCTTTCATTACCTTCGCAAACAGTAATTTATCTTCCACTAAATTCCACAGACCCTCAGCGTCATCGTCTGCCCATTCAGCGCCTGAAATTGAACAAAATGTTTTGCAACGGAGAGAAGAACAACAAACAGTTCATATGAAGAGATCTCGCACATACCAACTGGACTAATATTGACAAGACTGCACTCTATCGCTTGGAAGGGAAACTAAATGAGAAACAATATAAGCCGTTGCAACAGCAACTTCATATTTGAAGAAATACGAGGATAACTTTTCATCTTATTATCCAATAATTTGCAACTAGAATTAGCATTGAGATTGTAACAAAATCCATCGAACAGAAAATGGTTTTTACCTGCAAATATTGAGGACGCATTGCAGCAATTCTATCCTGTGTTATCCACTCTCTATCCCCATAGTCTACGAAAAATACATCATATTCCCTCTCTGGTCTGATGCTGAGTATTTTTGCCCGATACCATCTTGAGAAAAGACAAATTAAACAATGCGAGTACCTTTCTGGGAATCAACCTTAAAAGACGAGAGTGTTACAATATTTTCCAAGCTTTCGGGGCCCAGTTGCAAAACAAGATTGAAAGAATTGCCCTAGACATATTTTCCACGAAGGGACGATCTTATAGATCTTTTAAAACAGCTGGAAACGATTGAGGTAACCATTAAGTGTAGCTTGAAAAATGCACCTTTCATCGTCCGCAAATTTGGCCAAACACAATGAACCGATGCTAAACTCCTCCTGGCGTTCCAATGTTTGTTTTTTAAAATCATCATTGATTTGGTCAACCAGGTCTTCTAGGCTGAAATACAAGAAGAATGACATCATTTTGTAACCCTGGTAACGACTGAATCAACGACAATGCCTCGTCGTTTAAACCTTTCAACACACCTGTTGGAGTTCGCATCAAGCCGAACAAAAATCAGTCCAGGATTGGATATTGCAGAAACTTTAACCATTTCGTAGTCTTGTTCAGGTAAACAGCATGTTTGTATCTGCTCAGAGCATGAAAAACTAAAGAGAAGATCAATAAATTCAATTTCCTGTGTTTTATCATGAAAAAATCTACAGCGTTGAAGCAAACCTTTCAGAGTCCTCGCGTCCTGTTAAATAGTTAGCTTGAATAAATGATGTAAAATGTTTCTTTAGGTTTCCAACATGCTTAAACAATGAAAAAATCGAGTGAGACGAGTCCTACTGAGTCCACTTTCCACTCTATGGATAAAGTTATCATAAATCGTTCTTGTTTAAGTGAAACCACTCACCTCTTGGTTGGGCAAAGCAAGACCTTTCTTCAACAAATCAAGACGAACGTTAAATACATTTGTCATCACGTTAATTTCCTTCAAATGCTCTTTGGCAACCAAAGGATCGAGCCAGATCGTATTCCTCAATCTTTGTTAAAAAAAAACATATCAATAAACTATAAAATCAATTTTATAAACGATAAGATTAAAAACAATTCACAAACAGCGTGATGCAATATTATACCCCATAATCACTTTTCCTTCAAGTTCTTTTCCTTCAATATGTTGTTTAACGTATCTGACAGCCTTGGAAGGAATATTTTGAACATTTCACTCAAAGAACAGAAGATGCTGCAAAATATTACATTATCAAAACACTGACCTTATTCGTCCAGTTTTTGTCGTTATCCAAAGGTTTTATTCTGCACACGTACGCCTCAACAGCCTTTGAATTGAATCACAAAAATACACTTTTTATATGACATTGTGAGGTCGTTGTGAGTGGAGTCAATAGGGAAAATATGCTCGAAAACTGTATTGAAATCTCAGCCTGTTATTGCTAATCTCGTCAAGCTCTACCACAAGAGGAATGGAGTCATTACTCACCTGATATGGAATATCAATAAACTGTGGAGCGATTTCAAACAGATTGAAGGACGGAATATTTTCATAAAAACCGCGATCAATAAAATAAACCTGGACTTCCATAGCTCTGTTTGTCTCCGGATCCTGGCGTGTTACTTCAATAATTTTTGCTCTGAATGAAAGAATATTATACCAAGAAACATTGAATTATTAGTACATAAACCATTCATCTATGGTTCATGCAATCGGGCAAGTTTCTTGGCTACACTACAAACACTGACCTATAATACGACCCTTCACTTTCAACAACACAAAGTCTTTGACGTTGTATTCTCGAACAAACATGGCGGTTTTGCGGATCTGTGTACACGCTGTTTAGATCCAGAGCTAATTTAAGAAAAGTCGCTCCGCTGTAATAATTGTTGACTTCCTGTCTGTCGCTATGATGTTCCAGTATTCTCACGAAATAACGTGAGCCATCCACTACGGCCAGGATTAATACCTACATGAAAATGAAAACATGAAATTCCTCCGCAAATGTTCACATTTAAGGTACGGGATACTTCAAGAAATCATGTCACCGCCGTTCAGAAGTAAACACAAACCTTAACGATTCCAGATTTAGGAAGAAGAACAGACACGTCGACATCATGGAAGACTGTGTGGCGACCTTTGCATTGCTGAAGATCTCTAAAATCATCAAATTTTTATCACGGTTGAGGAGTTTCCAATAAAAGTAGTAGTCTGCAATAAGCTAGCATGGTTTGTGGATGAACTACATGAAAACCAAAGGGTGCAAACCTGCACTGTCCAAACGCTTTCAAACAGGTACACAAATCATCATTTTTTCTTCCCTCTTCTTTTTCCTAGGCCATAAAACACAGACAGAATTAAACCACAAAGATCCGAACAACGGCAGATTCTTGTATCTTTTTGTCTCAGAAAGCCCTGTCACGTTTACGGCAACCAAAGATAATCAACTGAACAAGTTACGTCGTTACGAACCTTGTATGCAATTTCGCAAACTTTCTCCAGTGTTGGTGGAACAGGACTGCTGGATCTGACCATCAGTTCCTTGATACCACGGGCGCAAGCAGTCGAGCACTCTGTTCCAATCGTTAGTGACAGACACTCTCTCGCCTATACCAAAAAGATCCATTAATAAAACCCACACTGCATGGAATTCCAGGCTGTGTATTCTACAATAAGCTGCCGTGGCTTGTGTCTGAACTATCTGAGAAAGATATCTCAAACGTGGTGGTCAAGTGTAGGTAGTATTCTACAATAAGGTAGCCTGGTTTACCTTAGAAGAAATCACATGCTTACCTTTGTACTTGGGTAAGATGCTGCCATGGCGAACATACGTTTACCAAAGACTTTCTTCGTTGGTGCAAACTCGTAATGAATAACAAATGTCGCAGTTCTGATGTTAACTTTGTCGATAACACCATCTGTCATAACTGAACATTCATGTCAATTCAAATGTGATTCTCGCCGTGGTCAAGCAAAGACAACTTACAATAAAATAATTAATCATGAAAGGTTTTAATTTTACCTAAAATAAGTGAAGAATCACAGCTGTGAGGTGTATTCCATTTTTTTCGAACTTCAGTTAACTGTTCAGGCCAAAGAAACTCGTGAGCCATCAAAACTACAAAGCTGTAGTGTTCAAGCATTTGCCCCAGACGTTCAGCAGCTTTGGCAGTTGAAGTGAAGATAACTATCTCGTGGTCGTTGTTCAGGGTATATTTATCCAACAAACCTGATAAAGAAAATAGATCATTGTAAAAGAATAACTTGTATAAAGACGTGGTACATACCCTATTTTTCTTGAGTAATACTGAAACAAGAAATAGCAAGAAGTACCAAATTCAGTTCAATCAGAATTCACAGACAAACTAACGTACTTAATAATTCCGTCTCTCTCTTGTCCGAGGAAACGTAGTTCACAATCTGACGAACATTACAAAACATCGCTGCCTCAATCTGGTTGGCAATAAAGATCCATGGATTTCCAAGATAAACCCTTACGAGGGAGCAAACCCCGGTGGACCATTTGTTTCCTAAAACTACACATTGCCTTGGTGCAATACGATCTGGTTGTGAGTGAAGGAGAGCTGAAATATAAGAATAAAAGTCATTTTAGGTTTCCTCCTGTAGTAACACTGGTTCAATAAGATATGATCCTTACTGGACCTCTAGGAAGAACAGTTTAGAACTGTGGATGAACATAATTTACCGCCAAACTCCCTCATAAATTGTTTGACATTCTCAGTTTGTTCCTCAACCATGACATCAGCATCATCAAAGACAACATGACATAATCTATCCAATCTCGTGACCTTCTTCTTAAGCATGCGCAGAAGACAGGGGATAGTGGCGACGAGGACTTCACAACCATTAATAAGGCCTGGGATGCATTCATCCTCAGCCCCGGCGCCAAATATGATCTGGGTACGAATATTTTGCACGTTCTTCGTTAGCTTTCGACATTGCTCGTAAACCGTCGTGGCTTTTTGCCAGCCTTTGCATAAGACCAATGCAAGAGCCTGAAATGAAATAACATTAATGACTTTAATACTACAAGGCAATTTCGGGCAAAAAAGAAATTTTGAGGAATCCCTTTAAACCAGTTGTTGGAAGACGTCGCTCCTCAACTTACCCCATTTCCTAAAGGCACTTCAGAATACGAGCCTGGTTCAGCCAACTGTGTAATGATTGGCGGGAGATAAGCCATCACGTTCTCTGAACTCTTCTCCGGAATCCCAAACACGTCACGACCGCGCAATATTGCTGGCCAAATACTGGCCTGGAACGAGCTAGGTTTGACCACGCACACGTCACGCAAGCTTCGCAGAATACTTGCAGGAAATCTCTGTGAGTCAATCTCAGCCAGGGGGGGAGGCATTTCCACTCCATGAACTATGATGTCATCCCTCACCTTACAAAGTTCTGGGTCAGGCATGGGTAACGATGGAATTCGTGGAGACTTTTTCGGACTGGTAGAGATTGATGGAGTCTTGACATGTTGTCTCTGGATTGTTGGGGTAGATGGTCCTTGATTATTTTGGATATGTTGAGACATATTTTGTCTGGTTTGGATAGGTTGGTACTTGCTTGTATTGTCAGGGCTTTCGGAGGCACTACTGGGATATCGACTGATAGAAGAGGATTTGGATTCATAGTTAGGGATAGATGGAGCAGCACCCGAGGGTAAACGCTGAGATGGTGATGTATTTCTAAGACTATCCAATGATTGAACCATACTATTATAAGCAATAGGTGATGGCAAGGGTTTAGTTTGGGATTGATCCGGAGCTTCTGTGTGCCCAAGTGAGCCGATATCCTGCCGAAAATCCTGCCGAAAATCCTGCCGAAAATCCTGCTGGACTGAATTTGTGGACTTGGCCAGAATATTGGACTCGTTCATGTGCATGGTTGAAACAGCTGGAGTATTCGGTAGTTGCTTTATCGCTGATTTGTGTTCAAAACTACTTTGTGAGACACATTCTGATCCTCTCTCTGGAAAACTCTCGTGTTGATCACGAGGGAGGTTTGAGGATAGTGGTTGATAATTGGTTACATTAGGGTACTCTGATGTATTGCCAGGATTATATTGAAATTGTCTGGGTGGTAAATTTTGTTGTTGACCAAGAAGAGGACCAGTAGATTGTGGTTGAGTTGGGGGTACATTTGATGTGCTTTTTGGGCTGTATTGTGATTGTCTTTGAGGGATACTTTGTTGATAGGTAGGGATACTTTGTTGATAGGTAGGCACATTAGTAGGATACTCAGAAGTCGTTCCTGGGATACATTTTGTTTGCGTTGGTGAGGGACGTGGGTGCTTTACGTGACTCTGAGATACACCAGTGGGTGATACACCAGGTACATTCGAGTAGACGGGTGAGGGTAAGGAGTTATACTGAGATTGTCGCTGTACGGTACTCTGGGGGACAACGATGGACTGTGATTGACTATTTGATACAATTGGGTATGGAACGTTGTTCGTTGGGATGTTTCCGCTCTGAGGCATTCTTGTAGCGAGATTTTGCTGCAGTTGACTGTAAGGACCAGCTGTGGATTGTACTGGACTAACAGGGTGTTGAGAGACTTGAGAGGCTGACACAGGAACATTTTTGGATAGTTCAATAAAAATGTTCTTATTTGGTCGTTGATTATGATGGATTAGTCTTGACTGTGGTTGATTAGAAACGATGGACATCGAGGGATTTCTTGCGGTATTTTGGGATACATTTTCATACGTCGAGAACGATGAACTATTATGAGAATTTAGGGAAATATTTTGGCTCGAAGCGTCAGGTTGATGGCGGGGAGGATGAGACAAGGACGAAGCCGATGATGTTGGCGCTCTTTCTTGCGAGAATGACGGAGCAGATGGCGGTTTTGAGCTCGAAACATTTTGGATGTTTCCTGCCATGAGATGACGTTGTTGATTAAAAGAAGACGCAGCCTGGTTAAACATAGTCTGAGACTGATTCTGGCTATTCTGAGGTGCAAAACCTGCGCTTGTCATGTTCTGATAAGTCTCGTTTGGTCTTGAATATCCAGCAGAAAGAGCTTGAGACTCGCTTGGAATACTACGTGAAAAAGATGAACCCACGGGTGATACATGTTTAACTGTGGAAGTGGATGAATACGGGTTCTGAACTGTGGAAGTGGATGAATACGGGTTCTGAACTGTGGAAGTGGATGAATACGGGTTCTGAACTGTGGTAGTGGATGAAAACGGGTTCTGAACTGTGGAAGTGGATGAATACGGGTTCTGAACTGTGGTAGTGGATGAAAACGGGTTCTGAACTGTGGAAGTGGATGAATAAGGGTTCTGAACTGTGGAAATGGATGAATACGGGTTCTGAATTGGAGGAGGATGGAAGTTATTCTGAAAAGGCTGTCGTGAAGATGTCACGTTTTTTTGATCATTTGAGAAACCAGAGCTGGTAGGAGCCGAATGATAACCAGAGGTGTTTTGGCCAGAACTTGGATATTGACTTGAAGAAGTTTCATTCGGATTCCGTTGATTCATCGTAGAAGGATGTCCACTGCTTGGATAATGTGGAGTGGCTGAATTCATCTCATTCTGTCTTGTTAAACTCGCGCTAAAGTTCGGCTCATTTCTACGACATTGCTGCCCGCTTGGAGCAGCGTAGTTTTGAACCATGTTTTGAGATTGATTCTCAAAAGATGTGTTTTGAGCAGAATACATTGTCGTTTCTCCTGCAGGTCTAGGCAAGTTTTTCTGGTTGAAATAATTTTGGTTTAAATTCTGATTGTACGGCTGATGGTCATAGGTATTGTTGTTTGAACGGACATCTTTATATTGGGTGGTTGGGGGAACATTTTGATCATGAGCTGACACAGAATTAGGAACCAAATTATCATCTTTCAGAGGCCGTGATGTTGAACCTTGATGGTGACTGTTCCTCTGGAAATCTTGAGTGGAGAGATACGAATTCTGGTTATTGGTCGAGTTTGCATCTTTAGTGAGCTGGAGTAGGTTGATTAAGACGCTGTGGCAATGTTCTTTGTTGGTACAAATCTTTCTGGCCTGGGTCCTCGCTACTGGAATAACCACTAGAGTTCTTCAAAATTGGTTTGAGTTGCGAGGCTTCAGCTTTGGATGGCTGGCCATCGCTTGTACCAGTAGCAGGGAGACGAGCTGACATAAAACGTACTTTATTGCGATCTTCATTGTTTGTAAAACTTTGCATTCCTGAACCTTCGCTACGAAATCCTTTGACGATGTTTGACCGTTGTTTTCCTAACTCGTTTCCACTTCCCTGGGCACTTCCCTCACTGTCATCAGACCAGGTAAATGGTTGGTATTTAATTTTTTCTTTTTGACTTGAGTTGGGTGAAAAATCACTGTTCAATGACACAGAATTTTGTATTTTCTCTCTCATTTTTTTAAGCTCTTCTGAAAAGGTGTCTTGCGAACAATCTTGATATGAAGTTGCTGAAGTTTTGTCTAAAAACGAAATTGCAAAAGAATAAAGAAGTCCAAATGAATTCCATGTAGAGGAAGCAAGGTATGTTTTACATGATATGATAAGTGATATTATAATGATTGTGGAGTGATGATTAGTATTACCCACCCCCCTGGACCCACTTCCCTGGACCCTGCTCTGCCAAAGATAATATCCCCACCTTTCACTGCCAAATTACACTTTACAGTTGTTCTAGTACTCAAAGTAATGAATATTCAATAGGGTTTGTACCTGGATGATCATACTTTGACTTTGCAAGTGTGGCATATTCATTGTTCACAAGCTCATCGTTTAAACAAATCTTGATTACAAAAAGAAATTTAGGGTTACTTTAATGAAAAGTTAATGAATTAAGACAAAGCATATGCAGTTATTTAAATCACAAACCATTGTTTCGGATCCCAGAGCAAACAACAGAACATGATGAATGCCATCATCATCAATATTCTTGACATCAATTTGAAGAGTAAAGCCTTGAGAGAATGAAACAGGCCATGAGAAATAATTCTAAGAGTTACAGATATCTAGAAAGTTAATGAATCTACCATGAATTTGTTTCTCAAGCCATTCTGTTGCTGAGGTATCCCATGTGTCACCAGGCCTGAAAATTGTTTGCACGTCATATTTAATTTAACTTCTTGCATTGGTATAATTGTCTTAGGCATCCTCACAGATCCCTGATCAAGTCATCTTAAGAAAATGCGCATCTAAAGAAAATGCGCAGCTAAATTCCTTTTAATTCACTTACTGCTTTTTAGTTGTGAGATCAAAATATGAGGTGACCAATGTTAGAGGTTTTAATCCTGATAAAACACACTCCATTGTTTGATAAGGAACCTTAAGAAATTCATCTGGGATCTGTTGTACCCTAGAACATGAATTGATATTAACTACAGTTTAGGCAAATGAAATGGTTAAATAATAGCTCATTGAGAACTTGTGTAAAGCAAAAATATACCAAATTCCTGGCACCAGGGTTCTTTCACCAAGATCAACCAGAAGAACTCTAAATCAAGAACACTATCTGTTACATTTTGTCTGAGAGTGTGTTGCAATGAAAAAACATTGCTGCAACCATTTGTATATACCTACCTGGTTTGAGGCCCATTGATTGTTTGAAAAATACTGAGCACTTTAGCACGATACCAACATCTATCTGAGGTCCGCTTTACCAAACATATCTAATCGCAAACCATAATGAAGACAAATGAAACTACCCATGACTTGTTTTACACTGTGGCAATAGAAATCCGCAACCCTATCTAACCACTTTGACCCTACCCAAAGACCCGAACTTAATCCCAACTACTGTATATAATCCAAGCCCACATGTCAAAGAGAATCTAATAAAAATCGTAAGTAAAACACTAGTGTATCATACTTCTCCTTTTTGGGGAATTCTGCTTTTCTCATTGCGTGATTGCTTCTCTGCTTTGTCACAATAATCATTGATTTTACCAATCAACGTATAGTAACTCTCTGCTTCTGTCCTATTTCTTGATGAGGGTTTACACCAGAAGTGACCAGCATCAACAATCTAAACAATACCATTCATTTTTAGTTTGAAACCCAGCCTGAGTCAACGGCGATGTTTATTATTTTTGTCTTGCAGAACCATACAGTCCATCACAACTGTACATAAATAACAAATCTAACATCATAGTTTGTCATGCACCAGCACTACCATTTCACTAAATAACAAATAATTGTGATACGCAAATAATACAATCAGCACCAATTATTTATATTTCTAGCACACTGTTACAATACTTATATCTCATCATACCTTGTACACTTCAACCTCCAACATTTTCAAGCGATCAAGAAAGATACGCACATTTTATTCGGCTTGTTTCTGCAAAAAAGGCAATGTTGAACGCACATGTGTTTACCTCGAGAACACCATGCTCCATGAGCCCTCAAGAACACGATCACTCCAGTACTTGATGTTGTATTGATATCGACTGGACCACACCCAATGATCTTCTGGTTTGTGGTTACACAAACAAGAGAAATCCCTACATCCCATCCCACGGGCTCGGCCAGGCAGTCGTAAAGCTTTAAAGCTATCTTACCTCAAGGTTGATAGAATACTGGTTGACTTTCGTGACTATACAATGCAAGTTTTTTTGTTATCATAGTATTAATCTAGGCTCAGTAATACAAGATCATTAAGAGATGATCCTTACTTCTAGACCTCTAGGAAGAAGAGGCTAAAGCAGATAGAACTATTTAGGATAAAAACTGGATCAATAAGTGGTGATTCTTTCTTCATCTTTGGGTAAATTCATCAGTAGTAAATTTCCACCGGATGACAATAGAAGTACGTCGAAATCTTTTTTCACTAAATTTGAATTCCGTTTTACCGGGTAATTTAAGGAGAGGAAGTTAATTTTAAAAATGGTTCTTTGTTGTTCTTTTTTTGGCATCTCGCTACATCGAATGGACTCTTTCATTAGTTCTTTTAATCGGCTTCTGACTAAAATATGTCAGTCTCGATCAGAAATACCTTACCTTGAAAGGAACATTTAAAAACGAACAAGGAAAGCTGACTAAAGCAGACAAATGGAATTTAATCGCTCCCATAAAACATCTCAAAATGTACTTTAAATAACCTTATCTTCAAAATCTCGCCAATTTTCCTGTCATTCAAAGGTATTTAAGCTCTCATTCAAGAACGTTATCTAATTCAATAACTAGTCTGTCTGTGAAGAATGCTGTGTAATATTCAGGAGCAATACCGAAGTCGAATGCGTTGAGCATTGAGCAACGTTTCCACGAGATATCTTGAACACCGTTTCTGCGAACAAGGATTAACAAACTAAGGTAAGTTTTGATCATTAAATTGCTGTAAAATAGGAATAGCCAGGGTTGATATTTTGACAAGGGAGTTAATGGTGGCGTGGCGTACAAGCCATGTGTTGTTCACTTCTTCGAGTTGAGGTTAACTTCATCAAACACTAATGAGGCAAACAAACTTCGGTGGGTAGAGTCTCTTCCTCTAGTAACAACTGACTAACTCAAAGAGCTTTTAGACCCTCGCCTAGAACGGAATTTTGATCGGATTTTCCACTCAGTTGCCCCTACAAAAGCTCCTCTGTGGGGGTGGTCCTTCTCTGGCTTCATCGAGAACAGATTAGAACTTGTGATTTGGGCTAATAAAAAAAGCTTAGTGAATGTTTCTTTTTCCTGTAAAAATACCGACATACATTAATGAAGAACTAAATCGCCTAAACAGCTTTCAAAATTATTCAGCAATGGACAAAACCAAATGTTATTTTCTCGTGAACTATTTCAAATTAGTGGCATCTGGTTTGCTCAAAACGTCAACGTTTGCAAAAAGTTGGCGATGTTTCCGAAGGAATGTCACTCAAGTGGGAGGTCATGAAATCAGACACCGTGAGAATTGATGTGAACAAAATGTGGCTTGCAAGATAAACATTTTGATATTTTAATGTTTCAGTATGACAACATTATATAATGGATAAGTTAATGGAAGTTCTTTAAAGAAAAAACATACATTATTAGATTTCTTCAGTTAACTTCATCTCCTGTGGTCACAACTCGCAAAACTGTTTTTTTCTGAAGTTCCAGTAAATCCTTAATCCATCTCTTATTGAAGTAGTGTTACTTCGGGAAGAAAACTGGGCGATAATATAAGTTCTATACTTGATATTTCTATATGATATAACTCTATCAGTTCTAAACTGCTCTTCCTGGAGGTCCAGTAAGAATCATTACTTATTGATCTGGGCTACACAAACTTTATTATTCCTGGATCGCTTTCGCTGTCTTCTGCAATTATCGAGCTGATTACGCCACTGGACATAAAATGTCCTGTATAAATGTCGTATTCTTACAATGTGAAGCAAACAGGGCAAAGTAAAAAACGTTTACAGGAAATAGACTGACGTGAACACAACAATCAATCAACATGATAAGAGCTTGCAAGAATTTGAGTGGTTCAAATCTTAAAACGAACTCTCATGTCCTCCGGCTCCATAGTTATTACACCATGCACTGATATCTCTCATATATTATATATATAATGTGCATTGGAAGTTGCAGGTGTTGTAAAGTATTGATCCCCACAAAGATATCTCATACAAACAAGATTACTCTAGTGTTTGATTGAATGGCACGTGCCATTAGATTGACATTAACAATATACAAAGAATTGAAAAATTAATAATAAATTTGATAATAAAGCGTGTATTATGTTTAGCTAATGACATATTGAACAATGCCTTAATCAAGTTTTTTTGTTTAAAAGCAAGCTTCTTTTTCAGTACTTCCCAGACAGCTTGGCCGGTGTTTTCAATCGCAGTTTTATAGATGATATTTCAGTAATCTTCTTTCAAAAAAATATATGAATTTGAAAGACTATGGATTAGAGCATTGTCTTACAAATATAATCCTCATATAAAACAGCATTTCATTTGATATCTTCATCTGGTTTAAAATTAAACATAGAGTTTCCACTTTCCTAAATCGAGACTAACTTTACTCACAGAAATTCAGATTGAGTCAACCTTGAAATATTTCTTACTTTCTTCAACGACGATACAGTTGAAAACAACCTGTGATACATGAACATGTTGGAAATACACCGCAGTTGGAAATTCAAATCTATTTAAGTTTGCCTATATATTAAAAATAATGTGCATGTGTTATCACTGCATGGTTTAACCATATTTAACCATCACAGAGGAGACTAAATAAAGCGGTTAGATACGTGTTTAAATACATCAAAGCCTTATTAAAACATCTGGTTAAAATTGAGAATGCATGACAGTCTCAAATTAATGAACATGTACAAGTTTTGTTTGATGGAAACTATCTGCCGTTGCTTCCGAATTGATTTTTGCAAAGATAAGGCATTGTTAAATATGATGATTCCAACGTGAATCGACAGTAGACAAATCACTCTTTTTTTATATGGTTTTCTATATACGACATGTGAACATAGCGAGCTAAAGTCGATGGTTTCCGAAATAGTTCTGCGCATGCGAACGCCAAATATACGTACAATGAGCAGGCTCATCGCGGCGCAATTTGCATTGATAACGGCTTCCAATCCAACCACTAGCTACGATGTGTGCCCAATTAGGAACAACCCGGTCCCCTTACATACAACATTTCATATTCGCGTATTGTCAGTTGTAAAACATCAATAATAAATTAAATGAAAATCGCGTTACTTGAAAAACCACGATGACTGCTGTATTGATCTTCATTGATGGCAAGGCCACGCAAGCAGCGAATTCCTAAAAAGTTAACTATCGATCACATTTATCGAAATCAGTTGCGTTCAGTCATATGCAGAAAATGTGACTCAGTCTTCCAAGATACAAATGCATCCAGATTTGGTAAGCATCTTAGATTTTTTTTCGTTTTAATTTTGTGACGTACGTCAGCTCTGAGTCAAACGCAACGCGCAGAGCACAGCTGCTTACAAACACACATACACACGCTAGAATGGTCGCAATTAAAAACCGAAGTGTGTTCGCAATAAGGAAATTGTTACATACGGAATAAATTTTTCTCAGTTTTGCATTCCCTCGGCTCAATTCAACAGCAAGTGCGTGCATTTGTAAAATCTAACAAGTTTCCTACTAAAATAACAGGATTTGATAATAAAGGGAAGTCTGACCAATGAAAAACGTTTATTAATGCTATTTAAATGAAAGCTAAACGATACATTGAGGTTATATTTAAATTAGTAGTTGCAAAAATATCCTTTGTCTGGGGGTGAGTTTGAATACGGTCTTTGATTTTCCTAGGGAGGTAACTTGCAACAAAGATAAAAGATTCAGATGACAATCAAAGTTGACAAGCCAGGTCCCAATAGAAATGCAAATTGAAGTGTTGCGGATAAAATGAGTCGCTGGAAGGGTTAGGACCGTCTCTATCACGCTGCAGCTGGAAGACGGAGGCAAACGCTGAACCTCAAAAATGTCTTGGTTATATCTTGGTTATATTATTGCATTTCTCCTGTTTTCAATGGAACTTCAACCTTTTAGCGCAGTAGATTACAAGCTGGATGGAGATTCTTATATAACCTATATTCCTGCTGCAGAATTTCCAAAAACTACCTCGACAATTCATATGCTTTTTCGAACTGCTGAGAGCTTTGGAGTCTTGCTTCACGCACGAGGAACAAACGATGATTTTATTACGCTGGAGATTGTGAGAGGAAAATTGAGGTAAGAAATGATATATTGCTTTGGCGTCTACAGGACTAATCCTTGTTCGGTTATATTTCATTCATCAGTTTTGGTTACTTCACAAGACCTCTTCTCTGTGAAATGTGCTTTTTTCATTCTCTTTTTTTTTCCATCCACATCATGCAAAGTTGAATTTAAACATGAGAAAAGTGAAATGATATTTTTTCAACAAATTTATTAACACGCGACTGTAGTACACACTTTTTAATACGAATCTTTCTCGCCTTCTTAAACGCCGATTGCCGCTTCGGCAATTTGACAATTTACATTTTGACAATTGCTCCATCGTTTGATGCAAAGAAAGCGTCGAGGTTTTAGTTAAACGAGATACTGAAGTTCGTCCAAAGCCATGCCTAATTAGTTTTGTGGTTTTTAGTGAAATTTTTAATAAATATATATATACATTCTTTATCCTTTCCTTGTCGTATGCTAGTAGCCTAGTCCAGATTAAAAAAATTCATCAGGTCTCATTAGTTTGAGCAGATACAACTCATCACGGCATAACACGATCTTTGAAAAGCCAGGAATTTCAAACACAAATTATTTACGACAATTTTCGTATGCCTCTGTGGTAATAAAACGTTTTAAAAACCCATCAAAATATTTTCTTTTTGTTTATGCAAACGAAGTAGATAGGAGTACGACAGATATTGTTCGTCATTTTTTATCAAGATGAAGCATCACTTATGCGTTAGAGCAAAACATAGCTTTAATTCCAACGATATTATTGTGCTTTCCACAAAGATTATGCTCTCTGGAAGCGGATTTAGCCCTGATTTTAAGCCTTATCGCGTGTTCTTTCCACTGTCGATGTATTCTTTGCTATTGATGCAAAAAAGAAATAGTTTTGCATTATACCTGTGCATGGAATGGCAGATGATTTTAGCAACAGATAGATGCTATGAGATCACATGGAATAAAACACTACAGACGTACACTGAAATCCCTAATCCCCGGGTTAACCAATATTATTTCTGGTTTAATCAATTTCATTGATTTAAACAGTATCAAATATATAATTACAATACGTGTCATCTTTGATGCACATTTGCTTTTCAAAGCTCGTCTGGAATTTCAAAGGCTAGAATTGAAAACAATACTACATCTAGTGTTTGCTACAAAACCTGTGTATGGAGGTGCAGAATAAAACGATCACCAATTGCTCATAAACGTTGAAATATTTGGTAAATCTAGTGTCGCGGCCTTAATCCTGCATCAGTCTACTTATTTTGCTATGCAGAAAACAGTAAAATCCAGCGCGATTCCTTGCTGGGTCCAGACGAGAGATTCGTAGAGTAGGTTATACAGATCCGCTAATTAAACAAAGAAACTTTTCATTACGATTAACGGTGTGAGACATCCCAAAAAACTTATAAATCTACATCCATGCATTGCAGACACCATTCCTCCCCCCTGGGCACCCGAGCGACCCCCAGAAAAAGAAAGACTGATAACTTTGTGAATCGTGATGCCTTGTGATACAGCTTTGAATGTTTAGACTACGTTCTTGTATCTCCCTGCAGTAGATGAACATATATCAGTTGAATAAGATTAAGTATTTAAGTCTTTTATAGCCGGTTTCATTGTGGTTTACCAGAGATAAAGGGCCATGCCGTCATTCTGTCAGAATCACACACAGGACGAGTCTTTAGAGATTATCCGAATCTTGAATAAACCCTGGCTTTGTTTAAAAATGAGTCGTCTTATAGAAGCATGTAAACAAGCTTTGAGCAAACAAGAGAAGAAAATGAAGGACGCTAAGTTTTTTGGAAAATTAAAAAGTGATTGGTTTGGTGGCCACCTGTTCACGCTCAGACGCAGGGGGTGGGGGTGGGGCTTTTAAATCCCTGAAGGACCTCTTTGAGTCCCAGTCACAACAGTTGCCTCATGATAATTGCACATCAATCACTACGGAGAATACTTGAAGTTTTGTCTTCAATTTTGAGCAAACACAGCAGGCTTCTTCTAGTTACTTCTAAAAAACTTTTTTCACACATATTTGAGAAAAAATCACTGAAAGGGCAGGAGATGAGCGCGGGTTAACGGTTGCATGAAGACAATCAAGATATCTATGGTTAGGACACACTTCTCCTACACAGAATCTATATACGCCATTAATCATTCATGGCATATTTTGATAAGAAAATTTGAATGTTTTCGAGTTAAGATAATCCTTATTCTATATATAGGGCTGCTTCGATATGATTTGCCCAGATATGAACATGACTACTATAGGGTGTTTATACTAAGCCGAGGTGTATGCTTTGCGAGATCTCCGCATCAAGACCGTGGAATTGATTTTATAGAAGAAGTTGTCTGACAAAACAAGCTGCTCCACTTCCCGAAATCTCGCATCAAAAGGCGAGCAAGATCTTGCTATCAAAAAAATCCATATCTTTCTAACTGTCCGTCACAGATATTGATACGCGTCTCTGACTTAGTATCACCGGTTCCCTGACGCCTCGATTCGAGACAAAACATCTTGACAACATCGTTTACGAAATATTTGTTTTCTTCTAATTGAGAAATAATTTCAAAATTAATTTTGAATTTGATTAAACGGCACACGTCATATTTATTTGATATAAACAAGTTTGTTGTTGTTTCACAAATATGGGCAGATGATTAAAGAAAGTGAACGTATATTAGAGAGGCGTGGAGCAATGATTGTCAATTTATAGCAGTTTGACTTCTTAATGATGGCTTCTCGAAATATCGTTCAATAAAACTATATTTCAATGTTTATAATAAACCATGATAAGTTTATAACTTGGCGCCATTTTAGAGCAACATTCATGATAACTGTGATGGCTGAGGAATCGAGATTTTAGGGCATAAATAATCGCACTTTTTAATCATTCCACCTTCGCATGAAATATTTCCAGCATTCTTGAGTAACTATGATATCTCTCTACCACAGATATGTATCCGTGTTTGGTCGAGGTAGCACAAGGCCTGGAACCTATGATTACGTCATTGGAGATGATCTTGGCGATAATGAGTGGCATCAACTGGACATTGAACGCAATAAAAATCTTGTTGTAATAAAACTTGACATTACAAGACAGCGTTTGATTAGTGGAACGTCACAAATACATCAGAATACCGACGATTATATTACAGTGGCAGGATTACCCGCATCTATCAAGGATAGTCCCTCAATTACACCTACAAATACCTCAACATCCTTAAATACTCCTAAAGGCCTCACAGTACCGCCGGTATCCCTTACTAGAACTTTGTTCAAAGGATGTATGGCGGACGTCACTTTCAATAAAGTTAATATATTTGAAGCCACCAAAAAAAAAGCAAAAGAAGTACAAGTCTTTGGTAACCTGTGGCCAAAATGTGCTCCTGATGCAGAGAATTACTATCCACCAGCCACCTTTACTAAATCCACTTCGTTCATAAAACTAGATACGTTGAATGGACAGCATTTTGATTTGGGTTTAAAATTTCGGACTTTTGACCATACTGGAGTGTTGATACACTACAGATTTGGTTTGAACTCTGAAGGAAATTTACTTGTTGAGTTATTGAAGGGGGAAATAACGTTTAGTTATGCTTTCGAAAACGTGAAGATAAAAACAATTCTCTCTCCTAAACTAAGCACATATGCCAGTGGTGTCTGGCACAAGGTAAAGGTGAATTTCACATCAAATAAGGTGGATATTAATATCAATAATGCTACAACTCAGACGTTACTGGACGTCTCGAGAACGACAAATATCACACAAAATGCTGAACTAGAGATTGGAACGAGTTCAAAGGACAAGCCTTCCTTACAAGGTTGTGTCAAAGAAATACAAGTGAATGGGAAACATATTACTGTTCTTAAAAGCAATACGAGTAAGGATGTTGTTCTTGATCAATGCTACCTAAAAGATCTTTGTTTCAAAAGTCCGTGTCTCCACCAGGGTGTTTGCAAACAGCACAACTACAAGGTACAGTGTGATTGTACCAACACTAGTTACTCTGGTTCACGTTGTGAGAATATCTCAGCTTTACATCAACCCAACGCCACCTCAACAAGAAAGCCATCTATTACCATGTCCAGTGGCAAGTTACAAACACATAATTCCAGCCAAACAACTGTCAAAACCATCCGACCATCCACAACCAGTACTGACAAGTCATCGCTTCTCTTCTCCACGCAAAGTACAAACGTTAAATCTACCAGAAACTTGAAGCAAACCTCAACTGTGAGAACAGTTCATACCACAATGAGGACGAAACGCAAGCAATTAATCACAACAGATCATCTGGCGAGCAAGCAAGTAACTACGGGTGAATCAAAGCATTTCATGTCATCAACGAGTTCACCAGAGCAAGTTGTTACAAGAACAAGCAAGAAACCTTCAGGGAAACCAGACCAACCAATCTTAACGGACAGCCGAATCTCTACTACAAAACCAAAGCAATTCACCACAACAAGAATAGTTACAATAACCACCAGTGAAACCCAAGACGCCTCGAGCCCAAAATTAACAAAAACCTCGCGTCCACAGTTAACTACCCCACAACACAACCTACCCACTCGACCCTCAGCGTTACCCACACATCTAGCCACCCCAGGGTTTACCCAACCCACCAGACAAAAACCCACCCAAAAGAGAAACACACAAATTATCATCATCGAGAAGTCGAATACGATCACGAACTATGGTATTAACAAGAACCAGATTTTGGTGTATCTATTTTTGTTGATAATTTTCCTATTGTTCATTGGACTTATTGTGATAATTAGCGTGAAGATGAGTTATTTACAGGCCTGTTCTTGCCTAAGACGATTTCAAACAGTTAATGGTTCCATACCAAGACAGGATTCAATTGAATTGGGCCCGCAAGGTAGAAAAGAGTCGGGAACTGCGGTTAGAGTGAAAACCGAAAGGCCGTCTTCTTTCAATGATTCTGGTATTGATCGTAGCGAGTCGGGAACGAACAGCCACCGAAGCTCAGCGGAAGTTCAAGACGAAATACCCGACAGCGGAGATCTGGCAACCAGTTTAGAAAACCGCGGAGAGCTGAGTCCTAGTTCAGATGACTCGAATGAAGGATTCCTGATTTTGCAAGAGGATCCGACACTTTACACACAGAGAAGCTTTGGTTGGACTGTTTTGAACGGCACGAACACAATCAGACATTGCAGGACTTCTACCAGTGATCTGATACACGCCTCCAATGAAAATAAGCCGCGAGCATTCAGACCAGCGTACTACCCAAACTCGGAGATTTCCGATGTCGTTCGAGTGGAAGGTGACGTGAAAAGTGATAAAATGAAATATCGTAATCCAACGACGAAGTACCGACAGTTGACGACAAGCGACACCTCTAGTTCAGATGATATGCCCCCCAGCCCTGGTTTCGAAGCCAATTCTGAGTGTCAAGTGTTTTAAAATTTGGCAAGAAATTCTGAAATCTAATTCACCACAACGTTGGGTTGTCAAACATGGACAAACAATTCACCATCGTATTTCACAAACTCAGAGATATCCTTTGTGTTGAAGAGGGGCCGTAGAGACGGTTAGGTCTGAGACCTAATGTAGACACTCATTGAGAGCAAAAATCCAAGAATCTTAAATTATGGAAAATAGCATGTTCATTAGATTAAAATATCTATCCAGAAGAACAAATTATGTAGTCACGTTATATATGGCATTTGTAGAGAGACTTTTTACATATTTTATGGCAATTTTGTACATAACCTAAACAGCAACACCACGTATATATCTGCAATATATTTCAGAAAAAAATGTTATCTTGTAAAATTCAATGAGTATTCAAGGGGTTCCTGAGAACTCGTGTAAATGCTAAGCCACTTCAAGGTTAATCACCCTTCCATTTTAAGGGTTATTCGAGGATCTGAATTAGTACGAACCATAAAGCTCATTAGCCTAGCGTGGAGCATATCGCCTCGATCTTGTTTCACACTTGAAACTTTCGTCCTCTTTTATATTTGCATGAAAAATAATCGGTCCAATGAAGGACCAAAAAAAATTGCACAGCCGGCCATATTTCAGGCCGTCTGGCGGGGTATTGGTATAAGTTTTCAATCAGCAATAATCGCGCCTCAGATGAACTTCATCAGCTACGATAATGCCACTGCGCAAAGCTACCGACTATACCCTGCGATTACATTTTATATTCATAATACTGTCCCCACGCATGTGGGACGACAGTGGTATGTGCGGGCATGCGCAGTAACAACTTAGCAATACTTGGACCAATAAGAGGTTGAGATGAATTCAATCCGATTTCTAAGGGTTTTGCAAAAAGAAACGATTGAAAAGAAGCTCATAGCATCTACATGAAACACGAAGGAGTGTTAATCTTTAATGATTATAGAAAATGTTACAATTTACAACAGGTCAGAGTTCCTGAGACATGAACATGTTCAGTTAAGGTGACAGTACTGGCGTTTTGAAAGTCCCGTGATGTGCGATCACCTTTACTAAGCTTACACTGGGTTCGCTGTTTAAGTTCTTGCGCAAGAGTCTCGAATGTAAGGTTCACGTTATCAGCTTCTTTTGCTGACGCTTCGATGAAGATCATCTCCTCAAACTCAGCTAGCTCCTTGGCAGATGCACAAGGCACTTGCCGATCATGTAAATCATTCTTATTTCCAACTAAAACTTTGATGATGTTTTTCTTGCGCGAGTGTTTCTTAACGTCAGCTAACCATTGTGGAATTGAGGCAAAGCTCTTCTTATCACTTAAATCATAAACTAAAACAACAGCATCAGCCTGCCCGTAGTAACTCTGTGTGAGAGATCTGAACGACTCCATCCCAGCCGTATCCCAGCATTGCAGCTTCACCTTCTCCCCGTCAATTTCCAAACTCTTGACACAGAAATCGACGCCAATCGTAGAGCCAATGGTTTCCGAAAAGTAGCCTTTCGTAAACCGTCGTATCAACGAAGTCTTTCCGACTCCCGAGTTTCCAACGAGAAGAATTTTGAAAATGTAATCATAGTTCATGACGAGAATGACGAACGAACGAAATTAAATAAAAATCTGCCTTGACTTGTGTTGTGAGGTGTATCTCAAATCCTGTGTTGCTTATTTTTCAGACCACAGGAAACAAAACGTTAGCCACTAACGAGGTATTCCTCGGGTTCAGGTTACCCAACGTTCTTCAGAAACAGACTATTTCACACCGTTAATCGCGTCGATTTATCTTATCATATACCAATAGTAATTCTTTTAACAAAAAGCCAGAGCGAACTTGACAATTCGTGTACAAATATTGTATGCTTTCCTTCGTTGGCTGGCTCTCCCAAGTCGTATATTGTAACCACTTCCTCCTTGTCTTAAAACGAAATTTTCGTCGGTCGTTCTAACACGTTAACATGCAAACACTTTCGATTTCAAATTTTTTGAATTTGACCTTCAGCGATAGAAAGTACATGCAGTCTGCCCTGACGTTTGTATACCGTAGGTTTTTCAATTTCGATCAAAGCTTTGCCTTTGTCGTGGTTGAAATAAATGGAACTCGATGATGCCTTTTCAAGAAGAAGACATTTGTATACAAGCTCTTGCACGATAGCAAATGACGATAAATTCGCAAAGTCCGCGGTAGAAATCTCTTCCTGCTGTTCTTAATGTGACCCTTACTGTCTTTACGTTTTTTCCAGGCGATTTTTAGTTCAATATTGACTGATTTTGGCTTGAATAAATGCACTTCTTTCTTGAAAGCTTTCTTTAAATAAAATATTATTTCCAACTCTCGAAGCAATGACTTTTCTTCATCATCAGCTTTGTCATAACTGATGCTTCATATAATCTTTTTAATAGTTCGATTTCAGTACTTCAAGACTCAATACAAGATCTTTACTTACTTAGATTGAAAGCAATATGTAATTCGAGGCTTGAACATTAAACAATGTCAGGAAAAAAACAAGATTTATATAAAATATTAATGGTCGGACAAATCTGGCCACAGTTTCTCTCAGTTGCATGAAAACACGAAAAGCCGTTTCTGGTCAACCGCCAATTAAATGGACGTCTTAACGAGACCGCTCGTTGCAGTTTAAAACAAAATGTTATTGACGAAATAAAACTCGTTTTACATGAGGCACAATACACGCATGCAGAGTCAGCAGAGAGCCCATTAAAACACACGTGTTCTGAACAATGACTTTATTATCATTAGTGACATTAACCGAATTCATATTAGAGACGGGAAACTCATCGAAGACGGGAAACTCGTCTGATGTGAATTCGGTCGCAGACGGGTTTCTCGTCTGAATTTTCCCGTCTAACTTTCCCGTCAACAGAGACGGGTAAGTTGGACGGCAATCCCGTCTGGAAGAGAAACTCGTCTTAAATTCGTATTTAGACGGATAAATCCGACGAGTTTCTGAAATATCAACACGGTCAAGGACGGAACCAGGCTAAGAGAAGATAAACAAAATGGTTATCGTAATAATTACGACGACATTTTATGGATATAAATTAAAGTCGATTTCTGATATTGACACAAATTCTGTAGAAATCTCGTCTGGGTTATCGTCCACATCTTCCTCATCATCTTCACTACTCGTCTCATCAAATAAATCTTCATCGTTCATCTTTTCTTCACCATGTTCCACTTCGCTGTCCGAGAAAACTGTGGCTCGTTCTTCGTACATTTGTAAAATATCTTTCTTTTCTTCAGGTTTTTCATCACGCAGAGGCTGTGTTGAGTGTTCATCTTCCTTTTGCACTAAATTATCCTCCTCCTGTTTCCCGTTTCTTTCTTCATCTATCTTTCTTTCATCCATTACTGTTCCCTTACATCCCTTAATATTATCCACCATTGCTCCTTCGTACTCCTCCTTATCATCCATCACTGTTCTCTTAGATTGCTTTGTATCATCTCCCTCCATCCCCCTAGTTCCCTCTGTATCATCACTCAATGTCCTCCTACATCCCTCCACATCCTCAATCACTGTGTTTTTCAACTCTTCAGATACAACTTCCTTATTTCTTGATCCTCTGCTATCATCAATTTCACATCTTTCTCCAGTGGGTACCTCTTCATCTTCCACTTCTTCATTCAAGATTTTCTTACCTTCATGTTGTACAACAATGGATATCTCTTCAGTACCTTTGTTGTACTCATTTTGTCCCAGAATACTCCTTCTAATCCCTTCTTCATTGCCCACTGCTTTATCTGAAGTCTCATTGCTATCTTCTTCTTCTGAGTCAGAATAGTCAATGGCTAACTTTGATTTCTTACAAGGACTAGCCTCGTATGTTTCACTTTCAACATTACATTTATGCCCAAAATCTGATGTTTTTTCTTCGACATTTCCTTCGGAAATATCAATTTTAACATCATGTCTATCTTCAGTACGCCTGGTCTGGCGATGAAGAACTTGTCTTATCCAACAACCACGGTCAAAATATCCCTGAAATATTGCATAACAACCTCACATAAGCATTTTCATGATGCTCTATTTAAACTGTGCTTAATGCTCTAAGTAATACTCCTGCTTATAAAAAAATTGCTTTGCTACAAACCTGATTTTTCCATGCTAACATCAAACTTGTTTCATATGGACCATAAACCTGGTAATCAAAGCAATTATTTTCTTAACTTTAGATGTTTTTTCCCACAATCTTTTTTCCATCAGTACATATTTTCCAACCAATGCAACTCCAATAATTATATATACCTGTGCATCATTTGTACTTTCCCACTTGAATTCCCAGAACAGTGTTTGTGATGGATCACGTTTTGCTTTCTGCTCATTAGTAGCATTCTTGATCTAAATTATATTTGATATAATTTCTTAGAAATATTAATTCTAACAAAATATTAGATGTGAATTAAATATTTTTACAAACCTTGTGTGTTTTTCTTTCAGCGCTGGCAACAGTGATGCTGTTGTCATCTAATGTCTGTGAATGAATGTGAAATATATTAGTTTATTCCAAGTGATTCCATACCAATTTCATTATCACTACCTCAAAAATCTGAGAAGCGACCTTGTGTACAGAACAATGCAACAATACTTACTGGGTAGTTGAACGAACACCACCTTTTGGCATTCTCAGCTAAAAGACATGGATTTTATGGGTACAGTGTAAGTGTTTGTATACTAACTAAAGCTTTTAGAGTGAAATTTCAATAGCACAAATAAGTTCAGTTTACCTGATTCAATTTTTTCAAAAGTGATAAATGCAAATCCTCTTGACTCTTTGGTATCATGATCCCTGATTAGCTGCAGTAAGATAGTCATGAAATAGGAGTGTCATGGTGGAAAAAAATGAAGACGATCTTTAGATATAAACTATAGACATACCTTAATGTCCTCTATATCACCAAATACAGAAAAGTAATACGCTAGAGATGCTGCAAATGAAAAATGATATACCATTCAGATGTTATACCAGCCAGTAGTTAAGATACCATACCATTACAACTTAACCATACCATTACAACTTAACCATACCATTACAACTTAACCATACCATTACAACTTAACCATACCATTACAACCTAACCATATCTAACCACAACAACCATTCCAGCATAATAAAAAATCATACCATAAATATACCAGACCACGCACGATACCATCATCTCACCTTCATTAGTTTTCTTGTTTAAATTTCCAACATAAATTTTAGCTCTCCAATTTACTATATTGGATATAAGATTGGCCAGGAATATTTATTCTATATTGGCATAGCTACTAAACTTTTTCACAAACAAACAAAATGGGAGACAAAATTTGCGTAATATTTCTTTCATTTTTCTTACATCTTTTGGATACGCCGGTGCCTGCCTCAACGTTTGGTAAACTCAGCGCTTTAGAAACGACCTCAGCCTTTTGACATGAATCTTCCTGTTGTGTTTCGGCTTGTTTTCCAGAAACTTGGCGATGAGACGCGGTCTTATAACTCCAAGAATAGGTACTCATTTGGAAAATAGGAATTCTTTCTCTTAAAATTAAGAAATTGAAAGAAAAAGAAGGTATTTTTAATACTTTTTATACCATGCCAAATTTCTTGTAAGATTTTTTGTTAGTATATTACACCAAGTTTCCTCAGGAATTGTACAAACACGCGGGCTCGCGTAGCTGGGGGAGACAAATTAGACAAACAATATGTAAATTTGTTACAAAATCGAATGAAAAGTTCAAAAGGATCTTAGACAAAAGACCAAAAGAATATCAGTTTTCTTTAGAAATCTGAAAGGTTTGTGGCATTTACGCGGAGATTTCTTCATGCAATATCAAGGTTGGATCCTCAATTCCATAAATTTGCCAATGACGTTGTTGTTCGATATTTGATTAACGATTCAAATACACGCGCTGTCAAACGATACTGAGAAGTTTCTCATATTATAAACAAACATAAATCGATTATTAAACTGGCTTGCAAATTTACCGTTTTACGAAAAGAAAAGGAAATTCTTGTGGTATAATCCTGTTATAATACCAAGACACTTGAAGGTATGTTTTCGCTATTTCTTAAAACATACGTTTTCAATAAGTTTCTCTCGTGAAAATACACATAATATAGGAAATTGCTAGTATTAATATAATCCATCGGGTCACGTCTTTCTGTATATTGCAGGAAACTCGACATGGTTCATCGTATTAGACTTCCTGGTGAATAGCCACGACTATCGCAATGAAAAGCGACTTTATTCTCATCTAAGGATGAGTCATTTCAGTAAACACTCATTTAATAAAAAGTATGAGCAATAAATAAGTAATAATTAGCATTATTTTAGTAGCCTAAATTGTTGTATTTTCTTGGGTAATACAGACTCTGGTATTAATCATGTTTTATTCAAGTGATCCAGCGCACAATGACACTAACCAGGCCTCCTCAAATCAGGACAAATATTCCTCGATAAGAGTGTTAGATCAGACCAACAGAAACATTCTTCCAACAGAAACAAGCATCTTGGGCAGATTTTCGTGTGAGTTTTCAAATGAGCGACAAAAGAATATGGCCAAAACTGCAAAACAGCGTCCGTATACAACACTTGAATTGGGTAGGGGATCTCATTCGATATCAAATGATCAACGGAGATCAAAATCGCTCAGCACAAACAGAAGAAAGAAGGATAAAGATGCAGAAAGTGGAGACAAGACTACAGATTCATTTGCTGATATTCTACAAACTGCTAGACATTCCTTTTATTTAAGCTTTGAATCATCAAAAGATATTGACTTAAAGGCTGGTTTAACTTCAGTTATTTCAGAGGATGCGAATAAAACATCAGACAAGTTAATTACTGAGCCATCTGACACAGAAAATACCTGCTCTGTTGTTGAAGGTGATGCCAATCTTCTTCCGAGCGGTGTTGAGACACCAGTCTTAAATAATAACTGGTCAGCAGTGAAAGAGGACATGTCACCTGGATCAGGCGAATCGCTAGTTTCGTCACCGCGTTATCACACCTTAACTGAAGATGAGTTGGAGGAGGAGCTAATTGAAGAACAGGAAGTGAGATCACGAAATGACTCTGTTGTTTTGAGACATGAGATAATAAGATCGTACTCCATCACTGAAAACCTTGCAAGTGAAGCTCATCAAAATGATGTGAATAATAAACTTAATGAAGCAGATGTTAGAAAAGGTTATGTTGCACTTAGTTATGATGCCAAAGGAGCTTTATGGGAAGATGATTCTGAAGAACCTGCCTCACCTTCAGGACAAGGCAAACCGGAGAATGAAATCAACATTTCACATACTTATCAAGTAACTGTTGATAAAAAAGCTCAGAGCTATGAGCTCAAGTAATTCAACTGAAGAACATGGGGAGAGTAGTTTATCAGAGCGTCTAGAAAATACACCAAGGAACTGTGTAAACAGGGAACAAGATAATCATATCTCGTCAAGCCGTCATGATAGCGCGCCAAAACGTTTGACAGTCGATATTGGTGAGTTACGTCGACTTTCTGATGGTCAGTCTAAAGAAAACCGCGCGAAGCATATCAGTGTTTCGGGCGGGACAGTTCGAGAAATTAAATTCCTTCGTTCACCCACGTCGCGGGTTTCCACTCTGTTCTCGACCAAAATACCCGAGATTCGCGGCTCGGAGAAACAGAAAAGCAGTAAAACCAAAGCAACCATTGAACCAGGGTTCGTCTTCTTTGGCGATGGTCTTTTTGACTTCACAGAGGAACGCAATGAGGAAGCTGTGGCGTTTAGCACAGAAATTGGCAACCTTCGCGCAAAATTATGCGGCAAAGTTGAGCTAAACCTGGGATATTTATTGAGTCCAACTGTCACACAAGATTCGAATAGTTTGCCTGAGACTTTGGAGGAAGTCAGGTTGTCTTTGGAAATTTTTATTGAAGATCAAGAATCACCTGTGCTTATGAACTGCAGTTCAAAAACTTGCGTGAGTGAAGTTTTAGCGAAGGTTTTGGAAAGAGTTTGGAAGCAAACCGTGAACCCAGACAGCATTATTAACAGTGCTTACACATTGAAAGTTTGTGGCTACCAGGAATACTTGAGTAGTCTTAAGTTGTTATGTGAGTATGAATACGTTCATCGTTGTGTTATGGCGAGGCAAACGGTTCGACTTGTTTTGCTTGATAGTGATCAAGTACCACGATCTTTAGCCCGCAGTGAATTAGACGACGTCGCAGATTGCGAGCCGAGAATTTACAGCCAGTTTTTTGAACGGTCTCTTGACACGTCCGTATCGCGAGACGGACTCAGCGTGCTTCGTGAGGCTTTTGAAGAGGAATTGAAACGTGTCCTCAAAGATGCAGACAGCTTAAGACCCTGTTTTCAACCTGGACGTTTGGTTCAAAGCGTCAGAGCTGTTTGCACAACGCTGGGTCAAATTGAGACGAAAGGCATCGTGAATTCTGTGCATTCTCTCAAGGAGATGAAGAGAAAGTACGACGAAGCTTGCCAAGCCGCTTCACCTTCACCAAAGAACGTTCCCGTGGATATGCCTGAATTACGGTCATTACTTCAGGAACTATACAGACATGTTTATCTTCTTATCGAGTTGTATTGCAATACATTCAACACAGATTTTGGTAGAATTTGTATCAGTGAAAAGGTGATTCACGGGTCTATTGAAGTGACTGCAATGACGGACAAATTCAGCATCTTTATTCCGACTGCATATCGCATTCCCCCCGATTGGAAAGAGAAATTTGAATCGTATGTTGTCGAAGGGAAGATTTACTATGGGACGAATCTGCTCAGCGTGCCTGAATATACGATTTCTGGTGGAATCCGAACGAATTTCTTCGCTCAAATATCCTGGCAGTGTTTTATGGAGTTTGGGATTGAACTTCGCAAGCTTCCACGAGAGTCTAAACTCTGCCTCACATTATATGGGGTAGCCCCTTTACCCAAGAATGCAACCTTGGCACCAACCCGCACTCCGCTAGGCTGGACCGCAGTTCAGTTGTTTGACTTCAACGGTGTTTTGGTGTCAGGTTCTCAGCTCTTTGGCTTATGGCCAAATCAAGCAGCAAACCCAATAGGAACATCCACCTCGAACCTTATCGACAAGCGAAGTGCAATTCTTCAAGTGGACTTCACCCAGCACATGTCAGACATCGTCTTCCCGTCGTTAAAGATACCAGAACGTGAAGCTGATGCATCGGAAACTCCGCCTGAAGACTTGTTTAAAAAGTTTCTTTCAAGAGACATGTTCGAAGATCTTCGTCCTGAAGACATTCAAAAGATCTGGAAAAACCGTTTATACGCGTCCATGGTATGTAGTTCACAAATATACCTTTTTCCATATTCATCGTGTTCTATATTAATCCACATATGCATACAAGTTCAGTAACAACCTTGTCTATTGTATTAAAGATCCCCAGTATGTTGCCCTTGCTGTTGTCAAGTGTACCAGACTGGACGTACCAGAACCTTCCCGAGATCTACCAACTGCTGGCAAACTGGAAACCAATGTCTCCTGTCAATGCGATGGAATTACTTAAGGTTCAGTTTCCGGACCAGATGGTTAGGGCAACGGCTGTGAGTTGGATGGAATGTTTCTCTGATGATGAATTGTGCGATTATTTGCCACAACTTGTCCAAGCTCTGAAGTACGAGAGTTATCATAACTCGCCACTTGCAAGGTAACGTCTGGTTTTCTGATTTCTGCAATTAGACGAGAGAATTCGAAAAGCTAGGTTAGCGTTAATACTTTTGAACAACTGGCCCCAGGACAACAAGTTTTCTTAGAATTCCTTTTGAGGTAAAACTGTCTACGAAACTTCCAGAAATAGTGTAGATCAGATACAATTAGATGAAACTTGATTTTGGGCCAGCAGGGACACAATGGGTGAGATCAATTTCATCTTGTTTATCATTCCAGGTTCCTAATCGAAAGAGCTCTGCACAGTTCTCGTCTCATGCACTACTTGTTCTGGTATCTTAAAGACAACATCGGAGATCCTAAATTTGGCCAGCGGTATCAGGTAATACTTGGTGGACTGCTCAGTGTATGTGGTAGCTTGCAGCGCGACCAGTTCACGAAACAAGACGAACTCGTGGCGAGGATCACCGATGTTGCGGAAAAGGTAAAGAAGTCGAAAGAAAACCTGCGAGACGACGTCCTCCGTGGGGAACTGGGAAAGATACCACAGGAAACCCTGGAGTGTCTCAGGCTTCCCCTCAACCCCGGAGTGGAAATCACAGCAATTCTGGCGGACCAGTGCTCGTATTTCAACTCCAATTCCTCCGTTCCCCCCCTTCGCTTGCTGTTCAAAAACTCCGACAGACATGGCTTCGAGATTGATACAATCTACAAGGTTGGAGATGACCTGCGTCAGGATGCACTGACCATGCAGTTGATTGGTATCATGAATAAACTATGGTTAAAAGAAGGACTGGATCTCAAGATGGTCACATACAGGTGTCTACCTACCGGGGCTGAGATGGGTATGGTGGAGTTGGTGCAGGAGGCACAAACGTTACGTGAAATTCAGACAGAATATGGTCTTGCAGGTGGGTTATAAGTCTCATTTTCTTCTGGTTGTTTGCACCTGTTCAATCCATCATCTCTGGCCAATTTTTAAAAGAAGCTCATCTCTCTTACGCAGGTTCGTTTAAAGATGAACCACTTGCAAGATGGCTGCTCAAACACAACCCAATTGAGAAAGAATATGGTGAAGCTGTGAATAATTTTATTTCATCTTGTGCAGGCTACTGCGTTGCTACGTATGTCATAGGTATTTGTGATCGCCATAATGACAATATCATGGTGAAAAAGACAGGTATAGTAATTTCTCTTACCCACAAACTCACCTTTACGGCTTCACCTCACTTGTCTGTTTCCAATCTTACCAGGTCATTTGTTTCACATCGACTTTTCCAAGTTCTTGGGACGCTCGCAAATGTTCGGCAGCTTTCGTCGGGACCGTTCGCCGTTCGTGTTGACGTCGGATATGGCATACGTCATCAACGGCGGTTGTACTCCAACAAGTCGCTTCCAAGATTTTGTAGATCTGTGTTGTCGGGCGTTCAACATAATAAGACATCATACAAACCTGTTTTTGAATCTTCTTTCCCTTATGCTCAACTCTGGGATCCCATATTTGAGTCAAACCAACGATCTTAAGTACGTCTATAACGTTTTACTCCCACAAGCGACGGATCTCGAGGCCACAACAATCTTCACCCGACAAATTGAATCCAGTCTAGCATCAAGGTACATACGAATATGTGGTGATCCAAAAGAGAACAATGTTTCCTCGGTTTGTCCATCTTTAAAAGCCATAGCTTGAAAGCAATAATTCTTGGTTTTTCCACCTTTATTAAACATGGCGAGGAAACAATGTTACCTGGTCTGTCCGTGAACCATGACTAGAAAAATAACGCAAACTTTATTTTGTTATTTCACAGGTTTACTCAGGTGAACTTTTTCATTCACAATGTCGCTCAGATCCGCCATGCTTCTCAAATGAAAGACGATGATTCTGCGATGCCTGTCCTGTCTTTCTCTCTTCACACGTACAGTCCTGCAACGGACGACAAGATCACCTCAGCCAGAGTAGTCGATTATCAGAAGCGATACACACCAGAGAAATATTACGTCTATCTTATCAACGTGTGTCGAGAAAATCAGGAGAGACCCACGTTTGTCTTTCGAAGATACAGTCACTTTCACGAGTTCAACGCGAAACTAACAGATCTTTTCCCGCATCGGAACTTACCTAAATTACCAGGTATACTTTCTGATTTCCTTCACAGCACCGTCAGCACATACCATACACTTGCCTGTCTTTACTTAGTATGTCTCTATACCTACTCTTTCTCCTTTAGGGAAAATCTACCTCGGCCGATCCCAAATCCGAATGGTGGCAGAGAAACGTCGCCAGGATTTCGACCGTTACCTTCAAGCGTTGCTTTCTCTTGAAGACGTAAATTCCTCGAAGCTCGTCTACACGTTTCTTCATTCTCTGCCATCAGACGATTTTGATGTGAAGAAATACGCTGTCCGGTTGTTACCAGAAGAACGCTATCCTCGGGACAGACCGATAGGAGGAGAGGTGAAGGTTTCGATATCCTTCTCGGCGTATCAGCTCAACATTATGATCATGCATGCAAAAAATCTGCTGCCAAAAAGCGCTGGAGGTCTTTCAGATCCTTACGTGAAAATCTACCTCACGCCTGATCCAAATAAATCGACAAAACGTAAGACAAAAATCGCACGGAGAACTCTTAATCCAACTTATAATGAGACATTCGTCTGGGTAATCTCGGAAGAGGAGCTTCGTCAACGAGAGATTAGGATTACAGTTTGGGATTATGATGTTTTGACGGAGAATGAACTTATGGGAGGAGTTCTTATTGATCCATCAGATTATGACTTTAATAACCAGTTTGTCGGATGGTTCACGTTGACAGATCTTAAAGGAAGCTGAACTTTAAGATTTCAGCTGTAATGCGTCGTTTACCAATGAATCGAACTGAATAGGAATGTGATATTTAGAAATTTTATTGGGTAGTTAGATATTTTTCTTAGTACGACTATTGAATGCCAACACATACTCTTAGGATATATTTCAAATCTTAGTTATATTTAATCAAATAGGTACACCTAAAATAAATTCTTTCATGACATTTTCGGGCAGTAAATATGAATAATGTAATCTTAATATTTTTAATACTTTTTTTAATCAAGGGGTGGTGAATCATATCAATTTTAAGCAATGTAAATCAATATTGTAATTTGACAATGTAAAAAAAGTGATTGTAATATTTTTTAACTAAATGTTTGTAAATGTCAGTCGATACAAAATATTCTGGTAATGGGCAGAAACTATACTTTTAGACCAAGGCCAAACCTATTTCACAAACACGTTGACCAGATGTCATATTTGAAATGAACTAAATGACTTTTATCTGCCGACTCGACATCCAATGAACAAAATTGGCGGGAGATAGTTCTTAAGCGGGCGGGGAAGATTCGCACATCACATAACCTTTATCACCTGGTTCCGTTAAAGAGTGTTTAGCAAATTACCGCTGCAAATACACCACTGCATGTTCACGTTGTGTGACCAGGGTGGGGTGACCTGAGCATCGCTAATCCGTGGGCTGAGTTGAACCCGAGTTTCTAGAATACTTCCTGATCACTCTATCACGAGCTTGTTCAAGATTTTTTACGGAAAGTGGAGAATCCATGATAACTTGCAGTAGTTTAGCAAAGAACGGAATATAGGACATGAACGAGGTAAAATCAATAAATCCTACAACAAAATCAAACTCTGGTCACAAAAATATCAGGAATACCCATGTTTCTGCTAAATACTCTACCTCTTTCATCTATACCTCTTTCATCTTTCTCTATGTTCTCAAGAACTGTTCTAGCTTCACCCTCGTCAACTTTTTCATCACCTTCGACAGCTGTGGTTATCATAAGAAGTATTTCATCTGTTTGGATATGACCATCTTGATCTTCATCAATTACATCGAATAACTCCTAAGATGAATGTGACGTTTTACACGTGATAGGAATACTGCCAGTGTTTGCGCAAGAGACAGGGATTTTATTGAACGATTTTAAGAGGAATATCTACCTTATAAATCGTGATATGTTGAGCCAGCCTCTCCAAATCTAGTGCTAAGGACGTTGTGCCACTCTCAGTTCTGTTATGAAAAATGCAAAATCTTCTGACACAACTGCATTTGCGGAATTCGAGTTCTACTTTAGAGTTTAAAAGAAAATGTTCATACCAGACATTGGCTTACCTCGTACCACAGAGTTTATCGTTTAACGCACATATTGTAATAAATTCTCTCATCTCGACCTCATGGTCTTTGTTTAAATCAAAAACCTTTATAAAATAAGAAACAAAACAGTTATTTACAGCACAATGTTTTATTTGTCAAACTCAGCAAACACGAAGCACAGTACCTTGAGCAAATGTTTAAGATTGCTTTTGGTTGCAAGAGGAAAGAGATTTTGTTTTAGTTCTTCAATGTCTATTTTTCCGTCTTTGTTTTTGTCCATTTCATTAAATATACTGGCGAACGCCTGACGTTGTTTGTCGTTGATAAAGGAATAGACTGGACCATTTCCTTCTTCTTCCGCATCATTTGTGAAATCCTCTTCTGTTAAGAATACTCTGAAGAACACATTAAAATTGACTTTAGCTTTAGCACTTCAAGCGAAATTTGCAGATTGTCTTGCAAGAATTGTCAAAATTGTGAGTGAAAAGTTTGTGAAAAATGGCAGGTAGCTAATGATAAAGAAATAAAACCTTTTATCTCGTTTCTTTTCTTCGTCACTTTGTTCAGTGAGAAATATCAAACTGGAAAAAAAAAAAAGCTACCACAAATTAACACATCATTCTCGTTAATTATCGGGAATGAACATGCAGAAAAATCAGGTGAAATTTTGCGTGTTCATATCAGGAAAACGACCTTCTCCCCAACCTTTTCTTTTCAGGTTTTCTTGGTCGGTATTTTTCTTCCATTTCCTTCTCAAATTTCATTTTTTCTTCCAAACGCTGCGCTCTTTCCTTCTTCTGTTCTCTTCTCAGCTCCTTTCGTTTCACTCGATCATCCTGTAGCTGATGCCGCCTTTCCAAAATGTTCTTCCTCTAAGCATGGCAAAAATAAAGAAAGTGTTATATCTACAGAGAAAAGTGCTAGTCACGTTTTTGTCAAGGCAGTATAACTGCTTGATGCCAGGACATTTACCTTTTCAGCCTCAACTGCAGCAGTTGGTGGGACAGGACTGGAGTTCTGGCCACTTGGACTAGTTCCTGGACTGATGGCACGTTTACTAAGAAAGCACAGAATCAAGTGCAAATTAGCAATGAATTTTAGGTCCTTCGTCCCAGGCAAACTAGTTAGTCATAGCCCTGGTATCTGACCTTCTCTGCAACCCCTCTCACCAGGTATTTAATATACAAAGCATCTTTATCTAGAATACTAGTTACCCTTGATTCAAGGCAGAGCTATTCACTGAACTAGCTCTGGTGCTCTTCTCAGCTCTGCTCTGGGCCAACATACGTAACTTGATAAGTTCTTCTTCATCAATTTCATATCTGCATGAGCAATACACAGGAATCAAAAGGGTCATTGAGGAAGATTCAGATGTTCAATGGATAATTTGACAGTTGGTACTACAAATATCTACTGACCTATCAACAAGTGGTACCTTCGCCCCAGCAATATAATATCCCTTATCCTGACGATGAGTGATAATCTGAAATTAAATATAAAATATTATCACTCACCAGTATTTCAATTCGATTTTCTAATCATCAAAGCTCACATTTGATTTTTTCTTGTTGGTTCTTGATTGAACAAGATTTCTCTCTCGTTCCTTCCATCTCTCCAATTGCTGACATTTCTGTGGGGTTAACTTGGTAAAAGCTACAGCAGGTGCACTATAATAGGGTAAAGAATTCATTGATCACTCTCACTGATGTGACGTTTGCAAACAAAGTAAAACTATTTCTTAAAGTTAACAGAGTTGACATAATATCCAAGCCAATATTGCAAACAACTTGGTACCTGATGGCTCTCGGAACCAATTGATAATTCTGACTTCTTTTCTGAAAATGTTGGTTTCAAACATTTTTCATAAAATAAAATAATATAACTCAATGAACTAACATTGTCTTGAACACAGCTTACATGAACAGAGAGAGCAGAGGAACTATGCCTGGTTGATTCAAACACTTCAGATGATTGTGTACTTGGATTTACTAAGTCTTTATGTAAGTCTTTATGTTGTTCAATGGATTGGTCTCGTAGACTCAGCACCTGCTTCTCCTCTCTTCCTGGTATCAATGGTGATCCATAAAGGATCCGGCGATATATTGGAACATCAACTGACATCTTCACTAGAAATTGCAACAAGGATGAAAATACCAACTGTCAGTTTTATCAACATTATGAACCCCATCTATCAAAGGTCACCTCTCTGTAGTACACTCAGTATAACTACCAGTTGGATCATATCTTCGTTGAGATGTTGTGATCTTGACAGGACATCAAAGAAACTTCATTGCTTTGGAACAATGTATTGTACTAATTTGCTACTTTACCGGTATATTCAATTGTATATTAATTTACAGTCAACTGCTCATTTGCTTGTTAGTTTATTTCAAATTTTTGTTGTACTATTTACGACATATATGGAGCGTATTTTGAAGGCAAGCATACCTTGAAATCTCCGCATCAATTCATCTGCTTTTCGCAGTTTACCAGAATATGAAAATTGAAAACAAAATACAACAAAATCTGTTATCACCATGTAAACATTGGTAAATAACCTGCGTGTAACTCGCGCGTGGGCTCCACGATTAGCATTTTCAGACTAATCTCAACATACAACCCTGACTGGATTCTCGGAAGAACTGGACCACTAATGTCAGTCTATCCATTAAATAAACGCATTATAAAACCTATTGAAATAGTTTATTCTGACATATATTTAATATGCCCAAAAAGAAGTCATCAAATCTCTAAGACACTCCATGGACATTCACACACATGAAATCTACAATACACAGTGTGAAAAAAGTAAAATTTGCCAGCAAAAATTGTTAAAATTTATCCCGTGCACAAAAGAATCTAATTGTGTGTGTGACATTTTATTTATAAACAACACACAATGTATGCCTCCATTTCTTGAAATTGTATAATTCCTATTTGCTTGCTCCTTCAAGGCTCAATTGTAAGATGTTCAGACATGCACAGTTGTAAGGCCTTGAACTCTTTGACAATATGCAGTTAATCTTCACCAGCTCCAGGATTCCTCTTCTGTCTGCGGTTACGTGGGGAGCGACGTGGCGAGTTCTTGCCTAGAGATATGTGATAAATCAGTCTCACTGGGATTCAATAACACACGTTAACAGACTAAATTCTTGCAATATGCAGTGGTTTGATTACAAACTTAAATATATACATACCAAACTCAGTTGTGGTTTCTTTAGGCAGCCAATCCATGTCAACATCTGATTTTTGTTGTGTTCCCATCTCAACATAAGGTTTTGCAGACTTCTTTTTCTAAATATTTATCAAAACATTGTTGTTAACTAAACAGCCCTCATATGATCAGGTGGGTCAAACACATCACCACACTTACCCCTAGTGATGAGAGGATATACTGGGCTCCCATGATGATGAGGATTGCCATAGCTGCAACAAACACGTAAAGGAAGAATGTCTCCCCATCAAATCCTTCATCATGTTCCTTGAATGTGACAGTTTCATTGAAGACGGAATCCATCCAATCCTTTCCCTCAGCATCTTTGTAATACAAGGCTACAACAATCCCAAATGGTCGTCCCCCAAGGTTTTCATGTGGTTTGAAAGCATAGTCAAATGTTGCTTGTTCTCCAGGTTTTACAAGTCTATTGAGAGTTCTTGTTGTGAACTACATATGAAAAATATCAGTCAGAACAGCTTAGGAGATAATACTGAGCTCTCAAAGTTTGTAATATCACAGTTAGACTTACATTTTGGATGAAGTACGAATAATCTTGTGGATATCTGAGGGAAGCATCGAGCGCTTCAATAACGAAATCGTTCTTGCCATTGTTGGTAAATCCCACGAGGCAATCAACAATACTTCCAGCGGCAATTTCTAAAAAGGAAAAGGCACATTTAGGAGTCATTTGAATGGATTCATGGTTCAGAACAAAATTAGCAACAATATTCCCAACCTTGTTCTGGATGACTTGTAAACAAAATGGTTGTCTCGGCATCAGGTGAAGCTGTCAAGGTTGGAATCTCAAGATCTTCCTCCTCTGTCACGTCTTGTTCACCTGTCTGTTGATGAAATTACGTCACAATTGACTACTGAATCTCAATGCTAAGATACACTTAGTGCTAAGATGAAACTTACAGTATCTGCTTCTGTGGTCTGTGCTTCATCTAGTTCTGGTTCTTCTCCTTCACCTTCATCCTCTGTTTCCACCCTACCATCTTCTTCTTCACTATCATCTTCCGCATCATCTCCGGCATCTTCGTCAACATCCTCATCATCAATTACCTCATCATCTTCACCCACAACACCAAGTGAACCTGGTAGCAGGAAACAAACAAGTCTTATTAAAACATTTATATAAACAAAGAAACACACATTGAAACAACCCCAATTCATTTGAACTCGTCCCAAAATGGTATTATCCGACAAATGATTGATCTTGTTTGGTACAACATTTCCCAAACCTCAGGCAATCAACATGCAAACCTCCCAGTGAAATATTTCATGATGTAGTCCATCCTAATTACATGACAAAAACAATATAGTAAATCTCTTACAACCAAATCAGTGCTTACAACTTTATGTCTACAAAAAAAAGCTCTAGCAGGCACAGGTTCTAGGGTATAATCTCTCCCAATAATACGAGTGTATCTCAGATACAACGTAAGGTTTAAGATATAAATCGTCCTCAGACATTTATTTGGTAATCACTACCAAGCACAACTCAATACAAAGGTCGTTCATACTACAAATGAACAATCTAAAGCTGACGTGTTGCAGTGAAGGTCAGTCGATATGAAAGAATAAAACATCCTGTCAAATTCAACTTTTCACACAACTTGTTCAACTTTAAACCCTTGTACTTTGCTATGTTGATAAAATCAGTCCAAATGCCTAAAACATCATGGGACGTGAAGCGATACGCTTGAGATTCGAACACAATGAATAATTATAGTTTACAAGTAGCTCGCAAAAACGCAAATTTACCTTGATTTGTTATGAAAATAACGGCAGGAAAGACAAGTAGAAGCAAGAAAAGGAGTCTTTTTAATATACTAAACATTTTTTGAAGAATCTGAACGCCTTCGTTCGCCCCAGATTCAAATGGATTGTCTTTTCTTTATGAAAAGGACACCACCATAAGCGATGTTCAGAACAAAAGGAGCGAGCGAGTGGTCCAGTTAAAATTTGAGATCAATGCGTGTGTTTAAAACAATGAGCCCACAAGAAAATTTCTTTGGTCAGAGAATATACTTTGGTTAATAAGATACTTTATATATACCTCGATATACTGCAAATCGCTTTTGACGGTCAAATTGACTTGTGACGTCATGAATGATCCAAACATTTGCGCAGCCAATGAAAATGAAACGTTTGACCAAGAATGGGGAAGTGTCAAAGTAAAAAGAAAGACGCGCCCCCTGATATCACGTAAGTAGATTTCACGCCCTGGATCAGGAGTATATGGAAGTTACTGGTAAAAGCAGAGTGATTAATTAAGGTGTCATTTTTCATTTTTTTAGAATTGAATTGGAGAAGACATTACAGCAATGCATAAATGAAAGAGAAGAGTTTAAGGGGAAATATGAGGAATGTAATAAGTAAGTTTTTAGGCCTGTAGAATTTAATCATTTTCCTTCAACACCAGAGGGAACTTGTCCACGAAAGAATGCCCATGTTTTACCAACCAATCACAGCCATAGAAACAAAATAATTGCAAAATATAAGAACGCTTCTCTACTCTTTCAGGAGATACAATGACATTAAATCACAATTGGAGCAAAGTTTACGAACAGTGAAAACTCTACAAAAAAACTTAAAACTCTCCGAGGATAATGCGTCTTCGTTATACCGTCGTTATGCCATTGAAAGTGACTTGAACAAACGTCTAAGACAGCAAACATCAAAAGACAATTACAGACACGAATCATTGCCATGGTAAACTTTCTCTATATTCAGTTTATTTTATTCCATATCTTATCATTTATTTCTTCGTTTTTCATAGGAGGTCTATGGGAAGTGCAAGCTACGATATTCGCGAACGTTTGGAGGACTTTGAAGCTAGACTAAGTCATATTGAGTTGATATTAAAAGATACAAATGGCTCATACAACGATCTTATTTAGACAACAGCTAAACGTTTTATAAAATGTCTTGATATAAAGTCTTTTTAAATAAAAATTTAAATATCTTTCTATACATGTTCTTTCTAGTTTAACTTCTAAAGAACATCAAAATTTCTTCTTCAAATTTCGTGCAAGGTTTCTCATTGGAGAAATCGACTGTTTCACCGCGTCATCTGTGCAATAATTCTTCGGATTTTTCATGCAACATTTTGTCAACTTGTTCCACGTAGTTGTCGGTCAATGATTGAATCTAGAGTGACCCAAGTAAAGTTTGAATATTGCTAAAATATGCTATCGTTATTACATCTGTCTGCTTCATCCTTGTTAGTTAACGTTACGATGGCTTCGACTCCGGTAATATGCAGTTGCCTGATTGAAATGTCACTTCAGTCACAAGATTGCTTTCAAGTTTACAGGTCTAAATAATCCCGCAAATACTCGGGTCCTGTCCCGCAAATACTCGGGTCCTGCGCGATTCCGGAGTTCGTAAATACCTGTGAAAGACAACTAAGAAACAGCTTATTTCAATAAAATCATACTCACATAGTTTTCAATCATTCTCACATCATCTTGTGACATGACTTTCTTTTGCTTACGAACATCGTTCATGCCTTTCTGACGAACCCTTCTTATCCCAATCTTCGCCTCTTCGCAAACTTCTTTAGCTGACTTCACCAGAGTTTTGCGAACTTCCATTGTTAACCTCAAAATTAAGCGCAAGATATATATATTTGAAAGGGAATGAAAACACTAGAAATAACTGACCTATTTCCTCTTGGACAGATGAGGGAAATGGACTAACTAGGTCAATTACCTTGGTACAGTAACTGTGATGGTGTTGCCTTCCAGTAAAGGATTGAAGATCGAGTTTTCGTTCAAAGCTTTCATGGCTGGGCTGGTCATCTAAAAAAAAACACGTAAATTGTCTGCCAATAATAAGTTCAACATGCAAAGATACCAAAAAATTTGACGACTCTTACATTTGGAGATGACGTCAGGTCCAAAATATATTTGTCATCTTTGTTTTGTATTGAGGCAATGTTACCAAGAGAAATTTTACGCTTTCCAGTTGTCACTTTTATATTGTCAAATACAGCTAAGAATTAGATATTGCATTAGAACCCAGTTTACAACCTCATACGCAGGACACTTCTATGACACTCCGACATTGTCTAGAGAAGCCTGGTATGAAGTTTCTTGCATTTATTAGACAATGGATATAGCATGTATATCAGGTGTAGGGAAGATCTCGGAAATCTGGAATGAGCGAAGTTTAGACTTATGGTTGGGTTGATGAAGGATTTTTTTTGCAAGGAACTAAGAATATTTAGGTCAAGTTGAAGAATATTTAGGTGAAGTTTTTAGGAAAAGGGACAAGGATTATCTAACCAGGAGATTTTGGGGTACATATTAGTGAGGTTGACAAAGGATTTGCGGAGGATTTGTGGCTGAAAGTCCCACACAGAAGATCTGATTAAAGAATAATAATACCTGGTGATATTCTTGTTGTTATGCAGCACCTAAACTCCTGTTTAAGTTTGTCCACTTCAGTCTCCATATTACACAACAATTTATCAATATCCACCACACCTTCAGCAACATCACTGTTGAACGATGCCTGCGAAATCTCTTTTTTTCTTCTTAACATCTGTTAAAAGAATAGTCTTTATTCATATTAAATAGTTTTCATGCAGTTTATTTACCACTATGTGGCAACAGAAAGAGATGCACCAAACTTGGTCTGAGATTGTCAGATTGACAATTCCCCAACTGTACATGGTCACTACCCATTTTATCAACAAAATAAAACAAATAACTCTGACTTACTTTTCTTACTTGCATAGCATCGAGAGAAACTCGTAGAAAGCAAGGGTAAACCTTGCTTCAAGTAAGAACCTCTTCTCAACATTGAAAACGACAAAGCAAATTTTTGAAATGTCGCCGCCATATTTTTGCGTAAAATTTAAATCCCCTTGAAGTGTTTCCACAATGATGATGGAAGATCGTAAACTTCTCATGGAAACACAGAATAAAAAGGTGTGATAATTATTCGGAAAAAAATTTTAAGCGCTTCACTTCAATAGGACGCAGTTGGGTGACTTTCGGATCATTTTTCTCCAAGATGCACGGAGATTGTACCGATTTAAAAACTTCTACGAACTCAAAAAAGTATGTCAAAAATCATGCTGGGGCTAGGATCCTCGCTGCAGGTTACACAAAAGGTATTCTGGATCTTTAATCTATCGTTTCAATTATGTTGGACCTTGTTGGTATGCTTCGTTGACAAACAGGCTACGCTCGATTGCTTCTGTAGACTCTGACGATCGTATTTTACAGACTACACACTGAAATATAGCTTAAATTGTAGATAATTTTGTGACCTAATAGTTCAGGTATTTTTAGTACAGTAATATGGAATAAAATAATCCTATTGTTGACCTATTCTGCCGGTAAAAATTGTGGGAATCGGCGGAATCGCTACTTGACTAAATTGTGACATATGCAAAAATTGTTCCATGGAACAAATTGTTACAACTTATATTTTCTAAATTCTAATCGTGTATAGAAAATAAAACTAGGACTGACACAGCTGAATTTGCTATACTTTTGAGTCGTACGTTTGACAGATAGAGGACGTATGTCGTATGTTGATATGATTAATTTTTAATCACGCCACTGTGAACTTTGTACATGGGAACTATAGGTAGTTATGCAATACCATAAGAATGGTGAAACACTGAGCTCTATTTATATACTGAGCTAACATTTGCACATAGGCACTTTATTGACATCAAAATTATTTTTTTATAGAAAAACGATTGCTGGAATACTGCAGTGTTATATCATATGTTGTCCTGATGTTTGTATTCATGTTGTCATTGGTGCTAAACCTTCATCTAAATGATCTCAGATACATACTTATTGGTTCATGTAAGTTTTAAGCAGTTCTACTCACTTCTACATAGTGATGTATTGTATAAATATTAAAATAATCATCCCTTTAACTGATTGCTTTATTTTTCTGTTCTAGTTTTAGGGATACTTAGTGCAGACTTTTTATCAGGCTTTGTCCATTGGGCTGCTGATAGCTGGGGATCTGTTGACTTCCCTTTCATAGGCCAGGTAATATGATATTATTGATCAGACAATGACTATATTATCTTCGAATGTGGTTTGGTAATGGCATAAAATATGCAAAAAATCTCCAAGAGATTTTTCTTGTTGATTATCAGCAAGTTGCTGACCATGTTTTATAAATGTTAATTGCATCTGTTTATACTTTATATGTACTTTTCAAGGCATTCATCAGACCATTTCGTGAGCATCATGTTGATCCAACTGCACTAACAAGACATGATGTCATTGAAACCAATGGAGACAATTGTCTATTGACAATTCCAACATTATCATACATGGTTTATAAACATTTGACATTTGACAGAGTTGTGCTTCATGAACATTGTGCTTGGGATTGGTATATTTGCGCTTTAGCGATCTTTGTTTCTCTCACCAATCAGATTCATAAATGGTCGCACACATATTTTGGTTTACCACGATGGGTGATTTTCCTACAAGATTGTAACATCATTTTACCAAGAATACATCATCGGGTTCACCACGTCGCTCCTCATGAAACATACTTTTGTATAACGACTGGTTGGTTAAATTACCCGCTTGAGGTGATCAAGTTCTGGCAAGTATTGGAATGGTGTATAACAAAAATAACTGGTTGCAGACCAAGGACAGATGATTTAATGTGGACTAAGAGAAAATAATTTTATAAAAAATGAAATTGCAGATGAAATTAATGCTGTTAATTTATTGGAGTAATCTTAGCCCGTAGCAAAGGGAGGCAAACATATGCATGCCATAGACCTACACCATGTTTTCTTGTGACCAATTTCACATGTTCAAATCATTTTGTACTCTATGATAAGAGCTCATTTTGAAACCTGGAAGTCCTTGTGCTTGTGATAGTACTTAGATTCTCTTCCTGTTTCAATGTTTTATTTCATGATTTGAAACACTGAACTATTCTTTCATTGGTTACCAAGACCTGACACATGATGTAGTCTATTTAAAGCTTATTTAATGAAGTGTAAGTTATTAAGTATTATAAAGGTCAGTGAAACTGGACAAAAAAATAGTTATGGTCAAAGGCAATCAATGAAAAATGAAAGTTAAATCCTTTTTTGAGGAAATAACTGTGTAATTAATGACCTGTAAATATATACAGAAGGAATATTAAAGTAAAATGTTACAGATGCAAATATACAGTTAAATTTCTATTGTCAATAAAAATATGTATAACAAATTCCAAAGTGCACATATTTTTTACACCTGATTGAACAGTTTGAGTTATGTGGCCAGCCAAATAAATCTAAATATACTTGTTTTGATTGGTCTACCTCTTCTACTGTTGAAATACTTATTACCAACAATGTTTATTGTGGCAAGTTATTAAAAAGACAATTATCTAATCCATTTTTAGTGCAAACAATCATCCTTTATCCTTACCACATATATGAGATTCCTCGATTAATGAAATTCCTCGCTTCAAAAATGCGAAACATTTGAAGGGGAATAATTATGAACATAATTTTTATGCCTAACTATAGTGCAACCAACTATAATTTTACCCAGACTTACATTATTGAACCCCTATGTCTTATAATTTGGTATGATACGACTCCAAAGCAAACCGTATGAGGAATTTCTTGGCATTGGCTTCTCTTTACACTCAATGATGTAATTCTTATTATCATTATTATCCCAGAATTCATTGTCAGGTGACGTTGTTCTGTAACAAACTGCAAACTCTATCTTCTCACCATTCTTAATGGTGTTAGGCACAGTTATTGCAAACGAGAAGCGATCAAAATTACCATCATAAGATAATGGTACATAGCTTCCATTAACATCCTCAAATGACTTCCAGTTGTCAAAACTACATCGAACAAATACCAATTTCTCGTAGGTGATATTCCGAACCTTGATGGTCCCCATTAACGCACAATTTGAAACCACAACATTCTCCAAAGAAACACTTAGCCTGTTCAGTCGTTCCACAAAGTTAGGCTGTGCAATTGGCTGTGCAAAGTTAACAGTAAGCTCTTTTGTTATCTCATATTTCAAATCAGAATTTGAAGGTACTGTCAGATCATCCATAGATATTTTATGAACTGACACAAGTGACAGGCCACAAACATCAGCAAAGTGCACATTCTTGCTCTTTGTTAACGGCAACGATTTTTGCTTTTTAAGAATAGTTTTCTGTCTGGTTTCGCTTTCTTCCATTTCCCAAGAGGACATAAACAACGCTTCATATGGCAACAAAACATCAAAAGAAACACTTCTCGCCTTCCTCCCGTGCAGACCAGCGACATTGAATTAAATTTTAAATAGTAAACAGAGGGTTGAACCTAGAACATGCAGTAATGCACGTAGTATTAAAACAATGACATTGATATATATATATTGGCCAGTTGATATTCAATGACTCATGATGTTTATAAATACACAAATTCGAAATACATACACATACATTGTTGCTCACGAAGGGAAGCATATCTAGGTTAGAAAGCATAAAATGCTTTCTCATAAAAAGCCATATCCTTCAGCCTTACCTCAGTTAAAAGGGGAGAGTTTTCACATGATTACAAAGGTATTTCCGTTACAAAATCTGCAGCGATTGCAGCGATGTACAATCGTAATTGATGTGATTACAGCTTTCATTATAACAAGTTATTAAAACAAACGTCGTGCCCAGGCCACAGATTAGGGAAGCTTGATCTTAATCCGATAATTCAAGTACGATAATGCGGATTACGAATAAGGATTACTGTCATAATTTTCTATATTAATCAGTCCGAAGTCCAAATCCATCAACGAGGATAGCGCTAGCCTGCGGTGCAGACACTTCGAATTACAAAGTGTGTTCGTTTGTAATTCAAAGGTAGTTACTTTATGTGACCCCTATTATAATGTATCACATATTATAGTGTATCACATACTTAGTCCTCCTCAGTCTCCCTCAGCCATCCTTAGCCCTCCTTAGACATCCTTAGCCCTCCTTTGGCCTCCTTACACCACCTTAGCACTCCTTAGCCCTCCTTAGGCCTCCTTAGCCCACCTTAGACCTCCTTAGCCATCCTTAGCCCTCCTTTGGCCTCCTTAGCCCTCCTTAGCCCTCCTTTGGCCTCCTTACACCACCTTAGCACTCCTTAGCCCTCCTTAGGCCTCCTTAGCCCACCTTAGACCTCCTTAGCCATCCTTAGCCCTCCTTTGGCCTCCTTAGCCCTCCTTAGCCCTCCTTTGGCCTCCTTACACCACCTTAGCACTCCTTAGCCCTCCTTAGCCCTCCTTAGCCCTCCTTAGCCCTCCTTAGCCCACCTTAGACCTCCTTAGCCATCCTTAGCCCTCCTTAGACATCCTTAGCCCTCCTTAGCCCTCCTTTGGCCTCCTTACACCACCTTAGCACTCCTTAGCACTCCTTAGCCCTCCTTAGGCCTGCTTAGCCCTCCTTAGCCCACCTTAGACCTCCTTAGCCATCCTTAGCCCTCCTTAGCCCTCCTTAGCCCTCCTTTGGCCTCCTTACACCACCTTAGCACTCCTTAGCCCTCCTTAGGCCTCCTTAGCCCTCCTTAGCCCACCTTAGACCTCCTTAGCCATCCTTAGCCCTCCTTAGACATCCTTAGCCCTCCTTAGCCCTCCTTAGGCCTCCTTAGCCCTCCTTAGCCCTTCTTAGCCCTCCTTAGACATCCTTAGCCCTCCTTAGCCCTCCTTGGATCACCTTAGCCCTCCTTAGACCACCTTAGCCCTCCTTAGGCCTCCTTAGCACTCCTTAGCCCTCCTTAGCCCTCCTTAGCCCACCTTAGACCTCCTTAGCCATCCTTAGCCCTCCTTAGACATCCTTAGCCCTCCTTTGGCCTCCTTACACCACCTTAGCACTCCTTAGCCCTCCTTAGGCCTCCTTAGCCCTCCTTAGCCCTCCTTAGCCCACCTTAGACCTCCTTAGCCATCCTTAGCACTCCTTAGCCCTCCTTAGCCCTCCTTAGGCCTCCTTAGCCCTCCTTAGCCCACCTTAGACCTCCTTAGCCATCCTTAGCCCTCCTTAGACATCCTTAGCCCTCCTTAGCCCTCCTTTGGCCTCCTTACACCACCTTAGCACTCCTTAGCCCTCCTTAGGCCTCCTTAGCCCTCCTTAGACCTCCTTAGACATCCTTAGCCCTCCTTAGACATCCTTAGCTCTCCTTAGCCCACCTTAGCCCTCCTTAGACATCCTTAGCCCTCCTTTGGCCTCCTTACACCACCTTAGCCCTCCTTAGCCCTCCTTAGCCCTCCTTAGCCCTCCTTTGGCATCCTTAGCCCACCTTAGCCCTCCTTAGACATCCTTAGCCCTCCTTTGGCCTCCTTACACCACCTTAGCCCTCCTTAGCCCTCCTTAGGCCTCCTTAGCCCTCCTTAGCCCTCCTTAGCCCACCTTAGACCTCCTTAGCCATCCTTAGCCCTCCTTAGACATCCTTAGCCCTCCTTTGGCCTCCTTAGCCCTCCTTAGCCCACCTTAGACCTCCTTAGCCATCCTTAGCCCTCCTTAGACATCCTTAGCCCTCCTTAGCCCTCCTTTGGCCTCCTTAGCCCTCCTTAGCCCACCTTAGACCTCCTTAGCCATCCTTAGCCCTCCTTAGACATCCTTAGCCCTCCTTAACCCTCCTTTGGCCTCCTTACACCACCTTAGCACTCCTTAGCCCTCCTTAGCCCTCCTTAGGCCTCCTTAGCCCTCCTTAGACCTCCTTAGGCCTCCTTAGCCCTCCTTAGCTCTTCTTAGGCCTCCTTAGCCCTCCTTAGCCCTCCTTAGGCCTCCTTAGACCACCTTAGCCCTCCTTAGACCACCTTAGCCTTCCTTAGGCCTCCTTAGCCATCCTTAGCCATCCTTAGCCCTCCTTAGCCCTCCTTAGGCCTCCTTAGCCTTCCTTAGGCCTCCTTAGCCCTCCTTAGCCCTCCTTAGGCCTCCTTAGCCTTCCTTAGGCCTCCTTAGCCATCCTTAGACATCCTTAGCTCTCCTTAGACATCCTTAGCTCTCCTTAGCCCTCCTTAGGCCTCCTTAGCCTTCCTTAGGCCTCCTTAGCCCTCCTTAGCCATCCTTAGCCCTCCTTAGCCCTCCTTTGGCCTCCTTAGCCCTCCTTAGCCCACCTTAGACCTCCTTAGCCATCCTTAGCCCTCCTTAGACATCCTTAGCCCTCCTTAGCCCTCCTTTGGCCTCCTTAGCCCTCCTTAGCCCACCTTAGACCTCCTTAGCCATCCTTAGCCCTCCTTAGACATCCTTAGCCCTCCTTAACCCTCCTTTGGCCTCCTTACACCACCTTAGCACTCCTTAGCCCTCCTTAGCCCTCCTTAGGCCTCCTTAGCCCTCCTTAGACCTCCTTAGGCCTCCTTAGCCCTCCTTAGCTCTTCTTAGGCCTCCTTAGCCCTCCTTAGCCCTCCTTTGGCCTCCTTAGACCACCTTAGCCCTCCTTAGACCACCTTAGCCTTCCTTAGGCCTCCTTAGCCATCCTTAGCCATCCTTAGCCCTCCTTAGCCCTCCTTAGGCCTCCTTAGCCTTCCTTAGGCCTCCTTAGCCCTCCTTAGCCCTCCTTAGGCCTCCTTAGCCTTCCTTAGGCCTCCTTAGCCATCCTTAGACATCCTTAGCTCTCCTTAGACATCCTTAGCTCTCCTTAGCCCTCCTTAGGCCTCCTTAGCCCTCCTTAGCCCTCCTTAGCCCTCCTTAGCCCTCCTTAGCCCTCCTTAGCCCTCCTTTGGCCTCCTAGACCACACTTAGCCTCCTTAGACCACCTTAGACATCCTTAGCTCCCTTAGCCCCTCCTTAGGCCTCCTTAGGCCTCCTTAGCCTCCTTAGCTCCTTAGCCCTCCTTAGGCCTCCTTAGCCTCCTTAGCCCTCCTTAGACCACCTTAGCCCCCTTAGCCCTCCTTAGGCCTCCTTAGCCATCCTTAGCCCTCCTTGACCACCTTAGCCCTCCTTAGACCACCTTAGCCCCTTAGCCCTCCTTAGGCCTCCTTAGCTCCCTTAGCCCTCCTTAGGCCTCCTTAGCCCTCCTTAGCCCTCCTTAGCCCCTTAGCCCTCCTTAGCCCTCCTTAGCCTCCTTAGCCCTCCTTAGCCCTCCTTAGACATCCTTAGCCCTTCCTTAGCCCTCCTTAGGCCCTCCTTACCTCCTTAGCTTACCTTAGACCTCCTCAGCCCACCTTAGACCTCCTTAGCCCTCCTTAGCCCTCCTTAGCCCTCCTTAGCCCTCCTTAGACCTCCTTAAACCTCCTTAAACCTCCTTAGACCGCCTTAGCCCTCCTTAGCCCACCTTAGACTTCCTTAGCCCTCCTTAGCTTTCCTTTGACCGCCTTAGCCTACCTTAGACCTCCTTAGCCGTCTATACATCTTCTTATTTCTTTCCAAAAATATATCACATTACACGGAAAATACATAACATACCTTTTAAAGTGCTACCGCAACGAAATTTTGACCCCATTTTTATTGGCTCAATTTAAAGTTCTCACTTTCCTGATTTCATTTTTGAAAACATAATCAAAATTGGCTTTCTCAAAAGATTTTTATAGCTTTCCAAAGTCGCGATTTTTGCCACTTAGACATGCGAACTTTTGCTCCGCCATAATGTAGTTTGTGACGTAGAAAAGAGTACCGATTCTTAGCATACTAGTGTTAAGTAGCCTCATCGACGAAGAAGCTGCGTTTCTTACAGTCCCTACTAAGCCAGTATTCATCAAAATTATTAAATATCTATACATATGTTCCTAACGAAAAAATGGATCGCCAAAGTCGAAGAAAATATTGAATTTTGTTCCGACTTTCTGTTTCATGGTGCGGTTCTTTGCGCGGCTAAGTCGATTTCAAAGATTCGTATATGACTCTTGTTTAGCAAGATCCCTTAAATAAAAGAGTATCGAAAGAAGATTCTGTGCATACATTTGATGTCTGAACTGATCGTAGCACAAGTTGAAAGCTAACTGATATATAGGCAAAGGCTGATTTTACCATCAATGCGGAGATACTTTGCGCGCACATGCATTCATGCTGAATAAAGCTGATGTTGGCCTTGGTGTCTTAATGTGCACGGCGAGTGCCGTTTCATAAGACATTGAAGTTCAATTTAAATCAGCAAGGATGGTGTTTCTTGAGTATTTATGCATGTAGATAAAAGGACCTGTGTTAGTGTGTGTTTCAGTTTGATATATTTCGATACGCGCTATTGCAAAACAGTGGCAATGTGGCATTTACAATAGCCAGTATATTACTGTTTATGGTTTGCGGGAATATATCGCATAGCATACACCAATATTATCAGTAACAAGGACATCATATCATTGCCTTCGTCTTGTTTTACTGAAAGGCTAAGCAGTTTTTTTAAGTTCTTCAAGATCGTCTTACGTAGGACTTTGTGGCATAAAGGACTATGCGGCACAAGATATACATGCTTATATATGGCATATATTACTACATTATATCTCTGTCAGACGGGCTAAGACTAGTTTGAATTTTCTAACAAATCGGCGTATATTTTCAGACCCTTTACCAGGCATTTCTTCAATATATGTTAGTTAACAGAATTAACTTCCATTTCAAAATAAAATGATTTGGTTCTCCGCGTCAAGCTCGAAAATTTGAAGCGGACAACACACAAGCTATATATATTACCATAAGCTTCGAAATATCGGTACTCGTTATGACGTCACATCAGCAAACATGGCGGCTATAAAAGTTCGCATTTGATACCGAGGTTTGAGGGTAAAATTAGTCAACTTCTACTTAACACACAAAAGTCATATATACATCAAATTGTTTCTAAAAGGCTGAATATTTGTTTAGGCTAATAAAAATCGGGTCGAAAATTTCGTTGCAGTAGCACTTTAAGGAGGTCTAAGGTAGGCTAAGGAAGGCTAAGGAGAGCTAAGGATGTCTAAGGAGGGCTAAGGTGGGCTAAGGAGGGCTAAGGAGGCCTAAGGAGAGCTAAGGATGTCTAAGGAGGGCTAAGGTAGTCTAAGGAGGGCTAAGGAGGGCTAAGGTGGTCTAAGGAGGGCTAAGGAGGGCTAAGGATGTCTAAGGAGGGCTAAGGTGGTCTAAGGAGGCCAAAGGAGGGCTAAGGAGGGCTAAGGAGGCCTAAGGAGGGCTAAGGAGAGCTAAGGATGTCTAAGGAGGGCTAAGGAAGCCTAAGGAGGGCTAAGGAGGGCTAAGGTGGTCTAAGGAGGGCTAAGGTGGTCCAAGGAGGGCTAAGGAGGGTAAGGAGGCCTAAGGAGGCTAAGGAGGGCTAAGGAGTCTAAGGAGGGCTAAGGAGGGCTAAGGAGGGCTAAGGAGGCCTAAGGAGGGCTAAGGAGGCCAAGGAGGGCTAAGGTGGGCTAAGGAGGCCAAGGAGTGCTAAGGAGGGCTAAGGAGGCCTAAGGAGGGCTAAGGAGGGCTAAGGGGCTAAGGAGGGCTAAGGAGGGCTAAGGAGTCTAAGGAGGGCTAAGGTGGTAAGGAGGCCAAGGAGGGCTAAGGAGGGCTAAGGAGGCCTAAGGAGGGCTAAGGAGGCTAAGGAGTCTAAGGAGGGCTAAGGAGGCCTAAGGAGGGCTAAGGAGGGCTAAGGGTCTAAGGAGGGCTAAGGTGGTCAAGGAGGGCTAAGGAGTGGTAAGGAGGCCTAAGGAGGGCTAAGGAGGGCTAAGGATGTCTAAGGAGGGCTAAGGAGGCCTAAGAGGGCTAAGGAGGCCTAAGGAGGGCTAAGGAGGCCAAGGAGGGCTAAGGTGGGCTAAGGAGGCCAAAGGAGTGCTAAGGAGGGCTAAGGAGGCCTAAGGAGGGCTAAGGAGGGCTAAGGAGAGCTAAGGATGTCTAAGGAGGGCTACGGAGGGCTAAGGAGGGCTAAAAAGGCCTAAGGAGGGCTAAGGTGGGCTAAGGAGGCCAAAGGAGGGCTAAGGAGGGCTAAGGAGGCCTAAGGAGGGCTAAGGGGAGCTAAGGAGGCCTAAGGAGGGCTAAGGAGGGCTAAGGTGGTCTAAGGAGGGCTAAGGTGGTCCAAGGAGGGCTAAGGAGTGGTAAGGAGGCCTAAGGAGGGCTAAGGAGGGCTAAGGATGTCTAAGGAGGGCTAAGGAGGGCTAAGGAGGGCTAAGGAGGCCTAAGGAGGGCTAAGGAGGCCCAAGGAGGGCTAAGGTGGGCTAAGGAGGCCAAAGGAGTGCTAAGGAGGGCTAAGGAGGCCTAAGGAGGGCTAAGGAGGGCTAAGGAGAGCTAAGGATGTCTAAGGAGGGCTACGGAGGGCTAAGGAGGGCTAAGGAGGCCTAAGGAGGGCTAAGGTGGGCTAAGGAGGCCAAAGGAGGGCTAAGGAGGGCTAAGGAGGCCTAAGGAGGGCTAAGGGGAGCTAAGGAGGCCTAAGGAGGGCTAAGGAGGGCTAAGGTGGTCTAAGGAGGGCTAAGGTGGTCCAAGGAGGGCTAAGGAGTGGTAAGGAGGCCTAAGGAGGGCTAAGGAGGGCTAAGGATGTCTAAGGAGGGCTAAGAAGGGCTAAGGAGGGCTAAGGAGGCCTAAGGAGGGCTAAAGAGGGCTAAGGTGGTCTAAGGAGGGCTAAGGAGGCCTAAGGATGGCTAAGGAGGTCTAAGGTTGGCTAAGGAGGGCTAAGGAGGCCTAAGGAGGGCTAAGGAGTGCTAAGGTGGTGTAAGGAGGCCAAAGGAGGGCTAAGGAGGGCTAAGGATGTCTAAGGAGGGCTAAGGATGGCTAAGGAGGTCTAAGGTGGGCTAAGGAGGGCTAAGGAGGGCTAAGGAGTGGTAAGGAGGGCTAAGGAGTGCTAAGGTGGTGTAAGGAGGCCAAAGGAGGGCTAAGGATGTCTAAGGAGGGCTAAGGATGGCTAAGGAGGTCTAAGGTGGGCTAAGGAGGGCTAAGGAGGGCTAAGGAGGGCTAAGGAGGGCTAAGGAGGGCTAAGGTGGTCTAAGGAGGGCTAAGGTGATCCAAGGAGGGCTAAGGAGGGCTAAGGAGGGCTAAGGATGTCTAAGGAGGGCTAAGAAGGGCTAAGGAGGGCTAAGGAGGCCTAAGGAGGGCTAAGGAGGGCTAAGGATGTCTAAGGAGGGCTAAGGATGGCTAAGGAGGTCTAAGGTGGGCTAAGGAGGGCTAAGGAGGCCTAAGGAGGGCTAAGGAGTGCTAAGGTGGTGTAAGGAGGCCAAAGGAGGGCTAAGGATGTCTAAGGAGGGCTAAGGATGGCTAAGGAGGTCTAAGGTGGGCTAAGGAGGGCTAAGGAGGGCTAAGGAGTGCTAAGGAGGCCTAAGGAGGGCTAAGGTGGTCTAAGGAGGGCTAAGGTGATCCAAGGAGGGCTAAGGAGGGCTAAGGAGGGCTAAGGATGTCTAAGGAGGGCTAAGAAGGGCTAAGGAGGGCTAAGGAGGCCTAAGGAGGGCTAAGGAGGGCTAAGGATGTCTAAGGAGGGCTAAGGATGGCTAAGGAGGTCTAAGGTGGGCTAAGGAGGGCTAAGGAGGCCTAAGGAGGGCTAAGGAGTGCTAAGGTGGTGTAAGGAGGCCAAAGGAGGGCTAAGGAGGGCTAAGGAGGGCTAAGGAGGGCTAAGGATGGCTAAGGAGGTCTAAGGTGGGCTAAGGAGGGCTAAGCAGGCCTAAGGAGTGCTAAGGAGTGCTAAGGTGGTGTAAGGAGGCCAAAGGAGGGCTAAGGAGGGCTAAGGATGTCTAAGGAGGGCTAAGGATGGCTAAGGAGGTCTAAGGTGGGCTAAGGAGGGCTAAGGAGGGCTAAGGAGGGCTAAGGAGGGCTAAGGAGGGCTAAGGAGTGCTAAGGTGGTGTAAGGAGGCCAAAGGAGGGCTAAGGAGGGCTAAGGAGGCCAAAGGAGGGCTAAGGATGGCTAAGGAGGTCTAAGGTGGGCTAAGGAGGCCTAAGGAGGGCTAAGGAGTGCTAAGGTGGTGTAAGGGGGCCAAAGGAGGGCTAAGGATGTCTAAGGAGGGCTAAGGATGGCTGAGGGAGACTGAGGAGGACTAAGTATGTGATACACTATAATATGTGATACATTATAATAGGGGTCACATAAAGTAACTACCTAATTCAAAGCGTCTGCACCGCAGGCTAGGATAGCGCTAGCTAGGACGGTCCCAATGCGATGGGCCAAGTTTTGCTTTACAATCAAAAGCCCAGGCCATACAGTACCGGAGATAGGATAGTTCAGTGTAATCTTTCTTGAATATACCTCCAGATGAACCTCGCTCACAACCGTAGAAGCACCCGCTTTTTAAAACTGCGTATCAAAGAAACCTAACGACATAAGATTCCCCAGTTAGGAGAAGAAAATATTCCACTTTTATATGCCATTAATTGCCCCGTACGTCAATTAATGAAATCTTTTTTCAGTAAATTAGCGTTTAATAATTAGACTTCGCTAGACTATGGTTTTACCATGAACAAACAAATACCTATTGCTCCCAAGAAAATATTTGCTTTTCGTCTGCTTCATGAACGACAAAGAAGCTTAGGAAAAATAACTTGTTCAAATAGAATCAAACGTGTTGAATTTTTTTCATTTCAAAACTGATGAATAGCGTTCATAGAACACTAATGCAATTTTCTTATCGTCTCAACTCTTTCTCCTAAACTTTAGCTGAATGTAATTTCATGCACGCCCTTTCATGTAAAATTGGTTTTATTTTCGGTAAACACATTAAGCTCTTCTCCTTCAAAGTTTTGTTTTTAAAGAACAAACTTCCGTTTATATGATATGTTGCAACATCACAGTCTTGTTTAAATGAAAAAATACGTCATGAAAATGTCATCATGTGATGAAAATGGAGTAATATGATTGGGTTACTGCTTAAAGATTTCGAAATGGTCTACGTATATTCGAGGATCTGCCTTGGTTGTGGTTACTGCTGCACACCTCACTCGCTGAACAAGGTTGTCGAGTTGCAAGTGAAATCAAACAGAAAACATGGCAGGTATGTTGAGCTGTAACTCAGGATAGAAAACGCCAACCATATGGTAAACTGTCAAAACTTCAATACATATACGAGAGACACTTATGCACGGGTCTTAACACGACGATCGGAAATCACTTGGGAGCACATTCAATAAACTGCACTTAAGTTACCTCGCCCTGGGTTAGTCTCAACAAAAATCAATGACAGAAAGTCTTTTGTGCGCAAACTGACTTGAACTGTCGGAATTGATTGAGAAGATGTAGAATCTTCTGCAACACAAGGGCTTAGGATTTGGCAAAGGAAAGTACGTTTGCCAGGTTTTTAATGTCTAACATAGGAACGTAACAAGAGGTCTTTTATTCTTGTTTGTCTCTGCTTCTCAATGTTGACTTAATTCTAGGATTTCGTGTTGTGGACAACGCCTTTAACACACCTTCAACCAAGCTTCTTTTCCCCGTGATCTGACAAAATCTATTCAGTCCAGTTCATCGTATTTTGCAGGGCTTAAAGAAGAGATCAGTTCCACACATAATAAAATCATTGAACTTCTTGGTCAGGGAAAGAATAAGGAAGCGCTTGAATACTACACAGACGATTGTGTAATCATGCCTCCTGGAAAAGAGACAGTCCGGGGAAAAGACGGTTAGTTGAAAAATACGTTTGTCAGCACTGTGATTTTACGTTTAAAAGACAAATCAGGTGCCTTGCGCAAACCTCCCTGAATATTTTCTTAGGAACCCAGGAAAGATGAAACTGGACAGTTTCAAAATGAGTCCCACTGAGCATGTCTGGAGGTTCATGTTTTCCTTCTGAATGAATTCATAGACGAATCACACAATGTTTCTTTTTTCCATCGGTAGCTTTTCTGAAGTTCATAGAAGCTTCAGCAGAGTTGCAAAGCAAGGTTGGCAAGAGCGAGTGTGTTGAAGAAGTAGTGTTTGGTGAGGGAGATTTAGTCACATCACGAAGTAAAGGCACAGTTTATGGCAAGGATGACTCCGTGATTTTCACGGAAAAGTAAGTTGAAGAAGCTCTTCAAGGTAGATATCTTTCTCAGGTAGTTCAGACACAAACCACGACAGCTTATTGTAGAATACTACCTACACTGGACCACCACGTTTGAGCTAGATATCTTTCTCAGATAGTTCAGAATTCAGATAGAAACCACGACAGCTTATTGTAGAATACTACCTAATCACTTATCATTGATTAATTCCGTCGTACAAAAAGAGGTAGATTAATTTTCAACGAGGGACTTAATTAAATGAAATATTTCTTTCAGAGCGTTGACAGTGTGGAAAAAGGTCAACGGCAAGTACTTGGTACATAATGTCGTTTGGAACATGGATAAACCATTCACTTTTTGAAAAATATGAACCACAAATCTGTAGTACCATTGTGAAATGCGTTTAAATAAAGATAATGAATTGATTCAGAATTGCTTCATTTTCATTTTCCGTAGTGGTACTGTACATAAATCTTGATAATCTTCATTAAAAATTAACTATTCTAATTGTTCTATAACCCATGATAGAACTTGGTAATTTAGTCATGGTTGGAATAAATATCAGCTCATTTTTTGTTTGTCTTCGCCTGATATCGTTTCTCTGCGTTTCTTTTCACCGTGTTCAGCAATTTTATGATGATTAAAACTATACACAGTCATAACCAGACGAATAATACCCATCATAAACGCCTAGAAATCGCCCGAGATTCATTACTTAACAAAAGAAATAAAACGTAAAAAAACGGTTTGAGTCACAATACCTGAATGATGAGTTCCAGCCGAGATGACGCCGGACTCGCTCCACAAGTTAACATGTTTAAAAAATGCCCATCCATCCCGCTTGCAATCAAGAATTTCCCGCTCTTAAGGTGAAAAAGAAAGAAAACGAAAGACCTTAATATCAAATACAGCGTCCGTTTGAACGAAAAAAGAAGTCAAACAAAAAGCAGGGAAACCCGAAAGAGTTTCTTGTCAAATACGATAAAAATTTGTATTTTTACCTGAACGCCATTGAGGATATCTTTAGCAACCAATGAAGGAGAAAATACCCCAGCTGAGGCACTTATCAACTGAGTTTCTTCTGGCTGTAAAACAAAGAGAGTTTGTACAAAACTTAAACCACTAAAAAGTGTTTACACCACTAGACTTTTACTGAAGATTATTGGTAGGAAAGGTAGGAAACTTTGGATCTGACTTCAGGCTATTAACTTCAGACATTAAAGAATCTATTACTATAATCCAAAGCTTTTCATTTATATAACATCATCATGCATCCCTCTTTATCCTACCTTATCTTTATTTTCCTCTTCAAAGCCTGGTGTGTCCGTATCAGGAGGAAAGGCAATGGAAACCCCAATACCATGAGGTCGAACCTAAATAAATTACAAAAAATATCACATGCTGCAGGATAAGAAAGCTACTTGCTAATCCTAACCTCACAGGGCTTAAAATAGGTTGTTACCTCCATAAGAAGCGACTCTGCCAGACCGCGCAAGGCAAACTTCGAAGCAGAATAACCTGTGTAGCCAAATATTCCTAGCTAAATAAGACAAGGTGAAACCACATGAGCTGGGACAGATTTTCTTATAGCAAAAACTTCAATACTGTAATATCTTGTATCATTAAATAGATAGGCTCATATCCTTATTACAAGGATTGTGCAGATATTGCTAACCTCAAGCTAAACCTGGTCTATTCTATTCATTGGAATACCTCAGCTTCACACATACCTGCCCAGCCATCGAAGAAATAAACACAACATGACCAAACCGTTGTGTCTTCATTTTCGGCAAGATAGAGAAAGTTGCATTTACGGAACCAAAGTAATTTAAATCCATGAGTTGCTAAATTCAACAGAAAAGTGTCCTATAAGATTACAAAACACATCTCAACTTAGCTTTTAATTATTTATATTAATTGAAATCATTCTCAAAAGCAAAAAATAAATCCACCTTAAAGGATGAATGGTTATCTTCAAATAGGCCAGTTTTTGCCATACCAGCACAGTTGATAAGAATATCAACAGACTTAACCTTGAGGTAATAAAATTGAAAATATAATGAAAACTTCTGAAGTAGCTTAGGGTGACCATGGTGAGTAGCTTTATTTCTGCATTATTATGGAGAATATTGAAGTATTTTATTCAGTGCATATAGATAGGCAGAAGCAAACAAAAGCAGGGAGGGGAGGGTAAATATGCATAGTGATATCATTTCTAACATAAAGTACTCTTGACAGGTATTATCTTATACCTGTGATAGGACTTCTGTAAGTTGACTGTAATCTGTGACATCAGCACAAAATATGTTTATCTCTTGCTCTTCAAATGACCGAAACTTTTCAACTTCTTTTTTTGCATTTTCTAACTTTGTCTGAAATAAAAATGAACACATTCAGACATCAGTCCAAAAATAACTAACCTGTGAAGCAATTCCAATGTTCAAATACACAAAACAGAATACCTACCTTATTTCTAGCAAGTAATGAGACATTAGCGTGTCTTTTGACAGCTTCAATGGCCAGTGATTTACCAATACCACTGGATCCTCCAGTTATCTAAAAACCGAACCTTGTATTAAGTTTCCAAAGATTGAAAGCTCCTGGTTTTATGAAGTTTCATAATTAATAAGTTATAAATATACTTACAACGATGTGCAGTTTTGAAAGGCTGGGAATCTTTTTACAAGGTGGAAACCAAAAGATCAACGGAATGCAAATAAAAGCAAACAAAATAAGCAACAAGATAAAGTAGAACATTGCAGACCTGAGGAAAATTAGCACTGAAAATTAAGTTTCAAAAAAGTTCTACTGTTACAATTTAATCTTCTCGCATGACGTTTTCAATAAGCAATTCAGCATACCGCTGTTCAACCCAATCTCGCGGAGAGATGGGGGGGGAGGGCATGAGAGGTCAGTGGGTGTGAGAGAAGCTGTGGGGTCCTTTAAATTGGGTACGGTGTCCAAGAACGGGCACTACCTCCAGACATAGTGCAGCCTAAAGTCAGTCTTACAACGAGGCATATTCAGTAAAAATTACCGATTTTTTATTGCTAAATAGTCGTAGTTTAATTTACACATATGATATATACATTGCCATCAACTTTATAGTAGCTCTTCAGTCAACGGGATCTCTTTGGAATTATTGCGCATGATAGCGTAGAGAAATAGCTATAATATTGCGGTGTTTGAAACTTGCAACAAAATTTCAATTTTAAACCATTATTGGTAAGGATGAGTTGAGAATGTGACAATATTCAAGCATTCTAATTTAAGTTTCAAGCATTTCTGTTCTAATTAAATCATCCTTCTTTCTCGGAAGATGATTTGTGAAAATGCACATCTACATACAATTATCATAAAACCTCTCAGTTCTAGTGCTACGTTGGTTTTTCACTTTTCGTAGTTTCTTGAGGTTTTGTCTTGGTGGAGTGAACATGTGCCTTGATCCAGGGATGCTCCAACACGGCAGGCAGGGACAACCGGTGTTTGGGATTTCTCTGAAGTAGCTAAGGAATGAAGAGATATGATATTGAAATTGAAGAAGCTTCTCTCTTATTACAACTGAATTAAGAAAACTTTTCACTGATAAAAGAGTGCGGACTTACTTTTGATACAAGGTCTCGGGCAAGGGGGGAGACATAGGAAGGAAATCGCAAATCCACCTACAGGGATTGAAATATTATCATGAGAGCCATTTGAGAGACTACAGTCCATGCATGCAGTAGGTGGGGTTCACCATGCTTACCCGCGAGATACGTTTGTATGTTTCTGTGTGGCCTTCTGCCTCAAATGGCGGTTTGCCAACAAGGAATTCGTAACAGAGCACACCCAGACTCCATAAATCAACCTTTCATACAACACACAAACAAGCATGTTAATAAACAACAAAACACAAAATAAGTAGCAACAACAAAGTAGAGACAAGGTGAGATGAAAGTCAGGTAAATTCAGCAAACCTTTTCATCATGTTCGTTTCCTTCAATCATTTCTGGAGGAAGATAGTCCAGTGTTCCACAAAGGGTTGTCCGTCTGCAAAGATGCGCTCAAATTACAATTGTATTCGAATAAATTGCTCAGGAATTTACTTTTGTATGCTTCATTCTGTGTGAATTTTCATGCATGAGGAAACTTGAGGTGTACTAAGAAAGCAATATTTATATAGTTTTAACAAACCTTGACGAAGGTGCGTGGACAGACCAACCAAAGTCAGCAATTTTCAGATCTCCCTAGAAAAAGAACATTTTTGATTTGTGAAAAATGGAAGGTATTGAAAAGAGACACAAGAATGATACCATACATACCTTCAGTCCTAGTAAGATATTTTCAGGTTTGATATCACGGTGAATGACTTTCTTTTCATGACAGTATTTTAGTGCATCTGCAAGTTGTGCTATGTACTGAAAGAAGAGAATTATACAATTCAATTGTATTGGTGCAAGATTCTTCTATTTCTTTCTATTTATTAAAAAAAAGGTGTTTGGATGTGTCATTAAGTGCTTACTTTGGCAGATCTTTTTTCATCAAAATATTTATTTTTTGTCAATTCTTTGTACAATTCCCCAAGTGGAGCATACTCGAGAATTAGATAGACTCGAGAGCTGTCATAGAAATACCCATAAAGTCTCAGAATATTTGGATGCCTAAAACAAAGTTGAGAAAAGCTCACAAAGTGGTTCCAAACAACTAGCATATATAGGTCATGTTTCACACATCTGAAATCTACAATCTCAAATACAGGATTACCTTAAATGTGATTGAATTTCGATTTCTCGCCTGAGTTGATGTTCCACTTGTGATTTTTGTAACTGAGATTTAAACAGCACCTATGCAAGACAAGTTTGTAGAGAATCATATTAAAACTGCACATACGCGGCTACATTGTAATGTGACAATTAACAAATGAAGTGTTTCTGAGAAACATGGGTGAGTGGACACAAATGCAAAGTATCTAAATTTATACCTTACCTTCAAAGCTACAATATATCTGCTTACTTTTTCTCTGGCAAGGTAGACATTACCAAATTTACCTGGAATATTTATAAAGAATTGTGGAGTTAGACAAAAGAGAGAGAGACAATGGAATTACCAGCAATATGTACATCAAGATATGTAATAACATACAGTCTAGAGATAAAAAATACATACTTAATATGTCTCATTGAAACTTCTTGTACAGTATACATGAAATTCTCTTTTCTTATTATTATACTGTCTTAAATATAAATCTGACATTTGATTGTTATTTTTACCTTTCCCAAGCGGTTTTCCAATGTCAAAATCAGTAAGTTTCCAAACTTTCTGCTCCTTTTTTCCTTGGCAATTTTCCTTATCATTTGGTGGAGCAACGGCGACATCTTGACCCTCTGGTTTTGCTTTCACGACACGTTGTGGTGCGTTATTTTGAACATTTCCAACCTCCTGTGAAAATTAGAAAACAATTTAAACAATCGACTTTGAAAACCATAAGAAATAGCGTCGGAAAACGTATAAATTACCTTGCCAAAATAGTGATTGCTTTCGGCTGTCTTTACCGGTTGCATCGTGTCGCCGTGGTCCGAATGAACAAGCGCAATTTTGAGAACGCAAAAATGACCAGTTTCGTGAAGAATCGCTTCCGAACGTTCAAAAGATGTTCTCTTTTGAAAAGAAAAGCGGAGATAGCGAATAAAACAACGAAAATATGGAAATATAGCAGAAGAAATGAAGACACGTTTCAAAATAATTCACGAAGTCGAATCTTGAAGATTTTTAAAATTGACGTTATTGTAAGAGCGGCCTTCTGATTGGTTCATCACAGGTCAGTCCCAGGCCGATTAACACATACGCGTCTGATAAGCCACTGATCTTAAAATAAAACTTTTTTTTTAAATTTAAACTCTAAAATATCTGTTTCTGATTGTTTTTGAGTGACGAGTATTAAAACTTGCAATCCACCATATATTTGCAGAAGAATCCATGTGGATACGTTTTCTTACCTTTTTAAGAAACAAGAGATGTCTTTCTTCGGAATGGTATTCTGTATCACTGGTTTCCCCAACAGCTTGAGTTGACCGTGGCTTGAACCACTTGCCACAGGTTGGACCGACTGTACCCTAAGCAAATAGTCTGGACTTTTTTGCAACTGTAGAGACGTCGTTTGTAGCTTTTAGTCTGATCGAATGCAGAAATCTTTTCTTTAAATGGCTTACTCAAATTAATTATGATTTTTGGCACTTCACTAGATGCGGGTAAATTCTAGAGGTTCAAAGGGTCTTAATTTCGAGAATTCAAGTGGTATTATACACACTTCAAATTCAAGCCTGGAACAGTTGATGGAAAAATGAGTCAAATGTAGGTCCTCCGGCAGGAATCGAACACAGTATTTATGATTGGAATAAAATATAATAAGAGATCATGTTTGCAAACTTTACAGCCAAATATCACATGCAGTCATAGCATCAAAGCAATCTCTATCGTCCATTCCTCAAGCTTCCGGCACATTTATAATAAAAGCTAATAACACTTCAAAAGAGTTAAAATGAGTTATTAAAAAACAAAGTCTTCCTCTGTCATGTCGATAGCCCAGGCAAATTTTTGACGCTGAGTTTTATTGTAAATCTTTTCTATGGGAACCTTATTCTTGAGACACCTGGAAAAAAAGTTAAGATATTGGATTCAAAGGTTCTTGTCTTCTCAAACGAATTCCAAAAGAAAATCCTCACCAAGCGATTGATATCCTTGGATCTAGATAGTTTAACTTTGATGTCCCAAGTGCAATTTCTTTATTTTCATTCTATGGAGGAAAAACAATCAGAAAGAAATAAAGGAGAAATGTTTCAAGATATCGATAGAAGAGAATATGAAAAATACCTTATCTGTTTGAGAGACTTCAAGTTTAAAGAGTTGTTCCTTTAGTCTTTCTATCGCTGTTTTCTTTTTTTCAACTTTCCTAGCAAGCGCAGAAAGGTATTTCGTTAGTTATATAAGCCAAATTTAAAATATACTTCATTACATAACAATTCTTAGTTTAAGTAATTTTTTGTCTTACTTTGCTAAAGTAACGGAATCGCTTCCTTTTGCTTCGTGTTTCAGATCTTTCAGCTCGTTTTTCGCGTCCTTGATGGCCGTTCGTTTATCGTCAATCTGGAGAACAAAAGACAAATATATACGAGGGAATAAATAGAAAGCGAGTATCATTGAAGATCTGACTTATACATACGAAAATATATCATTGCTAAAGATTCTACAAACCTTTTTCTGAAGATTAGACATGGATTGTTCAAACGTTTTTGGTGCTGACCGCTAAAAGAAAAGTAAAAGTTTATAAAAACATTCTCATTATTATTGCCATCAAGATGACAGAGATTGCGGTGCGAGCCTTCCTCTGCAACGAGAAAGATAAAGTGAATTACTGAGAAAAACAAACGCAGGATGATATCTTGTTTACCTGATGGTTACAGAGAATAGCCACAGCACGATTAGCTCGGTTATATCCGAGTACATTTGCAGCAACATTATCCTCTACTTCCAGCTTATTCAACTGATCTTGTAGTGTCATCGAAGCGTTGTACGTACGGAAAACCTTCGCACTGAGGCCTTCCATCAACTCGGAGAGATATTTATTCAGAGATGTTGTCTGAAACATAAAACAACTCGTACTACAATCTTCAAACCAATTTTTCTTCTATCAAATGTGGTAAAACAACTGTCCAAAAATACTTCTCCAGGTTTCCACCTAAACCCAAGTGTCTTCTTCAGGAATTATTAAACTCAACTATGTCATACTTTAACAAACATTATAATTTCAAACTTACCGATAAACGATCAAATAAATCATCCCCGTCAGATTTTCCTTGTTTAAACAACTCCAAGTTCTTGTACACCTGATGTGAAATGCACAAGAATATTTGTATCTTTCTATCTAAAACCATGCACGTATCTTTTATTCTTTCATTGTACGTTGTTAAACCTACCCTCTTCTCAACTGGAACAATATTATGATAGTGGATTGAATCTTTACCAAGAAAATCAAACTCAACAACATATTCCTTATCGTCTAGCTTTTTATGGAGTTCTGAGAATGAAAAAAAGCATAACATTATTATGATTCTTATCTATCAATATCATCCATCATCACCTGCTAGTATCCCCTATCATCGTCACCCATCATAATCATTATTTACCACGATAATCCGTCATCATCACCCATGACCATTCTCATCCATCAACACCCGTCGTCACCGCTTATCAAGATCTACCAGAAGCTTAGTATCACAACTTACTAATATGTTCGTATCGCAACGAACAGCAACCAACAGTGTCAGCGGTATCTTCATCCTTCTCGTGACCAGCACGAAGAGCGAGCTGCGGGATAAACACGTGATCAATATAATTGATACACACTACAACAATGATTATATGAAGTACAATAGCATGGACAAAACATACCTTATCTATGAAATACAATGCTACTCCCCTAAAACAGAAAAAAAGATATGTTAGACCTGAACTTCTCTTCAAATAAACATGAGAATATCATCCTACCTTTGTCTAATACGCATCTCTTTCGCTTTCCAGTCGTTTGTATAATCTGCACGGATTTTCCCGATTTCACCCTAGAAATGTGAGAAATGTGTGGCGTTTTTTTACACAGCGCTATCAAACAGGAAACAGATGTCAGCCTGCAGTTATCAGAGCGAGAAGATAAATGAAATCTATCATGTAAATAATGTACTTCGCTTTTCCGAGACAAGCGTGTGGTTAAACTATCAGATATACAGTATATACCTTTAATTTTCGAGCAGTTTCGTATTTCTGCCAATCTTTCTCTCCCTAAATAAAACAACGTATTTACAGATGCCACCACGAAATCCTGAAATCCAGATAAAAACTCTAACTCGCTATAATTTACCTTTATCCTCGACGTGGGATTCAACATGACATATTTATAACTGCCTTGGATATTTTCAACCCAACACGCCAACCACGTAACCTAAAACACGGTCTTGACATGTCAAACTCGGTTTTAATCAAGTCTCAAAACACTTGTAAAGCTCGTTATCAATGAAGACAAACCTTATTATCATGCTGTATGGCTTTCCACCTCTGACCTTCAGGCGGGTCTGGTACTTTTGAATCTCTGAAAAAGATGGAATATTACTCATTTCTGTGATTGTAATTCACGACAACAAATCTTCTACTCACTTGCCAATGTTGATAATCACATCCTTTGCTTTGAGCCTCTTCTTCAGTTTTCCTTGCTTCGGGTGGTCCCCTCTACCCCTGAACAAACCCGGGGGTTCAATCTTGAAGTTCCCCACCCTCTCTTTATGATTATCCATCATACAGAAGCCGTATTCCTGCAAGATCGCTTCGTTTTTCTCCTTTATCACCTGTTTCTCTTCTTTAGTCATGTTCTTACGTTCCTCGTTTTTCTTAACATGAAGTACAAGGTGAGATTGGTAAAGTTTCTTCTTATCATAAAACTAAGTAAATCAATACACATGCAATGACCCTTACAGAACTCCTGAAGAACAATAAACTGTTTACCTGCGTATAATATGCATGCATTTCTTTGAAATCACATTTTGACAAATGCTTGATCAACTCTCGTTCCTCGTCAGTCATCTCCTTTCTCCAATCCTCGAAAAAGTTATCGTTAAAGATCTTCTTCGATGTGTAGTCATGGTCTAACATTTTGGCGTAGAATCCAGCGACCTTAAACGAGCATTGCAGAAAGTTAGAACAATTTGTACACAGTCCGTCTGTTGAGAGAACGAGATCTCATGTAAGCTTGCTGATCGCCAAGAAGCTGCCCATCAAAAGGGAGAACATCGCCCTGCGTTCCTTACAGTTCGTGTTGCTTAAGCATGCAAGAAATATGCAAGAAAAATGCGAGAAATATGCAAGAAATACATCGCCTTAACCTCTTCACTTTTGACGCTCAGTTTCACTTTGTTTCCTGCAAAGAAAATGAGTATAATTTAAAGATTTCCAATCAACAATATTACTATTAACATATGACTGAAGAGATGATTTTGTTACCGTTATAGTAAAAGTTAACGTCGTCAGGCAGAGGTTCGTATTCTGGTGGAAAATACGGTCCTTTGTGCTCTAATGTCAACCATTTTATTCCATCAGGATGTTTCTCTTCCTCCCACCTAAACAAATGAAGGAGGTTTAGTTTATAACAAGATGCTGTCCAGTTGAGAGATCAGTGTGTAGAAAATAAAACAAACCATTTCCACACTTCTTCTTCCTCCTTTTTTTCCTTTCCTTTTCCCTGTGAAGAAAAATCCATCGATGAAAATTACCGACACGGTAAGATCTCTTCTTTCTGGATAAGATCAAACTGACAATTGTATCCGCTGGCATGATGGTGAATGGCGTACACACACTAACAACTGTGTACTACGATATCCAAAAGAAACTCCTCATCTCACCTCTTTTCCCTTCTCAGGAGTCTTTGGACCATCGCTTCCTTTCTTTGACTTCGCTTTGCTCGCAGGTTTTTCTTTCTTCACACCACTATCTTTCCCGCCAGCATCAGATTTCTTTTTTAACTTTTTCTAGCGTGAAAAAACACAACGGAAACAAAGATCAGGACATGCCAACGTTGCAGGAAGCCAGGCCTGGAAACTAATCCTCAAAGGATATGTCTCCCCAATTAATACTTTAACTCTGACTTTGTGAGGTAGGGTCGCTTTATGGCTTTCCACCTTCCACAACCATTAACCAGGATTATCATAATATTTTAATTTTAAAGAGTTTAATCTTACCAATGGTTTGTTCTCATTATCGTCACTGTCCGAGCCTTTTCTCTTTCGTTCTCTGCTTGGCGTTATCTTGGGTTTAGCTCTTCGTTGAAAGAAAAAGAGGCAACTCAGAACAAAACAACACAAGATTAAACAACACCTGTCCATTGCGTCAAACCACAGCAGAAGACTTACCTCGCTGCCTGATCATATTCACAACATAAAAAAGAAGAGGAGGAAAGTTAGTAATTTATATTTTAATTTATCGACTAAACAACACCCCCTCTTTCTACCCACCCCTGGTCCACCCTTGCCTTTAAACGAATTAAACAGCAGCAAGCTTAATGTCAAAGGTATTCGATATATCAGAGAGTCAATAGGAATAAAATACGCTTCGTTTTGGAACACAGATCTTACTTTATAAAACTATAATAAGGAGAAGTAATTTGAGAGTCTCACCAAGGGTACGTCATCATCAGTGTCGTCTGTTGTTGTTTTTCCATCACTCTCCGTTTTAATTTTCTTCACTGCTTCTTTTTTAACCCTAGGTGTGTCTGATTTGTTCTCAGACTCTGAGCTACTCTTTGACCTCTTATCAGGCGAACTATTAGCTTCGACTTTATTCTTCTTCATTCCATCAACTTTTGGCGAACCAGTTGAACTAACATTTAATTTTGCCTTCTTCATTCCATCGACTTTAGAAGTTAAACGACTTGAATCTTTGCTATTATTATGTCTATCACCAGTTTTAGATGGACTCATTTTATTTTTTTCTTTTTCAATTTTAATTTTAACGGAACTACCATCCTTGACCTTAGTACCCTCGACCTTTTTAATGCCATCCATTTTGGGCGACAACAAACCATCCTTTCTTTCAGATTTCACTTTCTTAACATCGCTATTTTTATTAGGACTGGCCAATCCCGACTCTAATTTCTTTATTTTCTTAACACCATCGGTAGTGTTGTCGCTATTGAGTTTAGAAGATTCAAGTTTGGCTTTTTTTACACTATCATTTGCCGTCTCAGATTTATGCTTTTTGATGCTATCTCTGTTTTGTACTGTCGAGTTATTTTCGCCTTTATTTTTCTTAATTTCAATTTTCTTAGGTTTGTCTAGTTTCGACGATTCGCTCAATTCCTGTTTTATCTTTTTAATCTTTTTGACATCGTTCTGTGAATCTTTAGCGGAAGGAGATTTTTCTTTGTTCGACAGAGATAACGAAAGTCTAGAAGGGAAATTGTACAAGACGAGGTATAAGATGTAAAAATTTATATTTCAGAAATAAATGCAAGATGGAAATGTTGATTTAACTGAAATACTCACTTGTGCTTTGAACGAGCAACCTGTAAAAAATGAAACTGGTTAGCAATATACTGCATTCAGTCGATATACGAAATTAAACTCATTCGCCATAAAACTAGCGTAGAGTAGACTCTGCCAATGCCAGAGTTGCATGAGAGAAGCAAGCTATTTCCGTTGACTTGAATAACAAGGTTATTAAGAGACATTAGGTCAACACGAAGATGTTGTTATTAAAGATGTTTCAACTATGTTTAATAATCCGGATAGACATATTGTAATTACCAGGGGAATGTCGTCGTTGTCAGCTGGACGTTTTAAAGATAGCTAAAAAACGGAAAGATAAGCAGTTATTGTTTGTAAAATAAACATCACAAAGATTTCTCAAGTCCCATGACCCTACCAGGCTACAAGAGTTGCGTCATGCGGGATTATACCACAATGAAATCGTGTTTGTTTGTCTGATGTTTCGTGAGACATTTTATGATTTTTATGTACAGTATGTTTTTGCAGGTGTTTTTGTGAAAAGCACTTGACACTTATCTTCAAAAGGGCATTATTAGGTTCTTATATACTGGAAAGACATCACATAATCTCCTTGGTTTTAGTTATAATCGCCGAAGTAACGACGTCTCATGAATGAGAGGTTGTAGACAACTTGCATACCCTTCCTTCATTGTGTGTCTTCTGTTCTGAAGTTTTCTTTGAATGTTTAACTTCGCATTTTACACCGTTACTAAAAGAGCACCAAAAAGTGGTTGTAAACTCGCTTGTTTCTTCTGTAATTCTTGTAATTCTCATGATATGGAACATACCTAACAGCTACACCTTGTGAATGCTAAAAAAAACATAGGAAATGCATTTCTCAGGGTTTTGACTCAACATTTGAGCAAGTGGCAATTGGATAAAACACTTACATCAGCCCCTATCCTGGATCGGTCCAATTTAATTCTTTTCTTTTCATGAGGGTCTAGAGAGTATTATGAAAGGGTAGATATGTAAGAGAGAGAGCATGGTTCCAATTGAGGGTAGGGGGGTTTTAGAGCACTTCAGAGGAATGGGTGTTTTTAAATCAGGGGATATTTTACGAAGAAAGGCAGTAAAGACAATAGATAGTATAAAGTTTGTAGCAGAAACATTTATAGGGAATAATTTGGGGATTCAGAGGAACTCAAGGGGTAGTTGGAATTAAATATGTAGGAAAATATGACGTCACGAATTATAATACTCCTACCCTACTACTTACCCCACCCTAGTAGGTAATTCCATATAGGGGAGGGGTGCGTTAATTAAGATGTTAAAATTTCGCAATCGCTTATTTTCCTCAAAGAAAACATGGCTCTAAAACTCAGCGAAGGTTCAATATTCAATTCGGTTTCTTTTCACAAATCTCAGGTAAAAAATCAGCTTAGCCCGGGATTAATAAAGAGAACTCGGCTATCAACTGTTTCTGAGAGAAGAGCATTGTTTGATTGACGGAGTTACCCGTAAATCTTAAAAACATTGCATTGTGTGGGGTTTTGGCGAGGCGCCCTGATGATTTTTTTCAAACGAGATTTTAAACCGGCTTATGGCTGTTCTGACGACGGTTTAAGACAACAAGCACTGTTTGTTGAGTGCGATAAACAGCGAATGGATGTACTAGATTCACAGTTCAATGTATTGCAGAATTGTAAAAGTAATGGCTTGAGATAAAGTTGAAACTTGATTCATTCGTATCAAATAGACAAATACTCGTTTTGAAATGCATTACATTGAGATACAAGGCAATACCTTGTCCTCTATTACATTGTGATTATATTCAAGAAAGTAACTATTTGCCAAGAATACCAACAGCGATGAGTTTCTTTTATATTTGGAAGCAAATGAATGAAAATTTTCAAAGTATTTAATGTCATATTTACCTTTTCCATCTTCAGTCATTTGCGCACCTATGAAGTCGTTCGTCTCCATTCTGTAACGACAAAACTGCTTTGTTTATGACCGCTATCGCTTTAAAATCCCTCCAAAATCCCAATAATTTAAAGGGGTTTAGTCTAAACTATGTGTTGATAACGAAGTTAGGATGAAACGTTTACTGTACAACAAGCTTCTTACCTGACAGGAGTTGACTCGAAAATTTCTGCCCTCGAAAATATATAAGTCCACACGGTGGTACAGCTGAACACTATATATCTCTACAATAAATGATAATTCAAATCTGTTGAAAATTTCAAATTCCACAATAATATTTGTCTTTTAATGCCAATTCTATACGTTTTCTTTCTGTTACCTTCAAATTGCTGAAAGCCCAAAGCGAATCTGGCTCTTTAGTATAGAGATGGACGAGAAAATCACTCGAAATATTTCTAAGTGCCAACCTTGTCGTTTGATTCCATGCAAAGAAAAAAGCTTCGCTCTCAAAAGCTAAGTCCCTATTCGCACCAACTGCGCATGCGTCGGAATATTCGACGTCGGGGAATTTCCCCCGGGGTTTCATACCTTCTCGAACCATATTACCATATAAATTGATGACCATAGATCACCTCTGATAGATCACTGATTCGAAGTAGCTTGTTTTAAAAATAACTTGTTTGGTTAGATCTTGGGATTTGATTCTCTTCATAGGTATGTATGATGCTAATAAACTATTTCAAACATAATTAGACTTGGTATGTCCTCTATGGTGATTTCTAAGTTCAAATCTATTTATGTAATCAACTCATATAAAACTAGCAATGAACCTAGATTGTAGCAATTCAAAGTTGCTGTGTATAGGCAGATAAACAGATGTATGAGGGGTAATAAGTTAGGTAGGTAATAAGTTGCATGGTCATGCAATAAGATTGGTGATTAGAATATTTTTCAAATTATAGGGATGGAGTTTATGGAGACATCATTGTCAGAGCCTCCAAAGAAACGTCCATTCCAAAAATGCAACAGTCCTGATATGGACATCGTAAAAGAGGGGAATATGATGACAAATGACCACACATCTGAGGTCAAATTTCAAATATTTAATGATCCAATTCATGGCTTCATTGAACTTCATCCATTGCTTGTTGAGATTATTCATACCTCACAGTTCCAACGTTTGAAAGATATAAAGCAGTTGGGATTATGTTACTGGGTGTTCCCTGGTGCTTCCCATAACAGGTTGGTTATAGTGGTTAGTTGGTTGGTCAGTTGTATGGTCAGTTGTATGGTACAGTAATTTTATCAAAAAGTCTTTTAGTTTGTGTATGAGTGGGTGAGGGAAGGAATTAGGGAGGAAGGAATTAGTGTGTAAGTGAATCAATTGTAAATGGTTGTAAATGAATGAGGGGGTGAGTTAATGAGTGAGTAGGTGGTTGGTCAATAAATGTGTGGGTGAGTGTCTGTTGTTCCAGCAGTTCATACCTCATAATTTGCTACCTGACTAGTCAAAACATTGAATGTAAAGTGGATAGCCCCAGAGTCTGTTTGTAGATTGCTTACTTCTCTTCTACAGAATCTCATGTCTCATTCTTTGCAATTCTAGATTTGAGCATTGTCTTGGAACTGCATATTTGTGTGGAAAACTTATAGACATTCTTCAAGAGTTACACAAAGGTCAAATTGAAATAACAAATAAAGAATCCCTCTGTGTGAAAATTGCTGGCTTGTGTCATGATTTGGGCCATGGTCCGTTCTCTCATTTCTTCGATGGTGTTTATATTCCACATGTATTACCTAAATCTGACTGGAAACACGAGCAAGCATCATGTGATCTCTTGGACTGGATGATAAAGACAAATCCTGGCATTGTTGATAAATTCAATGAATATGGTTTGAATGAAGGAGATATTGAATTTATTAAGGAGTTGATTTTAGGTTGGTGAAGTTTGTAGTGTGTTCAGTTTGTAGTAGATGAGGCTTCTACACTTGTACTTTTAGTAACTCTCTTAGTAACAGATTTCATAGCACAAGATGAGCTTCATAGATGATTCTTCAGAAGATAATCTCATGTATCATCTTTCTTCTTTTCTTCCAGGCAAAGACCCAGAACATGAGGTGACACGGATCTGTCCCCTGACGGGAAAACCAAAATGGTTCCTTTACGAAATCGTCTCAAACAAACGTAACGGAATCGACTGCGACAAGTTCGACTACTTTGCCCGAGATTGCGCCAATGTTGGAGTCACGAGCAACTTCGATTGCCGAAGATATTTTCAAAACGTACGCATCCTTCCTATCGACCAACGATTGCAGCTTTGCGTTCGTGATAAGGAAGTCTTCAACCTTTACGAGTTATTTCACACAAGATGGTCATTGCATCATCGTGTCTACCAGCACAAAACTCAAGCCCCGATCCAAGACCTAATCCTCAAAGCCTTTCATAAAGTTGATAAAATTCTACGAATTTCAGAAGGAATCCATGATATGGAACGATTCACTTTCTTGACGGACAGTTTGATGTACGATATTCTCAGAAATGAAAGTCGTCATCCTTTGATGGTGGAGGCTCAGGAAATGTTGAAGCAAGTGCAACGCAGGGAATTGTACAAATTCTGCGGTCAAACGCAGCCGGGATGCGAGCAAAGTTGCCCAAAAGAAGATGAGATTATCAAAGAGTTAACCTCCATTTCCGAAGGACGTTTGACCGAAGAGCAGATCTTTGTGGCTATTGTTAGTATTCATTTTGGTATGAAGCATAAAGATCCCATTGACAACGTCGTCTTCTTCAATAAAGCGTATGAACCATTCACTGTTCGTAAGGAACAAGTTAGTCAAATCTTACCACAGAAATTCCACGAGCGTTATGTGCGTGTGTACGCTAAGTCTCGCGAGGATTCCAAGCTTATTCAGCGCTGCTTCGAAGTATGGTGTCGTAGTAAGGAATACCCGGTGCCTCATATGCTGCAGGGTGATCGTACCGGGTATTTTTCTCCGGCATTTAAGCTGAAGAACGGATATGAAGATAGAGCCGTTGATCTTGAGGGTGCTTGTAAAAGTCAACGCTCTTTGCAGGGTGAATTTGAGAAGTGTTGAAGAATACGTCTTGTTTCCGTAATACAACGAAACTCAGACGAAGAATTAACAGTACAAAAACTGCAAACGATGCCATTATACACTGCATACGAAGTTGAGTTGAAAATGTTCATTTTTTCATGAACCTATGGACCCCGTTGATTGAGTTGTGTTAATTGTGTCCCAGATTGACAATGATCTGCAAGAACGGCCTGTGATTGTATCCGTATCTACAGAGGTTTTAACAAATTATAATCAAGTGATGAAATAAAATTCTACTGTTCTTAATAAAATTTCTACACAAACGTAGTCAGTCTAGTCAACATTTAGGTAACATTGCTGAGTTTGGATCTTTGATAGTTCCACCATCGTAGTGATGTTATCTTCGTGATCTTCATCAGCTGCTTGCCTGCTTTCATTTTTCGGCACAGTCCAAATATTCTTCGAGATCAGTGCATGAAGTTCATTTCTCTTTTCGTTGAAAATTTATTTTTAGTTATATATTAAACACGTGATGGTAGACAACACCAAACCCTGACGTAATGAACATAGCCAGGCATGTCCACCACGTGAAATATGACGTCACAGCACGCACGAGTTCCGACACGAACACGTGACGAAGATTTTGAACCGCGTTCACGGTAATATTCGAAACTAACATAGATTTCTGAAGACGTTTCATCAGCGCATTCGTTGAGTCCCAATCTGTAGTTCCTAGGAGATTTAGAGGGAAAAATATCATCGCATGTCTTTCACTATGTTTGGGTTTGAAAGTGATGTAATTTTAGTGTTGGTTACCTGCAGTTCGTAAGACTAGAGCAAGAAACACCAGGAGAATAACAGGAGTTAAATATTGAAGAGAAACTGCTGTTAGATAGTAGAACACGACTACAATCTGTGAAAAAAATGAAATAGCTTCGTTATACCTCAGCACCTAAACCCGTGCCTAGCTATTTTTACACCACTTCTGCCCTTTTTAAACGGATAGCTCTATCATTTCTAAATTGTTCTTCCTAGAAGTCCAGTAAGGATCATCTCTTATTGATCCAGTGTTACTACAGGAGGAAACCTAAACTAAACTAACTTTATTTATACTGGATAGCTCTATCAGTTCTAAACTGTTCTTCCTAGAGGTCCAGCAAGGATCATCTCTTATTGATCCAGTGCGGTAAACTTGAGAGAAGATTTACTCACCCTTTTTTGCAATGTAACATTGCTAATTCTTCCAGCCTCTTTTTTTAACCGTGAGACCTTTTTTTTCGCAAGGTCCAGGAAAACTTGAAGATGTATTTTCGTCAACACAAAACGTAGAATACAACAAAGTATTACTACAGCGACACGAAGTTGGTCAAACGTTGAGTCAGATATGCTACAGAATAGTACAGGAAGATGGCGTTAGTAGAACATACAACAATCAAATACAATTCAAAGAAGACGCGTACAGAAGTACTCAGGCAAAAGGCCATTAGTAAAGCCATTACTTTACCTATAAGGAACACTGCTGTATCGTCCCGTGAAATACTCTCTAACCAACGGTTTTATCCACAATAATATCAGGAGAAGTGGCGTGAAAAAATTGAGATATAGGAGCACGCTAAACGTGGAAATTTAAGGAATTTGAACGCATGATCGTGCCTTTAAATAAAGACGGAGGAGGGAGACAGGGTGGTTTTGTAGATGACTCTGTTTCTTACTATATAAGTACTGCCTGGGCAAATGTGCAGCCACAAGATTTGATGATTGTGTAAATCTGAATACTTACATTAGAAGTCTGTTTTTGTTAAATTTTTCCAAAGAATCAATAAACATATTGGACATTCTGATACCAGGGAAACCAAGGAATGCTCCAAGCAAACCAGATATGATGGCCAGTATTAATTTAAAGATCCATATTGGAGCAGCACCACTTCTAAAAAAAGAAAACAACGTCAGTCACTCAGTCTTGTTTTTCCAGTCTTCATTATGGTCCCTTGGTGGATGACGTTGGTAGTTGTCCTTGGGTGGACAATCCACACCATATCATCCATACTTACTCCTTAGATATTCCTTGCTGTCTAAGAAACAGCATAGCTTCTTCTGAAAATATCTCATAACCTGTAAGGGTATAACTGAGATTGAAGTTAAATCAATTTTTGCAAGATTAGTGATATAACACTATGTACAGTGACTCCAGTCACAACAAGTTATCTGATACAACTTTTACTCTACCTAATATTGTAGCTGGTAACACAGAATACCTAACAGAAGCAGAACTCCTGTACTTTTTTCGTAAGTGTGATTCGTCATGATTCGTCACTTAGCAAGTGCATTTTTTTGAGGTACTCACCCCCCTGCCAATACTAAAAATGTGGTGATTTTAGACATTGGCAGGGGGGTGACTGCCTCAAAAAAATGCACTTGCTAAGTGATGAATCATGACGAATCACACTTACGAAAAAATAGTATAGAGTTCTACTTCTGTTAGGTATTCTGTGCTGGTAATTTGGTTTTAATCCTACCTGAGTCAAGGTTAAATTCTAAGATGGATTCATCTACAACAAGGATAGCCATAGCCAGAACGAAAAAAAAAACACCAAAGGTCAGACACAAAGATTTCTCACCAGATTCATCACTTAACCAATATGGTGATGTCAACAAGTACAGCACCCTTCTGTTTGTCATGATGGTTAAGATACAATATTTTCATTCATAGTTTAGTGATAACTTTTAAATAAAATCTGGATATTTTATGGACCATCAAGTTATCTATATATGATGAAAACTAAAAAACAACACCACAAAAAAGATACAAGCAAAAAAAGATAACCAAAAAGTTCCATAGAGGAGTGACACTGATATCATTTCTCAGCATAGTTGGAAAGAGGAAAGAAATCAGCTCTACGATGATGTTAAAAATAAGAGCACTGAAGGCGAAGTCAACCAGCCACTTATATTCTGTGTAATAATACTGAAATATCAAATCTGTTTCTTCAATCTACAGCAAATAAATTGCAGAGTTCAATTACAAGTACAATATTAGCATGAAGATTATATAGATACACTGTCAACATGCAACTATAACATTACATATTACCCTAGCAGTTTTAAGTTCCAAATTGATGTTACATGGTACTGTAAATGGCTCGCTGACTTTGTATTGAGTTGTCGCATCCCCATTTGTGACATTTTTTCTATGGAAGAAAACAGAGCAAACTACGTATATAAATTTCTACTATTTTATAGATTCACAACTGATCTATTTATCAGATAACATACAACATCTCATTCAGTAATAATATCAGCTAAGAAAAAAAGCAAGTGCATATGGTCCCCCAACCCCCATGACCCTAAGCAACCTTGCATGCTCCCTTTTTCTCTGCTGATCTCCATGAAAAAGCTGCATGCAACAGTAAATATTTTTTAATTAAATAAGGTGCTTGGGTACAAGCTAGTAATTATCAATTACTTTGCATCCGAACGCCTTGATTTCGTCTTCACATGCTGAGGCTTTCCAACTATTTTTTTCAACTCTTCGTTAGTTGGATACAAGTATCGGATCAACCTACAGAGTATAAAGGACATCAAGTTGGTAGTTCTGATGGTGCGTTTCTCATACGATGCTTATACTGTACGCAAAGGCTTATCAACCTTAGATACATCTAGACTTCGATACATCAAGGAAGGGAAGATCATGCAAGTTTCCAACCGCACCTTTTGTACACTTAAACTTTACTTTGGAGTAGGAACTCTGAGAAAATTCAAAGCCAGGCTAAGCAATTTGATTGCACATAAATATGGAAATCTAATTACCCACTGCATAAGATCCAGGTAGCCAGGGACATGTGAGGAGATAACTTGTGTAAAAACAGTGCAATCACGATTGTGAGTAAGAGTTGTATCCCAAACAAAGCCTAGGAAAAAGTATTACACATGGCAAAAGTCTTAAATTATTCAACAGTTTTGATAAACATCTGCGTACATGTGCATTGTGACTTGCTTACATTTAAATAGCATTATTATAAACAAGCCTTGACTATTTCATTTAACACAGCTAAACGTCGTGCAAGGCTGATATTTAAAGATTTTATATCTCACGAGCATTTAAGCTAATTTGATCTAAATACATCTGACAGACCTCGCTAAACCAGTCAATATTGCATTAGAAAGTAGAAACAGACTTTATATATTAATAACGGAGTATAATTCGTATGAAAATAACAATTTTTAACACGACCTATTTCTTATAAACACCAAATAAATACGAGCACCGTATTACCATTTTAAACGCGGTTGAACAAGTAACAAGACAATATTTCAAAACAGTTTCCTTCTGTATAAAATACCAACTGCAAGCTGCACATTTTCCGCCATCTTCAATTTTACTGAGTGTTTTAAACAGTGGTTTTTAAACTGGAGGCCTGGTAAATTTCAAAATTTTCTTGGGGGAGGGATGTTCCTCCCCATCTCCCCGGGCTCCGTTCCCAGGTTTTTCGAGTACTGGAGATGCCTCCAAACCCCCCCCCTTGATAGTGCTCTATCCCTGCGGCCCTGACCATGAGGACCTATTACGTGCAAATCCCAATGCCAGATATTTCCTATTTTTTACGTAAATTACGTAATGATTCCAACAACCATGTTTTTAAAATTCTTTTACGACAGTGTTCTGGGAATCGAACCCAGAAGCCACAAACGCGTTTTTACACTATCAAACAACACGTTTTGGTTTGGCCCCAAACATGGACACTGTTTTTTAAAGCCAAACGAAAAGGAGGGAAACCGGAGTGCCCGGTGAAAAACCCTCCAAAGGTAACCTGAATTTCAGGTTACCTGACCGGCGGTCCGAATTTGGTATTTTTATTAGAAATCGTCCGCAATGACATGCACTTCAGTTTTTATCTATAATTCATCGTTTCAGTTCCGCTCATTCAAACCGAGTCCCAGGAATTGCCACGCAATTCTTGATCCTCGTTAATTCGATTCTTCTGGTGGTCTAACCTCCGGAGCGCGCGCATATTTAGAGCGCGCAAAACATCATGCTCTTAGACATTCAACTGCGCTTTGTCCGACAGTGGCAACAAAAATTATTTCCGAATTATTCAAATGTTCATTTTATGATAAAAAAATACTTTTTCACGACTTGCATGCTTTTTCATATCAAACTGATGTAGACAATAACACTTTTCTTCTACCCCTTTTTTAGGACATGCATCATGCACTGTTTTTATTTTTATTTTATACGTTCTGGATTACGGTTGACCGAATATGAAGGAAATAAACGTAATCGGGCTCAACATGCAACTTACTCAATATGGCTAATCAATAATGTCCCCTAACCTTTAAATTTTCGTAACGTATAATTACCTTTGGTAAACAATGTATCGAATTTCACTTGCTTCGTTGCTCCACTCCAAACAGTTATCTTCTTCTTCAACAGCATCTCGACGGTTGGGCGTGTAAGAAATTAAACAACATAGTAAGTGTGTCAAAATGCAAAGGGTTTTCTTTAAAGGGTTGGCTTTTCAGGCAAGAGAGTACTATACAATATTAAACCTACAGTTTAAACATTATACCTCGAGATACCCCCCCACTATAAGTCCAGTTATCATGCAATGCAATATGAGAGGTATATTTTCTCTTCATATACAAATTTCATCAAGTTAGTCAAAGTGATTAGATTACGTTTATTTCCTTCATGTTTGGGATTAACCGGATTTTTCAAAGCTTACCACTGCAAACCAAAAAATTAATACGAACAAGGGAAAAAGAAGAGTACTAGTGTCTTAACAGCAAGGCACAATTCCATGCTAAGGTATAATTTTTGTTGCCACTGACGGACGGTCCTTCGAAACGCATTATAACAGGCTGAACAGAGAACTTATATAATCATATAAATTCTCGCGATTACCTTCGTATTAATCTAAAATTAGGCTAATACGAATTCGATATTTTCTCTAACAAATTGCAATTTGTTAGTTTCTTTTGAACGCTTTAAAGCCATCATGCATACGCAGACGCTACGTCGTTGGATTTCACACGTATTCACACAAGTGACAAAACTAGGAATTTTTTTATCGAGAAAACTTGAAAAATGCCCTCATAAGAGCTGTGAGAAATTTCCTGTTATCATGCATAGTCGAAAAGATTGAAATGTCACTTGATGTGTGAATATACTAAGTTAGACCACCAGGAGGATCCAATGCCATGCAGCATGCACATGCACTAATCATGCATACCTATAGTATATACCTCAACCAGCTTCCACTTGATCCTGCGACGATCCGTCTGATCCTGCGACGCTCCTCCAACATCTAATTCATCACTGATCCTGCGACGCTCCTCCAACATCTAATTCATCACTGATCCTGCGACGCTCCTCCAACATCTAATTCATCACTGATCCTGCGACGCTCCTCCAACATCTAATTCATCACTGATCCTGCGACGCTCCTCCAACATCTAATTCATCACTGATCCTGCGACGCTCCTCCAACATCTAATTCATCACTGATCCTGCGACGCTCCTCCAACATCTAATTCATCAATGATTCTGCGACGCTCCTCCAACATCTAATTCATCACTGATCCTGCGACGCTCCTCCAACATCTAATTCATCACTGATCCTGCGACGATCCTCCAACATCTAATTCATCACTGATCCTGCGACGCTCCTCCAACATCTAATTCATCACTGATCCTGCGACGCTCCTCCAACATCTAATTCATCACTGATCCTGCGACGATCCTTCAACATCTGATCCTGCAACGATACTTTAGAACAAAGATACGATATTCATTTCCAAGTCACAAATATCACTTAGGTACCAGTATCATACCATATCATACCACACCACCATCTGATCCTGCGACGATCCTTCATCATCTGATCCTGTGACGATCCTTTATCGCAAAAAATATGATATTAATTTCCAATTCACAATATCAACTCGGGTATAAAACATTCAGTATAAAATGATCACTCAAAACCCGATTTTTGACCTTCGACATCTCCAACGCCACTCGTCCAAGGCCTTCGCATTGCGCACGCAAATACAAAATTGTCATGCACGTTTTGTAGGAAATATTCATCGTTTTCTTAGATCTCGAGAAAACCAAAACACTCGACTATTATCTCCTTCTAGAAATACAAATTCTCATGCATTTTTATGTTTTAGGCGCTCTGTGAGCAATATTTTTGTTCCGGACTATTGTCGTTCAAGATGGAGAAAAATACAAGTGATGGGGCCCCAAATCACTTGTATTTACTCCGCATGCGCTTGATACGACTAGGTCAGTTAACCCATGCAAAAACCGCAATCCGAAAAGTTGAAAATCAAGGAGGTAAACAGAAGAGTGTTCAGCATATCTCAGTCAAAAAAGCCAAATCCATGCATATTTTACTCATGCAAATTTTCACCGAAATCAAATTGAGTTTTGTATTTGCGTGCATTAATGTCCCAAGGCAGCTCCGACACTTTTGACTCAGACGATTCTTTCAGTCTAAAAACAGAAAAGCTCGGTGAAACAAAACAGTTCACGATCATAGGATTACGAAGTCTTGTTAAAGTGACCTGCTTTCCGAGTATTTTTTTGGCAATATACCAGGGCTCGGCCACCGCATACAAACGTGTTATTTCTAGTCACAAATGCAAAATACACATATATAGAACAATACCTATTATTCGTTTGTGTTTCGCCTTTCCCATCTTTCGTCGTCGTATAGTTCGTTCTGAGATGAAAAAAAGGAAGGAAAAACAAAGTCAAGTTAACAGCTCACTTGCATTTCACATTTTCAATCGAAATATACAAGATATAACAGTGAAAATCGGCAAGAATATGCCGGCTGCAGTCGCTAATGTCTTCTGGCTATTCAAATCAACACGACCATGAATTAATTTGCAAAGCCAAAGATCAGGCAAACACTGAGAATCTTTCAAACAACCATGGTCATGTACCTGAGAAAGATTCTTCCAACTTTTCTCTAAACTTCTTCGAATGATTTCTCCTTCTTCGAGTGATTTCTCCTTCTTCGACTTCGAGTGACTTCGTCTTCTTCGAGAATAATGATCGAATCGCAGAAGTCTGAATCACCTTTTATTACCTCGAAGAAAATTCCAAAAGACAATGCACTTTATGTATCGAGAACACCTAACAGTAAGGCCTTTTGAAACGTTGTGCTTCTCATGTACTGAACGCATTAACAACAATAGATAATGAGGCATCTCAATTGATTAATTATTGTTTAAATATGCGTTCTGCGTTTAAAACAGACCTGTTTACATGCAGCGAGTTATCCCGGCTAGGCGAGGTGAAAACTGCATATAACGAAAGACTAATCAGGTTGAGCCAGTTTGATGTGATGCGCTTTTCACCTCGCCTAGCCGGGATAAATCGCTTCATGAGTCCATGTAAGCAGGCCATCAGAAGCTGTTTACATGATCTCATCATCTTTGTTACCGAAATTGAAGTAATCATAAAGCACCTACAAAGATGAGGCATCACTTGGCATCACTTTTGCTCGTCTGTGCAGGAATTAATTACAAGCTAGGTAGCACCTTTGCCCCTAAAAAGGGGTAATAATTTCATGTCCAAAATCCACGAAAACATAATCGTTGATTCTAATTCTTTAGTATAAGCAGTTGGGAAAGGGTTAGCGCCAGGTTTAGGATTAAAAGTTAGGATTATATTCGTGGATTTTGGACATGAAATTATTACCCAAAGAGCTTCTGAGCTATGTTTGAGACGAAGGGCCCGAAGGGGAACGTAGGGGATTTTAGGGTATTCAGAGTGGCAGCGCTGAATACAAAACAACAACAATAATTTGAAAACACATGGCAGAAGAAAGAAAGAGACAATGGCGTGAAAGTTTGCATAATTTTTTATCATTTAGCGATGTTTCTGAGCGAGAAAGCCGTACGAATGTCAATGTTGTATTAGATCGACTAAATGCTGAGGAAGACCCGGAAATTTTTTTAAAAGATCCTTTTGTATGTTGAAGTTAATCTATACTGAATTACTGATTGCTTATATGTGCATCACTCCTTTAGGCATTTTAATACTCAAAAACAATATCAATAGTTCATCTCGTAGCTAGCTCTTGTTTAAATTACTTGGTGACTCATCCTTTCTCATTCTTCAATTGCTTCCATAGCCTGTTGCTTTTTATTTGTAGGAAATTTCACAGCTTATCAACAAAGGATGCAACCTAATTCCTGTTGATAAAAAGAATGGCTTTCTTCTTTCAAAATTCTTCCAGTTGGTTGATAGAGTATTGTCAAAGCAGAGTATAACTTTAGATGAAAGGATATTGAGCTGTCTACTTCAACATGTAATCAACTCAACAAGATGCTGTTTAAATGTCTCTGTTTATGACAACTTGAAATTGATCAGCAAACTGTTGTATGAAAGTGGTTCTAAATGTCAAAAGGTATTATATATTGTTGTCATTTTATGCCAGAGCATTGCATTATGTTGTCAGCTTGTTGGTAGGTTTGTTGAGGCCCCGGCAACCAGGTTTGGATGTTTATTTGATGGATAAGTTAGCTGGTTGGTTGTGATGTATGTTTAATGCTTCATTATCAAATGTCTAAAACTTTTGTTTTCACTTCCTAGTTTTATACAGAACTTTTGGGAACTAAACCACAAGGCATTCTCCTGGAATGCACTTCAAGTAAGAACTTGGACATTGAGACTAGAAAAGCTGCAATCATTTGTATTGGAAACCTTTGTGTCAAGTAAGAACGGTTAAACAGGATCCATTTAACCATCTTTTAGAAGGGTAATCTAAATAAATTCATATCTTTCTGAAACATTAGAGATTCAAATGGTTCAATAATTGCTGAAAGTTATGGAGAAATTGCACTATTGACGATCCTGAATGTTTTACAAATGCCACCAAGAAAAGATGTCGTCAGGATAGAACATTGTAAAGTAAGAACTGTGAGTTCTTTTTTACTTTTTGCACAATATTTCATTTCCATTTCTTTCATTTTAGTTAATAAACTTGTGTTTAAAATCAATTCAAGATATTCTTCCTTCTGTAAGAACTTTGTTGAAACGCCATCTTGGCCAATTACTATTGACAATTAAGGTAGAAATATTGCATTTAATAATACCATTCATTTATAATTTGTACACATTCTTTACTGTACAAGTTCCTAATTTTATGCATCATAATTTATGAAATAATTGTCTAGAATTACATATTTTATGGATTCCCTGGCTATGAAGTTCCATTTCCAAACATTGTTGCCTCTGGTACTACTTCATCTAAGGAATCATCTTCAGGTATTGTAATAAAAAAATATCCTACCTTCCCAAAATATCCCAAGCTATCCAGTCACTGATTTGTACTAGTATAGGTCAGTGTGTGAATAGTCTACTGTGGATCTGTGGCACCTACTAGGTCAGTCTGTGGATAGTAGTGGTCTACTGTGGTACCTATAGTTTTGTCTAGGGATGCATGAAACTATTGAAAATTCATTTATTGTATTTTAGACATGGAACCTGATGATTTATCTCTACTAAAAGTCTCACTGAATCCTGTTAAAGAGCGCGCCTTCCCCGCTAGAGGCGCCTTGAAAAAAAAGTCCAGACAAAAACGGGGAAGGCGTCAAAAGAACGGCAAACAAACGGAGGATTTTGACACAGATCAAAACTTTTCACCTGGAAGAAGTCGCGCGGGAAAGGGGGCGGAACATGCGGGGAACTCGCGTGGCCGTCACGAAACTAAAGACGCAGCTGGTCATGATACTTCAACGGTTTCATCGTGGCGGGACAGGGCACCCGAGCAGAACTGGCGACTTGATGATTCTATGAACGCAAAGTGGGTCAATCCCACCTCTAGTTCCGAATCTGAATTCTCGGATTCTGAGACGGGCCAAGTTCGTAGACTCAGGTGAGTTCCGTGAAGTTTAGTTCAAATTGAAAATGAATATGTGCGGATTGAAAGTTTAGTTGAAAATGTGAAATTTAGTTGAAAATGAATTTTAGTTGAAAGTCGTGAAGTTCTATGACGTTTAGTTGAAAATGAATATGTGCGATTGCTGTTGTTGGTTCAGATGTGAAGATGAAGTCTTGGATATACAAAACATTTCCAAACACTCACATTTCTGTGATCTATTTAGGTCAGCTAAAACTCGAGTGAGAAACACGTCTTTGGTATGTTTGCAATATGTGATCAAGGTAAGACACATAGAGAACCAGAATATGTTCAACTGCCATCTCTTTAGATTGGATTGATTTGAAACAAACGAGTAATTTCGTGGATATTTTCCAGCACAAAACTTACCTTCCATCTCGAGTCAGTAAAATAAATTTATTGATTTTTAGAATTCCGACAGGAAAGATTTGTTTGGTTTTTGGTCCAGTTTTATCTCGGATGATAGCGAGGCACTCCAGTGGTCACTATTTACCATCATTCAAAATGATGACAATATTAAGGTTAGCACAATAGAAAACAACAGCTAGTGTAGGTGGTATTTAATAGTTTAATAAACTGTCGTGCTTTGTGTCTGAACTACCTGAGCAATCTATCTTAAACATGCTGGTCCAAGTTGCCTGTTGTTTTTTTTCAATTTAGAATCGTATCGGAGCAATTTCTGTTCTAATGGACCTCCTTGATGGATCAAAACCATTTCTCGCCGCAGCTGACGACAAGTTTGTACTTTTGATAATCTTAACTCTCTCTCTCCTCCCTATCCTTAACCCACAAGCTCTCGTTCGTCAAAAATTCCTGACGTACTTCTTCTGTTTCCAGTGTTGTACACCAGTCGTCTTCATCTCGCTCGTTCACGCCGTTCTCGTTCCGTCTTGGTTTCATGATCCACGAACTTCATCGTCTGTTGGATTGTATTCCCACTGAGAGCTCAAACGTTGTGCAATGTCAACTCGTGAAGGTATTAGTTTCTTTATAAACAACAAAATACTTTGAAACCACGTCTTGTGGATTACGATTCACAAATTACTTTATTTTTCTTTTAGTGTTTGGCTTTGTTGGTTCTAAACTGCCCATACCATAAGCTTCAACACGGCTTGCTGTCAAGAATTGTTGCAACGATTCGACCATTATTGAGGGAGAACGGTAATGAAATAATCTTTCTTGTAATAGACTATATACAACTCTGTTCTTACAGAAGGTCCAGTAAGGCGTATTACCAGTTGATCTGATTTTTCACAAGAGTGAAACGAATGTACCCGTAGTTGATATGCGAAGTTTATGCGAAGTGTATTTTCTGAATATTTTTCATCTAGATACTTCGTTAAAACAAGCCTGTCTTGTTTGTCTCAGCGCTGTGCTGACAGTAAATGCTCCCCTCGCTGAAGTCGTTGAAACAATGCAAGAAACACGAACATTTCCTGTACAAGAACATTTTTTCGAGTCTTCAAAACATTCAGTCAAAACTTCAGAACCTTCTCCGCCCATGCCCGACGATGCACCGACGACGACCGACTCCGAAAGCTCGTTTCCTTGGCTTATCTACGAGTGTTTTAACATTCTGCAAAGTGAAGATGCGTCAAGTCTTGAAGAAACCGTTTCTGTTGATGCTGTGTCCACGACCCGCTCTGAGGCTGTACTCTTGTTAATAGTCTTTGTCCGCAATTATTTTCATCTTTTGAGGTAAATATTGAATAGCTCTATCAGTTCTGAACAGTTCTTCCTTGAGGTTCAGTAAGGATCATCTCTTATTGATCCAGTGTTACTACAGGAGGAAACCTAAACTAAACTAACTTTATTTATACTGGATAGCTCTATCAGTTCTAAACTGTTCTTCCTAGAGATCCAGTAAGAATCATCTCCTATTGATCCAGTGTTACTACAGGAGGAAACCTAAACTAAACTAACTTTATTTATGCTGGATAGCTCTATCAGTTCTAAACTGTTCTTTCTAGAGATCCAGTAAGAATCATCTCCTATTAATCCAGTGTTACTACAGGAGGAAACCTAAACTAAACTAACTTTATTTATGCTGGATAGCTCTATCGGTTCTAAACTGTTTTTCCTAGAGGTCCAGTAATGATCATCTCTTATTGATTTGTGCTATTTTTTATAGTCCAGTAGTGAGACAGATCAGTCTCGTGGCGCGGGAATGTCTTCAGCACAGCAGTTCAACAATTAAAGTGAACGCGATGAAATTACTCCAGGAACTCAGTCGAGTGATGTATCAAGAATTCTCTCCTTCCTTTGCGGAGGACGGTGCAGCAGTTGGTCGTGATTTTTGGTTGAAACTTCTTGAAGGTAATATTGTAAAGATCTTGCAATCCAAAGACCCGCTGGAAAGCAAAATTAGGTCGGCAGCCTGCGATTGTCTTTCTGATATTGGAGCTGGAATCTTTGAACGATTGACGTTTGACAAGAAAGTTTTGATCGTCACGCTTCTTATTGGGCTGGTCAATGATGAGGATGCTTATGTCAGGGTAATGGTTATGTGCTGGACTTTTTCAGCTGTTTATGATTTATTGCTGTAGAATATGCGATCCTTGGGAGGTGGGAGGTGGGAGGTGGGGGGTCTTATACCCTCGGTACGCTCCTGTCTGCACCTCTAATGTATAATAATGTCTTTGTGGTTTCTCTAGGCAGCATCAATACGTTGTCTTGGTGTGTTTGTGTTGTATCCAGTTCTAAGGGAAGACACAGTGTTCGTTACAGACACAGCCAATGCAGCTCTGAACGGTCTCAATGATTCCGTTCTGTTGGTAAGAATGCGAGCTGCCTGGACCCTAGCCAATCTCAGCGATGCTTTAGTTATCAACAAGTAAGTTTACACCATTTTCAAAATTAGGTTCAGTGAAATAAAAAATACTGTATTTCGTGTAGTCTTCTTCTGTTTTCGACATGTTCCTGAAGCGTTTGATTAAAACTTCTAATCATTAGCTTTCGGTTTGCCAAATAATCTGTTCTACATAATAGCATTTTCTTTCAGGAATATAGACGAATCGACGTTTGTTTATGAATTCTCAGAAAATCTGTTGTTACGATTGATCAATGCCTCGTTGAAAGCCAGCGAAGACAGTGAGAAAGTCCGATGCAATATTGTACGAACTTTGGGAAATTTAGCGAAATATCTCAGCAAGGAAAATGTCGAAAAGCAGGTGTTCCTGGCTGCAGTCGAAAAGAAATTTGAAGTTCTGTCAAAATGTATTTTGAATGGGCAGATGAAGACGCGATGGAATGCGTGTTACGCCGCTGGCAATGTGTACAGTAACCTCAGCTTACCCAACGGTCAAACATCAGCATCGGTAGGTACGGCTTTTTGGTCCCAGGTCTCGGCTGTTAGTCACACTATTTTAAAATTAACTATGGTTTAACTACACAAAATATAAAGGGTTAAAAGGTCTTCATTTCGAACGGAAGTCATATACACAAGCTATTGTAGGAAAAGTTGAGAAGAATCATTACTCCTGTAGGAATCTACCTAAAATATAGTTAAGAGTTTTATCCAATCATCCCCAGATGCTGGTAGTAGAACTTTCTCTTCATCTTTCTCAGATTCAGATGCAAGATGCTCTTCTCTTTGTCGTAAACAGCTGTAAGAACTTTAAGGTTCGTATCAACGCTGTCAATGCTTTGGCAGTTCCGTCTTTACGAGGTTGTTATGGAGACGAGATACAATTTGCGAAAGTGTGGCGTTGTCTTGTGGAAACACTCTCGATAACCAAAGATATTTCTGATTTCTCTGAGTTCAAATATCGCGACAACCTGAGAGAACAGGTGACCGTTATCCTTTGTTGTTGTTATTTTTGTTGTCGTTGTTGTTGACGATGTTTATTCCAATCTTTGATTTAGATTTGTAAAACAATCTGTCATTTGGTGTCGCTAACTGAAGTGGGCGACTTGCAGCACATTCTTCCTGCAATTCAGCTGTACCAAGACGACCTGACTGAACAACTTACAAACTTCTATCAAAAACAGGTATTGAAAAACATGCTGCTAGTGATGCCTAGCTGTAAAACCTTTTCAATTCAAACACTTGTCTTTGATGGAAAATCAAACTGAACGTTCAACAGTAATTCAACTTTAAACTACAATGCAAATCTCTTGACATTATATTCCTCTTCAGTTAAAGCAAAATGAAGTATCCAACGTGTTGGATGATGAAACGACGGAACAGAAAAGCACAAGTAAGTTATCCATTCTTTAATCATTTACGGCCCATCATCCCACAAGTTTTAAAACCCGGATGCTATAGGAATACATTTCTGTGTATTTAAATAGATGAATTCTTTCTTCTCGCTTTTAAACACATCATGGCCATGCCAGGAGAAGCTCGGATCATACAAAATATTTATATCGAAGCAAAAAGCTGCGCGGAGAACGCTTTAACAGACGAGTTAACAATCTAACTTCAAACATGCATTTCGCATTCTGCGCTAAGTGCACGGGGACCGTATGTACATTGGTCTTCGAAAGAAACCTTGCTATCGCTGTGTTGGAACAATTTTGAATTACAACCGTTCGCTATAACTGTTTCTCTGGCATTTTTTATGAAGTATTTCTTTCAATACAATCAGTAAATTTCATGACAGAATTAGTCTAATACAAAGTCATAAACAAAGTAAAAAACTCTAGGTTAGTACATATATTCTAGGTTAGTTAGTGTGTAATGTGCATGCCGTTCTGATGCTGTATCTTCCGTGATGTTTGTCACTATCTCAGCATATCTCAGCATATCTCCTGGGGTTTGTGTTAATTTAGCTTGTATTTATATTCAGTCAACATAGACCTCTTCAACCTCCACGTGCGGTCCTTCAGCCATTTTTAAAAGGCAATGTTCTTGTTGACAATGAATTCCCAGCTGTTGTGTTGGAATATGTTTCAAACTCAGAAGCGTCCCGAATCCTATTTCCAAACACTTGTTCCCCCTTCGTTGCTCTACTGTGAAACGCTGGTAGCCTACGAACCCTTCGTGAACGTCTAAACTCTCGGCCAACGTCATGCAAATGTTCTGTTAATTCTCTGACCAACAACAACTGCACGTCACAATCCTTTGCAGTAAAACGAGGTCGATAAAGAGAAGTATTGTTTCGAAGATACGACGCCGACGCTCGTTCTCCAAGTGCTTTACGTCGTTCACGATGACGCTCTTCAAGAGATTCCCTTCTCTGTACAAACCTTGCTTCTTCTTCTTCTTCTTCATAAAAAGTCTTTCGACTGCCTAACCTGCTCTCTACAGGTGGCTCTTTATAAGTATAGTTTGTCGGCCGAAGTACTCTTGGGGTGTTCTGTTGGCTAGTTTGGCCTGTGTCGCTCTTCGTCCCACCATCGTCTACATCTTCTTTTTTAATCTTTACTTGTATTCTCGTGATAAACGGATAATGTGTTTTTGGTCTTGGATAAACTTTATCGCGTTTTATCGGCTCTAATCTTCCGCCCGTTGTCACCGCACGCCTCTGTGAAAGGCCTTCAGCCATTGCGCGTTTTGAACAAGGTGACTCTTCAAAACTTCAACGCGTCTAACCAAAGCAGGTAGCTATTATACTACTGCTTTTTCTCAGGAAATTAACTTGGCCTGTTGTGAGAAAAATATGAATATTGTACAGCGTTGCGTGAACTCTACGACTGTATTCAGTCATATACACTCATACTATTTTCACATGCCTGCTTTTATCTGGATATTTCCATCAAAACAAAACGTATTTGTTTCTTTCGGGTTTAACAAATTTAACTAGCAAAATTGTTGAAATTTAAAATACGTACTTCTTAATCTATTTTATAAATTTGGTTTATTCGTCAGATTAGGAACATTGTCAGCATATTGTTCGAAATAAATATCATAGTTTATGGCTTAATACTGAAATAAATAATTGCCGTGATGCTAAATACATTGTTTTTTCATCTTACCTTGGATTGTGTCTTTTAAAACAGCCAACAATATCAGGCTTCTGCGTTCCTGAAGCCTGGCTGTGGCTAATAAGTGTGTTGTCATATGGGGTTGTCATGCACAAGAACTAAACTAAAATCCACAACATTTACATTCAGCTGTCGTATTTTGCGTAAAAACCTGTTTCGCCAATTGCGATGCATAATTTATGTGCGTGGCAAGGGTAATTATTTGCTATGCTGCAGTTCTAGTGTTTGAGTCATATGTATGCATAAACGTTTCGCTTTTCTTTGACGCGTCAAAATATAAACGAACGTAAGCAGTCTACGGTCTTTTAAATGAAAGCAGTCCTTTAAATATTGATGCCTATTTACAATAGCACTGTTTAATCAACGCGTTAATCAGCCGTTATTCTTTCTGTGTCGCCTTTGCGAAAGGAAGCTCAATATCAACATCTGTTTTGCTTGATCTCACCGTTACCTGGCCTCTGTATACATGCCGATGTTTTTGAAAACCGTTTTGAAGAACGCAGAGATTTTTTCATAAAATTATACTCAATTATATTCAATCAAAGGATTTTAACAAATGATACAGCTTGCTGGGTTATATAGTAAACTCGTAAAAACGTTATGTGACTATATCTATATAAGATTATTTTATTACAGTCTTCCAGTTAGCTCCATTCCCCCTCCTATATCAAGACTTCTCAAGACTGAGCAGTATTAGCATACGTCAGTAAAATAAATCAATCAAATCAATATATATCCCGAAAATATTTTTAATATATTATCAACAAATCTTCCTATATATTGGAAATATATATATTTTACAATTTTTCTTTCGAAAAAGATTACATACTATAATTAATATATGTGCATAGTGTTTATACATTGAAAATGTTCCAATCCCCGGCGGGTTTCCATCATAACTGCATATATTTTTTGAATATATAAATGATTACGTCAGTGTGAGTTGTGAATATGTGGACACCTTCATCTGTACTAACCCTGAAACATAGTTTAATAAGTTAATAATATTAGCTTTATTTAATCAGCGCCTGTAAGCTATGTTAACGTCTGTCTACACAATCTTATTTTGTCTGATTCGATTCACTTCTGAGGGATGTTTTATAGTCTGTTGACTTGTGATGTATATGGGCAGGAAATCAACTTAGCCAATGCAGTACTGCTTTATCAATAACAGACTACATTCCATACATCAGAAGTGAATTCGTGCCGACAAAAAATGATCTTGTGAACAGACGTTTAGAAAGCAAAATTAGTTTATTGTGTAGTTTGATATTTTTACCATAACTAACCGTGTTCGAGGTGTAACTAACACCTTCCTGATTGGAATCGAATGCTGTCAATTGCAACAAACCCCGTGTGTCCTGATGATAAAGTCGCTTCAAATACAACCTGGTGAAACAGAAACAAGTTTTATTCCAACGCTTGGAGGGTTCCTCCTGTATGCATGGGGAAACAGTTTATATCTTAGTAGTTGACCTGGGTTCATTCTCCTACCTCAAAACGTCGACTCATCCGCAATGTTATTTTCATATCTTTCCACATCTCAGTGGTGGCCAAAGTCGTTACAGTGCTGGGTCGTTTTGTCCGATTTCCATATATCTGATTCAACTTTACTCGAAGTCTGGCGAAACCTCCTCTATTATTTAGTTTATAAGCGAACGATAGACAGGCTGGGTTGGCGTTTACTTCACGACTAACTAAAGAACCAACTTTCATTTCACGTCCTCCCCCATGGCGAATTCTCAGGTAATAACCTTGGGAGAAATTATAGATCAAATACAAGTTAGGGGCTGTTTACATGAGCCCGGTTACCTGAGATTCAAAGAAGCATGAGATGATTTTGAGGTATTGAAATGAGCAGATAACATGATCATGGCAGTCGTATAATCACCACAACAATAGCATGTTCCCGGAGGCCATTTTTTCAGTGAACCAGTGTGTTTTGTAAACCGTATTATGTTTTCAAAGGGTATATATACCTTTGCCCGTCTGTCTTTGCCTAAACCAATTAATTTGATTACGCTGGGAACGTGAATTTTTCCAACTGCAGATGTTTCTCTCAAAATCACAGTCCAAAGGACTTGAAGACCTTCTGGTTGAAGACCTTCTGGTTGCGGCCTGGTTGTCTCGATTCGCGCACTTTTTACCATCCAAAATCCGTTCACAGCCGACAGTCTAAAATAACAAATACGTTGTTCTCGTATCTCTTGATTTTCTCATTTTACTCTCAAATTAAATCACCGTTACCTTGCACATTCCGTTATAACAAACTCCAGTTGTAGTCGAGGTAGAACAAGCAGTCCCATCAAAGACATTGATGTTCTTTAAGACCATTGTAGGATTTCTGTTATCGCTTGTCGTGCATTTTATCTGGCAAGGATTCGTTTCCACTGAAACATAACAGTAGACGGAACATTTTGAAAAACTTTGGGTAAAACTATCATCTACGAAACAAGCTTCATACTCGCTGTGCGCGTATTCTAGATAATGTAATTTTAAGACACGAACTTAATACCTTTCTTTACAGCAGCGCTGGTACACGAGCCTTCGGTGAATGTAATATCATCCAAAGCTATGTCGCTCTTGTCTGTACCACCTCTTTTCTTTGCCAGGAATGACAGCTAGGGTATGACATAAAATTTTTTTAATTCAACAGTATTTATAAAGAATAACTCATCACTTTTTACATGCATTTTTTGCTATTCCTCGATTTCCAAGAAGAGTCGTATTTTCTTGATCCAGTCTCATCACAGGAAAAGAAACTAAACTAAGATTTCTTTCAAGCCGGGATCAAAACAACTTACCCGATAGGGATTATAGTTTACCACTTGAATAGTGTGGTTATACCATCTCCTGCCTCGATTTCCAGAAATCCTCCAAAGGGTGGTGCTGATTTCTCGACTAGTTTTAATTAGTTTCAATTGACCCATTCTTCGGCTTCCCCACATATGAAAGGAAAATCTCAAACAACCTCGTCGAATCTTTATGAGAGGACTGGAGAGTATTGCTTTAGCATCACCTCGCGTCGAGGATTCAAAGTAGATGTATTGACCTGGATAGGAAGAGTACAATTCAATCAGTTCTGAGCTGTTCTTCCTAAAGATTCACTAAAGATCAACCTAAGGGAAATTCTCGTCAAACCTTCGTTCGTTTTAAGAGTCTGGTCATACGATGGTCCGGTGTTGGACGTTGACGTGCTACCCTTATGCAGAGTCCACCTTCTGAGTCCGGCTTTTTTGTCGTTAGACCAAGCACACGTACTCTTTTCAAACGTACAATCAATACTCACTACAAGATAAGGTTCAAATTGTCAGTGAAGAAATCAATTATGGCTCTTCGGTATTATTTCATTGCTAAGATAATGTTATTGTACTTAATTTCCTTTGATTATTCAACTTTTCGCCTTTTAATCGTTTTAATAACATTGCTTATCTTATATTAAGTTTGTTTTAACTTCTGTTTTACTTTCTGATGCTTGTGGTTATTTCTGTCCGTATAAATGCAGTTTAACGAAAATGCGACGAACCTGTTGTGTCATCATAGTATTTCCATCGTCGTGGGGATCTTGTTTTTTCACCGTTCGTAAAACAGACAGTATCTTTTTCTGAGACGGATGTTGGACAAGTCTTGGATAAGATGAAGGAAAAAATTGTATAAGTTGATTAAAAATAAATCCCTTTATTGAACTTATCGCAATATTTCATCGAATTAAGTGGCTTCATTCGCTTCTTCACAATTGCGCGATATTCCGCATGGAAATATTATCATCTTTTTTAGTTATTCTTACCCTTCTCGTCTCACATACTCTCTCTTGCTTACTTGATCCAACGCAAGGTTTTCCACCATTGCTTGGCCTGTCAAGACAGATGATGATCATCCTCATGTTAGCGCAAAAGTATTTTGGTTTTTTGAAGCTCAATAAAAATCCTGGTTAGTATTAAGTACAGAGAAACGGTTTGACAGGACAGTCTAAAATATAATACTTTGAAATCGAAATTTTAATTTGCAAAATGTTGGTATAATACCTGGGTGAGTCGCACATTCGCCGACGTATTTGGACACCATTGTTGCACGTTCTGGAGCATGGTGACCATTGTCTCCATGATCCCCATCCTCCGTCAACTTTAGGACCATCTGATCCGACAATATCGCCCCCGGCTCTTTTCGTACATTTTCCTGATAAACACCACTGAAACGATAACAGGAAAAATGAATATCATCCTTACTGGACCTCTAGGAAGAACAGCTTAGAACTGATAGAGCTATCCAGTATAAATAAAGTTAGTTTAGTTTAGGTTTCCTCCTGTAGTAACACTGGATCAATAAGAGATGATCCTTACTGAACCTCTAGGAAGAACATTTCCGAACTGATAGAGCTATCAGTATAAATAAAGTTAGTTTAGTTTAGGTTTCCTCCTGTAGTAACACTGGATCAATGAGAGATGATTTTTACTGAACCTCTAGGAAGAACAGTTTAGAACTGATAGAGCTATCCAGTATAAATAAAGTTAGTTTAGTTTAGGTTTCCTCCTGTAGTAATACTGGATCAATAAGAGATGATCCTTACTGGACCTCTAAGAAAATATATACATTTTCATTTTGTACAGCTATGTTAATGATAAACCAAATTATTACTTTGTTCGTTCCGCATTTTGTTCCATCAAGTGGGGCCGAACTAGTCGTCTTAAGCAAAAAGCTGAAGGGGGGTGGTAACCGGCATTGTAATTTCTCGCAGTGATCAAGCTGAAAAAAACAAATGAAGTATAGTTAGATAAAGAAGCAATACAAAACAGAATCTTACAGTACACGTCTTTTATAACACACTAATGACAGTCTGTATAAGCCTCACTGACACTCACCCCTAGTCGTCTATCTTCAGTGTGATCGTCACCAAATTCCAATTGACATTGTCGAGCAAATGAATAGTGAACTCCGGGATATTTGTGTATGATAGGGAACCCAGGAATCCTCCCAGGGTTGTTTACTGTGCAGTCGAGATTTCTATGAAAATAAAGTTGATTTTGTTTACCACACAGCTTAATCTTTGCTGAATCTTATGGTATAGATCATAGATGGTATACGATGGTATAGATCATAGATAGTATAGATCATAAATGGTATAGATTATAGATATAGATCATAGTTCTTAGATGGTATAGATCATAAATGGTATAGATCATAGATGGTATAGATCATAGATGGTATAGATCATAGATAGTATAGATCATAAATGGTATAGATCATAGATGGTATAGATCATAGATAGTATAGATCATAAATGGTATAGATCATAGATGGTATAGATCATAGATGGTATAGATCATAGATGGTATAGATCATAAATGGTATAGATCATAGATGATAGATTCGAGCACCTGCTCTTGAGGATAGAAATTTGACTGTCTGCTGACCAGCGGTGAAAATCAAATCGTGCATCGACGATTTTAGACATGACGTATCCTGAATGTTGGCCATAATCTTTGTCATCTGCTCCAATCCTATAAAAGGAAAGCGTTATGAGGCCCATGATGGGGTTTAAAATATTACTTTTAGGGTGATATGATTATTAGTTCGGGAGTTACGAAAACTTACGAGTGTGCAACTTCGTGGGCAGCGATAAACGCGGCAGTAAATCCATGATCAAAAACGATGGAACAACTTCTTCTCTGACTGCACAAATCTGATGTCATCGCATAGCCTAGATCAAGAAACACATTTTCACGGTTAAAAATGGGTTGAATGTTGTTGACAGGAGAAAAATTTAAAAAGTGTTCATGCACACGAGACTGTAAGCTTACCCACCTCCCATTCCGAAGGAATTCCTTTAAAAATTGATTTAAAAAATTATTAACTTTTCAATACGTTCAATACACTTTGTTTCACTGATGATGATATTGGAGCATTTCTAACCTTGTTATAAACATTTTATGATCATATCTCCTGGACCCAACATTCCCAATTCGATTCATATAGGTACAAACTTTTTCTAAATTTCTGTCTTTAATACGTGGATCCAATTTCACCGCGGCCTAGAGTTTAAGATGTATTGAACTTAGTGCTTGCTAAAGGACATGCACTGCTTGTTCAGGAGCTCCACTTATAACCAACAATTTTTGGTGCTTTGTCTTAATAAGTATTACGTTCATTCGTAAACCACTCACCAAGTCACTTCGCAATATTACCAACTTTGCAAGAACCAAACGAATCCTAATTCCAAATTTAGTTAAGGAACTGTGTTGAAAGATTGATGTTGCCTGGAAATTATAAAATGAATTCATTAATATTTTGATGGATATAAAATCTCGATCTTCAAAAAAAGATTGCTCTCAGTTGGTCATTTTTTCTTACACCTTACGCTGGATTAATAATAGGCAGTTAAGACTAATAGGCACCTGGGAAAGAACAAAACAAGGGAAACCAACACAGATATTTGACCGTGTTCGTTCACTTACCAATTGCATGTATGTCAGGACATATTTTTTTATTTCCTCGTCATTTTTGTGTCTATCAGCGGCAGCTTTGTCTATGACTACCATCATTTCTATGTATCGCTCTCCGATTTCTCTGACGGTTTGACCTTAATGGGAAATATCTCGCTGTTAGAACCTCCAGCATTAGAAAATGTTTTTCTCTATTAGCACTTCAATGCGACATCGCAGAATCTCACTCACACAGTCTCACTGCGTCTAAAGTTAAGTCATTGATACTTCAAACTTTTTCCCATGCAGTAATCAAGCAAGGTCTTCTGGACAATCCGGGATTTTCACACAATGCTCAATGTTTATACCTGGATTTGTTATACGGAGAATGGTTCTTGTCATACGATTGTTCTCTTTCTGAATAATCGAAGGTTTTCCATTAATCATTAGGCGTCTTCTGTAAAGATCCTCCACCGTCCACTCATGGTTTTCATAGGTATTGAGTTTAATTCCGTCACCAGGACCAAGTGTTCTATAATAAGCTGCAGGGTTTCTTGTCTTTATGTCTCTCCAGAATATCTTAATAATAATGTTTGAACTCACAAATTAACATAAACCACGAGAAATCGCGCACCTTATCCTTATAACGTCTATTAATTTGCAGGGAATACTGAGCCTGGGGCGAGGGGACAAGGGAGTTCAAGGTCAGGAAAGGGGGGTTCATGGAAGGGAGAGGGGTCAAGAAAGAGAGGGAGGAGCAGTAAGGAGGGGTCAAGGAAGGGAGGGGGGAGCAGGAAAGAGGGGTCAAGGAAGGGAGCGGGGTCAAGCAAGGGAGGGGAGAGCAGTAAAGAAGGGTCAAGGAAGGGAGGGGGGTCAAGCAAGGGAGGGTGGAGCAGGAAAGAGGGGTCAAGGAAGGAAGGGGGAGCGGGAAAGGGAGGGAGTCAAAGAAGGGAGGGGGTTAGGTAAAGCCTCGAGCTTCGTTTGAGTTTAAATAATGTACCTTGACAGTTTTTCCACTGACATTATCAAGATAAATATAACTTTGCTTTTCTGCTCGTTTCTCTCTTGAGTGGATCGTATCTTCTTGCAGCTCTGTGAACGAAGGAAGATTGTATAAGGATAATTTTCTTTTTAAAAACGTACTGTATGCATGTGTGATATTGTCAGGACTCGGTGCTGAAGAGTTTTGTAAATGCTCGAGGAAATACAACACTCAATACAATCAACAGTCAGATCAGGGGCGCCGGAACCACGGGGGCAGCGGGGGCAGCTGCCCCCCCTGCCCTTTGTTCACGGGGGCAGCGGGGGCAGCTTGCCCTTTATATGTTCATAGGCATTGAATGTATATATTTTCAGGCAATTTGGGAATTAATTCCCAATGAATCGTTGCAAACTTGTAGTTGTCAGTTTTTATAGTCATCGGCCGATACTCCTACTGCCTACTGACAAGTTTAAAACCCGTGTAAAATTGAATTGCTACTCCATTCCGCTGTCCACTGGTGTTTTTTATACGGTTGTGGGTTGCGTAAGAGATAAATGGCGGACGCGCGAGGGTATGACGGTTGTCCCAGGGATAATTAGGGATTGATGTACACATGCACAAGGAAATATGGGAGCTTGCCTATCCAAAGCGAATTGATATGAATTATTGATAAAGGTAATTTCATACATATTATTGATATTAAGTATTCAAAGCTCTTCTATCTCGATCAGTATTCTAGGACCTAGGTTTCTTGCCAAAGAAGTGTACATTGAAAAGTGTACAGGTGAAAATGCCAAAGCATGAAGGGTTTTAGGTTTACTATTTCACAATTATTTACCAAATGTGAGCTGTGATAACAAGCCATCTCGTAAATATGCAGCTTGTAATTAACGAACCTGAGGTCACTAATTGTTTGAGTATAATTTCCCAGAGAGAAAACAGGGCCTAAAAATTTGTATAATTGTATTTTCGCAAATTTCTAGATTTCATGTTTACAATGGCTTTAAAACGAAAGAGTGCTTTGCAAATGTTTTAGGGAAGTCAGTTCAAGCGTAGTTTTGCTTCTTGTAGTATTTTTATTTAAGCACGAGTATTTTCATTTGTATATTTCGGTATATTGACACTTCGCAAATTTGAGTATTTGACCGAGGTGGCGACATGGCGTGCGCTGAGAGAATAATGGCGCCAGCGCTACTATATGTCAGCACTTGAATAAAGAAATACTTCATCTAAAAGCAATCTAATAGAAGGCCACCTGTGACTTGTAAAATATAAAACACAGATGTTTACTTTAAAGATGCTTACTAGATGTTCCCTTTACGAGTTCCGATACTTAAATTATATAAAAAACTCTTTCAGTGACAATACAATGCCAAGAGCAAATCGCTTGCAAAGTGTTGCTAGGAAGCAACTTTTAGAAGCTTCTAAAGCTAGGGGCCAAACTAAACTGTCCTTTTCCACACAATCTATCGCTTTTAATGATAATGCTGAGTGTACCACAGAAGAGAGACATAGCAGTGTTAGTGATGCCTCCACTTTATGTGATGAAACAGACGATCCTTGGATTAAAGCCACGAATTATGACTTTCGTTTTACATCGAGCGTGAAAAAAATGAGTGAAAACAAAGGAAGGTATTTTCAAAAGGAATGGTTTCATCACCATAACTGGTTGTGGTACCACCAAGAAAAAAGGGCTGCGTTTTGTGGAGAATGCACCTTGTTTCGACAACCACATGATTACTCGCCGTTTATCTTCTCCGATAAGGCAGAAGGTTTTAAAAACTGGAAAAAAGGCAAGGAAAGAATAGAGGAACATGAACGCAGTGAACAGCATCGAAGTGCTGCTAAAGAATCCAAAAAAGACCAACCTGACGTAGCTTGTCAAATAGATAGTGAGCGACGAAAGCAGCAACAACTGAGACAGACTGGTTTAGTCGCTCACTTGGATACTATGAAAACTCTCTTAAGGCAGGGACTTGCTATTCGAGGTCATCAAGATGAAGAATCCAATATTGCTCAATTTAATAGGGACAAAGCCAAAAGTAACCCCGGCTTGAAAATGCTAATAAGTGAAAAATATTTCTCTCACGATATCCTAAATGAGCAAGAAAGATTGATAGTGTTGAATGCAAGACGAACATTAGTTGAAGAAATTAATTCAAACAATTCTTTTCTATCATATGTGATGAAGCAAGCGATATTTCAAAATTGGAGCAATTGTCGTTTTCAGTCCGAACTTGCAACAACAGTTACGAGACAACCGGAAAACTTCATTGGCGTATTGTCATGCGACAAGGCTTGACATCAGACGCTTTGTTGAAGTATATTCACGACATAATGTTGCGATGCAATATGGACACAAAAAGCTCGTTGGCACAGCTTTTGACGGAGCATCGTCTATGACACGACTTGCCGCACTCATAAAGTTTGGGGATAACATAATCCATATCCACTGTTTTGCACATTGCAATGAGCTTGTGTTTAAAGATGCCACAAAATTGTCCCCGTTGATTGCTGAAGCACAAGATCTGTGCGAAGATTTGTATGTTCTAGTGGGCGTGAGTCCAAAACGTGTCCTTCTTTTGAGAATATACAAAAAGAAATCGCTAATTCTTCAGAGAGCTTCTCAGAGATTCTGAAGTTAAAGAATTTATCTCGAACAAGATGGACGACAAGAGGTTCAGCAGCTGCGGTGCTCATAAAAAAACTCCAGAGTTACAAGAGGCGTTAGAAATCTTATCAAAGGATCTTAGCATCACTCCTGAGTGTCGTGCAAAATCACGTGGATTGCTTGGAAAAGTTAGATCAGTGCGACCGATGTTTCAAGTGGTTGTTATGCATGAACTTGCAAATTTATTAGAAAATAATTCCAAGAATTTACAATCCGCATCACTCACGGCAGAACAAGCAGTTTATAGTATAAAGAAATTGCAAGTGCGTCTACAGGAGATAAGGTCCGAAGAAGAGTTTCAACGTCTGTATGAGCAGACAATGAAGTTGGCAGAGTTACGAGAAGAACATGAAACACAAAAGTCAAAAAGGCAAAGAAAAGCTCCATGTCGTCTGTCCGAGTATGTTGCTCATTCAAGTTCGCCATCATCTGCGACAGAAATGAATATTACAACGGAATTACTGCGTATTTATTATGAAGCTGTTGATGCTGTGGTGGAAGCACTACAGGGACGTTTTCGTCAAGAAGATTTAGAGATTCTTGAAGCAATAGAGTCATGTTTACTTGCAGCAGCAAACAAAAAAAATTCCTCGAAGAAGTTCGACCACAGTTAAAAAGTTTACCAGCAGTTATTAATACTGATATCTTGGAGGAGCAGCTAAAAGAGCTACCAGTTGTGTTAAAGCTTTACAACGCAGAACATGCATTACCTATCAAGACGGTCACCACCCTATCGACGCTTTGTGAAATTTTGAACTCTAGAAAGAGCATCAAGGAATGCCTTTCGGAAGTTCATAAACTGTTGACATTTTACATGTCAGTTCCCATCAGCTCCGCTACAGCAGAAAGAACTTTTAGCACAATGCGCCGTATCAAGTCATGGCTCAGATCGACCATGTCCGAGAACACCCTAAATAATAGAATGTTCGCTGCTATCCACAAAGGACGAATTGACGAAATAAATAGCGAAAATATTGCTAAAGAGTTCATAGTGGCAAACGAACAACGGCGACGTTATTTTGGAAAATGTTAATTAAAAGGTTTAATTAACTCTATCGTGGAATAACTAGTTTGTTACTGTTTGTTTATATAATTTCATCATTTCAATTTTTCATTAAAGCATTATTACATCTTTATTTTGTAATTTTTGTTCTTTAATATCGGTTTATTGCCGAAAGCAGAAGCGCACAACGTTGAATTCCATAAGAAACCATTCTTTATTTGAAGATTGAAAAAAGACATGCATTTTCTAACTTTAAGTCTAACTTTTTTTCTTGTTTTCTTAACAAACTAAAGTGCCCTTTTTCGAGTTGCTGCCCCCCCTGCCTTTGACTGTGTCCGGCGCCCCTGAGTCAGATCACATTTCGTCTCTTGTTACATAGAAACTGAACATTAAAAAAGCTATTAAAAATCTAATTATTTTTAGATTAATTTCTTAAACAACTTCAGTCGAAGTGATTCAAGCCTGGAGTTCATTATCGTAATTCGTTGAATGAAAATGAAAAGCAAAAATGAAAGTTGAAAGGCTGCAGATATTACGTGATGAAATTCCAACAATTCGCCGCTTTTAATCATCGGTCTATACTTAATAAAGAACTTAAAATTTAATAAAACCCTTGAATGAAGGTCAAAGTCAAAACAAAGGACTTGCACGCCTGCAGACGACAGATTTTTCTGACGAACAATGTTACTTGACATGTTGTATATATTCGTTCGTTTAACGGCAAAAAGTTTCCCTGACAAGAAACTGGTACGAAAGCTGATCATGTCCGCGTCTTTGAACCGGGAAAACTTTCACGAGGTTTTCATCTCATCATGCAGGTTCATCCTTAATCTTTTAGACTTTTAGTTCTTAGGCCCACGCTGTTCACAGGGGATAGAACGCTTTCAGAATCACGGTTGTATGCGTATGGCTTCCTTTTGTGAATACGTATGTACATATCCGGTCAGATTAAAGTATAGTATTTCTAAACGATGCATGTAAATTCAATTGAAAGTGTGGAAAAATCCTCTTGGCCATACACCAATGTTCTAAAACACCGATATATGAAATTTCCATCAATAAGAGTCGTACGGTGTTGACGTAAACATTGTATTTCTCATATTGTTTCATCAATGCGGAATTACAGTTGGGAAGTGCCGGAATTCCGTTTAGTATTGCGTATAAAAAATGACCAAAAATGACTTCTGTTGATTTGTTTTCGAGCGCCGAAGGAGCTTGAAGTAATCCACGTAACGTTTGCACTTTCCATCATTATAAATGCTAAATGTCATCACATATTATCTTTGACCATCTATCTCTATGCATGCAATGTTACATTTCCGGGGTTTTTCCACGCCTGTTGTTTGGTATACTATATAAAAACTGTTTAATATTTAAGCCATCCAGTAAAACTAAGTTCTTCTGTAATTTTGATCTATAAAGTAGTGCAGTAGTTCTATTTGATCAAGAGATGATCCTAACTGGAGTTCTGCTGAAGAATTAGAAAAGTTTAGAAATGGTGGAGCCATACTAAAAAAGGAGATTGTTTTGCCAATTTTAATGAAAACATTCTGAAATAACACACTGAGAGATATGTGTCATTATCATTTACTTAACATGGACACCATGCATGGTATTATGGTATGTTTCCTTGTTAAGATAAATAATTTCCATCTGTGGTTTATTGCGAAATCAATCAACTCGGTCTTAAAAGCATATCATTTTATATCAATGATAGACCTCTTCATTTGAGGGTCCATGTTTCCCCCCTTGCTGAGCAATTGTGGTTAAAATAGTTGTCTAAACGTTTTCCGCTGGTTTTAAAAAGAATTTCACCCACTAAATGTAATATTAGATTCGAAATAGCTCGTACTAAAAGGGTATATATGAAATTAGGACATGATACACCGGATGAGCTGATTAGGTGATGATGTTGTAAATAGTGCAACGACGTTTTGTTCACTAGAATCTATATTTTGTTACGTCTTAGTCTTTTAAAGTCATTTGCTTGGCTTCAATTGCCATTTAAAATTCAACTAATATTGTTTGGTTATTTTGAATTGGGTTTTTTCATCACGAATGGAAGAATTAGGCTCAATTAGCCTTGCGTTCATTGATGAATGTCTTGCCGGTTGAAGTGTAACTCTTGTGGTGTTAAAAAGCAGTGCTTATAATGCAATAGCTTCTAATGACATTTTTTTACGCCTGTTGTTTCTGAGTAAAACCAGATTTTCTGTTCTTTTTTCTGACCTACGCACGAACACGGAAAACGTATAGGGTCTTGACTTTTATCGCCTTAAACGCCTTCCTTCGATTCGAGTGGGTGCATGCATGAACGCAGCTCGTCAAGAACTAGAAGATGTCTGTAAATTTATTGCTAATAAACAAGTAATTCGCCAGCCATGGCCCATCATGGCGCATCATTGCTTTAAAGTATACAAGTACAATTTCGAGACGAATATAGTAAATTACTTACCGCAAACGCTTAAATATATTCGCGCAAAGAAATGATTTAATTAAGAGGGCTTAGCAGTAACCGGGTCCCATTGACAGATATCCGTTTTTGGCAAGAATAACGCATCTGATGATAGCCGATAGGCGTGAAAGAGCAAAAAAAAACAGTTGGCTTTAGAAATTGTGTTTCCTGGCGTCTGTTATGATAAAGCGATTGTATACGCCAACTGGGAGGCTTGGATACACGGCGTTGAAAAGATGCATTTTAGCCACAACAGATCTTCAAATGGTCATCGTCGAAATAGACAAGTTGGTAATTACAGTCGCCATATTGAAAGCGACGGTGACAATGGCTGTTTACAGTGGGAAAACAACGTCGTGAAACTGTAAAACCTTTGTTTCTCTGCTGTGTTCATCACCATTTGCAATGAGGTTTCCGTAGTTACGGCATGCTTTAGTACACACTTGCCAAAGAAGGAAGTTGGAAACCAGCTGACAAATGTACCGTAGCTCTTTGTGTGTTTGACATTAAAACTAAAACACTCGTTTTTGCACTTAATTCCCTACTTTTTATACAATCTTCGGCAATAACGACGAATAATAACACTTGCTTTACAGCTTGTAATTTACTCAATTGCTACCGCATACCTTGTGATATTTGACATTATCTGTGCGCGCATTATGTTAATCAGGTTGAAGCAGCGCAGAATAGTGCGCGAGTACGCATATGAAAATGCCACATTCACGCATGTTCATAAAACAGTTATAATTGTACTACCTTCGTTCAAATTCATCCCCGATTCGAATCCAGCATTTCGTTTTAGCTGTGAATGCAAATAAACAATTTTTTAGTGATATTGAGCCAACAGATGGCGACCCAGCTGAGCAAATCCACTTACAGCTAAGTATTTGTAATCCTAGCACATAACCTTGAACACAAAGCGAAGCAATACAGCTGAAATTATTGACAGGATAATTCTTATTTTATCGACCATTTTGAGGTTAGTTTCAACTATAGCAACTGTGTGAATAAGAATAATTTTGTTAACATAGTCTAGCGCGTAATAATTCCATTGGAATTTGCGTGCGTCTCATTTTCATAAGTAATATTATAAACGATGCTTTATGTATCTTCACTCAGTTCATTGTTAAGAGCACCCTTAAAACATACCTTGAACGCAACAATACCGCCTCGCTTGGAGTGATTTTCTTCGTGTTCTGCCAACAAGACGGTTGGGAGAAGCAGGAATATACAGAACTTAAACATGTTTCAAATGTTATTATTTATCGACAAGCCTCAGCGCTTCGTCAGGATGTGTCCGAACTGAAGATTGCGTACCAAATTAACGGCTTTTATACGATTGCGCGGGACGCGTTGGCTGTTGACTGCTGACGTGAGATGATGACACGTCAGAATGACTCCATAATGATGCTTGACGTTCATTCTAATCGCGTGATATTCCTCATGCAATTATTTATCAATATAATGGTATACTTATACTTGGGTTAAACTTTAGACAAATCTGACATTATTTATCTTTACCTGATAAACAATCACACGATTCGCCTTGACGCCTTCAATAACATTTGCTAAGTATTTTACGATAGAAATCGCCTTCATCGGATCATGCATTTCGATTTCACCATTTTACATGATCTTTAACTTGGCCTGCAGTCTGTACAATATATGGATTATAGAATCAACTGGAATGAGACATGTTTCATGTGTAAAAAGTTATGTTTACAAAGCTCACTTCTTAACTGATTTATTGGAATGTTCGATAAGGTTCGTAATATTCTTGGGTGGGTGGCCAGTTTTGAGTTGAATATAAGTAGTATTTACTAAACAACATATGGCATGGTGTAGCGTGCACAGGTGCAAAAAAACAAATATTTGATGAGTATTTCTGTTCATTTTCTTTAAATAATTGTGTATGCATGATTTTGTTCTTTGACAGGGAAAATTAAATGAATTGTTATTAACTCTCAAGTACCATGACGTTCCTGCTGTTTCTCATTCTTGATGCGGAGTTGCCAGGCCATAAGCTATGTTTTAATTGCAATCGCTTTCTTAAATTTCCAGCTCGACATTTAAGCGGGCAGATTATTGCAAGTATTTAACGGAAACCCATCGTAATTCACACCACAATTTAAATCTCGATTTAAACGATTGCTGCATGGAAATGACACTTTATATCGATTTTTATTGACGGGCAAATGTGACAAGAAATGAGATTTTGTTCAGTTCTTTCAGATAAGTTTTAAGACATAAACACTTATTAATGATTATCGAGTAAATGCTAATTAATATATAGGAAGAGAAATATGCTTCCTTTTATGGCAAGGAAAGCTCACTGAGATTACTTTTTCATCGACGTGCGCATGGTTGTTGACACACTTAATTTGTATAGGAAGAGATTTTGATTGTCTTCACGCAAGGGAAATTCGGTGAAATTGACGACGGCGGCAAACAATCAGCGGAAGAACTCGAGTTGGTTAGAGTTGAATTAGAAAGAGAAGATGAAAGAGATTGATGAAAAGTGGCGATGTTCGACAAAAAATCATGATGAAAAGTCAGGCGCATTGTCATTGATTTGATACACAGCAATCTTAATCTGGCCGCATGGCTGTGGTTAAGTAAAGGATTCCACCCACCTCCTGTGTAAATTACATGGTTAAAACGTCAATAACCTTGTCAGCGTCCCACCACCGTTTTTCCTAATGTATTTAACATTCAGTCTCTTACGCATGACGCAAATTATTTGGTTGTACCTCAGACAATCGACGGCTGAACTTTCCTTCCGGCTGTTGCAAACTTCCTAATTTATACTGAATGAATGCATGGCTAGACTTTTTTCTTAATCTTATTGATCACGAAGCCAAAACGGTTTTTATACCGCGAGTGCACGCAATATAGAATAAATGCACTTATTTAAATAAAAATATTTAAATCATCGATTTGTAGAAACACTATGGTGCATGTATTTGTTATATAAATTATGAATATCAGTATAGAATGCGATATCAGAAGAGAGAAAAAATACATTGTTTTATTGTTTTTCTTCCCAAAAAATCACCATTTTATTCCCATTTTAATTTGCGGTGGATGCGATCGATGAGAGTAAAAAACACAGTTGCAAACACAAACCTTATAAAGCCAAGCTTTTAAGTGAAACGATTTTCCTGATTCGGAGAGAAAAAAAATTATAAGAAGATTAGTTTTTAATTTCTAGAAACTCTTACGAGTATTGCTGTCCTTAGCAGTTGAACAACAAGTTTGAAAACAGGAAAACTACATTTTTTTGTGACAGATTTAGTCATTTTTAAACTGAACACAACGAACAATACATATTTTAAACACAATTTTGCAGACTATTAATACAGGATTGATTGTAAGCGACTCGTTAACATTCAAAACAGTCGATCAGTCTTGAAGTTAATCGATAAGTTTCTCACAACAACGATTTATTTCCAAACAACTATCAGGCACATAAGCCCTTTCATCATCAAATTCCGTTAATAATGTCTGTTAAATCTACAATATTTTTCCTCCATGAGTTGACTCATGTAAACCTCTTTGCTTCTTCGCTCTCCTATAGGATTCTTTGGTATCATTACGTTATATTCTGTTATCTAAACACTCCAGTGACTCAGTGTATATCGTGTATGACACATAAAGATGGGCGAAGATGATAATCAAGGACGATGCATGTTGTAACCCTATATACATAATATTAATCTGCTTCTTTCCAGTCTAATCTCGAATGTTCAGACGCGCGTAAAGAAACGATGATGAATTGCGCGCCTTTTTTTTGAGAATAGTAAACCAACTAACTGTCAACATTTTTCATATATTTTCTGATAATATGATGCAGCAATATTGCCTAAAACCCGATGAGAGACTCGAAGAATGCTCGAGTCATGTCACTGAATGTCACTGGCAACACCCACGCTATATAATATGTTTCAGACCCAGTATCATGACAGTCGTTTAACCCACGGCCACGAAAATTTAAACAATTTGAAACGACAATTATTAATAGGTTCCATAATTATTTTAGGAAGGAGCCCGTCTCCCGTCTTCAATTTTTCTCATAGCTTTAAAACCTGAACTTCCCTTTTTGACAGAAAACCACATCATATTTACATGTCCTAATTTACGTCAGCGCGCACGAGAACGCTTTGGATATCGTGGTTGAGATATCGACCTCAAGTAGCGGTTAACTTTGCCCAGAAACTACCTGAACTCCCGTCCTGTTCTGTTCTTCCTAAAGGTCCAGACCGTCCAGTACGGATCAACTCTTATTGATCCAGTGTTACTACAGAGTGAAACCTAACTTGCGAAAAAACCAGTAAAGTTTTTCCGTGTCCGCGTTGCCGTGATATTTGTAAGTTTAAGATTCACCAAATCTGCGACGCGGAAGTTAACACTGCTCTAATTTCCACAGTTTCCTAACAGGGATGGAAATTATAGACTTCTTTTGATAAACAATGTCAGAGCCGCGTATTTATGTAAAACAAATTATTGACCGGTTTCCTCGCACTTGTCGCACTGAATTTTCATGTCATGCACGTACATCATGGTTTATTGATTTCAATCATGTTTGAGAGGTGAATGCTAACGTATTCAAAGTGCTTTTTGCAGACAACTTGTGAGATATATTTTGTCATTCATGCATGCTCGATTTCTGTCGCCAGTGTTTGGCGAACTATTGTGGAGCTCGGAGGCGAAGAAAGATTCATTGAAAATGACAAAGGACCTCAATCATTAGCGATCATTGTTTTCCCTTGTGATTGGTATAATTGCCAAAATTCCATTCACGTTAAAATTGTAGTTCGTGACTGAGCAATTAGTTGCGTCCGAAAAACAAAACTTTAATCATAAAAAAATTAATTTCAACCTTGCATGACGTCCACGTTCAAGCAAGGTTATATATTTTTTTTAAATTTGATTAATTGGTTTTGTAGTGTAACGTCCAAAAATGCAATATGAAAAAAAGTGGCATCCAAAAAAACAAATTAAAAAAAATCAATTTTCAAAGCTACGTGCAAATATATTCGTGTATTTACGTTCAAACAAGTTAATATATTTTTCAATTTAAGTTTATTCGAGTGTCAATTTTGTAATTTTATTTTGAAATGCGTAACGTACAAATAACTGACGTGATCGATCGTAAACAAGCATTCAACAGAATATAAAATCCTAACAGGTCGTCGCCTCAAGTCTCAAGAATACTGTTTTCTACGTTTTCTTTGTCACTTTCTATGTGTTTTCTGTTAATTCACAAACTCATGCGTAATGAAACGGTTAAAGACGCTATGATGATGTAAAACCACAAACATTACGTCTATTTCGTTGGCTATCGTATTGCTGAAATGTCGTTGGATACGATAGGATACGATACAACACAGCTTCTACACGCGTGCAATTTCAGGAATGTTTATGATGAAAGAAGAAAAAATAATTAGTTTTAAATTTAAACTTTATTGCCGAAAGACCGTTCACAAAACCTCATATTTTCCCTGATAGCTCTCTATATAAACTGTTCTTCCTAGAGGTCCAGTAAGGATCATCTCTTATTGATCCAGTGTTACTACAGGAGGAGACCTAAACTAAACTAACTTTATTTACACTGGATAACTCTATCAGTTCTAAACTGTTCTTCCTAGGGTCCAGTAAGGATCATCTCTTATTGATCCAGTGTTACTACAGGAGGAAACCTATTCCATCCAAGGATATCTTTATCAGTTAAGTGGGAAGGGGGGGAGCTTATCTCATATTTATTGCAATACAGGAAAACCTAAACTAGATTTACTTGTACTGGATTTTCATGTCTGTGCTGCTGGATTCTCCACTCAATATTTTTAAATAAACAATTAAGAAGAACACGGTTTGACTATGTACATAATTTATTGATGAACTGAGAACAAAATACATTTTCTTACAAACACGCACGAATCTATTCTACTATAAACATAAACTATATGTATAAAATCTTTGTACAATCATAAGATATAGCTATATTTATAATTTAATGTTAAGTTTGGTCACTTCACAGCTGCGATTTTACGATGAATTTTTCCAGTGACATTCGCCAGACATACACCACTGCAGAATGAAAGAAAGAAGACATTAATAATCTTTACAGAAATCTATAGCTTGAGGCCTGTCAGGCGCTTCAAAGAATAAAACACATGAATTCCTTGAAAGAGGTCATCGAAGAAATGGATCGCAATTTTGAGCTTCTAATTAGGAAATAAAGATTACCTTGTTCTCCCCGCATTTTGTTCCGTCCAGGGCAGGGGAGTTGGGTGTTTTCGTAAGATAGGCATATTTCCCTGGCATCCTGCATTTTAACTCCTCACATGGGTCTTTTCGCTTAAATGTAAGATAATCGTTTGTGAATATGACTCAGATCAAACTTGTAACCGTGTCTCTCTTAATCTTTGCCGTTTAATCATGCAGTCAAACAGAACCTCAACGATTCTATACAACAACCAACCTGCCATCTTGTTGGCTTCCAAGCCGTGTACGCCTTGTTATACTCCAAATCACATTGCTTTTCAAAAGAAAAATATTTTCCTGGAAGGTGGTAAAGTTCATCGCCTCGTTCCCTGATTTGGGGTTGGTTATCAAGACAGAAATAGTGATTTCTATAAAACAGAAATGAATATGAACACCAGTTACAATCAAACATTTTCATTGCGTCGTTTCAACGAAAAAAAAAACTCCCGTAAAAATATTTCCGTGTTTTACGTTTCCTTGTTTTTGACTGACCTTGTGTTTGAGAGAAGCGAACTCTGACTTTGCAAGGACCATCGGTGATTATGGATCCAGGAATTTATACTCGGCCTCATAATGTAGCGAGAATACTGATTGAAATATACATGTGATGCACCAAGCCTAAATAATGAAGTAATATCATTCATTTCAAAGCTCACTGATTATACAACACATATTTTACCATAAATGATGATGTCATCATAGGGGAACCATGCAAAATATGGGAGAATACGCGTCCCCCCCTGGGATTCCCACGTGATTTTCATAAGGGCGAAACATCAATGGTTCAACTTACGAGTGGGCTACTTCGTGAGCGATGGTCATCGCTGAGGAAAACCCGTGATCCTTTATGATTGAACAGCTAGATCGACTGCACATTCCTCCTCTTCTCGCAAAACCTGAAATTGATCGAAACACTTGATTAGAAAAACGTATGATAATTTACGCATGATATAACCATACACTATACACAAATATATACCGGACTGGCAGCATAATTATTATTATTAGTTAATGCATGTGATATATAATATCGTTGATTAATTTGTTGATTGATCTGTCGTGCATGAACTGATGATGAATGTTTTTGGGATGAAAGAAGGTTCAGACGATTTACGTTTTGCTTTTTGGTTTTAAAAGCTACGTACACACATATGAAAAAAAGTCATTAAATGAAATTCTGAACAGTATTTTGATAACTAAGCTAGCAAGAAACACCACAAGAATAAAACTTGAAAACTCTTCAGCCTACCTGCTGCACCAAATGAATTCCTGCGAAAAATAGATAGAAATTTTAGATTATCTGACGACTTGTCATATGTTGAACCTCAACACGACTGTCAAGATCTTCTTCATCTACAAACATGTAATACGAAAAACGTACCTTGTTAAAAATAACTTGTGATCATATCTTTTTCTCTGATTCCTGGCAATATTGTTCATGCGACCACATGCGATATTCAGGTTGCCCTCATCATTTGCTATGTCAAACCTTATTTCATCCTGCATGGAAAACGGGATTATTTCATTTATTTTTGCATGTTAACACTTGTGTAGCGTTCTTGCCAAGTAACTAAAGAATGGCGTTAAAAGATTGCTGCTTATTAACAATGGACCACCAATGGTACGAGATCCCACTGAGAATTAACCCTGATGAACTATCGGCGAATATTAGACCACCTTATTTCACCGCGGATGTCTTGCGTGAACCTATCGTGGATTTCTACCATGCACTGCGATGTACTTCATGTCTTACCTCAAGAAATACTATTTTGGATGGAACTAAAATAATTTTCAGTTCATATCGAGTTACACTGCTATGTTGAAATACACGTGTGGCCTAAAGAAAGAAGGAAATATTTTACTAATTTTAAAACGCACATTTTTCTCTGTTCTAATCTTCCGGCTTCGACGACTTATAAGACTCCCAAAAACCAGGAAATTCAAGGACTAAGTGATTAAACCCGAAGAGACAATATAAAGGGACAATAGCCTTTAAAGAAAGGTGTCTCTTCTCATCAAACTTACCAAGCCAAGCAAGACTTTAACATATCTTTCAACTTCATCATTGTTTTCAAACATATTCCTCACGCTCTTATCAACAACAACGAAGGTCTCGACGAACTTTTTTATGACAATGTCCGCCTTGCTTTGATCTAAAAAAAGTCGGTTTAAGGAACGCTATAGGAACTCTTTTTGATTGACAAACACCATCTGAGTAGCGCGTAACTTTGACACTGGCTTAATTGCCACCAACTATGGAAAACGAAATTACCTGGACGTTTAATGATGCAAACAGTTCTTGTACTTCTTGTATTAGCTTTTGGTCTAAGAATGTTTTCATCATTTATTGTTGTTGATCGTTTAGTTGCAAGTTCCTCTGCCATCCATTCATCGTTTTCAAACGTGTTTACACGTACAGTGGACCCTGGTCTTAGTCGTTTAAACATTTGCCATCCTTCGTTTGGCTTGTTTATATCCCGCCACAGTAACTATATAAAATTGAATGGGTTTTTTCAATGCTAAACAATTTGCTCTCAGTGTTGTAAAATGACGTTATCAAACTATGATAGCAAAGTCAAATATCCTACTAACTTGGACCGATCGTTCTGATCTGTTGTCAAAAAATACGTATGCCTTTTTTTCTTCAGATCTTCGCTCTCTTTTGTGAGTTTGATCGATTCCATCTGAAATAACAAAGCCTCAGTTTTCTAGAACAACATCTGCCTGTGTTGCAGACGCCTTTTTTTTCCGGGATTTAGCCATTTTGGCCGAGGATAGTTGGGGATAATTTGGATATATTTATTAAGCCGTTAATATTTTCCGACGTTACAACTAATCAATGAATCATTAAACCTTTCCGGTAAACAGAAAGCTTAGTTTATATCCGGTTTTTACTCATAATGATTTCTACCGAGATTTGATTGAGAAAGTGACCTCAAAGGGTGTTCTGTCGTGAATGAATCACATTATTATACAATGCTTCTAAGCTAGAATTCTGCATCGCAGAACTCAAAACCATAAACGTAATGAAACACGGCCATTATAGAAATCAGTTTCAGTTTCTATGTTAAATAAAATCTCGTATTTTTACTAACGTTTCATAATCCTTCTCACCTTGTAATAATCGTTCTTCGAGAGATCTTATTCTTGTTGGAAACTATTCAAAATGAGAGGATATCATCTTTAGACAAAACATTCATTTAGACTGAAATGAAAATACATTATTGCCGTTCTTAATCGATTCGCCGCACGGAATGCAACTATATCACTCAAAATTGGTATAGAAACCGTCGTTGCTTTGCAGTCCGAAATATCAACGACTGTAAGTCTTATTAAGCAGTAGTACATTCCTAAACAACAGTTATCGTCAATGTACCTCTTCTTTGTAGAAAGTACTGCGTCCTTCAACGGCAAACAGAACGCACACAGACAGAACCAATAGTGTCAAACAGTTCATCTTTCTTGCAGTACACAATAAACTTCTTTTGAATAAAGGCCAACTCTTTGCAATGACTTCTAAGTCGTTTTAGTTTCAGAAATGTTGTCGCGAGCTTTATATACTGATGCAATCTTGACTTGACAAATTATGTAGGATAACTCGAGGAATAACCAACACATGAGGTTGACGTCACACGCGCAAGCAGGAAATATCTTTGGTGTAATTTCCACAGACGATAAGTGATTTGTTCCTAATACAGGAAAGAGGGTGTCATAATCAAATTTAATGTCCCTGTACATTAACGGGATAGGATTGTCACGCCATACTTGCGTGCCAAATCGGATTCGTGGCAAATGTTCTTAGTTTCACGGCTTAAAAACCACAGCTTATTGTAGAATACTACCTACACTAGACCACCACGTTTGAGATATCTTTCTCAGGTAGTTCAGACACAAACCACGACAGCTTATTGTAGAATACTACCTACACTGGACCACCATGTTTGAGATATCTTTCTCAGGTAGTTAAGACAAAAACCACGACAATTTATTGTAGAATACTACCTACACTGGACCACCACGTTTGAGATATCTTTCTCAGGTAGTTCAGACAAAAACCACGACAACTTATTGTAGAATACTAGTTACAAGTTGGAAGCTGGCTTATTGTAAATTAAAACACTATCTAGTTCCTACAATTAATGAAACAGCACATGAACATATCTCAACATATCTGACTATTTCTATAGACTTTATTACAGCAAATTACTTAAATCATTATAAACCTTGACTGACCGTAGTCCGGTCTGTCAGTAATGATTTAATTTACCTGGAGACAGCAAACGCCTTTTAAAGAATAATTTGAATAAATTGCGGAAAAGCGATTAATTCACTGCTATTAATCGCTTTTATCGCGATTAATTCACCGCTATTAAATAGATTTTGGATTGTACTGCTATTTTTTATGATATAATGATGTATAATGTCACTGTTTGTGTGATGTGCTGTTTGGGACTTCAGTGTTTATGCATTTTTAAAATATACGGCAATGATGAATGGCGAGACAAGAACTGCATCTCACACTGTTTGATGGACTGCAAATGATTCCAACTACGTCAGACGCAGGCAGATGTGATTCTCTGATGACAGCGCGAACGTGCGTTGAAAAAATCGCTTTGTCTAATCAAGTGCACGTGGAAGACTAGCATGAAATAAAAGCATGTAACAATGATAATGGCCAGACGAGCTGGCTGGCTCTTCTGAGAAAGTAAAGTCTGTGTAAACATCCGAACTTTCGTCTGAACTGCGAGAAATGGGAAGAGGAGCTTTGGGAGGAAGGGCGGATCAGCACATGCGAAACCTCATGCGATATCTTTGTTAGAAGGAGTTGTTATTTTACCAAATGATATTTGGCCAGCAAAGAATCATGTCATCTGACCACGGCCTTTAAGAGGTTTTACTTGTGACGATGCCTGCCTGCGAATTTTTCAACATTCTTGTGATGCAAAACGTGACAGTTTAAAATAATGAGATTCTTAATGAATCGTGACTTTGGTTAGTAAACAACGCTAGTTTTAGTTTAATTCAATTAAAGTACCATTTATTCCAGGAACTCGCACGAACGAGTTCTTAAACTTCCACCGGACCAGACCGCCTTCATAAGGATACAAACCCACGTAATGATCATCTTCTCACTTCTTCTTCCGTTTTCCACTTTAAATTACAACATATGTTCATGAAATATCTCATTCTCCCTGATAAGTGTCGGTCTCCACCTTTTGTAATAATATTTATTTCGCACAGACCCAGACTTGTTAAATTAAACTTTATAAATTGCAAAGTGTCTGACACAGCGCGTGTCAAAAGACAGTAAACAGCTACCGTCATTTGCATAAGTCGCGTAATCGCAAATATAGAAGTCCTGGCAAACAATTATATTTCTAGAATTTAGAAAATCGTTTTAATTTTTCATGTTAGTTTTTTATTTCAGTAGAATAACCTAACAATATTCAATAATGAAATATCTCAGCGTTAATTTGGGCACTTAGGTCGCACACATGTACTATAGATTTCCTTCACCTGATCAAAAATTGAGATGTTTTGTCGTTTGTTCTAAATTTCTGTCGCCAGCGTTAGGTGACGCATTGTTGGTGTTCGAATACGATAAAAGATTATTGAAAATGACAAAGGACCTCAATCATTGGCGATTATTGTTTTCCTCTGTGATTGGTATAAATGCCAAAATTCCATTTACGGTAAAATTTTAGTTCGTGACCGAGCAATTATTTGCGTCCAAAAAGCAAAACTTTAATCATAAAAAAATTCAAAACTACATGACGTGTATGATCAGCAAGGTCATATATTTTTAAATTGATTAATTGTTTTTTTGCGAGGTGTCGTTTGCCCATTTTTTTAACCGAGTGTAACAAAGTTGTAAGCAAAGATTCGATCCTAAACAACGATTTATAGTCACCGTATAACAGGTAATCGCCTCAAGAATAATGTCTTATACGTTTTATTTCGTCCCTTTCTATGTCTTTTACTGTCCATTCACAAACTCCATGCGTAATAACACGATTAAAGACTACAAAACAACAAACATCACGTCTATTTTGTTCCCTATCGTATCCAACGACATTGCTGAAATTCACTTAAATACATGCGCGTGCACAATTTCAGGCATGTTTACGATGAAAGGAAAAAACAAGCAAACTTTCTATATTTGGTATAAAATACAAATTTCAACTTTACGGTCAAAGGACGTCGACACTGATCTCATATAGGAACATATTTTCCTAGACTTATAAGCCAAGTGTTAAAGTTGAATGCAAAGTTCGTCGGCGTTAAGAAGCGGAAAGATGCGATAAAAAATCCTAGTGACCATATATCCGAGTGCCACGCGCAATTTCTGACAAAGGCCGGATAACTGGATAACCATTTACGTTTGAAACCGCAGTGCTGAGAAATCTTGAGTATTTCAACAATTGACTATTCAGCTGAACTGCGGTAAAAACAATTTTCTGTCTGTTTACAAATTCCCTGGAATTATGTATTAATTTTGAAAATCAAATTTTGCATGTCATGATACATGTAGTTATTCAATCATGTTTTCATGACATGTCCACGACTGCTTCAAAAACGCTTTTAACTTCTCAACTAACTGTGGCAGTAAAAAATAATTAGTACTTGACATTTCCGCAAGGTATCTTTAAAATCATGGGAAATTTTAGTCCACTCGTTCAGAACACTTGCACAAAAATAATGAAATCTTGATGACAAAAGTGAAAAATACTTGAAACAGGAGAAAAATTAGCTCAATGATTAAAAGGTAGTTGCCATGACATCTTGAGTGGTTGAAAATAATAAAATCGACTGTCGACTTTGTTCAATGGCTGAGTATCTTAACGTAGATTCAACACAAAATATCCAGCCTTTAATATTTCGTAGGCTGGAGGTAAATCCTTTCTATAATTGAATGGACTGTGAGGAACATTGCCCCCACTGTGAGACTTGTAGACTGAGAAAATGTTTTACACAAAAAATTGTTCTAGAAATGGTAACCTAATCAGTTCTAATCGACGCTGACACACCCTATTTTGCTTTATGAGGTCAAAAATATCAAAACTTCAGTAACAGCAATTCTCTATTTCATTTGTTTTCGTCGCTTTCATCCTGAATAACTGGCTTCTCAGATTGAACGTAAAATATTGTAAATATTGAGGAAAGAAGATTTCAAAACATTTGAAAAAATATACTAGCACAATATGAGCGTACCTAATTTTCATGAAAAGCGTCCACCAATCTCGTACCCAATGCCTTACCATAGATCACTGCCACATACACGCGCATAGCCTTATGGTCTAGCAGAGAATCTCCCACAATGCATCGTTGCAACGTTCAACGCATGCGCAATTGCAAACTCGCGATCGTTTCACGACCTGCCATAATTATAGCCGAAAATCAAATGACTGAAGCAAATTGTTCATCTCCTAGTCCGTCCACAAGTGAAAATCTGCAAGAAAAGTGCCAAAATGAAACGATACTTAAAGATTCCAACAAAAAAATATGCAAAAAGAAAACAAAAAAAATGCCCGCAAAGATTGAAGACACCCGATATTGTGGACCGCCATTTTCGAAAGAAGTTTATAATCTCTTTGTGAGCTCAATAAAATACGGTGAACCAGCTTATCCCACCACAAAAGAACTTCGGAAGCTAGATTTTTTTACAACAAAAGGAACTCGGCATCGGAAAAGGTTTAAGGAACTTTTGAAGCGCTTTGAGTTGCATATCGTGCAAGGTTCGCTCGTTCTGAGCTCGAATTTGGAAGAAGATGTTCTTGTGGTCAAACGGTCCGGGAAAATTATTATTCCCAAAGAGGATTTGGAGAAGATCATTCGTAGAGCACACTTGTGGGGAAATAACGGAGCGAATGGCGAGAATGTGGACGAAAGAAAGTGTAAACATTATAACGTTGGACGCACAATAACAGTGGTAGGTAAAATTCGGTGTTTTGAAAATATTAGGTTTCAGGGGAGAGAGGTCAGAGGTTTTCGCCGTTTCACAGAGTCATTTAATAGGCAAATTTAGTGGATGTTTTCTCGTAGAACTATTGTTTCAGATATGTTGTTATTTCTGACTTGTTGCTCACAATCTAACCCTTGGCCTTACTCCTCTGGTACCACCCTGATAACCCACCATGTGTTTCATATACCATTATAGGCAGCTTGAATTACCTTCTCTAGTAATTCCTAAGCTTAGAAAGTTCTAAACTCTTGCATATACCTTTCAGCTGGGGAAAGATTTCACCATCAAAAGACGAGAATTCGGAGTCACCAGAGAGGTTGTTCAAAAGGTCATTGCACAATGCATGACCTGCAATAAAGGTCGTCTTCTGGCTAATAATGAGATAAGACTTAAACAATTGAATAATGTTGACGAGAATATGGTGAGGATGGGATATTCATCTGCAGAGATAGGTTCATCACAAGTATCATCACAAAGAAATAATGAAAAATCAGAACTTGAAAAAGCAAGATTTCCGTCAATGGTTGCTCATGTTCCTGATAAAACATGTATTTGGTATGATAGAAAATGTAAGTAATTATTGTTTTAGTAGTTTTCCATCAAGTCCATCATCTATTCCATTGCCAAATCCAATAACTATGTTCGTCATAGGGGTCATACAAGCTTCACTTACGGTTCTACTTACTTACTTTCTTCACTGGTTTTATTTGTCCAGCTATTGCGGAGACATCAAACAGTTTTCAAAAACTTAAAATGGTGGTTGGTGAGATGCAAGGTGAAATATCGCTTGTGGTCAAGGGTGATGCAGAAGCCAAACAAAGACTAGAAGCAAGTAGGAAATAAAAACTTTGCTTTCTCAATCTTTCTCCTGCATTTCCCTAAAAATTCTGAAAGACAATACCCTTTCTTTATCACAATTTTTTTTTGTTTTCATACTGATGTATTTTCATTTTGACACAATCAAATTCTTGATTTTTCCTTCATTTTACAGAGCTCTACTGTGCCCAACTTTTGATCAAAGACCATTGCAAGAGCATCCAGAAATTGCTAGTTCTTGAAAATTCACCAAAGGTGTTTAGAACGGAGCTTGGTGTTCTTGAAATGGAGTATAAAGAGGCAGGTCAGAGCAGTAATTTTAGTTCTGATATAGAGAATGTGTTGGAACATGTTAAAGCCAAGAAGTTGATTGTATCTCCGGTGATTACACGAGAACTTGAGGATATTGTCACGCTTCAAAATGGCAGAAAAAAAACTAAAGAGGCCGCTTGTGGTAATAGATATGAGAGTTTGCAAGGCTTGACCAAGGAGAGCTCAACTGTAAATGAAAGTCACAATTTTTAATGTGCCATTTTTTTGTAAGGTTCATATTTTTAAGGGTGGTTTTAGGGTAAAATTGCTGAAGTATGACTAGATGTCATGTGTGTGACAGGTATGTACACTAGTACATATCAGAAATGGTTGTCTGTAGAGGGCGAAAAAAACTAGCATTTTCACAAAGTGGAAGGTAGATCTTATCAGTTCAGAAATTGCCACATCATTACACATGCCACCCTCCCTCCCCCCCACATCACCCCTCCCCCCCCCACATCACCTCACCCCCACCCCCACCCCCACATTATTGTCGCACACATCATTGCCATTGTTGAGGTTGATATTTTTTGACTGTGAATAGTTAAGTTTTGTTTTGTTAAATGTTCGACAATGACTCTAATGTCAACTAACAACGCAAGATCACAATGACCAACATGTCGCCATTTTGGGACACATTTTTATAAACTAACTCAAAGAGGCAAGCAAATAATATTTAATAACGTTTGTATATAAACGAATGAATATAATTTCAAAATACGGAAAAAAATTTGATACAAAACCAACATTTCTATTGGGATTTGTTACAATGTTTAAAGTTTACAAATGTTTATTTTTTTAAAATAGTAACATCAAATGTCGGAGTATTTAGCGTAGTATTTACTTCACAAATATTTTTGTGAAGATAATATGGCAATAAGATACGCCAGAAATGCTTCAAAGCTGAAATATTTTCCCAGGATTCATGATGTTATTTGGATCAAGAGTTTTCTTAATGCTCTTCATCACTCCAATACCTGAACTTCCAAATTCCTCTTCCAGTAATCCTATTTTTCCCATTCCAATACCATGTTCCCCAGTGCACGTACCATGTAACGATAGAGCGTGTCTGGCGGTGGTGAAGAAAAATAATAAAGAATGACAATCATTATTGTTACTGATGTTCTCTCATTGTCATGTTTCCTGAAGTTGGACAGACTAGAAAACATTGTTTCCCAGCCATGTTTCGCAAAGTTTCACAAACGAAGGACACAATATTTGCCAGTTATTATACTAGGCTTAAACCAGGGATATGTTTCATTAACGCCATACCTGGCTACTCTTTTGCTAAGATCATTTGCTCGGGACGTCTCCTCCTCGTCATTTGGATCAAACAAAACCAGAAGATGAAAATTTCCATCTCCAACATGGCCCACCAATGGTGCTGCATAATGAAACATAATAAAATCAAAATCCTTGTTTTATAACGCAAAGAGATCTTGATGAAACAGGAGCTTGAATCAACTGCGAAAGATATTAAATCTCTTTATATTTTATTTCTCACCAATCAATGAAAGTTCTTTAATGTCCTCTTTCGTTTTCGTAATAATCTCAGGCAGACTTGATATAGGAACACAAACATCGGTTGTTAAGCCCTAGGAAAAAAAATATCTCTGATGCGTCTTCCTGATCCTCATTTGGGAGTTTAGAATTCGACACGGGGTCACCATCGCGTCGTTAGTCATATTTCCTGCCCTTAAAATAAGGTACGGTATTTTAATTGGCGCGTACCTTGCATCCTGGTCTTAAATTAAGCCCGGCGTATAATACTTCATGTCTCGCTTGCCATAATTTATTTCTTTCCTCGGCGTCTGTAGACCACACGAAATCAGAGCCTCCATTACTCTGGACAATCTCACCTGCAAGGATGGTGCGAGAATACGACAGTTGAAAAGCTTTCGTGGTTTTGATAAAGAAAAATAAAGGATGTTCCTCCCTGACCTGTCATTTTTCCTTGACGTTCAATCTCCTCCTGTCCTCCGTGGAACTCCAGAAAAAGACTCGGTGCGACTTTATAGCTGAGTTCATTTGAATATTTGTTGAACGCGTCCATCATCACTTCGTCGAGTAATTCTGAAAAACACAGTCGTGTTTATTGAGCGTTACTTTGAATGTGGAATGCTGGGAGAATGATCAGGGAAAGAATGATGATTTACAAGAACGTTGATGTCGTGGAAATTGGAAATCGCAGAGGCGTAAAGACTGGATCTCGGAGGAACAAAACAGAGTTTTCTACTATAGAATATAGCCTTGTTATTGAATATACCTATCCTTGCAATGGGAATACCAAATGACATGATTTCCACCACGCTATCAACGGCAGATTTGATGTTTTCAAAGCAACACACAGCAGACAAAGCCTGGAAATATACAAAGTTCTGGCTGGACGTGACAACATTACAGAATATCAAACTACTTCTGTGATCAGATTTGGATTATTTCGGATTGAAAAGCAGTTTATCTTCAAGCATTCATTGTTTATTACCGATTCCGGGATCCCAAACACCTTCAGAGTTGCTTTTGTAATGATTCCAAGAGTTCCTTCGGAACCAACGAATAGATTTGTCAAGTTATAACCTGCCGAACTTTTTCTAAATTGGAGAAGATTAAAGTCAATTGCTCTGCTTTATCTAAAGATATTTTTCACTCCACTTCACCTTGCACGTCTCCCATGTCCTGCGGTGTCCACAATCGTCCCATCAGCCAAGACAACTTCAAGGTTCAAAACATTGTGTTTCATTGTTCCATACCTGTGAAAGATTTCAAAACGCAGCATCCGAATTTGAAACTATTCTGTCAAGATGTTTATATTGGACTTCAAAGAAGAATTGTTATGACTGACTATCCAGTAAAAATACCTTGCTTGGTCGGTTTACGGGAACACACTGCGAAGAAAGAGTTAGTTCGCAGAAGAGGTACCTTCTGACTCATTTAAGTTTACAATTATCTTACCTCACAGCATTCGTCCCAGACGCGCCGGTCGCTGCCATACCACACAACGATGCATCAGCGCCTGGATCTAAAGATATTTTTTAAAATATTTTATGTAATCTTATGTCAGCCCGTAGGCTTGCTCGTTATCAATAAAAATCACCCGACTAACACAGACTTCATTTTCAATCAGGAATCAGCCATCTCTTCTCCTTACCAACAGGGAACCAGAGACCAGAATCTCTGAGATATGTATTTAAATATTTTCTGGTGACCCCAGGCTCGACGGTCACGTCCATATCAGCATGATTCTCACTCGTTACTTCGTCCATTCTTGTAAGATCAATACAAACACCACCCTGAAAGAACATAATCACTGCTGATACAACTCAAGTACGTAACTCAAGAAAGCAGAGAAAATCTGACGATCTTCGAAGTGTTTCTCACCTCAGACGCGACAACACCGCCTTCCACGCCTGTCCCAGTCCCAAACGGTATCATCGCAACTTTGTGTTGGTTACACAACCTTGCAACACCGCTGACCTCCTCTGTGCTGCCAGGCCATACCACGAGGTCAGGTGACTGAATACTGTGATGTGATTCGTCCTTTCCATGTTGCTCTCTGACTGCTTGTGAGCTGGAGATGTTTTTCGGGCCGACAATTGAAGTGAGTTGATCAATCATTCCTTCAACCTTTTAAGAAAAAGTTTTTGTAAAGGTTTTAAATGTATAGTGATTGAGTTTTTACTAGAGTGTATACCAGAGTCGTTCTAGCGCATGACTAAAGGAATACCAAATGATTTTCCGTGCAGGATTGCGTGATCCATGCACGCGGGATGTTGCGAGACTTTCGGAAAGCGTGAAAATACACGAGCCGTAGGCGAGTGTATTTTCACGCTTTCCGAAAGTCGAGCAACATCCCAAGTGCATGGATCACGCAATCCTGCACGGAAAATCATTTGGTAATTGTTTTATAAAATAACTGTAGTGAAACAACGGTTAACTTTATTAAAATTAAATTTCGCGTGCAGGATTGTCTAAAACGCGTGCAGGATTGTCTGATCCTGCACGGCTATTGACCAATCACATTGCGTGTTTCACTATAGTTATTATATAATATGTCTTCGGTGACTGCTGACCGAGGCATCACGCAATACCCCTGGCTCATGATCAGGAATATTTAGGTTAGGACAAGGGGGTCAGTGATTATAGTTCGACAAAAATATCCCACGATATTGGTCATGTTGAGGGCTGCCATAATCTTCCATTCAGTGAATAATTTTGCGCGGTTGATTTCATTGCGGCGAAATTTTGCGCTGGATAAAAATCCGCTTGAATTCAATTGCAATAGCTAGGTTTATAAGACTACGACACCTCGGTACATTTTCATTTAATAATAAGTATTATTTATATATAAGCAAAGGTTATATTTCATGCTACGCAATTCAACCGCTGCTGTAAAATCAAGTTCAAATGAATTCGATGAATCTGTACAATTGTACATTTTGCACTATCGACTGTGGTTAAAATCGAAATATCGTATAAAGATATACTTGTAGGCGAACTTTAAACATACAAATTGCTTCTTCGTTCAAGATCCCAAAAACCTTCACTAGCTGCAATGCATGTAAACTGGGGTTTGGTATAGTCTTTAGTCACAAGAACTTATTATTATTTATAGCTCTGCATGTCAGAGTGAGGTTACCAGTGAATTCTGTTTCATTCATCATAACTATTTCTTTAAATTATTTTTAATACAATCACCTTCTGACTCTGTGAATACCATCGACATAGACTTAATCTGGAAAGATTTCTGAAGCTATGTTTAAAATATCTCGCCATAGCTCGCTTTACAATCCTGCCTTCAATGTGTTGATTGATGGTAAGTTCTGAAAATATACATCAACTTTCAGCCTGGCCTGAATAACTGCTTTATATTGCCAGTAGTGTTCGACTCCATTTTAAATGTTTTTTTATGTTACTTCCGCCGAAAAATTTGCATGTATAGAGTTTCAAGGCATGTTGCCAACGCGACAGAATATGATACAAGTTATTGTCTAAGTGTGGGGACGATTACTGATAAATACTGTAAAAGCTGTTTAAACGCAGGACAAAGTAAAGTAACTCAAGTTCTGGGATAAGTTGTAACAACGTTGTTTCACTAAGAAACAAACTAAATGCAACATTCTTTACGCTACAGCGCTTTTGTATGACTCCGTGACAAGGAGTTGAACGATCAAATATGTTTAAATTTATGTATTTATTATCCTAATTCTTCATTTATTGCAAAAAAAGCATGTCAGTTTCCCAAATTTTGAAATGATAAAAAAGAGGTATTAGCTATATGATGTCTCTGCAAATGTAAATGAGATCGCGTGGCGTTTGGCGCGCATCTGGCGGTTATAATATGGTAAATACGCATAATCCCCCAATTGCTTTCCATCAGATAAAGTTGGCTTTGTAATGTTAATTAGTACAGACAGGTGTTATTTCATTTTCGTATGAAGACACGTTTAAATGGAACTAGAATCGAAGCAAGAAAGCAGTTTTTAAGCTTGAAATTGGATCTAGAAGTTATCAATACACTCGGATGTGATTTCGGGTTCTCAACGAAGACTCAATGAAATTGAAGTTTTATGAAAGAAAGGTTCTTGCGTTAATGCCGTTCAACGCTAATTGAAAAGAAATTTGAATGTCGTAGAATATATATAGTTTGTTTGAAAGCAGGAAAGTCTGGAAAATTATCCATTCAAAATTGTCTGGAAGAATAATCAACTGTGTTTGAAGTGACTGGACTACACTAATCTCAACATCACAACTCATAGGAACTCGAGCAGTTTACAAATTGCTTCTGTTTATTCATTTTTGGCGGAATTGATGAATTTATATTTATAAGAAGTCAATTCAGAACAGAATTCAAAGATTCAGGAAGCAAGCACTACAGCGACACTGGTGGAAGTTCGACGTCTTTTAAGAAGATTATTGCCGTGATCATAGTTTGTGTTAAGATATAATACTGTTTCCTAGTTGTCGTGTTGCTTCTTCGGTGAAAACTAATCCATCCGTCATTTTGCTATGGGTCTAAAACCCCGAGGCACAGACATGAGGCGGGAAAATGGGACAAGCTCATTGGCTACAGAGTCGAGACGTGATGACGTAAACATTCTCGCAGTTACCACGACGCAATCGTTTCCAGGGAAATGCACGAGAACGAGGCGACAAGCTATTTGTGAAGTGCGCGAAGATAGTTTTAGGAGAAATGGCGTCACTTTGAGACATTTTCGAAAGCTTCTTGTGGCCACTGTACAGCTTCGTAGATTCTGATCTGTTGTTTTCGAATTAACGTCGAAAATCGGGCCACATAGAGAAGCCGTACAGCATGAATAAAAGATGGTTCTTTTAGAACCGAGTTATCCAGTACAAATAAAAATTAGTTTAGTTTAGGTTTCCTCTTGTACTGTAGTATAACTCAATAAAAGATGATTCTTACCGGACTTAAAAGAGTAACTAATATGCCGGATGATTTAGAAATGATGGAACTACCTTGTTTAAAACTAAAAAGTAAATATAATTAATATTAATAAATGCTACTGTCTTTGATTAATATGTTTATATAAACTTTTATTGTGAATGTCTTGAAACACGTGCTGAAAATCTTTACATGGCGGATCATTTGCATATCTCATAATGGTTTCCCACCGTCGACATTCAATACAACTGTTTGTTGTACGTTTTAAAACAAATAAACAACACAAAACACGTCAAGAATTTGAGTGTGAAATAGATCAGAATAACTTGAATTGATAACCTGCATAACCTCCAATATCTGGGTCTGGAAGAGTTTACGTTTTTTAATGCTACGTATAATGTCTGTGAACGCAAATAATTGAACAGCTAAAAAAGAAATATTTATTAGACTGACTAAATTTCACCATAGTTCAAAAGATTTCAACTTATCTTACAAAGTTGTGTGTAAGGCAGTACAATCCATAATCGCTATTAGAATATGGTATTAAAAAGGCCTCAAGTTTCAAATTATATTCAACATAAGCGATAAAGAACAGAGACCAAGCGATATGTTTCTTTCCTTGATGAATATCGCGTCATATCCCCATCTTCTTCCTGCATCAATCAATGCGAAATAACGGAAAATTTGAGCTCTTTGCTAGCGACCACAAAATGTCCATAAAATATCGATATTTTCTTTGCAAATGTAATGTCCGAGCGTGCACGCATGATTACTGTTTTTTATTTACACTGAAAAAAATTATTTTTTTTTCCTGATAGTCTGCGCAGACTTTTTAATGTCTGTAAAACGTCCAAACTCCAAAGATTTCCATGTGATGTCTTTTAGATGCAAGCCTGTTGCTTGAGATCAGGGATTTATTCAGGATAGCTAGTGTGCTGGATTAACTAAGATTAGTTTTATTTTATGTCTTCGAAGACCACTTCCATTCTTCTCTGAATGCCAACCCTAACTTGAATGTAGTTTTAAACTCTAAAATTCTTATTTTCAACAAATTGAATTAGCTTTGTACCCAAAAGCACGAACGGGGCTTTTTTAACAGTAAATAGACTAGCTGCATATACTCAAGTCTCAAGTTGTATTTTAGCGTTATACATAAACATGATATTATCCTCATCAAACGAATTGCAAGAGGTTCTTCAATAAGGTATAGAAATCTAAACCGCGGACATATCATTACATAATGTTTGTCAATTACATAATATCTGTGTTGAACTTTCTCGTATAGTTATGCTAATTAGCTTTTTATCTTAAATAGCGATTGTCATCTTGACAGGTTTTCTTATTATCTAAAAATGGTTAGAGCCTCCTCAACAATCATGGCACCCTGACTGATGATAATCGCCTTAAAAATACAATCTATCTTTACTTCAAAACAAATATTTTAAACCTTCATACTTTTTATAAAAGTAAGATAAAAACTCCACTAAGTGTTCCAACTTCTGCTCTACACAACAGATTCGCTGTGTTTTCTCGAGTATTTTGTTTTAAACGTGTTCTTTCCCATGTGAAACGACGCATGAGTGTATATAACAGGTCTAGTGAAGTCAAACGAATCAAAGATAACCTTGCATTAATAAATAATGAGAAGACATTGTTCGCTTAGATCATCGACGAGGAATTTCAGCTCAACTCATTGATGAGGAATTTTCTGATGTCACGAGTAAAGTTTTAGAAATTTTTGTATTAGAGAGAATATTTTCGCAGTGAGGTAATGACATATATTTCATTTCCAAAATGTTTGGTTGTGTGTGTGTATATATTTGGGGAATAACAGTTATATAGCTAGTGTTTCATGGTTCAATGTTTGGTAATTCGTAAACGATTTAGCTTGCTAGATGTAAAATTTCGAAAATCATCTTCGCTAGGACGAACATATATAAAACTATATTGAATTATTATCACTGAACGTGTATACATACATTTGTCATTTTTGAACTATCCCTGCTTCGTACTTGTCAATTTTACCACCTACCGACCGACAAGTGTTAAATCGTCTGATGTTTGACCGAGTAAAACCAAGTCAAAGTTCCCCTTGGACTGAAGAAAGAAATTTTACAGTTAGCGATTGGTTTACCGACTGATTTCAAATCAAAGTCAGAACACTTGCCGTAAATCTGGTTATCGTTCAATTAAGTTTGTTAATCACCTCTTTACATTGGACTGCCCTTGTCCGGCTTTGCATGGACCAGACCTTGTTGCTTTATTGCACGACTAAATCTCACTGATTTCCATCACTTAAGATTTTTGTAGGTTTTATCAGAGGTGGCAACGTAGCCTCGTTCTTGAGACATGAAACTGTTGCTTTTCTGCCTTTCTTTGTTTCCGCTAATCGTTTCAAGTTCAGGTTTGTATATTTTTTATTTTGTTTTGCGTTGACTCACTGGAGTTGCAATGAATCACTTGAAAGCATGTATTTCTGTGTTCTATAAGATACTGAATGGCAAATACCAAATATTCCGTGTAACGTCTGTTTAAAACTTGGCTTTTTCTTTATGTCAAATGCTTTGGAAATATTTGAAAATCATCTAAAATATCTCGTAACTTGTCTGAATTAAGAAACATGCAAAATGCGATGTTTGAGAATCAGAGCATCTTCTTTAAAAATCAACAAAAATGGAGCTATGCAGAGTTACGGATACCACCTGAAAATCAGCGCTAGGATCTGCTGAAAAAATAAGTTAGTGAAGGAATTGTTAAATTCTTGTTTCAGATTATCTCGGATGTTACAAAGATGGCTCTCCACGTGACCTCTTACAGCGATTACATCATAATAATGTGACGGTGGATAATTGTGTGAATGGTTGTTATGATCAGGAATACGAGTATGCCGCAGTCCAGTTTTCATATCTGTGTTTCTGTGGCGACCATTATGGCAGGTTTGGTAAACTTCCTGACGAGATGTGTGACAGCAAGTGTAAGGGGCCTGGAGACCAATACTGCGGAGGAGATTGGAAGAATTCCATTTACGCTACAGGTATTTGTGAAATATAATCATTCTCCCATTTCTGTTTTTCTCTAATTCGATTCACTTTTCTGTTCTAATTCAGTCATAATTTCGTTCTAATTCAGTCATAATTCTGTTCTAATTCAGTCCAGTTCAGTTCTAATTCAGTCATATTTTAAACTCTGATTTTCCAGGTTACAAGGGAAAGAAGAAAAAGCATAATAAACGAGATCAAGTTGTTTTGTTTGACCGTCCAAAGGAGATCAAAACATCCAGTAAGTTCCATGGATGATTTATGATTTTGTCACTAAAACATGCCGTGTGATATGGCACCATCATTCGTAAATGGTTCTCAGTGGTAAACAGTTTGCGGTTTTTTACCATTCTTCTGCCATTTCTCTAGAATTCGTGGAAGACACAGAAAAGAATGACGTCATTGGTTCAAAGAAATCTGACGTCATCACCACGTCTCATCACCCCAGGTCAGAGATGCCAAACTCTTTCGACGCCCCACACGTTCACATCAACCCCACCGAATACAATCAGAATAACGTCCCTGGCTCCCCTGGGGAAAGTATCAGCGCATTCCCCCTTGCCACAAGTGCTCCACCACTAGAACAGAATACGGTTCAAACAACTGGCAGCGAGCCACCTTTAGAACAAACAACGACAACTGAACAGTCCATTCCCGGGACTTATTCACACACGGTAGAAATGACCCCGGAACAAGGAACTCATGTGCAACCAGTAGAAACCATCACCGTACAAACTACCTCGCAAAGTATCCCGGAGATTAGTACTCCACTCGGAGGAAATCCGGGACAAAGTACCACTGTATTAAATACTCCGGTAGAATACCCATCGATAGCTGCGACCCCCATGAAACACAAGCCGAGCGGGAAAACTATATTCACGCTCCCTGTTATCGAAACCTTACCAGCTGGTAGTAAGCTAGTTGCCCCAGTATTAGTTAAATTACCCATACAAGGACTTCACCATGACAAGAAAGGCGTTAAAATTAACTCTACCGTCGTAAATGGTACCGTAGTTAAAATAAATGGCACTTTATATCTCGTGCGTGGCAGCTTAACTAAGCTGAGCAAGTCAGCTCATGCTAACAAACTTGTCGGAAGCCTGGTTGCTGGGGTGGCTCCAAAAAATACGAACGAGCATTTGGTTAATGCTGTCCAGGCTGGTGTAACCGCAGATGATGGTGATGATGGTGAAATGTTCAGTTATGATGGTACTTCATCCACGACCCTTGAGGATAAACCATTTGACGCTCACGTGATTAAGGAGAATGTGAAACACACGGAACCGAAGACTCCGCGGAAAAAGAAATTACCAGGTATGCTTTGATTAGAGACCTTAGCTACTGCTGCACGTCATGAGAATCATGATTGCATTCGCATGAAAATGCTGTCGGAAGATTCTAACCTCTTCTTTGTCTTCATCTCTTCTAAGGTGGAAAACCAACATCAGTTGAAAGTCCAGCATCAGTTGATAGTCCAGCATCAGTTGATAGTCCAGCATCAGTTGATAGTCCAGCTTCAGTTGATAGTTCAGCTCCAGCTTCCTCCAGCACAACACAACCCCTCAACAACCTACCCGCGACTACATCCGATGAAAAACTGGATAATTTGAATCCTTCATCGTCTCCTCCACCTCATCCACCTACAATTCATTATTACCCTCCAAAACCCTTAAAGGTTCCCCCATCATTAACAGATGTACCTGAACTAACCATGAATAAAGCGATCGCCGCCGAAGCTGTTGGGTTTCAGGACACGACGTCCCAGGACGATCATAAAAGTTTGTTTTTATTGTCTTTGTATCCGAGGTCTTGCATTTAGAAGCACATGTTTAACAATAACAATGATAGATGATGTTAGGAGATAGATTTGTTTTGATCTTTACAAAACCTTTCTTTTTAGAAACGGCTTGTCACATTGAGCGTAAAATGGCGGTGAGCATGGGCGATAGTTTCGTTCCAGTGTGTCAGGATGATGGCAGCTACGCTCCCGTGCAGTGTTTTCAACACACAGGATTTGATAGACAATGCTGGTGCGTGAATGACAAGGGGGAAGAGATTGGAGACACGAGGACTACGGATGGCAGCACACCCACCTGTGAGAAAGGTATGGTGGCCTCCCAGATCTGGCTTGAAACTCTAAAGTGAACCCTCGTCCAATTCTTCTCTCCTTCGATAAACCATCAACCATGATTACACAACCCAATGTTCGTTCGAAAATCTTTTGCAGAGACGAAGAAGAAGAAGAAGAAGATTTCTGCTGAAGTGAAGTATTTGACGTTAAACTCAGCGTCGACATCGGGAAAGTCGGGGAAGGGTTCTCGGAAATACATAGTGGAATCACACGTCAAAGGTATTTAACTGACTTCGCCGAGCGTCACAGGAAGTTTTGATTCAATTTTGACTGTGTCGTCTCCCTTCGAAGCTAAACTATTACATATCACGCGAGAACCACTATCGTTTATTTCTCTTTCTGGTAGCCTTTTCCGGCGTCTTCTGCGATTCTGCTTTGGAAAATCCGGGAGTTTTAAAACTTAACCATGTACTGTTATACTTTATTAAATTTCCTCTCCGTTTCAGCCAAACTTTCCCAATGCGAAGCGGAAAAGAAGATTTCGAGGAATCAAAAAGATATATTTATTCCGGAATGTGAACGCGATGGCAGTTATAAAGCTCTGCAATGTTTTTCGCACGCGAATTACGGGACACGATGTTGGTGCGTGAACGTAAATGGTAGAGAAATAGCCGGGAGTAGTGTCAGGGGAGGAGAGATACCTGACTGCAAAAAAGGTACGCGGGTGTTCAGTTGAAATTTCTAGTGAAAAGCTAGATGGTGTGGTGATTTTTCAGGGACGTAGCTAGCGCGATAACTTGTGCAATCGCCCACATAAGACTTGATATTTCCTTTAATTCTAGCACTTTCCAAAGCATTGTCAACATATGACCCTCACTGTGGGGAACACGGCTGTTGCGCGGATGGCAAAACTCCGTCACCTGACCCTGCTATGGCTGGTTGTCCTGAAAATCTTTACAACAAACCAAAAGAGTCAGGAAAGAAAGTCACGTCAACTAAACCATCCAAATCTTGTCGAACATCAAAATATGGTTGCTGTTCTGATGATAAAACCGCTGCGAAGGTAAGGTCATTTGATGAAATTTTTTATGGAAACAAAATTCAATTTCTAATTAACAACTAGACGCTTGGAATGCCTTCATCCTCTTTTTATTCAGGGAGAAAACAGCCAAGGTTGTCCTGAGCGTCAGAAAAGTGAGAACGTCCCGTGTTTTGAAGTTGTATGTGGTTGTTGTCCTGATGGTGTGACTGTTGCCATGGGACCAAATTATCAAGGTTGTGCCCTCAATCGACCGTCAATTCCGAAAGGTTTGTGTCTTAACAAAGAGCGTGACAAAGTATATTATAAATAACGATTTGTTTTCTTCTCCCATTTGTTAAACTGCTGTTGTTCTTCTATAGTGTCTTTTAAATCACTTCAACTGCAGTATCCATGACAAGAAATCTCTCTTTTTTTCTTGTTTAGCCAAAGACATTTGTGGCTCGTTTGTTTTGAAGCAAGTTTGGTTTGATAGATTATCACAAAGTTATGATCGCAATTACCAACGATATGCAAGCTCGTTGAAAAAAGAAGTAAAAACCAATTTTAAATCAATAACTGCCCTAACAGTCGAGATGACAGCTTCATCATTCTCTTCTTTTATTTCAGATTACAAGCATTTACTCGGTGGAAAAGGATTTTGATCGTGTAAAAATCAATGGCTTTGAGTACGTCATCTCTTATTAAGTTATTGAATTATTTGAGGGATGATCCTACTGGACTTCTGGGAAAGAACAAGCATTTATTATACTACACGGTTAGATTTATAGATTGTCGTAAGCTTATTTTTTGTTTTCAGGCCTGGTTGTTATCCCTACGATCCAAAAAGAGTGAGCTCTGTAATCGTCTACTTTACTCTGCATTTTGCTAAAGCTGTCGACCATCCTCTCAAACCTCTTCAAGATCACTTTGATCAAAACAAAACTCTGGCAGGAAAAGAGGTTTTTCCTGAGTCACTAATGCTGACAGGTAAATAATGTTTGTTCTACAGAGGACTATTATTGTTCATGCTTTGGGGTTTCCATCATCTGGGCACAACCATACCCAACAATCACAAAACATCATCTTTTATAATCGTTCAGGTATTGCAGAGAATGCTAATGGCTGTCAACCGCTTAAGCCTTCAAGTCAAACTAAACAACAACCATCTGCACCTAGTCAAAGACCAGCACCTTTACCTCGGCCTACTTCCCCGCCACCAACTCCTTCACCTTCACTTCCAAGTGCCAAATCCCCCAGCATTCCTGCTCCCCCGAAGAGCCCTCCTGCTCCACCAAAAAGCCCTCCTGCCCCACCAAAAAACCCTCCTGCCCCACCAAAAAGCCCTCCTGCTCCACCAAAAAGCCCCCCTGCTCCACCAAAAAGCCCTCCTCCTCCACAACCTAACCCTCAACCTCCTGCCCCACCCATTAAACCAACACAACGTCCTCCTACACAACCGTCTCCACCAAGACCACCTGAAACACGTCTTCCCCCTCCGCCCACATCCCAGCCTCCTAAGGGCCCTTCACCCTCAGAGTCCACCCCTCTCCCTGACTGGGACCGCCTTGCACTTTACTACACCTTCGACAACCACAAATTCCCCTTCATCACGGATATGTCAGGACACAGTAACATGGGACAAATGTCCCCGGGGGTGAATGTCATCGGCGTTCAGAATGGCTGCGGTCTGGCAGGAACTTTTATCGGAGGTTCAATAACCGTAGATGGTAGGAGATTTCATCCCATGCCTTCTCAGGCAGTCACCATTGCCTTGTGGGTAAAATTTTCAACTACAAAGGGTGAACAAACATTATTCACAACGTCTCAACAAGGCTCTTACGCGTCGAATTATTATTTGGCCTCAAAAGACGGTCAAATTAATTGGCGCCACAAAAATGAACTGGGACAGACTCTGTTTAATGTTACGTCATCTGAGCGCACAGTTCTTGCTGATCAGTGGACCCATGTTGCTGTGACATATGATAATAGTAAAGGTAAGTTACCATTGTAACACTTTTTTGCACTAAAAGATTAATCATTACGTGAACTGATTAAACAATTAGATTTAGTAACAAGAAACTCCTTTTATCCAATGTTATTTCGCCAGAAAAATAGCAGAGAACCTCGGATATTTGTTATATTGATGCTGTGGAAATCAAAGCTGGTAAAAACTAAATCTTCTAACCCTCAGTCCTCACCACTCTTTCTTCAGGAGAAGCAGTAATCTACGTGGATTCCAAGGAAATCACCAAAGTTAAAGCAAAGGGTAAATTGACTCAAGACTGGGCAGGAGGAACAGAAATTGGTAGTTGTAACGGACACTATCCCTTTCATGGCTCGCTGGACGATTTTGTAATTTATACCACCGCTTTGGATTTGAAAACTATCAAAAAGCTCTCTTGCACTTGTTCTATGAAAGCAGGTAACGATTGGAGAGTTTTTATTCAGTTTCAGACTTGAGATCAGTTTTTGTTCTTGAATTACGAATAAATTGCTGAATATTCGTCTTATCCAATAGGTCCTGGTACTGAGAGCAAAGTCACAGAACAATGTCACCGTGGTCCCAAACCCCCACTCCCCCCTCCGACAAAAGCAACTAGCAATGTACCCACCACTCTCCCTCCGGGAAGAGCACCTCCTCCTACAAGAGCACCCGCATTATCTCCCACGCGCCCCGCACCTGCCCCACCACCTGCCCCTCCACCTTCCCCACCACCTTCCCCTCCACCTTCCCCACCACCTGCCCCACCACCTGCCCCTCCACCTGCCCCACCTCTTCCTCCTCCTGGACCAAGTAAGTTCGAAATAACCTTCATTCCTAGATATCTTCTTCCTCCGTATATACCACGTCAGACCTCAGACTATTTCCCTCAGAAGATCCAGTGCGGATCACCTCTTTTTTATCCACCGAAGAAAACCAAAACAAAACTAACTTTATTCACACTGAATGATTTTATCACGTTACAGTTAATGGCGGATACACTGACTGGTCAGCGTGGACTGGATGTACATCATCGTGTGGAAGCGGGATGCAAGAACGAATCAGAAACTGTACGAACCCAATTCCCGCCAAAAGTGGAAAAGATTGCAATGATTTGGGCCCTGATTCCGAAACAAGAACGTGCAATGCCCAGCCTTGCCCAGGTAATCACATGTGAAGCTTGTTAGCGCATGACTTGATTGAAGTATTTCACTGAGGATTGAAGCCAGGTTGAGTAAAAGTTGTCAAAACATTGCATTACAAACTTTTTTCCCTAAACTTTCTAGTTGATGGAGGTTTTACTAATTGGTCTCCATTCACTCAATGTACGAAGACCTGTGGCGGAGGGTCACAACTCCGGACCAGAGAATGTAGCAATCCAAAGCCTCAATTTGGTGGCAAATCATGTGATCATCTTGGAGGTGTCCAGGAGTCAAGAAAGTGCAACACATTCTTCTGTCCAGGTGGGTATCTCATCATCTAGATTATTTCAGATGTAATATATCAGTCATGCTCAGCTCCACCTAGAGTTGGTGTGCCAGTAGCATCATTGATGATGGTCAGAGCATCGGTTGCCGAAATGTAACTTGTTTGAGATTGAAGATAACATTTTTAACAAGGATTGCATTCAGGACTTCCAACGACAGTAGCGTAATATGCCTGATGTGAAGTTGACTATAATCTTCCAGTTACCAAAAATGATTCTTTCAATATTTAGTGAACGGTGATTACAGCGAGTGGACGGAATGGGAGCGATGCAGCAAAACTTGTGGAGGGGGTAAACAGTTCCGTTCAAGAACGTGTACTAACCCCCCGTCACAGTATGGTGGGATGAACTGTGACGCTAAGGGACCCCCGAGAGAGGAACGAATTTGTAGCACCAACCTCTGCCCAGGTAGTTCATACGTTACCTCTGCTCTTGAGGATTGTATATCCTGTCTTTTGCTTGGCTTATGCTTGCTTTTGAATTGTAACAAATCATTTCTAAATGTTTCAGTGGATGGTGGGTACTCAGCATTTGGTAATTGGTCAGTTTGTTCCGTGACTTGCGGTGGGGGTAATATGACGCGAACACGCTCATGTTCCAACCCCGCCCCAGCAATGGGGGGCAAAGATTGTTCTCAATTTGGAGCACCTGTCGAAGCTATGAAATGCAACGAGCAACGCTGTCCAAGTAAGGATTATTGATTTGTCGATTCATTCAGAGAAGATTATTCGACTCTCAACCAGTGTTGCAGCGACATAACACAAGTTCTTCTCTCTCTCTCTCTCCTAGTCGATGGTGGGTTTACGCCGTTTGGCGAGTGGTCAGAATGCAGCACGACCTGTGGGGGAGGTGTACAGTCACGGATGAGGACATGTACGAACCCCACACCACAGTTTATGGGGAAAGATTGTGAAGGTGCTTTGGTGGAAACTAAGATGTGCAGTGTCCAACCATGTCCAGGTAGTTGCTATAACTTATCTTTAGTAATGTTAGTTGTTGAGTCGTTGACGCAGTGTTGATGAGAACACACGACAAACCTACACAACTTGTTATTTATTTCAGTTGAAGCAGGAGATGGTTTTGGAAAGTGGAGCGAATGCAGTGCCTCGTGTGGGGGAGGGGTGAGGTCAAGAAGTAGCGAGTGTGGAAATAATCCTTCATGTCAACCTAAAACAGAAACACAAAGCTGTAATATACAACCATGCCCAGGTAAAAACCCAGAACTTCTCGTGTTAGACAAAACAACATCTTACGCTTTTGGTACTTATCTAATCAACGTGCTCTACAAAATTTCGGATGTTTAAAGGGTGAAAGATATTTCTTTCTCAGCAGGATTCTAATCTTAGAAGATTTCAATTTCATGGTTTTCAATTTTTTATTTTAGTGTCTGGAGGTTTTACATCGTGGGGAGACTGGGGAAAGTGCAGCTCATCTTGTGGTTCAGGCATTCAACAACGAACGCGGTTGTGTAGGAATCCTGAACCCAAACATGGTGGAATGGGTTGTGAGCTGCTTGGTCCTTCGTTAGAAACAAGAAACTGCTCTCTGAAAGAATGCCCAGGTGAGATGATCGAAGAGAAATAAAGATGTAATGTACTTCAAATTGTTGACCAAAAAACAACCCCAAATAAGAAAGGTTTTGTATGTGATTTGGCTTCTGATTAACACTCAAGTGCAAGCCCTATTTGTGTGTTTCACTCGTCAAATGATTTGTTTAAATATTTTTTAAAAAAACGTTAACATTGTTTTTAGTGAACGGTGATTACTCCATGTGGACATACTGGACAATGTGCTCCGCAACGTGTGGTGGGGGGATACGAACGAGATATAGAAATTGTACCTCACCATCCCCAGCATTTGGCGGCAAAGATTGCTCGGAGCTTGGACCCGAACAAGAGACGTCACCTTGCAATCCAGACCGCTGTCCAGGTAGGAATACCGACGTTGTATTATCGAGGTTTTATGCAGTTTTACGCAGCATGCAGTTCGCTAACCTCATGGTGGGAAGAGTCTCTCTGTTTGCTACCAAAACCGGTAGATTTCCGGAGGGAGAAACAGCGTACTTGTGAAGATTTACCAGAAGGAACGATTCAGAACTGATCGAGATTTCCAATATTAAATGAATCAATCTTTTCTTGCAGTTACCGGTGGTTACAGTAACTGGGGCGATTGGACAAACTGTACAGCGAAGTGTGGTGGAGGGGAGCAAGTTCGTAGTAGGACATGTACGAATCCTGTCCCTGAATTTGGTGGGAATGACTGCACTCTGGGTGGTCCATCCTTGGAGAAACGAGAATGCAACAAAGTTCCTTGCCCAGGTACAAAACTAGGCCTGTCAATTAGAATTGTGTTTTAACATGGTATAACAGGTATTTGCGCTCGCATACCTGATAGCTCACCCGGCTGTCATCAGAGGCTGATGACAAAAGACTGCCCATAGTCTCAGTATAATTTTACGTTTATTCTAGTGCCTGGTGGGTACACCTTGTGGTCGAACTGGACTGAGTGTTCAAGCACTTGTAACGAAGGTGTGCAATACAGAGAAAGACAGTGTACAAATCCTCCACCTCAAGACGGAGGGAAAGATTGTCTGGCAATTGGCCCAGCGACTGATAAGAGATCTTGTTTTATCACCAAATGTCCAGGTAAGATATAGCGTTGAGGTTGTTTGTTGCTGGATCAGCAGAAGAGATGCATTTGTTGAACTTTTTGTCGACTATCCTCTTGTAGTTTATCTGAACGAGTCTGATTACACCGAGTGGTCAGAATGTACGAAGTCTTGTGGAATGGGAGTACAGTCGAGGGCGAGCAAGAATGGAGAGCAAACTCAATCACGATTCTGCAACACAGATCAATGCCCTGGTATGTCTTCGTATTAAGTCTTATTGTATAAAGTCTTTCTGCTCAACAATACTCATTTATGCACCATCTCCACTCTGCTCTCTACCTGAGGTATTAATCAACTTTCTCTTCTTAGTTGATGGTGGTTACAGTCTCTGGAGTGAGTGGAAGGACTGCACTGCCACTTGTGGTGGAGGACTGGCTACCAGGCGGAGAACGTGTACATACCCGGAACCTCAGTTTGGTGGTAAAGACTGTCTCTCTGCCATTGGACCAGACACTGAGACTAAAACATGCAACACTAAGGAATGTCCTGGTAGGTTACGATGATGATGATGGTTAGAGTCAGATGTTAGACAGATGTTAGGATCATCAAAGAACGTTCATTCTCTCAAAACATTGTCTTGTATTTGATTAGAAAATTAATATTTGAGATGAGTTTCCTAGCTCCTGGAATTTGGCTCTTTCCGGATCTTAACATTCACCTGTTGTCTCTACTAACTTGTCTTTCTCTCTTTCTCTTTCCATCTATGATGACACCCACAGTTCCAAAAGGTAAAAATCTTGTTCTGTAACGAAAGAGAATTTGAATTTTGCATTCATTCAATTCATTCATTCAATCCATTCATTCAATCCTCCATTCATTTAGTGCCAATCCGTTCATGTTTGGAATATAAGCGACGTTGTCATGACAATGTGGATGGCGTCTACACGATTTTCAATAAAGACGGTGGGGAGACTAGAGCCTATTGTGACATGACTAAAGATGGCGGTGGCTGGACATTGTTAGTCACGTCGCGATCTAAAACTGGTTGGGATGACCGAACTGTCCTTTTGAGGTACGGAATTATTCATGCTGGATAGCTCTATGAGTGCAAAAATCTGTTCTCTTCTGGAATCCAGGAAGATTCTAGCGTACCCAAATATGAAATTTTGGCTTTCTCTCTTTCCAGAAACGAAGAGGAACCCAGTATTACCAATGATTATTCGATTTTAAAATACGCGGACGGGATAAGAAGTATTGCCACAGGGGGATTTGAATTTCGACTTGAGTCTTCGGAACGAGGCTCAAATGGTGGGATATGGAAGGCTCCTCAAGGATACAGGTAGGATACATGTGGTTACGATTGATATAGCTAACAAGTGAAATCAAGTAACATTTCGTCTATTTTTTTTTTCAATGCAGTTTCACAAAGAAAGATAATTCTCAGGTGAAAATACTGGATGTCTCAAAGTTCGGTTCCTGGAAATATGGTAAAGATAGTTTGAGCCAGCGAATGCCTTGGCTGTCAAGCGGTAGTTCCCTGCTCACTACTTCCGAGGGAAAACCGGGGGGGGAGTTTGGTTCGATCATCAGCAGGAGCAGAGATCCAAACGCCCCCACCTGGATAAAAGAAACTGATCCTAATCCTACTGTAGTTTGGTACTGGATCAGAGAGTCACCAGGTAAGGATTTGTTTCCAAGCCCGCAGACACCAGCGGGGAGGGGATATAAGGTAGAATTATTCTACCGACGACCACGTTTAGGCTAGAAAAAATATGTTAATCAATGACTATGTTATATTCGTTTGCGTATTTAGGTCCTCTGTACGAAAAGGATCCGACAAAGAAGGACAAAATGTGTCCCAAACCAGGTTTGATTTCATGTTTTTTCACCAGAATCTTCTTCCATAAACTCAGGTCATTTTCCAGCTTTGTTCTGGTCACGAAATTTATCCTGGATTTTCATTATCTACTGTAGTTGATGGTGGATATACTGAATGGTCCGTCTGGTCGAGCTGTACCAAGACATGTGGCGGTGGTAGACAGATGAGAACCAGAAACTGTACATCACCATTACCAATAGATGGTGGTCTTGACTGTGCTGATCTTGGTATTGGTGGTGACGAAGAAAGCAGACAATGTAACGCAGCTGTTTGTCCAGGACAGATAGGTATATATAGGAGCAATACTTTCTATCCTATTTTATCCTATTTCATCATGTTTCTCTCTATTCTATCCATGTAGGGACCTATCTTTCGAGAAATCACAATCCTTGTTTATCCTATCTCTCTCCCTGATCATTGTTAATTCTATTTAGTTGATGGTGGTTACAGCGATTGGAGCCCGTGGTCTGCATGTACAGTGACATGCGGCGGAGGATCCCGAATGAGGAATCGGAAATGTAACAATCCTGCGCCAGCGAACGAAGGAAAAACGTGTTTTGACCAGCAGCTTGGCTCAGAAATGGAATCAGAAGCTTGCAATATTGAACCATGTGAAGGTAAGTTGTGAATTCTGCAGATTAGATTTATCACATTGAGCTCTTCCTCGATGTCCAGTCTTGTTGTCGTCTTTTTGTTGACCCATTGTCACTACAGGTGGAAGTCAGGGCAATTCTGTGAACACCTGTGAGTTGTAGCGCAGCCCAGAGCAATGCACCATTTTCACAAGGAACAAATTCAAGTTGTAGATGATTAAATTCCTAAATTTCTTTCCTCCAGGTCAATGTGAGCCAAAATGTCAAAATGGTGGTCAATGTGTAGGAAAACAATGTCAGTGCACGGAAATGTACGAAGGAAAATCTTGTGAGAAAGGTGGGCTCCTCGTCATCACCAGATTCTGAGATATCATGTATTATTTGGTCTAACTGTTTTATTATTCTTCTGTAGCGATATGTAAGAAACGTTGCATGAACGGTGGTTTGTGTTATGATCCTTTCAAGAATCTTTGTCGATGCAGAAAAGGTTTCTGTGGATTGACATGCGAGAAAAGTAAGTTAATTAAGTTGTCGCCTTAATGAAACCAGATGTGAACGTGTCGTAACCAACTCAATCATTGCCTCGTCGTAGGTGGTAAAGCCTGTCAACTCTATGTTTTCTACTTCCGCATCACAAACTTGGCAAAGAAAGATGTCGTATTCTTCTCCAGTGATGGTATACCGAAGAAGGGATCGTTGATTGGCGCTCGACGTATCGTAGGGAAATAAAGAAGAAATCTTTGAGCAATGCTCCAGTCACATTCCAAGTAAAAAGTGGAAAAAATCTTCTTCTTCTCAATACGAAGGCAGGAATCACAATCATTCCAGGGAAAGTTGTAAAGCAACCTCTATCTTTGACTATAACGGGTAGGAATTGTTTGTTCTCGTAGGCTTGTTTTTCTTACGGCTATAACTAGATTCATGGTTATTTTCACGTGAGTCCCTCTTCAATAAGTAGTGTTTATCTCTTGTTTCAGAATCCGTTTCCAGGAAGCTCTACTTCACTAATCTACGAGTCACCAATTTGGCGAAAGCAAATATCTTGTTAAAAGCGAGCGATAATGTGCCGTCAAAAGGCTTCAACATCAAATCAAATGTCATCGCTGAAATAACAAAGAAAACGACGAATCCTAAAGAAGTTTTGTTCCAGGCATTCGATGCTGCCACACAGAAAGCATTGTGGGTTAATGGTCGACAATCGTTTAGTGTTAAACCTACAGAAACGAAAGGCTCGCCTGTGTCGTTGATAATCAAAACAACGGGTATGTACACTTATAATATTCGTATTAAAGCGAGCTGATTCATTTTCAGGCTTGCTCTTAAGCTGATCCTTCCTTCCTTCATTTTCAGTTCCACCTGTAAAGATTTACCATATTGTCTTGCAAGTCACGAACCTCGCTCGAACTGACGTCATTCTAATGCCGAGTGATCACGTGCCAAAGCAAGGTTTGCTCGTGAAAAACAACGTCATTGCTCTTATAAAGAAAACAACTCAACAATCGACAGCAGTCACATTTACTGCGATGGATGCAAAAACAAAACAACAATTTTATATTAACGGTGGCACAAGCATTGGCATTGTTCCTAGACTTGTTCCTGATGCACCAGAACCTATAACCATCACAAGATCAGGTGTGTACGAACCTTCATCTTTTAAAAGAAAAGCAAAGAATTTTTTGAAGACTGTGAAAGAGCCATCTCTTCTGAACTAAACTAACTTCAATTCTTTCCAGCCGGAGAAATCAAGGCTTCTGCATATTATCTGGTGATTCAAGTCATTAACAAAACTCCACGTAAAATCGTTCTCATACCAGACGACAATGAGCCAGCCCAGGGCTTCACGCTTGGTCCAAAGACGGTTTCTCTCATCACGAAGACCGTGAGGGTGAAACAGCCGATCGTAATCACAGCAATTGATGCGGAGAGTGACGGGGAATTACTCATAAATAAACAGTCAAATGTGTCCCTGGTTCCAACCATAAGTAAAGACCATATTGAAAGCTTGACAATTTCCTCAGGTAGATATGAATATTGTGATGCTTGAAGTTCGCTTTCAAATGATCTTCAATTCCTTTCTCTTTTCTATTTAAGATCCAGAAAGCGAAGAAATAGGTTTGTGTTGAAATACTAAATTCTCAATCTACAATTTCAGAGGCAAGGAAGCCTTAAAATATCATCGTATTGATATAAAATTTCATTTTTTTATTTCAATTCAGATCAACCTCAGGTCGAGCCATTCTACTTCTGGTCTTTCCTGACAATCATCAATAGAAAGATTCCTGGTCATCTTCCTTTCAACGTTCAAGGTCACATCGAGGTTATCGACGGTGGTTTATATTTTGATGGTCTGACTGCATTCCTGAGCGCATATCTCTCACCAGCTGATATCCTGGTTAACCCAGGTTTGGCAAAACAGGGTTTGGCTTTTGGCATAAAGCTGAAGTTTGATGGCACAGCAAAGGAATATGACACGCCAAGGTATATTCTGGATACTGGGGCAGAAAGCGGCGGAAAGACAGGAATATCGTTTTATGTTTTGAATGGAAAATTGATCGCGTATTTTGCAACGCCTATGAAAACATGGAAGGTAAATTTATTGTATTTTAATACAGATTTCTCTGGATTCGCTGTCCAGACGTCACCTTTACAATCTAACTTTGTGTGTATCGAAATTCCCAGACGGAAATCAACTTAATTTACGACAAGTGGCTCTACATCATCGTCAACTGGAGATCAGATTCTGGTCTTTTCATTGCCCTGAATGGCTTTCCAACATCCTCTGATCGCAAAGGCAGCCCTAAACCTGGACTAGCGCCTACAATAAAAACCCCGAATTTCTGTCTTGGGAGAAATGTTGGCGGGAAAGGTTTCTACTACACTAAGTTTTATCTCGCATCTCTGGTCGTATTCAAAGAATTTCTATCAGATGCGCTGATATATCCTGTGTATAAGTATTATTGGATCAACGGTAAGCTCGGTTCATCTTCTCTTGTATGATTAACGCCTTTTCATCGATCCAATTTTGTCGTATCCAATTCATGTATGTATAGGAGTGTAGTCTGTTATTGATAAAGAGTATTCCATTAGTTTTAACTGATTTGCTACACATATGCATTGCAAGTCATTCTACAAACAATTCAGCTACAACAATTGACAAGGAAAATTTACATTTACATTTTTCTAATCTTCACGACTGAATCGAATTGCACAAACCTCAAATCTCTTCCGCTCCGTCGTTGAAAAAATATTCCTTTTCTTTTGTATTCTGCAGTTCTCGTTCAACCAAGTAAACTCTACTTCGCCAATCTCAAAGTCATCAATAAATTCTCTGGTGCAGTGGAAATAAAGTTCAGTGACAATATTCCTCCCAATGGATTCCTCTTGAAAACCAACGTCATTGCCAATATTAAGAAAAAAACAAACAGTCCAACAGCCATAACACTTCATGCTGAGGATCCCGTAACAAAGAAGACGCTATTTGTAAATGATTTACCAAACCTTCGCGTCACACCAACTCAATTCGAAGAGCAAATGACGACTGTTACAGTCTCTACAAAATCTGGAATTGATGGTAAGTTGTTGCCCATTCAATGGTATACAACGACACGGTAAATTGTTGCAGAATTTGGACATGCAATTCATATTTTATCCTCTTTTCCAGGCACAAGTCAATTCCAACCAGTAGGCTGCTTCAACGACAGACGAAACCCGAGACCGTTGCCTGAAATGTTGCAGAGTTTCCCCAGTTCTCCAACTGATTTATCAGCTTTTAAAAACAACGTCATGAGATGTGCGCTACTTGCTAAAAAGAAAAATTATAAATATTTTGGAGTTGAGGCGTTTGGTGAATGTTGGAGTGGACCAAGTGCGGACTCGACCTACTCAAAAGACGGGAAATCTTTGCAGTGTGGCAATGGAGTTGGCAAACCAAACGCTATTTTTGTTTACAGATTCACTGGTCAGGGTGAGAAATTAGGATTTCATAATGTCATTATTATCATTCATTTTGTTTTTGTTTTCTAAACATGGTTAGTGCAGGAAATATACGCGTAAAATTGATCAAAATTCCCGCGTTTCATATCAAGTTTTCCCTTTCCAGCCGCCGTTCCCCGAGCCATGTTTTACCTGGCTGCAAACATCTACAATAAATACGGCAAGCCAATCATTTTGAAATCTTCAGACAACCAACCGGCTGATCAGGTTATACCGGTTAATGGCGTGGCACAACTGACGAAAGATATACCAAACCAAACGCCGGTTATTTTTGAAGCATTTGATGCAAGTTCACCAGAGTTAAGATTGTCTATGAATGGAAGAAAAAGCGTCAGTATCACACCTTCTACTGTGAAAGGAGCGCCTCATACAGTGGAGATAAAGGATGGTAAGAATGTGCTTTTCAAAATGCTGTTTTCAGTTCTCAAAAGACAGTTATCGAGCTGTAGCTAAAGTGTTTTCATCGTTTTATTGTGTTCTAGGAGGTACTGCTTCTGGTGTTGAGAGCTTCACGTCCCCGATCAGTAAGTTACATTAAAATTCTTCTTGGGAAATAATAGAGGACTACGGCATTTACAAGTGTCTTTAATGTGCATTGAATCGTTTAGAAATGGATACAACAATTAACAAACATTTCATGTCAATTTTTCTTGAAATAGGTAAATCTTTGCTTGGCGATGGTACAGGTATGCCTGCCTAGATACTGTTTGAATCTTCACATTTTTTTAAGACGTTCTTGAAGCTGGCAATATAAGATGAAGAAACTGAGTTAGATCTGCATATCTGGCAGAAAAAAAACCTTTGATATATGCACGTCGATGAAAGTTATATAAATTGATATATTTTAATATTTTTTTCTATTGCAGGAATTCTGACATCTCCCTGGAATATAATGTTGATGATCGTCAACAAAGTTGATCGTAATGTCATTCTGTTCTCAAGTGATAATGATCCTCCCCAAGGATTCAAAATTAAGCAAGGATTCATTGTGACCCTCAGTAAAACTTTGAGCAGTAAACAGCAGATTATATTCCGAGCAATCGAGGATCCCAGCAGAGCAAAGGTTTTGTTGAATGGGAAAGAGAGCATCGAGGTGTCAGCGAAGCAGGGAAAACCTTCTCCTGTCACAGTAACTCTTACAGGTAAATTACTGCCGAGGAACTGCTGTACGTTCGTATCTGAGCAGCCGGGACATATCTCTGTTGTAATTTTGATCTGACATCATGTTTTGAATTTTCTCACAGCGTTCAAAGGAGGTGCGATTGCAACTGGTAAGCAAACGATATTAAATCTTGTTCCAATCATCTTGCACCAGTCGCTGAACTGAAGACACATATCCTGTGCAGCAAAATTATTAATCCACAAAATTCTTGGGTTTTCTAGAGAGCAACAAAGGAGAAGTTGACGTTGAAGGTGAGTTTGCTGGATAATGATCATCTTGACTTATCATGCAGCTGATAGTTTATCAAGAATCACCTTTTTTATCCCAAGTAAAATAACAATCCACAAATCCCCCTGCTAACTGCTTGGCCGTCTGCGAAAGAGTGATAAAGTTATCAGTTTATAATTAATCTCTTTATCTTCCAGCTCCCCCCGTGGCCGCCAGACATTCCTGGATCTTTACTTATATATTGAATGGCAAAATCCCGGGGGACGTTCCTCTTACCGTCCATGGCAAGACTGTAGTGAAGAACAGTGTTACCATTTTCGACGGCGTTTCTTCTTGGCTCGGTGCGACGCTGCCCAGCACAGATTGTCTCATCGCTCCGACTAACTGCAGAGATGGTTTTTCTATTGGTTTTAAGATTAATTTTAAAGGATTAATTAAGTTCCCTGAGGAACGGTATATTGTCGACACTGGTGTTTTGAGCAAAGGCACCCGAGGGATCTCAATATATTTACAGAATGGTCAATTGTTTTGTGTCGTTATGACCATGGCGTCGCAATGGAAGGTACAGTCGTAGTATTGTTGTTTCACTTGACTTTAGGACAGCAGAGTTTAGTCTTTGATAGGCATGTTAATTTAAATCCTTACTGGATTTCTACGGAGGAAGGTTTATTTTAGTGTTGTTTATCTCCTCATAGCTTGGCATGAGAATATCAGGTGATGTTTGGATGTTCATTGGCGTTTCCTGGTCAGAGAACCAAGGTTTATATCTCTACAATAACGGGAGGTTAATCGCACAGACCAAGTTGAAAACACCTCAAAACCTGGTTCCTGTCGGAACCACATCGCCCAATATCGTATTTGGTCGGTCGTTAGCCGGAACAGGATTTGCCAAATTCTATCTTGCCTCGTTTTCGATCTTCACCACTTTCCTGGCAGAATCTGGAATGAGACCTGTTTACACTTATTACTGGAGAATAGGTACGTAATGGACTGGGGAGAACTACTGATCTTCTTCCTGTGGTAACTGACTGGACCACTAAGAAGTACCACGTCCTGATAGTTTTGTACGTAGGAACGTTCAATTTTTACAACTATATTCACGATCAGTGATCTCAATGGTAACTTCATTTAATATTTAGGTTTAGCCAAACCCGCAGATGGCAAGACCTTCATCGACATCAAAATATCCAATCAAGCTGGAAGAGACATCGTTCTTATGTCAAGTGATAAGGTTCCGCCCAAAGGATTAACCATCATCAAAGGAGTCATGTTAGACTTCGTTAAACAATTCACCGGCGCTGTCACTGTAACTTTAACAGCGAAAGATGTTATGACAGGTCAGCTTATATTCCTTAATGGAAAGAAGTCGTTGACAGTAAAAGCATCCAGTGTTAAAGGGCAGAAATTCACAATATTTGCCACGACAAAGCCTGGTTTGATCTCTACTGGTAAGCTGAATTGAAATTTTCAATTTGAGTTCAAATCCTAACTCAATCCTTCTTGAAACTTTACTCTCAAACAATGTGTCATTTCATCTATACCCAATAATTTATCGTGTCTTTTTTAAAGCCAAACAGCTGCAATATCTGTATTTTTCATTCATAGAAACCTCACAATATTATATCGTTTTGAAAGTCCTGAACAAAGCTGGTTCAGATATTTTCATAAAGTGCACAGACGGCGTCCCTAAGCAAGGTTTTGCTGTCAAAAAGGGTTTCATCGTCGTCATAACAAAGTTGACCAATAGCATCACACCTGTGGGATTCTCAGCCAATGATATTCATGGAAAAGCGGTGGTACTCAACGGTAAAAGTCACTTGACTCTGACCCCAAGCGCCGTAAAACAAGAGCCAATAAAAATCACTGTTCAAAGCGCTCAAGGTATGCATTCATCTCATTCAACTAATTGCTGGATATAGAAATGAGATTTTATTGAAAATGATTTAAGATAAATTTTCCTATCGACTTTTTTTCCATTCTTCAGGGTCTGTTGGACCAAAGTATTACATTGGGTTAAAACTCCTCAATAAAGCGGGATCCAATGTTATCTTAAAAACAAGCGATCATAATCCGAAGTCTGGTTTTAAAATCAAGCAAGGTTTGGTAGTTCTGATAACAAAGACGGTCGCTAATCTTCAACCAGTCATGTTCACAGCAATCGACAGCCGTGGAGGAAATGTTATCTTAAATAATAAGATGAATTTAATTTTGAAACCGTCGCCGATCAAAGGCCAACCGTTTACAGTCGCCATGACACCCGCTCCAGGTGAAGATGAAGATTCAGTGTATTAATATCCTTCAACATACCCTGTGATCCTACATCTTCCTCCTAAGACTGGATCACTTGAAAAAAGCTACGTTTCGAAACAGAGGGTATATCTGCATAATCTTATACAAATATTTCTTTCTCCTGTTAGGTTCAAAAGCCATCTCCGTCTATTTCACTTCAATGAAAGTTATCAACAAACACAGCAGCGATATTGTTATCTTATCCAGTGATAAATATCCCAAGAATGGCTACATCATAAAGCCCAATAACATCGCAGTCATCACGAAGAAATCATCCAGCAACATACCCGTAGATTACTCTGTGTTTGACGTGAAGACGAAGAAACCCATTTTGGTGAATCAACACAGGAAAGTAACTCTGAAACCTCATTTGGTTCGAGGTCAGCCTGTTAGTTTGCTCGTAGGTGGAACTGGTAAGTGTGGGGCTCATGTTTCATACTAACGAGATCTGGGGAAGTCTGAGAAAGTGACTGAGGAAGTCACCTGGAAATTCATTAATTTTGACTGCAGAAATATTATGACATAAAAACGACTTAGGTGCTTAACACCCTTCCCAGTTTCCAGCGTCGACCTTAGCATTGGTTTGAAGATTTGTCCAGAATGATACCAGCGCAAACCTGACTAAATATTTCATTCGTTACTTCTATTCATTTTTACTTCTATTTCTGTGTTTTTAGTCAATGCAGCCAAGAAAACTGAGGTAGAAAGACCAACGACTACCGAAGGTATTTACCCTGCATGAAAAATGCTTTGAACTTCAATTGATGAAATACTTCGTACTGTTTTTTTCACCGTATTTCAATCATAAACATTTTCAATTTCATCTTTTCCAGATACTCCAACAACTCTTGAGCAACAAGCAGCAATGCCAATCTATTACCTCGTCCTAAAGATTGCGAACCGCGCTGGTTCTGACGCCACAATTATACCAAACGATTCTCAACCGCCTCAGTTCCAAGTGAGAAAAGGCTACCTCGAAACGGTGACGAAGAAATCCCACAGCAAGCAAGCTGTTGTTTTCAAAGCTGTGAAGGCAGGAACAGAGCAGCGTTTGAGTATAAACGGAAAAGACGAGGTTTCATTATTGCCCACGCTGAAAAAGGGAAAACCCATTGTGTTAAACCTGAGAACCAAAGGTAACATGATATTTTTAAAAAAGGAAACAAGACAATAAAGTGTGACAGTAAAAAAATAATCTTAACCTTAACGATAACTACTTTCTTAGAAAATATTGTGCAAGATGAAAAGTTAAAGCCAGAAATAAGTAAGTGAAAGTAATTTGTCCTCAATCTGAGCCTTTCCTTTGCTAGTTACGAACCTCATTCTCAATTCCACTCATTTCCAGAGACCCCTTTCTATGTGAACTTGCATGTTAGCAACCAGTCTCCCGGTGAGACTGTTTTCTTCCCAGTCAAAGAGTCTCCAAAGAGCGGATTTCACTTGAATCCTGGCACGGCTATGAACATCAAGGAGACTGTGGATAGTGGTAATCCGATGACGTACATGGCATTAAGTGGAGATAATCATAAACCATTATTACTGAACCATCAAGCAAAACTCACCGTTACACCAGACGCTGATAAAACATTTAATACTAATGTGAATATTACCAAACCTCGAGGTATGAAAGCTAGCTTTGTTCATGTGACCCTGTGAGATTAGTCGCAGAGGAAACTTCCGGTTTGATTCTAGTAATGCAAGTTTAGAATTTTATAGTTTCGTCACCGATCAAGGCTTTGAAAGATTAATCTTCAAGACACGATGGAGCGCTCAATCTCTGATATGTGGTGGGTTTATTAATAATTTCGCTTTTAATGTTTTCCAGGAGAATTGACGGAGACGAAGGTTGATGGAAACGCTCTTCAGAAAGATTGTCACATCGTCAGCTGCGCTGGTGAGTTAACCCAGTTAGAACTGCTTAGTAATTACTACACAGAAACACGAACACAGAAACATGAAACACAAACACAGACAAGTGCAGCAAAGGATGATTCCTAAATTCTTTCCAACATTTTCCTTAGCACCCAAACCTCCCCAAGTCCCAGACCGTTACATTTCGCTCATTCTTCACAACAAACTGGGTCGAGCAGCGAGAGTCGTACCCAGTAAGGGAAAACATAGGAACCGAGGATACGTCATTGGACCGCACAGTTTTGTCAAAGTCAGCATTATCATCAAAGGAGAAAAGTATGTTGAACCAATCACCTTCCGAGGAGAAGACCTGGAAACTCAGTCGAAGTTCCTTCTTAATAAAGCTCTATTTCCAATCTCACTCACTCCTTCGGATACACCAAAAGCCGTCACGAATATCTCGATATCTGCGGAAGGTACTGGGCCGAAACCTCTGGTGATTATCCTCTCTTCTAAATACACGAATATAACCCAAACTTGGTTCTTATTTAGCTCCGCACGCCAGACCCATCCAGTCATGGTCTTTCTCATCATATGATGGCTCAGTTATACCAGGCAGTCCCAGTCTCTCTGTACACGGTGAGGTCAGCAAGGCTGGAGATGGACTACATTTTGATGGTTCAACGTCATCAATGGACACCTATATCGAAGGCTCGCATTGTCTCCACGATACAGAGCTCTGCGCGAAAGGATTTAGCTTTGGCGCGAAATTGAAGATCGATAAGATAGCCAACGGTTATACTGAGCCGAAGTTTATATTGGATACGGGGGGGCACGGAAAGAATACTCGGGGAGTTTCATTGTTTGTGGAGAATAAGAAACTTGTCGCTGAAGTCACGACCAAGAAGATAAGATATAGGGTAAGTGGTGAAAGGGTGAGGTGGTGAGTGAGTGGGGGGAGTTGAGATGTAGGATTGGTGAGGGGGGAGATCAGATAGGGGATGATTGGGGGAAGATGAGATAAATGGGAATTTGAGAAGTAAAATGATGAGGGAGATTAGATGTTGGGTAGGTGGAAGCGACAAGCAGCGACATATTGTTTATTTCATCTAGACGGAGACTCCCCTAGCATTAGACCAATGGATATACGTCATAATGACTTTCAAGAAAGGTCTTGGTTTATCATTGTACTACGACGCTCAGTTACGAAGCATGGATAATACTGGGACACCTGTGCCTGACACGCATCCTGTGGACATGGACAAGAATCTTCTGATTGGTCGAAATATTGAAGGACCACCCTATCAGTACGCAGCATTTGATATGGCGTCACTGACCGTATTCGAGGAATATTTACACGAGGATGACGTCAGTCGTGTGTTCTTGTTTTTCTGGAGTGGAAGTGAGTGCAACAGCCTCTGTTTCTTGCGTGCCGAAGTGCAGTGTTTTGCTGATCTCTGCTTTAGATAAGTGTTTGCAGAGATGAAGCTTAGCGGAACTGTAGAAAGAACAAATGAAAACTGTAAACGTTCTCCATTATAAATATGGTTTAGTGTTTAATCTTGTTTAGTGTAGGCTTCCTTCTGAATCAGATCGAATCTAATTTATAAAGATGAGAAAGACATTACCTAACGATATTGCCATAAACGTCTTTACAGAATCAGCCAAGATTTACTACTCAACCCTTCGTATCATCAACGGAGCTGGTCGTCCAGCCGTGTTGAAACCAAACCGAGGCAACGACGATGGCTTCCCGATCAAACCAAACAGCACACAACAGATCGTTCTGATGTCCATGAGCACGGATAATAATCCAATTGAACCAGTCGCTTTCCACGCAATTGATGCAGAAACCTCAACCAAACTGATGATCAATCATTTTATACGACCATTTGTTGTGGTCCCCAAAGAATCGAAGAAGGAATTGACGACAATCCTCATAACTTCACCAGGTTCGTCTTGTTGAGTTCTCGTCTTGGCACAGTTGATTAAACTGATCATATTTGAATGACTAAGAGTGAGACATCATTATTCTTCATACGAAAACACACTTTTTGACATTGTTTATCAAACATCGCTCCAACACGTCTGCCTTAAAGCTTAAGTAGGATAATAAGGATATCTTAATATAATTTTTTTTTCTGAATATTTCAGCCCCTTCGATTCTTCCCAAGTTCATCTGGAGTTTCAAACACGTGGATATGGGCGTGGTTCGCGACAGTGAGCCGAGGTTGATGGTACATGGTTTCTATAAGCCAGAAGAAGACAGTTTGCGTCTTTTACCAGGCGAAACCTGGGTCGATGTGGGAGATTTTAGAGGTATGGTATCGAAATAGGAGGGAAAATTGTTTCTGAGCTATGTTTTGCAAAACACCGCCGTATGAAGTTTTTTCAGTGAGCCCAGGTCTAAAGGGTGGTTACTTTGAGTGAGGTTTAGGATATAAAGGGTGATTGACCCCCGTTTGTTAAATTTATACGTCTAGGTTCGTGTATTAGTGATCCACAGATGTGTGACGAAGGAATGGCGATGGCGGTCAAACTCAAGTTTAATGACGAGGCTAAGAACTACACTGATGAGCCACGGTATATTCTGGACAGCGGTGCTCATGACGCCCAGTCACGTGGCTTTAGTCTGCATTACCAGGATGGTAGATTGCATTGTGTTGCCTCAATCTCGAATGCAGAATGGAAGGTAAGGAAATTGACCAAGATTTGGTTCATGCATTTGATGAAAGTTTGGACAAAGATTAGTTCCATTCCTGTAAGTTTGAATTTCTTTTATTTGTACGTTCGATTATTCGCACCAGGTCTCAGCGCCAATCACTTTCCACGAATGGAAATATGTTATGTTCACTTGGAAGAAAAATGAAGGACTTTCTCTGTACGTGAATGGTCATCTCGAAGATCATATGAAACACTCCGTCAACAAACCAGGTCTTCACCATAACGACAAGTTTACTCGTTTTGAAATCGCACGAAATATCGCTGGCCCTCCCTACGGGCATGCGCAGTTCACCATCAACTCTCTCGCTTTCTTTGACGAGCATTTATCAAAAGCTGATGCACTCAGAGAGTATATTTATTACTGGGGAAATGGTAAGTTGTGGTCGGAATTTGTTGGACGTAACACAAGATATGATAGTGTAGCATTACAGTTTGTCTGACAAGAATGACCAAAGATATGACAAATAGGCACAAACATTTGAGATTAATCGTAGAGTAGTTTTAGACCAGTACTAACATGATTTTGTTATCTCTTTTTCAGCAGCTCCCGCGTTTTCAAACCGTTACATCAAAGTAAGGTTTGACAACAAAGCTGGTACGAATGTACGCATTACTCCAAGTAAAGGCGGCGCAAAGGATCAAGGGTATTCTATCAAGCCTCATATGTCACTGGAACTCTCCTTTGTTGCCAAGGGAACGTCTGCGAATGTTCCAGTCACGTTTCGCGCGCAGGATGAGATGTCAGGTGATTCGCTCCTGATTAACACGTCAGAGGAACCGCTGGCAGTTAGTCCAAGCGACTCGAAGACTCATATGACCGTTGCCACAGTAACTTCGTCAGGTAAAGTTGAACCAGTGAAGTTTTAGTTCCGAGTTGAAGTTTCACTGCAGTATAAGACATTTACCCCCCCCCCCCTTCCTTGATAACATCACTCTCTTTTCTCCTCGAAGTCTACAGGGTGTCCCAAAAAAAACGAAAACTATTGAAATCACCCATAACAATGCAATTGTTAGAGTTTGAATGCCTAAGCACTCTGTTGGGACCCACAGGTGTATAAATGTTTACCATACTCATTTTTACGCAAGCATATATGATGCAGTAAAATTTGCTTGTTCGCAAAAATGATATTTATTAACAATATTTACAATTTACAAATATGGATAACATTATTTAAATGTGCATCTCAAGGACCATGACCTTCGACATGTCCCCTTTCTCTAGCAACACAAAGCATTTAGCATTTTATAAGTTGCATTAAATCCCCACGGGCTGAAATTCGTTAACACGGCATTCAAATTTTAACAATGAGTGATATCAAAAGTTTTCGGGTTTTTTTGGGACACCCTGTAGAATGAAACTTTTAATGAAACTGAATGTGCGTTTTAGTGAAATGTCTATCGCCAAATGGTTTGTTCCCGGACCCAACAAACGAGTTTGGTTACATCAACTGCACAGCGGGTTCAGCCAAGAGAATACCGTGTGGAATTGGTATGAAATGGGAGGAAGAGACGAAATCATGTCAACGTAAAGGTGAGGGATTGGGAACGAACTTGAAGTGTTTAATAATATCATGGTTTTCACCAGATCATGACACTTACATGAGCATTAGGCTTGCTGCATTCCTCGCTCGCATAGGAATTTGGTAGTCTTATTAGATAGCCGTATTATTGATCTTATAAACTCACTGGATTGATATATTAAACTAATAAACTTCTATTTTGAAGTTATAACTACATGTCAAAAGGCTCTCTAGCGGCCATCTTTCTTCTCTTTCTTCCTCCAGGCGGTCTCCCAACTCTGTATTACGCAACACTCCAGCTTCACAATAACGCTGGCAAAGATGTTGAAATTGTTGAGAGCGGCGGCCAGGAACCAGCACACTTGCTTACCAAGGGTGAAATAAGAAAAATAAAATTAATTGGCCATGAAACTAAACATTATAAGTTTGAAGCGATTGACAACAGTACCGGAGAATCGTTAGTGTTAAATAATCAGGCTTTTTCAACTGTTACACTTGGTGAGGATCCTGATCGTGTTATGGACGTCACGATTAGCAAACCAAGTAAGTTCCAGTTCAGATACCAGACTCTTGGGTAGTTCAGACTCTGACGTTCAAACTATGACTTATATGAGATACCTTTTTTAGGTAGTTCAGACACAAACCACGATAGCTTATTGTGGAATACTGCCTGCACTAAAGCAATCAATTTCTTTCGTAGTTCATCGTTGAAATCTTTTATTTGTAGGTCACTTTTACACAGTAATCACACACACTGGGACACAGCCAGACGCAGGAACAAGTGCAAACGTGTTTGTTCAATTGATTGGTAACCAAGGTCGAACTGAAGAATTACCTTTAAAACATTCTGGAGCCAAAGAATTTAATCCGGGACAGTGAGTGTTCATCTGACATAAAACCCAAGCTTTCTCGTTGAACATATTATTTCTCTCACTCAAGCGCCGAAACTGTGATTTCAACGAGGAGCTAACTGCTTGCTTTGACTTCATTTAGAATTGACAAATTCCGTGTTCCTGCGTTGGATATTGGTAAGATTATTAAAGTAAAAGTAAAGCATGACGGTGGAGGAAAATCACCTTCGTGGTATCTGAACAAGGTAAATTTTAAATACGTTTTATGAAGCTTACATTTGAAGGCAGAAGAACAACATTGTTGAATTAATCGAGAAAGATGTCTTGTGCGTTTGTTGTATTGTCTGGCTGAGTGTTTTATTTTTGGGATTTCGCTGTAGGTTATAGTAAAAGATGATAACCTGCAGAACTACGAGTTTCCATTTTATGATTGGTTGACTGGCGTAAACAGTGAGACAGAACCTGTGGAAAAACAGCTGCTGTTGTTTCATGGAAAACGTGAGTTACCTGAGATTACTTTGTTTAGTATCGATGACCAGTTATTGCCAGTGGACCATATTTCATCTCGTATTGCATGATCCAGTGCTATCTGATATATCATTCCTAGGGACGTGTGTTCCTGTGTGTAAGAATGGAGGCGAATGCATTGGAGGGAAGTGCCAATGTCCAAGTCTATTTGAAGGAGCAAGTTGCGAAAAAGGTTTCACAATTTTTCTTCCTCTTTTAACTCATATTAACGCTAACACTGCGTCGCCCATGTCAACGGCTTTAAGAGTGAATTGTTTCAACTTTTCATTAACCAATTGCTGAAATTATATGGTTAAAATCTGCGAAGCACTCTACCCCTTTAATACTGCGCATGTCCTTTTTCAGCCTTGTGCCCAGTGCCTTGCAAGAATGGCGGAGAATGTGTGAATCCGACTACAAACGAGTGCCGCTGTGCAAAAGGATTCCAAGGACAATATTGTGAAAATGGTAATGTGTGAGGTTTAATTCAAAATTTTCAATGCACGTCGAGACAAATACGTGACTGTATTTTTTATTGTTCAGCTGTGTGTACGCTGAGATGTCTCAACGGTGGTATTTGTATTGGGCCTAACCGCTGTTTATGTCTGCCTGCGTATTCTGGACTCCGATGCGAGATATGTAAGTTTTGTGTTCCCATGCGAGCGCTTTTACTGGCGTTGTCTCAGCACAAAAAGAAAAACAACATTTTGAACTCCTTGTTCAACTCTTCCAGCCTCGTGTAAACCAGATTGCATCAATGGCGGAACTTGCAAAGATGGCAAATGTGAATGTTCCTCGGGATATTCTGGTGAATATTGTCAAATTGGTAAGTGCATCGGTAGTGGTAACACTGGATCGATTCTTACTAGACCTCTAGGAAGAACAGTCTAGAACTGATAGAGCTATCCAGTCTAAATAAAGTTAGTTTAGTGTAGGTTTCCTCCTGTAGTAACACTGGATCAATAAGAGATGATCCTTACTGGACCTCTAGGAAGAACAGTTTAGAACTGATAGAGCTATCCAGTATAAATAAAGTTAGTTTAGTTTAGGTTTCCTCCTGTAGTAGCACTGGATCAATAAGAGATGATCCTTACTGGACCTCTAGGAAGAACAGTTTCGAACTGATAGAGTTTTCTGGTATCTCAGTGTCTGGTTTATTCATTTAGAACACACATGTGAACTCCCACTTGAAATTGGACCATGTTTACATGATCTAAGACAAGAGATCAAGAATGGAAAAGCTGATGAAAGAAGCGAAGGATGTAGTAAATATCTCACTGAAGTATTAAACAATTGTCCAGCGCGTGGTTCAACCTACACCCAGGCTGAGTGCGAGAAACAATGTGGTAAGTTTCGTGTGCCCTGCGTGGTGCGGGACTTTGACACGTAGTAATCACGAGAACTACACGAACAGGGTTATTGTCTGGCATGCGCTCATAGAATTCATCTAACATGATTTTTAATGGCATTATAGATCCGACTGCAAACACAGTCTGTTCCAGAGTTTGGAATCCAGCAAAATGTCAGACGGACACTAAACGCTTTAGGTTTAATGCGCAGACTCGAACATGTGATCAATTCATGTTCTCCGGTTGCCTAGGAAACAGGAATAACTTCGCCTCGGAAAGTGCATGTAACCAGGCATGTTCCACAGGTAGGATCTGGGAGTGATTGATTGACTCTCAGTCAACAATACTTAGTGATCAATCTCTTGATTTCTTATACAGACCTAAGAAGACGCAAACGACAAAGAACGCCAGGCTTTTTGGAGCATTTTCTGAGGAGGCCGTTTTAACTGTGAGCCCGGAAAACTATTATGAAATTTTAGGAACATTTATTTTATTTATTAGATTTATTTAATGAAGTTGTAAAATATTTAGATGATTTTGTATGAGGTAGTGCAGATTTGTATATCTACCTGATATATTTGACCGCAAATATTTGTATATAAAGTGTTGTTTAGTGAAGCTCCAACATTGCAGTATTTTTCAGCCAAAACTTCCTGGTTTGCCAGGATCCTATTTACGTTCATTAGTGTTACTTAAGCTGTGTTCATTGTCTTTGTAAGTTTATGCAAAAATTGAGAGAATGGCAAATATGAAATAATAAACTCCATACAACTGACAAAATTAAAAAAGAGATATTTTAACCAGCAGCAGGAGTCGAGACAACCGGAGATGAGCTCGTGTGACCCAACGGTTTTCGCAGCAGCGGGCGAGATGCGCAGATGCATGTACGCTTGCGCGGACCTAATTATATTAACCAATCATATGAGTCCTGGAGGGTGTTGGTGCAGAATAACAGCAGGATGGTGAGAAAGTATTCTGTGGTAAAGTCAAAGTGACCAAATCTAATCTTCTGGCAAAGAATAAAGACAAGTACTCCTTTACAGTTTACAGACATGGATAGTTGCTTAAAACTGATTCCTCGTAACTGTTACAATACGTACAGTTCAGTAGTTCTTGCTTTGTTTGTAGCAATTGGCGTGGTTCTGGTTGCAATCGCGAGTGATAACGAGTCGAAATCAAGTCTAGAATGTGACCTCACAAGCTCTTTATTCAAGGGGAAGTACATTGAAACACAATGTCGTCTTCAATATGCCCAAGAATTCCTCCCTTCGTTATCTCTCAATGTCCAGATTGTGATAAGTTTTGGACTTGTCGTTGTATGTAGTGTCGTGTACGGTTACCTGGTGAAACATAGAGTGGACATGTTCACAAATAATCCAAACACAACGACGAACGAGGGCGTAGAAGAAAGTCAGCCATTGTCTGAGGCATCGCCAGCCACACCAGTGGCCTATCAAGGTAGTAATCGTTATTTTGTATTTATGGCTTACATAATCCATTTATTCGTTTGTCGTATAATACCACTGACAATATTCTCAGCATTTCTCTTAACCTCGTTCAATTTTCCGACCGATTTTGAATGTTCTTTGCCCAATATGAAAACAACAACTAGTACTTCCCATGAGAACGTCACACGGTCAACTACGAATTCTTCATTTTTGGACTGCACTTATTCAATGGCTGGAAAGAAAGAACAAGTTGTTGTCGGCTTTATCACGATAAATTTTCTTTTCGATGCAGTGACACTCGTTGAGATTGTTTATCTGTTGTGGTCGGCATGGAAGAGGCCCACTTTTCATACTGATCAGGAGTTTATTAACGTGTACCTTCTACGAAAACGAACCAAAACAATCCTAGAAATAACTAATCTGATTCGGGAAGGACAATCCAATAATTTGTTTAATGTGAGTCAAGGCTTTAGAAGGAAACGAAACCTGGATGAAATTTATATCAATGTTATAATTCAAGATGGAAGGGATTCTAGAAGTGAATTTATGAAGAAAGGTAGACATGAGATTTATGACATTCAATTGGAAAAGCCCCCCAGTTCAAAAGTACTTGAGAGTACAGCAGAATTATTTCAAGCAGCAGAAGCTGGTGAAGACCATCCTAGAACTGTTCTTGTAGTTGGCAGACCAGGTATCGGGAAAACTTTGCTGACTGAAAAAATTTTTCACGAGTGGCTACGAGATAAAAGAACTGAATTCTGGCATGAAAAAATTGTACTTCTGATTCTATTCCGTAATTTTAACAAGGGAGAAACAAGTTTACAAGACATGTTACATCAGGCTCATGGTCTTGGAAAGTCAATATCATTACCTGAGTCCAACAGCATGTCCATCTATGAATATGTTTGCCAGAAACCAAGCAATGCAGTCCTTGTTTTCGATGGCTTAGATGAACTTCAAGTAGATGATAAATGTTTAACTGATGGAAAAATCATAAACAACCCAAAAGAGCTTGCACATATTTACCTGATTTTTAAACAGCTGGTGAAAGGCAAACTATTACCTGGAGCCACTGTGTTAACCACATCTCGACCCACAGCAGAACACATCTACCAAAATCTTGATTTTAAAAGAGAGGTGGAGATATTGGGTTTTAGTGAGAAACAAATAGAAGAGTATGTTGGGAAATTTTGTTATGATGACACACAGAAAAGTTCAGAAATATGGAACATAATCAAGAACTCTCCAGAACTACTAAGCTTCTGTTATGTACCGGTTAACTCCTCCATTGTGTGCTTGACATTGCATGAAAGCCTTTATTTTGGTGAACATGCAACAGATGGAAACTACAGCAGGATTCCCAGAACAATAACTGAACTGTACAAAAGGGCTATAAAGATTTTGCTGTTCAAACACAATTCAAAATACCGCCATAAAGAACCCCGAAAAAATTACTTGACTGCAAAACTTCCAGAGCAGCTTCGAAAGGATTTAGACAAACTGAAAGAAATTGCAAGGGAAGGGATGGGAAATGACCAACTAGTTTTTGAGTTTGATGGCAGCGATGAATTTATAACTGACTTGGCAAATTCTGGTGTATTTAATCAGTTAGAAGATGAAAATCGGTACATCTTTTCTTTTCTTCATCTTACAATTCAAGAGTTTCTGGCTGCACTACATGTGGTTGATGATATTAAAAATGTTGAAAGATTTTTAGAAGATCACATTAATGAACCCAGGTGGCATTTGGTGATCCAATTTGTAGCTGGGTTACTTGGAGATAAAATGAGAGAGTTAAGGTATGCCTAAGTTTTCTTCAAATTAGATAAAGTTATATAGTAGCCAGTTATATTGTATAGTCACAACTCAATTTGATAGCCATATACATGTAAGGGAATCTTCTTATATTATTTATTCATTGTTGAATCATTTAGTCTATATAATCTTGTATTCATTCACATTTAATTATTGATCAGGTCAGCAGAGCATGAAAACAGTGAAGTAATCGATGAACCCAGGTGGCATTTCGTTAACCGATTTGTAGCTGGGTTACTTGGAGATAAAATGAGAGAGTTAAGGTATGCTTAATTTTTCTTCAAATTAGATAAAGTTATATAGTAGCCAGTGATATTGTATAGTCACAACTCAATTTGATAGCCATATACATGTAAGGGAATCTTCTTATATTATTTATTCATTGTTGTACATTTAGTCTATATAATCTTGTATTCATTCACATTAATTATTGATCAGGTCAGCAAAGCATGACGACAGTGAAGTGATTGAACGTATATGCAAAAGGTAAAAAATTGTTACAATTTATAGGCATATTGGGTTGTATTGCGTTATGGCTGATGCATGTTGCTAGCTAGCATCAATTTAAAACCCTTAACAAAAATCTGCAACAGCTTCCTTACCCAGCATTAGCGACATTGAGGATTTTCCAAAGTTGATAAAACCTCTGCCTGTTGTATAAATTATGAATGATTCTGATTAGCCAATTCTGTGAAAGGTTGCTGTACTTATTTTTTATTCAAACAATTATTAGCATAATTATAATCATCTGTTATCAGATGATTTAATGAAATTATAACTTTTGATGACTTTGATTGATTCCAGTGTAGTCTCCAAGTCAATAGCTTTGCATGCTGTAAAAAGAGTACAATGAAATATTAATTATACAGTTTATACTGATTATAGACTTTATAGGACAAGCACGTGCCAGTTGAGGTTGTTTGAAGCGATATGATTGGCTAATCAGTGATTCACGTGATACTCGGCTGCGGCTCAATTTTGTATTTTTTATGCCCCGCGAAGATGAGGAGAAAACTTAGTTAAAAACAAACAAAAAACCTTGAAAAACTATTCAAAATTATTAAAAAGAAAGAAGAAAAAGCTAAAATTACCTGAATGGATGTATTTAAAATATTTAAGTGACGTTTTTGTTGCTGTAATTCAAAAATATGAGGTAATATTTTACTGTTTTCAACAATTTATCAAAAAGCTAATACGAATTCAATAGTTTTGTTTCTTATGGAAAGACGATAACCTTCAATTTTTGCAGACGAAAGGGAAAAACCATTTTAACACCATTTTTTTTAAAGAAAAGCTGTCACAGAATTTATATTTTCTTTTCAGAAATTTTTACTTTTGTAGTTTTGTTTCTACAAAAAACAAAATCAGTATTAGTCTGTACATGTGTTGTCGTCTTTACACCGTGAATGGATTTTCTTTTTGATGAAATGGCCATTTATACTACGAAGTTTTATCTAAATATAATTCTAAACTTCTAAACTTTTCTCTCAAAATATCTTAATCTAGATTTCAAGACTGGATGCCAAAGAAACGACGTATTGACTGGAGTAATGACAAAAGTTTACTCGTGATAAAAAGTGTTTGGGAAATGCAAGAAGATCGCGTCATGAAAATGATTTCGTCGTTTGCGTCTGAGGATGATGACTCGTTTGCATCTGAGGATGATGACTTGTTTGCATCTGAGGATGATCATGAAAGATTTACTTTGTTTGGATTAAATATTGCACCAGCAGAATCTACGGCTTTGTTTAAATTTTTAAGCCACATCAAGAACTTGAAACAGCTTAAAATCAATGGTTGTACTGTGACGAACATTACTATCCGTGAATTGGCTGAGTTTTTGAAGAAAGATAAGCATGGCCTGGAGAATGACAACTGTGAACTTACTGAACTAGATGTAAGTAACAATACTGGTTTAACAACTGAAGGTGTTAAATATTTAAGTGATGCTTTGAAGAGTGACAACTGTAAACTTACTAAACTATATGTAAGTGCCAATGATTTAAAAACTGAAGGTGTTAAATATTTAAGTGATGCTTTGAAGAGTGACAACTGTAAACTTACTAAACTATATGTAAGTGCCAATGATTTAGAAACTAAAGGTGCTAAATATTTAAGTGATGCTTTGAAGAGTGACAACTGTAAACTTACTAAACTAAATGTAAGTGGCAATGATTTTAAAACTGAAGGTGCTAAATATTTAAGTGATGCTTTGAAGAGAGACAACTGTAAACTTACTAAACTAAATGTAAGTGGCAATGATTTAAAAACTAAAGGTGCTAAATATTTAAGTGATGCTTTGAAGAGTGACAACTGTAAACTTACTAAACTAAATGTAAGTGGCATTGGTTTAACAACTGAAGGTGTTAAATATTTAAGTGATGCTTTGAAGAATGACAACTGTAAACTTACTAAACTATATGTAAGTGTCAATGATTTAAAAACTGAAGGTGTTAAATATTTAAGTGATGCCCTGAAGAGTGACAACTGTAAACTTACTAAACTAGATGTAAGTCTCAATGATTTAAAAACTGAAGGTGTTAAATATTTAAGTGATGCTTTGAAGAATGACAACTGTAAACTTACTAAACTAGATGTAAGTAGCAATGATTTAAAAACTGAAGATGTTAAATATTTAAGTGATGCTTTGAAGAGTGACAACTGTAAACTTACTGAACTAAATGTAAGTTACAATGGTTTAAAAACTGAAGGTGCTAAATATTTAAGAGATGCTAAGAGAGACAACTGCAAACTGATTTACTAAATGTAAAGTCGTAATGACTGCAATTGTGTAAAACGCGTCAAACCTTGTGAAATGTTTTTGTGAAGCTGTATATTGCAGGCAAATCATATTAATATTTTTCTTCATGACACATCAGGTATTTTACTCTCATAGTTTTTTTATTCCTTTATACGAGCAAATGTTCTTTGAAATGTTTTTTGTGGAATATATTTTGCGTATGTTGATGAGACGTTATGCGAAATTTCTGATGGAATTTTTTACCAAACATTTAATAAATCAGTTTAGATTGTTTAAAAATCAATCAATGTTTGTAGTTTCTGACTATTAAGTTTTTATTGTTTTGTAAATACTATTTCTAATTGTATATGATTGTATTTCGCATAAGTATTTTGTAGTTTGAATCATTCGTAAGGTAGATTTCTTTAAACTAACTCGCAGGACACTGGAGTGATTGCCGATTGGACAGTTGTGTATTGCATTGTGTATTTAAAATAAACTTTTTACAGCTACTCTTAATGCTTTGTCTTTCTATACATCTCGTCCGAAGACCTTCCTATATGAACACATGGATAAATTTTGTCTCAGGAAAGCAACTTTGATTGTTTGACACCAAACAAGCACATGCTATTGTCGGGAAGATTACACATACTCATTTCAATACTTCAAAGTCATCTCACGCTTCGTTAACCGGGATCATGTAAACAGCATTTAGGCTAAAATAAACTTTTTACTACTAATATAAATTTGGTCTCAGGCAACTTTATAATAAAAAAATTACTACTTATGCTTTGTCTTAGCGACCATGATTATCCATCTCATTCAGTGATCTCATCAAAGTGCTAGCTTGGGTACCAGGTCTGGATCATCTTCATACAAACCAACCCCTGAGCGAGGACATTGTTGTTGGTGCAAGGGGAAATTTATCTCAACAGGCTACCAGTATGCCGCTCAATTGTTGACAATATACTGAACTGTTTGATCATCCATTGTTTAAAACATCTCAAATGAGAAAGAGAGCCAGGGGTTTAAAGCAAAACATATTTTTGTCTGTGGCAGGTAATAAATCCTGCAACCTTGTGATTTTGATGAGGTATTTTACAACCTACTATTGCCTCTTGTAATTAAGACAGATTTCCAACTTGTTGTTACCAGGTTGCATAATATTAACAAAGAACACTTTCAAACTGTTACTAGCAAAAATTTAAATTGACAATATGTGTTTTGATAGTGGGCATGCCAAAACTTTCATGTGATTTATAATTGTAACATTATATAGACAGACTAACAAGCTTGCAAAAATAAAATGAGAGAAAAATTTCTTACATCTATGGTATTTAGAAATAATGATCTGATGTTAGTATGGGACAGTCATTAAACTCTGTCATATAATCGTACAAAAGTGCAACATCCTGTGGCAAGTTTTTGGGACCACCCTCAAATCCAGTCTCCTGTAATGTCACATTAGGATCCAGGACCACCATCTCTCTCTCATTGTCTTTGTAGATGGTCAAATTCTGTGTTGACTCACCAAGTCTCTCATGAATTAGTTCCACAATAGAGTAGATACTCACATGAGCATGAATTAAGATTTCAAAGTTCCCTGGATAGCTGTTGACATTTGCAAACGTGACAAGCCTCAATTCTAGTTGTATGTATCTGAAAAAAAATATTTTTCACTGAAATTTTGAAGATGTATGGAAGATTTTATAAATCAGCATAGATGATTCTAGTATGTCATTTCTGACTGTTGCAAGCAACTTGCAAACTGACCAACCATTTTCTGTAGTGATCTGATGAAAGATGAGATACTGAACTATACCCACCTTGGGAAAGCTTCTTTCATGGGCTTCCATAATCCTAGTTTACAACATGGACAATTTTTAAGTTTCTCTCTAACAATTGTCAAATTGGGAAGATCCGTGTCTGGAACAATATCTGATTTACGAAAGTACTTTAACCCTTTTGAAAACTCTAAATAGTCGATCAATTCATTCGAATCTTGATCCAACTTCTTTGCAAGAAGATATAATTCAATTTTATTGCAGGGTGCGTCAAGATCTCTCATTCCAGCATAAAACTCCTCGTATGTCAAACACCCATCACCATTCAGGTCGAAACGTCGAAAAAGGTCGATAGCTCTACCATAATTGTGCAGCATCCATTCATCAATACGAGTCACAAATGATTGATGTAACTCTTCAGCTGCTTCAAATGCCTCAGCTGCTTTCTCAAGTTTCTCCTGTTGAAAAAAAAGGTAAATATTAGCTCGTTCTGCACTTTGAATGCTATTGTAAGTAACCATTCGTCATTAGATGAAGATAATCATATAATGATCTACTTTAGCGATGCTGGTTTTGAAAACTACCTTTGCTAGCTCTTCTTTAGATTTCTTTGGTTGTTTTTTCTTCCTATAAACATCGATATAATTCTATAAACGGTTACACAGGAATAAAGTACAAGGTAACTGTTTGGACATTTGCACAAAATTTACAAGGAGTTTATGTCTTTAAACACAAAGGAATTCTGCTTAATAAACCTACTTTCCTTTCTTTTTCGTTGGCATATTTTTAACTTTTACAATAATCGATGAACGATCTGTGATGTTTATTTCAATAGTTTTGTTTGTTTACATTTTTCAAATTGCAACATTGCCTTAGCAACATTTTTAGCACCATTTTTCTCGCCAATTAAAATGCGCCGCGCCAAAATTTTCGCGCAAAATTTTGAATTCAACGAAATCGAATGCAAAGAAATGAATGAAATGTACGTTTTTACAAAAAGTTTCGATTTAAAATATATAATTTTTGTTGCTAAGAGATTCCGCGCGTTAAATGGGGCATTTTACATTCTCAAAGATTCAAAATATGTACTGTAATAATGACTTTTGAGATCAATTTCATCGTATGTAATGTTGAACACAGCCTGGGAGCGGAAGACAAGACTCAAATCACTCACGTGAAATTGCAATAAAATTTAATCAACTGCTTAGTAAGTTCCACTTCTTATTTTCTTTATTCTGTTTTCTGACTTAGGTACCAGGTATTTCTGGCTGTGTTTAAATTTCAGTACGTATTTTGTTGATAGAAAAGAGAAAATTCTCAAATGAATGCAGAAGAGCTACATAAGGAAGTCTTGGCTTTTGTTTTGGACAATGTTAAAATCAGCAAAGTCCTGGAAGAGGTTAAGGTTTACAACCCCTGTAGAAATATTTTTCCTAGAGGCAGTGAAGCTAATGCCTTGCCCAGAGCAATTGCATATGAAACATTTTATTTCAGCAAATAGCCAAAGAATTGAACAGTACGTCAGTACCTACTGTATCCAGTAATTATGGTTAATGTCTCTCTATAGCTTTCTCAAGATGCTGTTCCTTCAAATGACATAATTCAAATGACTGGTGAGAAATAACTTATCGTAAGCCTACAGTATGCAGGCCTTTTTATCAGAAACAGCTGCTATTGTAAAGATTACTGAATATTTAAAATATATTTCCTTTTTTCATTATTGTTTAGAAGATTCTTGCATGCAACATTTCCATGCAATTTCAAAGACTACCTGCCTCCCTGTTAGTCTGGTTGCCTCTCAAATATTTGCACAACAGTTGTTGGATGTAGTCAAAGTTGATCAACCTCACAACCAAAATGTTGGTCATAACTACTACCATCTGTTATCTTATGAAGTAAAGGTGAGTTTTGATATCCAAGAGGGAGCTCTTGGAAGATTCTGTAATCAACAATCCATTCTGCTTCTTTTAGACAAAAGTTGAAGTCCTGTTGGTTTTTATGAATAGAATCAAAGACAAAGAAACAAATTGTTTTGACAAATTGAACTTCATCAAAAGTCTTCCAGCCATGGTACAGCAATAATACTTGCAATGCATTTGTTTGTTGGCTAAAATTATGACAGTTTAATTAATTGTATTCCAGGCAATTCCCATGGAACTGATTTGGCTGTTAAATGAAAATTTTGTTGTGTCTTTCCAAACTTGTTTTTTAAGGTAAGAGTTTGTACCAAAATTGTTACATCAGGTATAGCACGTACTGTGTGTACAGATCGAATCAATATGTTCATGGTAGATAGCTGAGAATCTACAGAGCTTATTCTTATTATTTAGTTGGTATTCTAATGAGGAATGGTTGGAAAGGTTTTGTAAAGGTATTGCAAGTCTTTTTTGTGATGGTGACCAAGATAGCATTGTTCTTCGAAAGAAAATCCTTCAAGGTCAGTCTGGTCAGACATAAACCTTAATTCACCAGTATATCTGGATAAGATGGTGGCTAGACGTAGCTGACATACATAATTGTTTCATAAAATATGGCCATCAGTACTTAAATATAAATAGAATTGGAGTGAATATGATTATCTTTCAATATTTAGTTTTCATTGGAGATTTATTGCTAATGGGCTATGGAAACTTACAGGAAAACAAAGAGGTTATTAAGGTATGTCTTCATGTTTTGATTAATTAGGTAATTTCCAGGTGCAGTTAACATCTACTTTTTAAACAATCGAACATTTGAATTATGTTTGAAATTTATCATGTTATATCTTCTCAATTTCACAAGAAAACTCAGGAAAGTCTTTTTAAACTCATGAAATGTAAGTCAAAACTCTTATCTCACCCTGTACCAGTTTAATAACTATATAAGAGTTAAAGACTCGCTTCATTTTCGTAATTTAAGATACAGAGTCTGCAAAGCAAGATGAGGCAGAAGAAGTGGTGAATAATTGGTAGGAATTCAGAAAAAAATTATAATAAAAATAACAGAATGTATTAATTTTTTTCTTTTTCATTTCAGGTTATCTGTGTGTAAAGTTATCCGTGAGTTGGAAGAGGTTCCTGTAGAAATAATTCAAAGGTTTCTCCGAGAATTGTTATCAGATCTTTTATCAACACCTTGCAGTTTGTCAGTCAAGGATGCCATTTCACATCAAGATAAATGGACATTTGAATTCCTCTCTGGAGCAACAAGAATCAAATATTTACAGGTTTGTTGGCTGGATTTTTGTCAAGTCAGGAGATAATCATGATGAATGCGGGATCTTGCAGATCATAAAAATGATCTTTTCTGTCTACTAGACCTCTAAAGAAACAATTTTTTTCTGTTCTTAGTTTGTTTCAGTGTTTAGCAGTGAGGATATCATTCAAATCATTCAACATGCTGTTGAGTCAATCAAGGTAAGTGTTTTGCCATAGATACCGAGTTTACTGCAAAGTTATACTGTTGACTGACAAATTGACGAACCGTCTCTCTCTTGAACCAGCTCGAGCGTTCATGATTTTTTTATGTCGCTTTAGTCTGAAACTGTGAATATTAAAGAACTCTGCCATCTTTTCACTGTTTCCCTTGTTCAAAATGAAGAATCTCGTAAATCATTTGATGGTATAGTAGTTCATTTTTTGAATTCATTTATCTGGAAATGGAGGTAATGGCTTTATTGCTCAAAGCCTCTATGCCTTTTTCGAGGAAATAATTTCTATCAAAGCATGCGACCTCGTGTTTGACATAACGATGCTTGTTTTTTCTGAATATTATTGTGTTTGTTTCAAACGTTTTTCTAATCCATTGCAATGCCTTCATAGATTTCCTTGGACAATGCCTTTTGGATTCGCTAGATAATTGTGATGAGTTACAGTTTGATCTAGTTTTGCTTCTACGTAGACAAGCTGTCTTTGAAGGAAATCACATTTCACCTTCGTACGCAACTTGGTTTGAGGTGATTTGTCGCTTCACCTTAATTTCTACCCGTCACTCACTCATTTAATAGTTAATCCGACGAAATGAATATTTTCCTTTAATTTGATCGTGGCAACTTCTGAACTCTGATACTAATCTCCCCGTTCCCGTTGTTTTGCAGCAAACGTTTCTTACAAGAGGATCGTCGTTTGGTCTCAACGTGAAGAAAACCATTCACTTCTTCTTTAAAAGTCTCACAGAACTAGTTCCGTACGATAAACCTGAATTTTTGAAGGTACGAGGCAATCCTTTGTGGATCTCTTGGAAGAACTGGTTAATGGTTCCTCCCTAGTACTGGAACAATAAGAAATAATCCTGTCCGGTCTCTATAGGAAAAAGCGTTCAGAACTTATAGAATACTGTAATACTGTATATCATGTTTGCTCTTGTAGTATCACTGTATTCTACAAGACACAATCAATTACAACTGATACAGTTTATGGAAAATTAGAAACAATAGTCAATATTTATAATTTATGTTTCATCCAGGTGCATATCTTCAAGTGTCCTCAGGTGCCGTCGAAATATAAATATTATGCTGATGATTACATTTCATTAGCAAAGACGCGACTGGCTGACCTAAATGTAAGATTTTTGCGACTTGTTCGTTGATAAAACATTGTTGGTTTGGATAATTAAGATTTCTGCTGCTTCATTTTTTCTAAAGATACCTTTGGAAGAAAACACTGGACTTTTTACTCAAAATTCAAGCCAGGATGAGCAAGTTAAGGTCAGGAATAAGTAACTCTCTTTCTATATTATCGACGAGGATTAAGGCTAGAGTTAGGATTAGTTTATGTCAAGTGAAGGATTAGGACTGGAGTTAAGATTAGTGACGTCAAATGAAGGATTAGGTTAAAAAGATCTTGTTAGAGTCCAGGTAAAGAAAGAGTTGAGATCGATTTGGGAAGTATTTCAACGAAATAGTAACGATTATTTTCAGGTGATGGAACAGGCGAGACTTGATGTTAAGAAATGTCTTTTATTATATGACGAATCTGGGAAAATACCAATCTCAATCATGGAGGCCAGGTGACGATTAACCATCCTAATTGAAGTCATATTTTCATGTTTGTTTTTTTGCAGCTCAGGGTAATAGAGTGACTATTAGGAAAGGAGGTTTCTATGGTAAATGTTTACAGAATGTTTTATCTTTTCAGCATTTTCAGGAAGCCATATTTCATTGGCCGATTTCTTCCAGCCTTGTTTCAACCAAGACATGTACGTATTGCTCTGCCCAGAGGAATCGCTGCACAAAATCTTTCACTTGTTTTTTTATTTTATTTCCCTATTCTCGTAGTTACCAGAAGAAGGCGACATCAAAACTCGTTTAATTGATGAGCTGAACAGGTCAGAGAAACATCCATCGATCTAACTGTAAACTCACGAAGGATTATAACACTTTGTATACATTTTGCTTTTGCGAAAATTTCTGTCTAGGGCGGGAAAAATTCCTCAAGCCATGTTCAAATCATATCAACGACGATGCGAACGGCTCGAAGGTATAAACATTGATCGTATTTTAACACACTGAAATATGCACGTCAAGAAATCACACCCGTTTGCTTTGACAGGCTTCCCCGACGACGATAAACCTCGTGACAATGTTAAAGAACTCACCGACTGTCTGGAAAAACTTCCTAATATTCTGGTTTGCATGGCAGCAAGCGATGACGCCACTCAAGGTTTAGTATGTCATGCCAGTAGTGTGTGCTCGTAGAAGTCTGCATTATGACGTTGTCTGCGGACGGAGCTTGTATCTGATTGGACAATCCCGGCGAGCTGACCAATCAGGGTTCATCTTCATTTCTTGCTACAGATTTACAATCCTGGTTTTCTTCCTTCTCTCGGAAAGTAAAATTGATATTCTCCACGGACCCTCGTGAATGCTCAACGAAATTAATTGACGTTGACTTGGCTGCTGTTGAAATGGACCAAGATTGCCTTCAGGTCAGTAGCAGTTCATTGTTAGGTTCAATCTCTTGAAAGAAATCGAAGAAAAGGACCAAATCTCAGTATAAAAAATTCTGCCTAACCGACGTTTAGTTATTTGTGCAGTCCCCCTCATGTTTTTAGGCATCTTACGTCGTAATAAACATCTTTTGTAAAGCATGTGTTGCTGTGCAAAATATCACAACTTCTAACGACCTTCCACCAAGGAGGTAAGCTATTGTCTTAACCATCGACAATCCTTAATCTATACACACTGGGAACAGATTAATGACGCTACAGACATATTGTATTGATTATTGCATTTTTAGAGCGCTCTTCAAATTTCATTGGGCATCGAAGTTTGTCTCAATTTTGGTCTCATTTCCTCGTCTGCTTCAATGTGTGTTCGTTCATCTTTGGAGTACGATATGTCATGAGGTCAGTGGTCCTTCATACAGTTTCTTAAACTACGAATCGTTCTCAGAGAAACATTTGAGAAGAGAGCTTCAGACTTGACTTTACCAAACACAAGGTTCTCCAGTATTCTCATGTAATAGCTAACAATGACATGATAACAGGTTGGTTAATCAACCTTCGCGATAAAGCATTCATTCTTGGGACTGAAGAGACTTTAATGATTTTTCAGTCTCACGTACTTGCTGATGAACACATCCATGGTCTGGCAATCTTAACCTGTCACCTTTCATGTTTCAAGACTTGGAGCATTCGCGCTCAGACAACCAACCCTGAGGTGGGCATCTGGGTGTATCATTTGCTACTTTCTAACTCTCCACCACACGACAGATTGTCCCGACACTTGTTTTAAAATATTTCACAGAGTTCTGATTGTCACCAAACACTTGTTGACTTTATTTTAAGTCAGATTTCGTTATCATCAAAGACATCCTCCAAGTTTTTTCTAAGGTATTGTGTGTGGTCTGAGTCTCTTGCATTTGTGGCTTCGAAATATATTTCTCTTTTTTGTGTAATATGCTTTGCGTGCATGTTCGATTAGAAAGCTCCGCCATATGATTAAAATTCCATCATAAACCAGAAGCCACTCGCTGTAATAGTCTTATCTTTCGAAACTTAATTTGACATTCATTTCAGATGGTGTTCTCATTATCTTCACTACGCTATGGTTGTGTTTGAATCTCTCACTACAGACCTAAACCAGCTTACATGTGATGGTCCACTAGGTAGTGTATCCTAGCCTCGTTTTCTTCGCGTATTCTAGTTCGTTTATTAGCAAGAATGCCTTGATATTGTACAACAATATCTGCAACAATATCTTATTCTAAATTTCATTTCTTTCTTTTTTTTCAAGGTCAGGCTTATGTTCCAAAAACGATGCTCACTAAAGTAAGTTTCAATCTCCATTTTCCTCTTAAAATGAGTCACCTGAACTGCCTAATCTTTGTATTATAACGTTGTTATTACAGGTGCAATATCTGTGCAATAAGTTGAAGTTTCAAGCACCAAGAAAGGATTTCTTAGAAAGTGAGTTAACGCAAGCCAGGTTTCAGGAATAATGAGTAACAAGAATATACTGGCTTTTATCTCCGAACGAAAACCGCCAAAAATGAAAATCATTTGTACATATTTCTGCAAGCTGTTTTGATTTCGTATTTATAGGCAAAGAAATGAAAGTCTTGGACAGTCTGATAAGATCTTTAAAAGAAATCAGGCTTCTTGAAGACCGAGGATGTGAATCACCGTGTTTGAGTTTCAAACAATGGTTGCTTTGGGAGCTTGATACCCGCGAAGACTTTTTAGTAGAAAACGAGAGGTATTCCATGAAATTACTTATGATAACTTCATATGAACCATTTATGCAAGTTTAGTTACACATTCCTCCAGTTAATCGTTCACCTTACTCATCAATTCTGCTCGATTTCACACACTCAGACTGCAGTATTACAACTGGATCGTTTATGAAAAATTTCTACCACAACTGGAAGATGTTGAAAGCGGAGAATTGGCTGCAATTCAAGAAATAGCCAAAGACATTGTGTCTGCTATCATGGATCATTGGACGAGGTTGGTGTCTAAAGAGTTGAGCTTGGTTGAAGTTAGTTCGGCTTTGATTATACCTTTGGTTTGGATTTGGCTGTTTCATTATATTTTGGTTACATTTTTAATTCGTGTTTTATATTTTTAAGATCACCGATGAAGGATGTTTCTTCTGCGGGAAAAAATTTGATAATAATTTTACAAGATCTCGTGAATTTGTCAAACGTGTCTTCAGAAGAGAGAACTGACGTTTGGTTCTTAGATTTCTTTGAGTCAAGATTCAATGAGGTGGATAATAAGAGTTTCCTGTGGATAATAGTTTTCAGTATAGAATAACCAGTTTTAATTGAAACGAGAGAACATCCTCTTTGTAGATAAAGAAAGGCGAAGATCCCTCCGCTGAAATTCAGTTTCAAACTGAAACGATTGCTTTCATCAGGTAAGCTTTTACTCCACGCAATAACTCACATGATTGACCACTTCACTTCAAATGAATTGAATATTTTCTTAAGATTGGCGACACAATTACCATCCTGGTTGTTAGTAGCAAACACTGAGATGGAATGGAAATTGTTGAAAGACGAAAATACGAAGAAATTCTCCCAGTTTCTTAATGATAATTTGGTAGGTTTTTGTTTATTTCAACTCAGTGGTCTAACATTAAGAGGATGAGATACTCTATACATTGTAACAAAGTCGAGCAAGCAGCAGTTTTTTTTCCAGAAACCAGAGTTGTTTCCAGATTCTATGGTTTTTCCGTTCAATTTGACGGCGCATATTTTAAAAGTGAGTACCGACAGAACACATGCATACAGGATATGTTCTTGTGGCCATACATGAAGTTGAGAATCTGGTTCTTTTATTGACTGTAGATTTTCTTGAAACGATTTAACTTGGAAAGAGAGGAGCCGAGGTATGCGATAGATTTAAAAATTGTGATAAATGGAATAGCAGATACCAGAGGAGAAATTTTTTTATTTATTCGTAGGAAAGCTGAATCGATACTGCGATGTTTTCTGACAGATTGTCATTTTATCTTTGCCTCCCTTATGGTAAGTATTGTCTTTTGAATTCAACCCATGCAGATACAGCTAATTCAACAAGTATTTCTCTTTAGTACTACTGGGTCCAACTCAAGCCACTCTATCATCCCTACGTCACCGCCAGTGAAACGCTTCAACAATTGCAATCTTACCATGGTTGGTTGACTGATATTTTGACCGGCAAGGACCAACCAGTGGCACAAAATACTCTTCCAGTTCTTGCTGGTTACGAAGTTGGACAAAGTTATGTCATATTTCTGCATATTTTAAAAAGGTATTTATGACAATTGTTTTATTATCAAAGTCAGCCTTTTATTTATTTAATATCATGTTCAACTTTTGAAATACTTTAGATCACAAGCTTCTACCTTGGACGAAAATTTTGTGCATAGGATGACTGTCTTGTTGAAAGGACTGTCGTCTTCGCAGCCAGGAAAAAGAGTAAGATATCTTCAATTGAAGCCTCAAAGAACCACGGGGCATTAGATATTTATGGTTATTAGGTTTCATATACTAAAATTGTTGGCCTGTTAACAATTTTTCTATTTGTATCGTTCATACAGATTCTTGTGTTTCTCTACGATATCATCTTCTGTTATCTGGCTATGAACATTGTACAAGATGATGAGGTATGGATCCAATCCAAATACATAATAATAATCGCATTGGTTAGACAGAAACTAATGAAGAACCATTTTGAAGCGTTGTTAGTGCAGCTTTAGCTCACATTATAAAACAGAAAGTGTTTTCTCTTTTTCTTTAAAGACGAAGGAATCTGAAGAGGCCTGGTATGAAATAACAATGGTAAACAGTAAACTATTGCACAAATCTTTCCTCTGCTCAAATCATATAAATCCTATGATAATTTGTTAAAACGTTCAAATCCTCCGCGCTTTCTTCTTAGACTATTCTGTTTTTGTATCCGGAGGTTCTGTGCGTTTTTAATCGTAAGTCTACGATTTCAGTCATCGATCTGTAATCTGGGTATAAAATAATGATATTTTCCTTTCTTTTCGTTATAGAAGAATTGAATCAGGGCGCTGAATTATTGTCAGCAAGATATGTTTTGTTTGAAAAGAAAACTCGTCGCTTTCTGTCCATCTTGTTCTTCAGGTTAGGAGAAAGATGTGCTGGTTTTTTCTTAGGAGATGACGCTAGGTTTTAACTCGTGTCTGGTGGAACTGTTGAGGGAACATTTTTTTCTTTTTTGCCTTTAGGATGGTCACGCATCAGATGATGAGATTTTAACAGATGTGAGTCAGGGATTCTTCACTTCTGTAGCATGTACTCTCTTTACGAAGCACACGAGACAAATTGACTGACTGGTCGAATTCTTTTGAATTTCAGAGATTACCATACGGGGCTTTTACCCATGCTGTTTTGCTCATGTACATTCAGTACACAGATCTTTACCAAAATTTTTCTGATCGCTCTTGTCCAAAACAGGTAAAATTACCGAATGAAGATTCCCTAGTTGCAGGACAGTACGGTCAGATATCCACTGGTCGGAGTTTGCTGGAATATAATGCTTTTAAAGTTTTAAAAATGAAAACCATAATAAATCTTACAGGATCATATTCCTTTCTTCAGCTTCTCGATTTAGATGTTTATGTGAAGATTACAACCTTTGTCAAAGATTATCTTCGTTTGTTCCACTCAGCTGACTTAAGAATTCCAGAAGTAAGATGTCTGAATGACGTCATTTTGCAACTCACGTTATGTATGATGTCATTAGTAAAGATGTTGTACAATGACGTCATGTTGTGATGTCTGTGATATCCTTTTGGAAGGAGCTTAAAATTCACTTTTTTTAAACTTTATTTAGTTCGTTGTCCAGAAATTACCTCAGGAGGTTCGAAGATATATCGAAAGATAGAACTTTGTATATATTATGAATTATCTCTACTCGTTATTTATTGAAATTAAATATTTTTGCAAGTATTTTCAACATTCATCTCAGGGGGATTTCCTGGCTTATTTCAAAGGGGGGTTTCCAGTAAACATGTTGATAGCGGAGGGAGGGGGGGGGGAGAAATGCAAAATACAGCGCGTTTGAGAGAAAATTCGAGTCTCCAAGCAGCATACAAAAATGGACCAATCACGATGCTCGAAACACACCACGTGAAGACGTATTAATTTTCAAGATGGCAGTGAAGTAATGAATAAGGGTTCATTGTCAGATTATCCACGTAACCCTAAATAATTGAACGAAGATTCTCAAATATGTAGCGATATGGAAAAGACGGATACCCGAGCGTTGTGTTTAATGCATTTGCCATGGTTTTTCTTGTCGAATTCGCGAAATCGTGGTGGAAGAAGAAGCGGTGTTTACGCTTTCTAGTCTGGGTTATTTTGATATCGGTTGCAACAAAAGGGACTCATGTTCCTCTCAATTGCGTGGTATTAAATCAGACGGGGGAACTACGCTATGATTACAAGTCGTCTGTTGTTGAAAATGGTGAGTGCTTCTTGTCTTTGATATTAACCCAGTTTCTTTCAACAAAACCTTGGTTACTTTACTGTTGCTATTTCAATGGATGAAAGATAATAACAAAGTTGAGTTATCAAAAAGCTTCCTGGCAGGGTTCCTCTTAGGCATGCCTAGAATACATATCTGATTCAGGAATGGAGACTGTGATTTATTAAACTAGTTTTTTTTGTTTTCATTTGCACAGGATGCATAAGACCAGGGAATATAGAATGTGCACATAACTGACACTTACTGACCAAAAACCACGCTAGAATGTTTGCAAATCGGGCATGTTTATAGATTTTGTGCTTTTTCTTTGCACAGACACCTCAAACATTCAGCAATACAATCCTCCCTAGTTATTTGGAAATGTACTAAACATTCATTACCACAGTTGTATGTCTCTTTTGGGTTTACAAACTATGAATAGTTAGTTACATACATCAGGTACTGTCTGGTCATTAGTTATAACATTTGATATTTTCTTTCTCTAGAGTTCATAGTGTTGTTTGAAGGGTACTATCCTGAACCCAGACGAGATGTGATTGTTAGTGAAGCACTGAGCATCAGCAATGTTCCGTCGTGGGAAGTAATTCCTAGAAATAACCCTGCCCGTCAGTTCCCAAGTGACTTCTCCTTGATCAGGGTAATAATTAGATACATATGGTTATATTCTACTTTAAGAGATCAGTAACTGTTGTTTGTTCATGAGGCATAGTTTCGAGACGGGATCACAATCCAGTTCAGATCTATAATGAACATGACCTATCTAGCTTTAGTTTGGAGGTCAGAGGAGGATTCGTTGATTTAATAATAAGTTTGGTTGGCCTGGTTTATCTTCAATCCAGCACTAGTTTTAAAGATTAGTGTTAGCTATGGCTGAAGCAGGGTTCTTTTATGCTATAATAGTTACGTCAAAATGCAGAAGAAGGGGTGGAAGCTCTTCAGATGCATCCAAGAATACGAAAAGTAACACCACAAAGAAAAGTTCAAAGATTTCTTCATTTCACCCAAGGTAAAATGTCTTGACCTATCACCCCAGTATAGTCCATCTCTTAGAGCTTGGTAACGAATGTTCAAATCCGACAACAGGCAATTGACTCTTTTTGTCTCTCATTTATTTATCTGTATTATATTGATATGAATGTATCATTACTGAACTGCATCATCATTGTCGTCCATTGTTCAGATGATTTACAAGATGGGAACAACTCAGAATGTCACAATGATTGCTGGTCTGTTAAAGATTGGAGCGCAAGGAAGGGAACTCGCTCAAGCCTTTCAATGGTAAATCATTCGCTTTTTCTATTAAACCATTCTCTGATTTATATAAAACAAACTGGTGTAGTATTATGTAAATATCTTCTCTTCTAGGGACAATCACTTTCTTTCTCAGAAGATGCTGCAAAAGGAAGGAAGTTGTTACGAGCAATTCCACGCCAGGTTTGCAAAAAGTCGAAACAGACTCAAATTTAGTCAGCTGATGTTATTAAACTGTGATCTTCATTTCAGATCACGCAAGCATTGCAAGCGGATATCTTATGGAGCATGGGTTATACTGGAGAGGATGTGAAGGTGGCAATATTTGATACTGGTTTACATAAACATCATCCTCACTTTAAAAACATCAAAGATAGAACTAACTGGACAAATGAACAATTCATGGACGATGGTAAGAAATATTCCATCACAGTTTCTCAAACCAGTTCAAGTTTCAGTCTTGGGATCTTGCTGATTTTATTTGATCCTTAGACACAGACCCTAAAAATATCTTTTTTTATTCAGGTTTGGGTCATGGAACATTTGTGGCAGGTGTCATTGCAAGCTCCAAGGAATGTTTGGGGTTTGCACCAGATGCTGAGCTTCATATTTACAGAGTGTTCACAAATAACCAGGTAAGGTCCTACTTGTTCTTCTTTTTTATTTGTGGCAATGAAACATCAGTTATCTTCCATCTCAGAATTGATATGAAAACCTTGTTTGTTTTTCACGCAGGTTTCTTACACCTCTTGGTTTCTGGATGCTTTCAACTACGCGATTTTAAATAAAGTGAATGTTTTGAACTTAAGTATTGGTGGACCTGACTTCATGGATCAACCTTTTGTTGACAAGGTTATTCAACTTTGGATGTACCAATTTATTAATTTAAATTATCAGCTCTAAACTGTTCTTCTTCAAGTGCAGTAAATCTATATTTCTCATCTGCAGGTTTGGGAGTTAACTGCAAATGGCGTCATAATGGTGTCAGCGATTGGAAATGATGGTCCATTGTATGGGTAAGATTACAATCCACGATGATTTATTTGTAAACTGGAATATACCCAAATCAAGGATGGCAATGATCAATGTCTATTTTATGTATATTTCAGGACGCTAAACAATCCTGCAGACCAGATGGATGTCATTGGTGTTGGTGGAATAAATTTTGAAGATCAAATTGCGAGATTTTCCTCTAGAGGAATGACAACATGGGTAAGACTTGGATAAACCGCTGTGTGTGCGTGTGTGTGTGTGTGGTGTAGAGTAATACTTGATGAGAGTTCATCATTTGTTTAGGAATTACCAGGTGGATATGGTCGTGTAAAACCTGATATTGTCACGTATGGATCTGGCGTTCGTGGTTCAGGTTTGAGGTACGATTAATTCCTGTTGTGGTGTTTGTCCTTTCATCGTACAGTAGTTGAGATTTGCGTTTCGTAAACCATCTTGTCTTCTGTAGGGGTGGGTGTCGTTCTTTGTCTGGTACCAGTGTTGCCTCACCAGTCGTTGCTGGGGCTGTTTCATTATTGCTGAGGTAAATATTTCATCATCTAGTCTCGTGCAATGTCTGTTATATGAAAATCAATTCACTCCTTTTATGTTTCATCTGTCTAGTTCTGTGCGACATCGCGGCGACGTCATCAACCCAGCCAGTATGAAGCAAGCATTTTTGGCGTCCGCCCGTCGCGTTCCAGATGCTAATATCTTTGAGCAAGGTCAGAGCCAAATACATTCACGTCGGTTTCTTAGTTTTCCCCAAGCATGTCTCATATCAAAAGATGGTCCTCGCATGGCCGGTATTTCTTTGTCCAGGGTTTACGAACTTTGATTCTTGTGTGTTTCAGGTCATGGCAAACTGGATTTAATTAAAGCATATCAAGTCTTATCAAGTTATAAACCTCAGGCCAGCTTGAGTCCAAGTTATATTGACCTCACAGAATGTCCCTACATGTGGCCATATTGTGTTCAGCCACTCTACGCATTTGGTCTTCCTGTCATCGTCAACGTAAGTGGCAAAAGGGACATTTAGTTCTCTCCGTAGCATGGACATAACCCCGAAATATATAAACTACGAATAACCTTGTTTTTCAGCCTTTTATTAGGCCATGCTTGCTTCGGGTCTAGCTTCCTAAATGCTTCATTTCCCCAGCACTCTGACAGACTTCCATGAAAGACGCTAACGCATCTCCTTCCATTCCTACGCTTCTTTATCTTCGTAATTTTAGGTGACGATATTGAATGGTATGGGCGTGACCGGTTCCATCGTAGGAAAGGTATCTCTCTAATTCCGTATTCCGATTTCTATACCATAATAGTTATTTTTCATTCCGTCTTAATGAACGTTTTTCATTCTAGCCTGTTTGGCATCCATATCTACCGCAAAATGGCGACAGAATAGACGTAAGTTGATAGTAGGTGGTAGTAGGTGTTAGAAGGTAGCAATGGACAGTAGAATGTGGTACAGTACAGTGGTAGTAGTTGGTGTGGTTGTTGTAGTTGGTACCAGGCAGTAGAAGGTGGTACCAGGCAGTAGAAGGTATAGAGAAGGGATAGAGAAATAGCTCATTTTATACCATAATATCCATCACTTGGACTATAACATTTATTGAATTACTTCTTCTCTAGATTTCATTCTCGTATTCTCAAATCTTGTGGCCATGGTCAGGGTACCTCGCGCTGTCCATCCGGGTAACACCAGCCTCGTCCACGTGGTCTGGAATAGTTCAAGGCCACGTGTCATTGAATATATCGTCTCCTCCACAGGTGAGGCCAAAAACACTTGACCATTTCGACGCATTATTTGAGCTCTGAACGATACCAATGTTTGTTGCAGGGAGATGAAATGGAGAAGAGAATGTCGATGATTAAATTACCAGTGAAAGTCAAAGTAATTCCAACTCCCGAACGAAGGTTGGTTTTCACGATATTAAGAATAGATTCTAATATTCAAGCGTTGTTCATGATTTGTCTATTATATCATCTAGCAAGAGAATACTTTGGGATCAATACCATAATCTACGATACCCTCCCGGTTATTTTCCTCGCGATAACTTGAAGATGAGAAACAATCCATTGGACTGGTAAGTCACCCATTTACATACAGTACTGTACGTTCACCCACGGTCCCATCGCGTCAATGATATTTCTAAGAAATACATGGCAAACTCGTTGCTTTCTAGGAATGGTGATCACATCCACACGAACTTCCGAGACATGTTTAACTACATCACCAAACAAGGATACTTTATTGAAGTTCTTGGTGAGCTGTTTTGCTATTACATCGAGGTTTATTCTTTTAAAATTTCTTTTTGATTGGACATTCTAAAGAGAACCACTCGTTAAAATGTTCTTCACTTTTAGGATCTCCTTTCACGTGTTTCAATGCTTCACATTATGGTACGTGCTTTTATATGCAAAACTTCCTAATTCTGTGAGAAAATATTTATCCATCTTATGAGCACTGTACACAAGAAAAGTGGACTTAATGTCATAATTCACAAGCTACTTCTGTACAGGGAGTAGCGTGGCAGCGTCTTCAAACAACTTCGCATCAAATGTGGTATAACAACTGCCTAAAATAGAGAGAACACTTCTCGATGTTTCGACCTGAGGGGATTCGTCAGTTGATTATATTTGAGCTGAAATCTAAGTTTTGTTTAACTTTTCTCCCCCAGGGACATTGCTGATCGTAGATCCCGAGGAGGAATATTTTCCAGAGGAAATAATCAACTTCGTGCGGACGTTGAAAACCTTGGCCTCTCCTTGATCATCGTCGCTGATTGGTACAACGTTGAGGTGATGAAGAAAGTGAAGTTCTACGATGAGAATACTAGGCAATGGTGGATGCCAGATACGGGGGGAGCGAATATTCCTGCTCTTAATGAACTGCTCGCACCCTGGAGGATGGCATTTAGTGACCAGATTTACGAGGGAGACTATCGTCTCGCTGAGAATGGAGGTAAACTTCTTTTGCCCAGTTTTGGATTAGGAAATAACTCCGCACGTAAACGACGATGAGCCAAACTTGGTGCCATGAATTTCCTCCTTTTTGCACCTTTATCACCGAATTTTTTTTAAAGTTTTACATATGTTTAGAGACACATACAATATCTCCTTGCAATACCGTAAGTTTTCCATTAAAAAAGTGCACAATTTTCTATAAATTCAGCACAAAATTGTGAAAGCATTACTTGATGAGTTGAACAAATTCAGGGCAAAAATGGGGTGAATCCATAGATTTTTTACGAGATCTTGTGTTGCGTGTATTATCGTGGCTCAGACTGTACGATATGCTTCTAGTCTATTACGCGTCTGGAACAAGTTTGCTGAGATTCCCCTCGGATGGTATCGTGGTAAAACAGACGTTGAATGACCAGGGTTTCGAGGTGACCGCAGGAAAAACGAAGACCGTTTCAGACGTGCCAATCTTGGGATTGTACCAGACAACTCTCGATGAAGGTGGTCGGATAGTATTGTATGGTGATTCAAACTGTTTGGATGGTGCTCCGTTACAGAGAGGTGCGTCTTTGGTTCACCGTTGACCGTCTACATTGCATAATCAACTAATTGTATTTTCATCAGGATGCTTTGTTCAGTTTTAAAAATGTGATTCTTCTTGTAGATTGTTTTTGGTTGTTAAGTGACATGCTTCAGTTTACCGCGAGCAATGAGTTATCTCCGACGTTTGGTGATTTCAAAGGACAGGTCATTGAAACAAGCAAAGATGATAGTCTACCTCAAAGAATGGAAGGTAACTTATCAAAATTCCCTCATTCCTATATCTGAAGGTTGTATCACAAGGTGAACATTTATAGATTTGTGTTATCCCATTAACATTAAAGTTGTCCGACTTCTTCTCAATTAACAGGTAATCAACTAAACCGTTACTCCAAAGTTCTGGATTCGAGGCTGGGACCAGCGCAGGCAAAAAGTCTTCCTGCTTGCCACAAGTACACATGGTCTAAAGCACAAGCATTGAATATATCTTCCACTGGAGATTTATATAAACATCCCAAGTTGCTGTGGATTGGTCAGGTAAATACTGCATGTGGTAAACACGTAGGTTTCTCATCATTTCTTGAACCAACCAACGACAGTGTATTGATTCATACTTTCTAAACTAGGCCATTAGAATCCACTTTCAATGTAGCTACTACCAACAAATATTTATATACAAAGGTTCACAATGTATTTGCAATTTCATCTAGCCTGTGGTGATTGATTTGTCCTCAAGAAAGAAAGTCAATTTCCAAGTTCCTCACGACTGGGAACCAGACAGTCCTACAATAGACATCTGGTACACCATACCAATCTATGTCGCTCTGATATCATCCATTATCCTTGTCTACTGTGCTATACTGACCTGTAGGTCACACAGAAAACCAAAGAAGCCTGGAGACAATAGGACGTTCACATTTCGTATCCCTACAACAAGACTGTTTGTCTAGCCACCATTCAGACAATAAAGAGCTCAGCGATTCAGGCACATCTAAAAGGGCTGTTTCAACGAAGCACAAGATTTTGAGGTATTGAAAGTTTGTGAAGCTAAATAACCACAGGCTATTGTTGGGATGAGTACATGACTACCAAGGGTATATACTCATTTCAATATCTCAAAGCCGTTTTACTCTCATTCAGTCTGGACTGAGTGAGATTATGTAAACAGTCCATGCAAAGTCATGACCTGTGTTAGGCCCTGAGACAAGATTTCGCACAAGATCTGATATGCAGAAAATTGTATATAAGTTTCCATGTCAACCAAAGTGCGTTTACCTAGGTGCCTTTTTAAATTTTTCTGATCCCACATTAAGAAAATCATAGTGGTAGTGAATGTGTAATTAGGTTAGAGCAATTATTGTAAATATATTTCAAATGGGCTTGCATTGGGAAATGTAAAAAAGTTTTTAATATATAAATGATTATTATGAAAGTAAATATTTTCTTCTATTTGTTTGCATGTGGCATTGTGTCATTAGGTGTGGTCTGGGTTAAATCTCCGCTTTCCTAAGAAAAAAAATCGATTTGCCTCTTCCTTTGTTATTTTGTAACTGTTTAATATCCCCATTGCTCTTGTCTATGAGAATTAAACATTGAAAGTGAAGGTGTTGGGTTACAACTGAGATCTATACACAAACTGAACAAATGGTATTAAAACTTGATTTAAAATTGTTTGTTTCAGATAGTTATTAGCTAAAAAATCTTAGATTGAAAACTCATCTTATGCTCATCTTTACTTCTAGTTTGGTGAGCTCTATATATAATAAGGACTAGCAACCTGTTCTCAGTGACCTCTATATATTTTATGGAGTACTAACTTGTAACATGTGTTCGTTTTCAACTATATTATTCTACAAAATCGTTCCACTTATTATTCATAAATGATTTATAAGTCATTGAATCTATATAAATATTCCCCCGTAAGTGGTCTATCTCATGTTGAACAATACGCGCAGGCCATCCTGATGCATTCCAACACACAGCTTCACCATTCTCGTTCAGCCCTCTCACCTCTACCTCGAGTGCACGGGGGACAACACCTGAAAACCCCTCAAGACTGAGGCACCCCTCTCTGAATGCAACCATTTTAGAATTGGTAATTTTCAATTCTGGGTTAATGAAAACTTTCAGTGGAACTATATCCATTTGTTTCTGTCTGAGGTCTTCCAAAGTGAAACCCATTTCTTTCAGTCGGTTCATATGACCTTGCGTGTGCTCCATAGCAAAAACTTGCAATCCAACTCCGATCTGTGGCGCTGCAATGCCTACAGCTTGATGTGATCTCATTGTTTTAATCATTACCTCAAGAAGCTTTTGAAAATCGGCTGTCTGGATGGTAATTGGATCAACTGGTTGGGCGACCTCTCGTAGTACTGGGTCACCAATTTGACGAACTTTTGGCACATTTGTGCCGACAATTGTGGATTTTAGAGTTTCCATCCAGCTTGATTTTTCTCTACGGAGAATACTAAAGCATTTTGGAGATTTTAGAATATTTTTTAAAAGACCTTTCCGCGCTGTGATTCGAAAGAACATTTCCTTTTCATCCTAAGTCCAGGAGTACTTCGTGTAAGAAATATCATCTGGAACCAGTGCTACCACTTTTAAATTTGAAACGTCCATCAAGTACGGCTGGAATTTCCATCAATCGAACAATAATTCCACAAACAACATCCGTCTTTTTTAAGGCTTCAATAGAGTTCCTACTACCATTTTGACAGTTTTAGACAAGAGAATAAACCATCATTATCCAAGTAAACTTATATAAATTTACGTAAAATCCTTCGAAAAAAGGTTGAGGAAAATAAAATAGTGTAGTAATAGTCGGTATAAGTTCTCTTGGTCTGGCGGTGAAGGCAATGCTCTCTCATGTTTCACACTGGGGTTCGAGTCCAAGCATGTCCGTTTTTCATTATGTCTTTTGAGAAAAGGATAAGGTAAATCAAATAAAATAACCTTAGCCGTTCAGCACAAGATCTTGTAGGAGACGACAATGATCTCCCAAGTGGTAAATCGACGGTTCGAATCCGACCATAACCGTTTTTTCATTATGCACTCGTGAAAAGGATAAAGTAAATTAAATAACCAAAGCCAGTCAGCACAATATCTTGTAATTTAGTGGCGAAGACAATGGTCTCACAACTGGTAAATCGATGGTTCGAATCCTACGATGACCGTTATTCATTATGAACTTCGTGAAAAGGATAAGAAAGTTAAATAACCATAGCCTTGAGCACAAAATCTTGTAGTCTAGTGGCGAAGACAGTGGTCTCACAACTGGTAAATCGATGGTTCGAATCCTACCATAACCATTTTTTCATTATGAACTTCGTGAAAAGGATAAGAAAGTTAAATAACCATAGCCTTCAGCACAAAATCTTGTAGTCTAGTGGCGAAGACAGTGGTCTCCCAAGTGGTAAATCGATGGTTCGAATCCTACCATAACCATTTTTTCATTATGAACTTCGTGAAAAGGATAAGAAAGTTAAATAACCATAACCTTTCAGCACAAAATCGTGTAGTCTAGTGGCGAAGACAGTGGTCTCCCAAGTGGTAAATCGATGGTTCGAATCCTACCATAACCATTTTTTCATTATGAACTTCGTGAAAAGGATAAGAAAGTTAAATAACCATAACCTTTCAGCACAAAATCTTGTAGTCTAGTGGCGAAGACAGTGGTCTCCCAGGTGGCAAATCAATGGTTCGAATCCTACGATGACCGTTATTCATTATGAACTTCTTGAAAAGGATAAGAAAGTTAAATAACCATAGCCTTTCAGCACAAAATCGTGTAGTCTAGTGGCGAAGACAGTGGTCTCCCAAGTGGTAAATCGATGGTTCGAATCCTACCATCACCGTTTTCCATGATGAACATCGGGAAAAGGATAGAGTTTATTATAAATAACCATTGCCGTTCAGCACAAGAGCTTGTAGTCTAATGGTCAAGATGTTGATCTCATGTGTCGACATCCAGAGGTTTGAATCTTGTTTTAGATGGAAATTTTCGCTATTAACTGTGATGCCACATGGGTATCTTATTGAAATCCGCCATGTTGCATGGTTGCACTTGAATTCGTCCTTGCGATCTTTATATTTTCAAGTGTTAAAAAGCACTGATTTGCCAGCTCAAACTCAGTTTTCTATTCTTCTTATGGTGATGAAACCAAAGACATATGCAACTCCCGAATTATACCTTCTCTGTGGGTTTTCAAGCAAGAAAAAGGAATAACTACAGGACGACATTCACACTCAACTGATTTTAGCTGCATGGTGATGTCGAACTTTGCCCCGGACCGGCAACTAAATGCCTTATCTGCTCTCAAAGACGGTGAGAAGAAATCAAAGCTCAGACTTGTGCTCTGAATGTAACAGCCTATACCATGTAAAGTGTTTGTCGGACGCGGTCATATCTGGCTGCGAGACATCGTTTTGTTCGACATGTACACCAATAACGCAGGATTCAGCCGAACCTCATACAAACTGCTGTAATTCGGTCAATGAAAAGCTAAAAGAATTTGCCAATACAAGGGGCTAAAGGTAATTCACCAAAATATAAATGAACGGACTATTATACGGAAGCTCGACAGGGTTGATATGTTACTTAAAGAAACCAACCGAAGTATTGATATATTTGCAATAACTGAAACCCATCTACAACATGATATTAAAGACGAATATATTTTTTTCAGGAAAGACCATGAATACGGAGTTAGAGGTGGTGTCGGTTGCTTTATTCGAGAAGATGTAAAATGGCAAAGGCGAGCTGACTTGGAAAGAGCAGGTTAGGAGACTTTATGGTTGGAAATATTTGTTAAAAACTCAGTCAAAATCCTTCCTTGTTTGCATTTTATATCGACCTCCAAATTCCCAGTAAACACTTGCAAAAGGATTTCGAAAGCATTCTTCAAGATATGCTAAGTACCGGTCTTTGTGAAAACAAAGAGACCATTCTATTAGGTGATTTAAATACAGATTACTTACAACAACCAAACAACAAGGAAATCAAGCACATCATTATTAAAACAAATCATGGCTTTAAACAAATCATTAAAGTCCCAACAAGGATTACAAGATTCAAAACTGACCTTAATTGATGTGATAGCAACAACACACCGAACAAAACATTTCAAACATTTCAAAAAGACACGCACAGTAGCTCAAAACAAAATACTTCTTCGTCAAAAAAATAATCTCGGAGAATTTCAAAAGTGAATTTTTTCAGTCTCGAGAAAATCACCCAGTCAAATTTTCGTAAACATTAGTTTTAAAACATTAGCCTGACATATCGAACAGCTGTACATTCATAAATAAAACTCACCCCGGCTGAAATTGCTATGGGACATGCATAAGACACAAACTCCTGCTTTCAACTTTCATAAATATCTGATTACCTGTTAGTAAAGCAATTATATAACTTACTTTTACCATCAGTTGATTCGAATTTCCACGCGATGTTGCGATAACACACGTTCATTCGTTAAGCCTGATTCTCATAATGAATCTTTGTTATTTTGTATAAATCTTCTTCGTCAACAACCGCAAACAATACATCGCCGACCGTCGGTGACATATGAGAATCAGGCTTTATTGATGCTTCATCGCCGATGACAAGGTTAGGCCAGAAGTGAGCATCTCCTTGCACAACTGAGCCATGTGCAAAATGCTACACGTCGTGCTGGATCACGTGGGACTTTGACATTTTTCTTGGATTACGCCAAAGCACTGACTCTTGGATTTTGTTGAAAGGATTGTCGTACTTTGGTGATGTTTTTTTACGATGCTTGCTCTCATACAGAAAGTCCAGCATTCCGATTTAAGCTATTAGCTTTTGTAAAGTATAGCAACTGTTTTGACAACGTTTGACAAGCCACAGTGGACTTAATTCTTATCTTCTAGGACTCCACCACCACGAGGCTAGGTTGTTCAGCTGCGAACTGCCCAGCAACCATGATAAAGCATAAATTCAAATCCACATTTCAGTAATATCGAATGAATGTTTGCCACGGAGAACTTACTTTACAGTCATTTCGTTTTAATACACGTGAGATTTGACCATTTCCAATTGTTAAAAGTTTATTACACCGTTGGATACGTGGATAGCAGCTAAATTGGAACAAAATGCTAGCCAGCATTGTTAACTTCTTATTTCATCAGCAATAGCCACCATATTTTCATCAAAAGTTGTTTAATTCTAACTTTCTTCACGGTGACGTTAATTTGGACCCACTGTATATAGGTCCAATGCTGCATGATATTATGTCAGCATTTTTATGAAGATGCTGTTCCCTTCATTCCCGTGGCCTTTCAGCAGCCTTGATTAAAAGCGAATGCTAGTGTATAGTCTTCTGGTCAAATGCACTTTCTGTTCAACGCTTCTTTCGACATTTGCCAATCTGTACAGATCTTCTTTGTTATGGTATCATCCACAATCGCTCATAAGACTTCTTACTGTTTTCGTTCTTTCAGCAGTATAACGGTTAAGCTGTTAAAACATAACAAAAATTAGCGAAAACTTACTCCTTACCCTCCGCCGTTAACAGGGGAACCTAAGTTTGAGAACTGATGAACGCAACCGAAAAAACGGACGCTCTCGCAATTTAGCGAAACGAAAAGCCATATTAACAAACAAGAAAGTACTAGTAGCATATTTCAGCATACCTTCCGCCGTTAACAGGGGACTTGTACGTTTGGAAAAATGAACGCTGCCGCAATTTAGCGAAACGAAAAGCCATATCAACAAACAAGAAAGTACAAGTAGCATATTTCAGCATACCTTCCGCCGTTAACAGGGGACTTATACGTTTGGAGAAATGAACGCTGCCGCAATTTAGCGAAACGAAAAGCCATATCAACAAACAAGAAAGTACTAGTGGCATATTTCAGCATACCTTCCGCCGTCAACAGGGGACTTATACGTTTGGAAAAATGAACGCTGCCGCAATTTAGCGAAACGAAAAGCCATATCAACAAACAAGAAAGTACTAGTAGCATATTTCAGCATACCTTCCGCCGTCAACAGGGGACTTATACGTTTGGAAAAATGAACGCTGCCGCAATTTAGCGAAACGAAAAGCCATATCAACAAACAAGAAAGTACTAGTGGCATATTTCAGCATACCTTCCGCCGTCAACAGGGGACTTATACGTTTGGAGAAATGAACGCTGCCGCAATTTAGCGAAACGAAAAGCCATATCAACAAACCAGAAAGTACTAGTAGCATATTTCAGCATACCTTCCGCCGTCAACAGGGGACTTATACGTTTGGAAAAATGAACGCTGCCGCAATTTAGCGAAACGAAAAGCCATATCAACAAACAAGAAAGTACTAGTAGCATATTTCAGCATACCTTCCGCCGTCAACAGGGGACTTATACGTTTGGAGAAATGAACGCTGCCGCAATTTAGCGAAACGAAAAGCCATATCAACAAACAAGAAAGTACTAGTAGCATATTTCAGCATACCTTCCGCCGTCAACAGGGGACTTATACGTTTGGAAAAATGAACGCTGCCGCAATTTAGCGAAACGAAAAGCCATATCAACAAACAAGAAAGTACAAGTAGCATATTTCAGCATACCTTCCGCCGTTAACAGGGGACTTATACGTTTGGAGAAATGAACGCTGCCGCAATTTAGCGAAACGAAAAGCCATATCAACAAACAAGAAAGTGCTAGTGGCATATTTCAGCATACCTTCCGCCGTTAACAGGGGACTTAATTATACGTTTGGAGAAATGAACGCTACCGAAAAAATGAACGCTACCGAGAAAATGAACGCTGCCGAAAAAATGGACGCTGCCGAAAAAATGAACGCTACCGAAAAAATGAACGCTACCGAAAAAATGGACGCTGCCGAAAAAAATGGACGCTGCCGAAAAAAAAAGAACACTGCCGAAAAAAATGGACGCTGCCAAAAAAATGGACGCTGTCGCAATTTAGCGAAACGAAAAGCCATATCAACAAACAAGAAAGTACTAGTGGCATATTTCAGCATACCTTCTGCCGTTAACAGGGGACTGATACGTTTGGAGAAATGAACGCTGCCGCAATTTAGCGAAACGAAAAGCCATATCAACAAACAAGAAAGTACTAGTGGCATATTTCAGCATACCTTCCGCCGTCAACAGGGGACTTATACGTTTGGAAAAATGAACGCTGCCGCAATTTAGCGAAACGAAAAGCCATATCAACAAACAAGAAAGTACTAGTGGCATATTTCAGCATACCTTCTGCCGTTAACAGGGGACTTATACGTTTGGAGAAATGAACGCTGCCGCAATTTAGCGAAACGAAAAGCCATATCAACAAACAAGAAAGTACTAGTGGCATATTTCAGCATACCTTCCGCCGTCAACAGGGGACTTATACGTTTGGAAAAATGAACGCTGCCGCAATTTAGCGAAACGAAAAGCCATATCAACAAACAAGAAAGTACTAGTGGCATATTTCAGCATACCTTCCGCCGTCAACAGGGGACTTATACGTTTGGAAAAATGAACGCTGCCGCAATTTAGCGAAACGAAAAGCCATATCAACAAACAAGAAAGTACTAGTGGCATATTTCAGCATACCTTCTGCCGTTAACAGGGGACTTATACGTTTGGAGAAATGAACGCTGCCGCAATTTAGCGAAACGAAAAGCCATATCAACAAACAAGAAAGTACTAGTGGCATATTTCAGCATACCTTCCGCCGTCAACAGGGGACTTATACGTTTGGAAAAATGAACGCTGCCGCAATTTAGCGAAACGAAAAGCCATATCAACAAACAAGAAAGTACTAGTGGCATATTTCAGCATACCTTCCGCCGTCAACAGGGGACTTATACGTTTGGAGAAATGAACGCTGCCGCAATTTAGCGAAACGAAAAGCCATATCAACAAACAAGAAAGTACTAGTAGCATATTTCAGCATACCTTCCGCCGTCAACAGGGGACTTATACGTTTGGAAAAATGAACGCTGCCGCAATTTAGCGAAACGAAAAGCCATATCAACAAACAAGAAAGTACTAGTGGCATATTTCAGCATACCTTCCGCCGTCAACAGGGGACTTATACGTTTGGAAAAATGAACGCTGCCGCAATTTAGCGAAACGAAAAGCCATATCAACAAACAAGAAAGTACTATAGTGGCATATTTCAGCATACCTTCCGCCGTCAACAGGGGACTTATACGTTTGGAGAAATGAACGCTGCCGCAATTTAGCGAAACGAAAAGCCATATCAACAAACAAGAAAGTACTAGTGGCATATTTCAGCATACCTTCCGCCGTCAACAGGGGACTTATACGTTTGGAAAAATGAACGCTGCCGCAATTTAGCGAAACGAAAAGCCATATCAACAAACAAGAAAGTACTAGTGGCATATTTCAGCATACCTTCTGCCGTTAACAGGGGACTTATACGTTTGGAGAAATGAACGCTGCCGCAATTTAGCGAAACGAAAAGCCATATCAACAAACAAGAAAGTACTAGTGGCATATTTCAGCATACCTTCCGCCGTCAACAGGGGACTTATACGTTTGGAAAAATGAACGCTGCCGCAATTTAGCGAAACGAAAAGCCATATCAACAAACAAGAAAGTACTAGTGGCATATTTCAGCATACCTTCCGCCGTCAACAGGGGACTTATACGTTTGGAGAAATGAACGCTGCCGCAATTTAGCGAAACGAAAAGCCATATCAACAAACAAGAAAGTACTAGTAGCATATTTCAGCATACCTTCCGCCGTCAACAGGGGACTTATACGTTTGGAAAAATGAACGCTGCCGCAATTTAGCGAAACGAAAAGCCATATCAACAAACAAGAAAGTACTAGTGGCATATTTCAGCATACCTTCCGCCGTCAACAGGGGACTTATACGTTTGGAAAAATGAACGCTGCCGCAATTTAGCGAAACGAAAAGCCATATCAACAAACAAGAAAGTACTATAGTGGCATATTTCAGCATACCTTCCGCCGTCAACAGGGGACTTATACGTTTGGAGAAATGAACGCTGCCGCAATTTAGCGAAACGAAAAGCCATATCAACAAACAAGAAAGTACTAGTAGCATATTTCAGCATACCTTCCGCCGTCAACAGGGGACTTATACGTTTGGAAAAATGAACGCTGCCGCAATTTAGCGAAACGAAAAGCCATATCAACAAACAAGAAAGTACTAGTAGCATATTTCAGCATACCTTCCGCCGTCAACAGGGGACTTATACGTTTGGAGAAATGAACACTGCCGCAATTTAGCGAAACGAAAAGCCATATCAACAAACAAGAAAGTACTAGTAGCATATTTCAGCATACCTTCCGCCGTCAACAGGGGACTTATACGTTTGGAAAAATGAACGCTGCCGCAATTTAGCGAAACGAAAAGCCATATCAACAAACAAGAAAGTACAAGTAGCATATTTCAGCATACCTTCCGCCGTTAACAGGGGACTTATACGTTTGGAGAAATGAACGCTGCCGCAATTTAGCGAAACGAAAAGCCATATCAACAAACAAGAAAGTACAAGTAGCATATTTCAGCATACCTTCCGCCGTTAACAGGGGACTTATACGTTTGGAGAAATGAACGCTGCCGCAATTTAGCGAAACGAAAAGCCATATTAACAAACAAGAAAGTACTAGTGGCATATTTCAGCATACCTTCCGCCGTTAACAGGGGACTTATACGTTTGGAGAAATGAACGCTACCGAGAAAATGAACGCTGCCGAAAAAATGGACGCTGCCGAAAAAATGAACGCTACCGAAAAAATGGACGCTGCCGAAAAAATGAACGCTACCGAAAAAATGAACGCTGCCGAAAAAATGAACGCTATCGAAAAAATGGACGCAACCGAAAAATTGGACGCTACCGAAAAAATGAACGCTACCGAAAAAATGAATGCTTCCGAAAAAATTGACACATGCCGGAAAGGGAAACGAAAGGTATAGAATGAACCATATTGCATGAAATATTGTAAATGCACTTATCTTTCCATTGTTTCTTTCGACATTTGCCAAGAGTGATTTGTGTTGATATGTCCCACAGTTGCTCATCATGAGGATCCGCTTCAGTTTTTGGCCTTGTAACTTGTGCACATTTGAACACTAATCTGTCAGAACATTACGTATATTTATTAAAAAATATGTCATTACTTGAATTGTTGTCTGATTGGCAACACTACTTACTATCAGGTAGCTATTAGCTAACATGGCAAGTACTGTAACAAAAAATTGTTGCTTATAGTTGACATATTTCTTAAGAGTTGATGATGTTGAATAATCTGTAAGATCAGGGGCCAGTTGTATAAGTGTGTGGTTAAGTCAAAATTAAATAACACTCTTACATACATCTCTCTGGAATGAGTTAACTTGAATATTATGCACAGAATATGTAGTTGTAGACAATATCTTTGTATTAAAGTCAAAACTCAAAAACATTTAGTTCGCTTGTTGAATAAAATTTCAGACTTGCTTTCTATTTTGAGACATTCATGAAACCACTGAAGAAATGTCTTCAAACTGCAGTTATTGAGAACAAAGACTGGAAGCAAGAATTACAGAAATTTTTCACGAATTATCAGTCGCGCAACACGCAACACCACACTGTACAACTAATGATGGATACCCCACCGCACGAGGATACCCCACCAAGAAGTGA